AAAAAAAAAAAAAAAAAAAAAAAAAAAAAAAAAAAAAAAAAAAAAAAAAAAAAAAAAAAAAAAAAAAAAAAAAAACAGATTTGTCTTGTTAAATATGGATCTCTTTGGGGCCTTCGAGAATCCAGATCTGGAAAACGTTGTTCCAGAAGAAGTTTCAAAACCTGAAGAGCCAAAAGGAATTAAAAGAGCCAATTCAGAATCCAAGAACGGCTCAGAAAAGAAGCCAAAAGTTGATAAAAGGGAACAAGAGGAAAATGGCAAAAAAGTGGTCCCCATCGTGGCCGACACGTTAGAAATTGAAGCTTCCCGAGAGGTCGATGCCTCCAGTGGACTGCTCGCATCTACAGACATAGACACCTCGAAAGTCAAGTTACGACACCAGGTGCGGCACCAGGTTGCAGTGCCACCAGGGTACGACTACGTTCCCATTGGGCAACATAAACGGAAAACTGAGGCTCGTACTTATCCTTTCACGCTTGATCCCTTCCAAGATACATCCATTTCCTGTATAGATCGTCAGGAATCTGTCCTCGTCAGTGCTCACACCTCTGCTGGTAAGACTGTGGTTGCAGAATACGCTATTGCCCAATCGCTAAGAGACAAGCAACGTGTAATTTATACGTCTCCCATCAAAGCCTTGAGTAACCAGAAATACCGTGAGTTACAAGCTGACTTTGGTGATGTTGGACTGATGACTGGAGATGTGACTATCAATCCTGACGCCGGGTGTTTGGTAATGACCACTGAAATTCTGAGATCCATGCTTTATAGGGGCTCTGAGATTATGAGAGAAGTTGCCTGGGTGATCTTTGATGAGGTTCACTACATGCGTGACAAGAGCAGAGGTGTCGTGTGGGAAGAAACCATCATTCTGCTCCCCGACAATGTCCATCACGTGTTCTTATCTGCTACCATTCCAAATGCCATGGAGTTTGCCGAATGGATTTGCAAAGTTCATAACCAGCCTTGTCACGTCGTCTACACAGATTTTCGTCCAACTCCATTGCAGCATTACCTTTTCCCTGCCGAAGGGGAAGGAATACATCTGGTCGTCGACGAGAAAGGAACGTTTAGAGAGGAGAACTTCCAGAAGGCCATGGCATCGATATCAAACAAAATGGGAGACGACCCTGGAGCTGTTGAGACGAAGGGTGGCAAGTCCTGGAAAGGAGGTGTCAAGGAAGGAAAGTCTGACATTTACAAGATCGTGAAGATGATTTGGATGAAAAAGTACAACCCTGTCATTGTTTTTTCGTTCAGCAAGCGTGACTGTGAGGCTCTTGCCATGAAGATGTCCAAGCTCGACTTTAATACTGACGAGGAGCGCGAGATGCTCACCAAGATCTTCAACAATGCGATCAGCATTCTGTCCGACGACGACAAAGAACTGCCGCAGATCAAGCACATCTTGCCGCTATTGCGTCGTGGTATTGGCATCCATCACTCTGGACTGCTTCCAATTTTGAAGGAAATTATTGAAATTTTGTTTCAAGAGGGATTTCTGAAAGTTCTGTTCGCGACGGAGACCTTCTCTATTGGATTGAATATGCCAGCCAAGACTGTTGTGTTCACGTCCGTGCGTAAATGGGACGGGAATGGGTTCAGATGGGTTTCTGGAGGAGAATATATTCAGATGTCTGGACGAGCTGGCCGTCGTGGTTTGGATGATCGTGGTATTGTGATTATGATGATTGACGAGAAGATGGAGCCTCAGGTCGCCAAGGGAATGGTGAAAGGTGTTGCTGATAGATTAGACTCTGCATTCCATTTGGGCTACAACATGATCTTGAACCTGATGCGCGTGGAAGGGATTTCGCCAGAGTTTATGCTGAGTAGCTCTTTTTTCCAGTTCCAAAACTCGATTTCCGAGCCAGAATTGAAGAAACAACTGGCCAAGTACGAGCAAGAGTTGGACTCGATTGTGATTGACGACATGGAAAATATCAAGGAGTATTACGAGCTCCAGAAGCAGCTCGATCAGTATAATGAAGATGTGCGCAAGATCGTTACTCATCCAGGAAACATTCTGCCCCACCTGAAGGGTGGTCGTTTGGTGGAGGTGAATATCAATGGAATGGACTATGGCTGGGCGATTGTGGTTGATTTCTCGAAGCGCAACAACAAGCGCAACCAAGCGCAATACAGCGACCATGAGTCATATGTGGTAAACGTTTTCGTGAACACCATGTTTGTCGACTCTCCGGTGAACCTAATCAAACCTTTCCAGGTGCAACTGGTGGAGGGAATTCGTCCAGCGAAAGAAGGAGAGGAGACGAGAAGTGAGGTGATTCCTATCACGTTGGACTCCATCAAAAAGATAAGTAGTTGCCGCTCAATTTTGCCGCAGGACATGAAGAATAGCCAGGCGCGTAAGACGTTGCGCAAGGCATTGAAGGAGATTGTCAAAAGACATCCCGATGGACTCCCTATTTTGGACCCCGTCACCAAAATGCATATCAAAGACGAGGAGTTCAAGGTTTTGTTACGGAAAATCGAAATTTTGGAAAGCAAGTTACACTCCAACCCTCTTGCGCAGTCGACTCGGCTCAAGGAACTGTACGACCAGTACTCGCATCGGATGAGCATTGTGGAGAAAATCAACGAGACAAAGAAGAAGATCAGTGAAGTGCAGTCTCTCATTCAGATGGACGATCTGAAGCACCGCAAGAGAGTGCTTAGACGGCTCGGATTCACCACACAGGATGACATTGTTGAGATTAAGGGCCGTGTTGCATGCGAGATTAGCACGGGAGACGAACTGCTGCTCACTGAGTTGATATTCAACGGAACCTTTAACGAGTTAGATCCCTCACAGTGCGCGGCCTTATTATCGTGCTTCGTCTTTCAGGAACGCACCAAGGTGACCCCTAGACTCAAGCCGGAGCTTGCTGAGCCGCTCAAAGCATTGAAGGAGATGGCTTCGAAGATTGCAAAAGTTTGCAGAGAGTGCAAACTGGAGATTGTTGAGAAGGATTACGTGGAGTCGTTCAAGCCGGATTTAATGGAAGTGGTTTATGCTTGGTGTCGAGGAGCCTCGTTCACGCAGATTTGCATTATGACGGACGTCTACGAAGGTTCGCTGATCAGAAGTTTTAGGCGTCTAGAAGAGCTGATCAAGCAGTTGGTGGACGCTGCCAGGACCATTGGAAACGTTGCCTTGGAGGAGAAACTAACCAAATCGGCTGAGCTGATCCACAGAGACATTGTTTCTGCTGCATCGTTGTATTTGTAGATAATAAATTATTTTTATGCTGCGATATCCATGATGTCGACCTGGGCCTCCGTATGGCCTTTCATTCTAGCAAGCTCTTGCTCAATTTTTTCCTTCCACACGTCCACGTTACGGGTGTACAGTTGTTCCAAAATCGCCATTTTCAACTTCCAGATTTCTGGGTTGTTGATATGCTTATACTCGTCCAGCAGTCTATTCATGACGGACGGCCACCGGATCAGCTGCTCCACCGTATGGTCGTACAGCGATAGTGCTCTGACAAGCTCTAGGAACGAGCTTGTAGACAGATTCAGGATTTTGGAAGGCGGAATGTCCAGTTTGGAAAAAGTCTCCTGCTTGCTAACCAGATTTTCAAATATTTGTATTGTGGTTGCAGTGAGAGGAAGTGTTTCGAGAAATTGCGTTCTTGAGGCTAACAGACTTGGATCAACGTTTGAAAGCAGAAACACAGAGGGCTCGTCGCTGTGCGTTATGGCGTGGTCTATGATCTTATATTGGCGATCGAACTCAGCAAATTTCGAGGCATCGAGTCTGCTCAGATTGGCAAGAAAAACCACCGGCTCGAGACTGAACAACGTCTTGATCTCGGGCACAAACGCGTCATCCACGTACAGGCGACAGATATAGCCAATCTGCTCGTTCAATTTATCTAGCAAGTCTAATCTGTCGAACCTAATAGTGTCCAGCAATTTGTTATAAAATGAAACCACATACGCATTGAGCAGCACGTCGTTGCTCTGAGCGAATTCTCTTTCTGGCATCAAATATAGATCATCAGGGAGGTCTTTAACAACAGGAAGAAGTTCTGAGCAGAGATCAAAACACCGCGAAAACACTTGTGGATCGCCCCTAATTTTTCTAAGCAGGTCTAGACACTCTTTGGATAATAGACGACGTTGCACGAGCTCGCCCTTCGCAAGTACCACTAGACTTCTTTCAATTGAACTCACCGTTTCTACAGTTGTGGCTGGGTCTGCCAGCAGGTTCAGCATTATTGAGATGAACGGCGTGTTGGCCACCAAATCGGGGGGAGTCGCCCTTGCCACGATATCGATGATTAGTATTTTTAGGTTCTCGTTATGACCCTGTAGACCTGAAATTAGCATCTCAAGTGAGAATTCCTGTACGATCGTGTCGAAGTGGTAGTGACTGATGATTTCGTTGAACAGGTCGATAGCATGACTCTTCCATTCCGCACTTGTCTTGTTAGAGCTGACTACTTGTATCACCTTTGATCCAAATGTCCGAAGGATCTGTGAGGACTCGTACAAGCTAGCGTCTTTGAGGATTAGCTTGGCTTGTTCAAATAGATGATGGTCTACGAGGTCAGACTCTGCATTATCCAAATGTTCGAGAATCTGCTGGATGGCTGCCATAGAGTAAAGTGTGTGTATATTTTAAAATTAAATTTAACTATTTTTTATTTATGATCCCAGAGGAAGTCATATTACAAGATCCTCAATTCAAAGAATCGCGGCTGGATTCTTTGTACTCAAACTTCAATCATTTGAAGGAGAATCCAGAGGGACTCGAAGCCAATGTAACAGCGTGGAAGTCACTCCTGTTGGACGCGAGAAAGAAATGTCCGGATCATTTCAAAGATAAAGTTGCCTTTGACTCAGATAGTCTGGCGGAGCAATTTTCGCTACCCTCAAAAGGCCTGGTTCCTAAGGGCCTAAACAAGGTAATTGACCAGCTAGTGCAAGAGAGAGTTCTTGTGCCATACTCGCAGTTTCAGCAAGACAAAGGTTTGCTGGGACGCGTTGTGGGGTGGATGTTTGGCCCGCGCTATCAGAGCGGCAACGACGATTCTGGACAGCTCAGGAAAGGTGAACGCTTTGTGATAAGCTCGGAACTGTCAAAATGGAGTCGTGAGTTAGGTTTGTATCTGAGCAATAACTCGCCGCTGGTGAAGGACCATCTGGTTGATCTCGCGTCCAAAGATCTAAGTCTCTCGCGGTTTGATGTTGAATGTTGTCTAACAAGTCTTGAGCGAGAACACAAGGTGGCGATAGAAGGCGATGTGGTGCGCGTTTTGGACGAGACCCAACAAGAAGTGCAACTCTCACCTGAGCAGGTGGAATCTATTGCAACTTTGAAATACTCTATTTACAAAATGACCCAGTACAACGACGAGACAGAAAAAAGGGTCCATGAGCTGGAGGCACGTGTGCGCGAATACGTGAAGAAGAACCAAATGATCAGGGCCAGATCTGAGCTCAAAATACAGAAAGCTTTGTCTGCAAAGCTGCAAAAATCCACCCAAGGACTTGAGAATTTGGTGCTGTTGCTCTACAAAATTGAAGAGAACAATAACAACATGCTGGTAGTGAAGACTCTGGAGTCCAACTCAAAGATTTTGAAGAGCATGAATGAACAGGTTGGAGACATTGCCTCGGTTGTTCAAGAGGTTCGCGAAGAGTGGGGCAAAATGGACGAATTGAGCGAGCATCTTGGCGCCATGACTACGGACGACAGTTCGATCGACGAGGAACTGCAGTTGCTGGAGAAAGAGGAGAAACAGAAGGTAGAAAAGGAAAGAGAGAAGTCCGCGGAGCCAGAGCCACAAAAGGAGGTCGAAGAGCCGGCCATTGTGGACGATGCCGAAGCGGACTCAGTGCTTCTCGAGCGGTTCAACAAATTAAAGCTACCCGCCAAAGACAGCGAGGAAGAAAAGCTAGAGAATCCATTGCCTGCGTGATCTATAAAATGACGACTCCGTTGAGCGGCAAGATGTACTGTCGAAGCTTGATGCCCGCCTCCTGGAATACCTTAGAGCTTAGTTCATCCATTGAATAGCTTTGGGAGTAGACCACTTCTTCGATGCCGCTCTGAACAATTTTTATAGAGCATGTGAGACAGGGACAGGTATTGCAGTACAGGACAGCGCTTTTTCCTATCCTGTCTCTACCTGCCTCTAATATGGCATTTTCTTCTGCATGCAGACACAAACAGGTTGACAAGCTGACTCCACATGAATCGCCAGCATTACATCTTGGACAGCCTCCCTCATTGCAGTTCTTTACGTTACGTGGAGTCCCATTGTAGCCTGTTGCTAAAATCCTGTTGTCTCTGACCAACACACAGCCGACTCTGCGTTTCATGCAGTTAGATCTCAGCGCAGCTAGATCTGCCAGCCTCATAAAATACGCGTCCCAGGACGGTCTGAGCCGTTCCTGGTTCAGAAGATTCAGATTTCGAAGTCTGTCATGAAACTCCTCGACCGTGTGCCCATCATTTATGATGCGTATCTCCGACTGGTCAAGAATTCGCAACATCTCACCATTATGACCAAATCTATACTCGTCAGATCGCAGTGCAAATTGTTCTAATGTGATGTTTGCGTTCGTTTTTCGAAGTCTTTCAAACCGGTTGATTAGAGACGCGTCGATAGCCACGTGGAGAAAAAATGGCCGTTTCAAGAGCGCCTGGAGAAACTTGTTGTTGGTAATGCATGTGAGGACAAATTTATCATACCAGTTTTTTGTCACAAAATCTATCAGCTCCAACTCAGTGTCGAATCTTTTGAATATGTGAAGATGGGCTTCGGCCGGCGATCCGTCCACCGTAATATATTTGAACCCATATTCGTTAACCAGAAATTCCGCCACTTCTGATTTGCCTGAATATAATGTGCCTGTGATGCCAATTAACATTAGCTTTTTCGTGTAGCGAAGTAGAGATTTTTCCCCAGGTTGTCCCGCTAAAGTGTGTTACGTAATCCGACAACTGGGATAAGGTTCTCTCTAAGTACACAAAGAGGAACAAGTACGCGCACCCCAAGCACATCGTCGTCTGTCAGTATCTCATTTATAAGGGCGCTACCAAGAATACCAGTACGATACACAAATTATAGGTGCGGAAGTCAGAGCAGCTCGGAGCCAGCATATTTTGATCAATATTTGTTTTCCATTTATTTTATTTATGCTCGACGATTTGGTGTTGTCCCGCTGCCAGGGCGCATCCGGCGATTTGATTAGCTGGTCGACAGACGGGTATATTTCACTGCCCTTCCGCAAGGAGTTTTTTATTCTAGCACCGAAAAGCTCTGATGAGATCTCTGAAATATCGGATGTTTTCAATTTGACACGGCTAGGGGGTTCGATCTCTGAACTGCCAAATGCACTTAATGAGACCGTTTGTACCGACGAGGAGATATGTGTGGGTCAATTGCAGGATCCTGCAACCACCAGCGTAGTGGAAGCGCGCTGGTCGGCTTCGGGGGTAGGAGAAAATAAACAATGCGTATTGAGTCTTGTCACAAATACTGGAAACGCGTTCATTCTTGATCAAGATGGGTTAAACAACTGGGAAGTACGCCACAACATAATAGACGCTCTAAAAAAGGATGAAAACATTGATTTGCAACGAATTGTCAAGTATTCACAGCTGAAACGGCTTCGAGTGAAATCGATTGGCTGGTTTCACCATCTGCATCGCTCGTTACTCAAGGCCCCAGTGTGGCCGTTGGAGGTCTCTTCCACGTTTGTTTTATGCACGGAGCACAACAGTGCCTGGATTTACCGCATGGGCGCTTCCCTCTCGCGATTGCTTGAGATACAGCTGCCAGCTACCAAAGTACGGAAATGTGAGGTCTCAGACTGGACGAAGAACGGGGACTCCTTGGAGGCGTTTGTAGTCTTTGAGCTGGTCACAAACGAGCTGGTAGCTCAGAAAATAGAGTACAACAAGGAATTTGTCGCAAAAGAACAATTCAGCATCCGTCCTCCGTCCCCAATTCTTGTCTCTCAATTCGCTCTCTCCACATTCAATGGCAATTCCTACTGTACAATAACGTCGGATATCTTGCAATGTGTCCAGCTTTCCACAGGCAAAACGCTGTCGCACCGGCTTTCCTCTGTCGCTTCCATTTCCTCAATTGTCCAGAAAGAGAACTTCATTATTCTTTCCAACAGCCATAAAGACTTGATTTTCGGTGATGTGGACTGGTATAGGGAAGAAATCCACCTTTATGAGCACGACTATCGCCGCATGATACAATACGAGCACCCGCTTGCTGCCAAGGTAAACGAGCTCAATAAAGTTCGGCCATTCCGTATAATGGCATTATCTTATAACCCCACCAAAGACTTCCTTGCTTTGATCCATGCGCAGCGGTCGCAAAGTACTATAGACTCCCGGAACATCTCGCTCAAGGAAGACTATTCTCTGGCAATCGTTCCTATGAGCAAGCCTGTCAGTCTCCAACTCTCAAGTATCAACTACAGTCCCTCTTACATTGTGCAAATGTGCGACCTGTGGCCTCATGAAAATCTCAAAGACATCAAATTTGAGGCGCAATCAGCACCGGTACTTCCCTCCGACTTGGACCTCGCACTATCTGAGCTTTACCTGTCCGAGCAGATACAGGGCATGCGACTGGCAAATCTCCTGCAACCGCATTCCTTCGACCAAATTCTACTTAGAGTCCTTGCTGAAGCCGTGGTCCAGCATATCTCAGCACACCGCCCGCAGCTGGACGATTGCGACACGCTGCTGTACAATAACTACCTACAGTTTCTTGGTCAGCCTCCCCTAGCAACAGAAAAAACCGTTACACTCAACATCCCAGGACTCAATGCAACCGAGACGTTTTCGTTGGATGCGCCATTCGACCGCGACACCATAACCTCAGAGCAGAGCCATACTTGGCTACGCTGCTCGGCTACGTTGCTGCCACTGTTCACGACGAAACTGCTGGTGTGCGAAACCTCTGGAAAACGGATCATCTCGCCAGCGTCTCCTCATCTGGGGCCATTGACCAGACAGGTTCTGGAAGGACTACAGATTTGTTTTTTCAGTGGAGGCAGATGGATAAGAAGGTGAAAAATCTCGGAAAAATAATATAGAATGTTATAGATCTTATTTAATTTGATGCCCTCGCCCGTGTTCTTTTCGCACCCGCCTCCGGGGTTTTCTATTCTCTCCATCTTGCGAGGTATCCAGCTGTCTCTGATCGGCTCTTACCGAGCGGCCTTGAACCCGAACCTGCTGAACACCAGGTACTACTCTAAAGCTCTCAACATAATGAAATGGTCCATAATACTCCATGTGATAATGAATATTCCACTGATTGCAGCCACTATCTTCCTCCGATTTCTGGAGCTTTTTCTACTCTCGCACGAGACTGCGGCGCTAGTGCTAGACAAGCTCAAGTTCTTCCAGATGCATCTTCTCAACATCAACCCGTTCCTGATTATGTCGTTCAGGTTCTTCACCAACGACTTGGACGATGTGTATTTCGAGTCGCTTCGTTTTGCAGACAAAGTGTACGCTCAAAAACATCCAGATAAACCAAAAACATACGCAGCCAACTTAGAGCATTGCGAAAAGTACATGAAGACTGTCGCTCCCGACCCTAGACCTCAGACACCTTCGTATTTGTTGCAACAGATCAATTTGCTGCAATCTAGATTCATGAAAACCAGCTGGTTGTCCGAGGTGACAAACTTCAACGGGTTCGCTGAATTCGCCGTGTCCTACATCTACAACACCGGCTTGTCTATAATACTCTTCTTCCTAGCCAAGACGCCCTATGTGGGTTCTCTTGTGTTCCCGGTGGCCACATTCAGGAACCTCAACAGGTCTATAGGAACGTTCTACGCACTTTTGGTAGTGTTTATTACGTTTCTTCTACCGGAAACATATTCCTTGTTTCTGCTGAACACCATCTTCGGCTCGAAACAGCTCATGATGCTTCTGCTGAGACCGTACTTCAAGTGTCTGCCTTTCAACTTTCAGCAGCGCGAGCAGTGGTACCTCTCAAGGATAGGCTGTCTCTACGGGTTCAGTCTCATGTTCTATTTGTTGCTGAGACTGCCTATTATCGGCCTGCTGGTTTACGGTGTCGCAGAGGCAGCCACGGGCCATCTCACCACCAAAATCAGCGATCCACCTCCAAACATCACAGGCCCTCTTCTTCAGCGATGGGCGCAGGAACAGTGTTTGTGGAACAAGGAGTACTATGACGAGATCAACGATATCATGGGCGATATCGAGCCAACCATCCCTGGAACATTTAAAGAACGCACTGCATGATAGACTAGGACGCATTTTCTTCCTGACGTAGACGTCTCACCACCTCCGGGCTGTTTGAGTTGGCAAAGCTCGAGACCTGGTAGCCTTTTCCGCCAAAGATCTTCAGCAGCAGCGGCAGCAGCACAAGAGAGTGGATCGAAGCCAGCACGATCAGGCTGAACCACATGCGAAAATAGTAGATCTGGAATATTTTAGACCGTGTGAAGCCTAGGACAACAATCCCAATCAGTTTCGTCAACGTGATCCCGCTCAGAGTCGAGCCCCCAATGAGGATCAACGCATTGTACGCTCTCGAGAAGGAGTCGGACTTGGCATCGTCCTCGGTGAAATTGAACGCCTTCACCAGATGGATGGAAAATTCCACTGACAGGCCCAGACAGATCAATATGTTGACCAGAGAAACGGCATTCAACGAGATACCACCAATGGCCATTGCTCCACCAATGTTGACAAGGATTGAGACAATGTTCACCACGAGAATCGCCGAGTTCCGGAACGAGCCAAGGAGGAACGAACTCGTCACGTAGACCAGGATCAGCGCCGAGACGAGTAGTCTGAATGTCAGTGAAACGATCGTCTCGTATTGGGTAAAGAAAATGTAGAATGGGGAGTATGCAAAGATGTCTAAGTCCAGACGCGATTTGATTTCCTTGACTATGCGCAGGGACTGGTGATATGCATTGATAAAGTCGCTTTGAGACCTCAGCGGCACGTGCGACGTGCGGAATGCGGACCGCACAATTGCACCGTTTTCGTCCTGCAAAATTGAGCCGGAGTACGGAGCTTTTCCTCCCAGCGGGCACGGGTCAGACGGTGACTCGATCCACTGATTGAAAAATCGTATGAAGGTGTCATTCTCGGGGAACCCTTCCATCTTAAAGCTCCATTCTCTATCCTCGTAGCAGACAGCACATTGTCTGGAGGGCATGTTTGGCGTACAAAACTCGGACTCGTTCGACTTTTTCAAACGACAGCAGTCTGTGAGATCAGGGTTGAGCCATAGCAGGAAGTCATCTATCCAGCTGCTAACAGGGTCGTTAACGGTGCTCAGTTCCCCGCGTTTATACTCCTGCTCCATCATGTTCACCAGAGAGTACTCGTCGCAAGTGGTGAATCTTCCGCAGAGCTTTTGCTGATTCTCCAGTTTTGTGGCGTCCAGCGAGGACACAACCATGAATATCGGAGGCCCCACCTCAAGATAATCGTAGACAGCGTTGAAGTAATCAATCAGATAGGAGTCGGACGGGATGGCTATACGTTGGTCGAATCCAAGCTCGATTCCTGGCAGCAACGACAGGGACAGACCCAGTAGCAGTGCGAAAAAAGCTAGGCTCCATTTAACCACCCTGCGGTCAAACAACAGCGGAGCATAGTAATTTCGCACGAACTTGTTGAAAACGTTGTCGTTGGAGTATTCGAGCAGCTGCGACAAGCCTTCCTGGTTGTCCGGAGTGTCTTCAGGCAGCGAGACCGGAGTGTAGTTTCCGTCCAGCTTAATAAACGGTAGACAATCCAGACGCAGGTCTTCGACGCGTTGCTGGTCCAGTGAGAGCACAGAAACGAACGCGGTAAGCTGCAGCGCCGAATTGAACACGACAGCGAGGGCGCAGTAGAGCGCAAAGTTCTTGACGGCAGGCATCCCGACGGAACTGGCAAGAAGGAAGCAGATGAACTGGCACGAGGTACTGAGGACGATGCTGGGTCCAATCTTGGCCATCGTCTTGGATATGCGCACATGGATGTTGTCGTTGTTGTAGTTGAGATGGTTGCAGTTATGGAGCTCATTGGTGATGAGAAAGATATTGTCTACGCCGATGGCTAGGACGAGGAACGGAATGACCTCTGCAATGATGAGCGTCGACTTGAGGCCGAACAGACTCCAAAATCCAGCCGATGCAAATACCGAGAGCAGCACAATAAATATACCCACGAGACCGAGGCCAAAACGTGTGCGGATCAGAACTGCAAGCGGTGAGCCGGACTCGACGTTCATCTGTTGCTTCTGGCCGCCGCTGCCCAACGCAATCGACGCGTACGCGAACATTACCAGATACGAGATGAGGACGATGCGGATATCGCTGTTGGTCGACTTGTTGAGCTCCTTCTCGAGGGAGAGCTCGGTACTGAAGCTGATGACGAGGCCATGGTCACGCGCCTCGACCTGCAACTCGCTGAGATATTTCTCCAACACGGCTTCCCACGCCAGCGAGTTTTTGATCTGAGGATCGTGTGGGTCGTTGTTGTTGTTGAGGAGCAGCGTGACCACCAGCGCCTTCGCGGACATCACCGAGTCGCTAAAGCCGCCAAACACAAGCTGCGGCCTGAGGGGCTGGCCGAACGAAGGCAGACAGTTGACAGGCGAGTTTGCGCAGTCCTTGATCTTGGTCTGCCACGAGCTCTCGGGCAGCTGGCCGATGTCGCCGTAGAAGTACTGCGTGAAGGACTCCAGCGCGCAGGTGTCTCCCAACGGCTTGAAACACAAGTCTTCGTACGCGACAGTCGTATTATCCACCTGTGCTGTCAACGCAGCAATTTCTTGCTCCTTTGCAAACCACCATTCGATAGCTCTGTAGTTCTGGAGCACAGAGTCACCGCTAGCATTGGCAACAAAAATCTGCTGCGTCCGGTAGAACGGACCAAAACTCTCGTCGTACACCTTGCGTTCGAGGTACGAGGCGGACTTTGGGCTGACCCAGAGGTTGACCGGGTTAGTCTCTAGCTGGGTCATGAGCACAAACAGCGAGAGCAGAACAGACGCGCCGACCGCTAGGCCGATTACCAGCCACGGCCTCTGTGAGCACTTGAGGCCTAGCTTGGCAAACCATCTCTCCAGCACATTGTTCACAATGTACGAGTCCCTGGCCACATAGTGGTCGAAATTGTCGAACTGATCGCCGGAACCCTCGAGCAGCTCGGTGTCAGAGCCGGCCAATGCTGTAGACTCAAGTTGGTCGAGGAACAGCGATTGTGACCGCGTTCGCGCCACGGCCACAGCGTAAAGCCCGAGATACAAGGTGAGGCCGAGCGAGTACACCAAGATGACCGCGAATGAGAAGCACGGGAGCACGCCAACCCGACAGGATTCCTGTCGTTTGAGCTTCGGCAGCGCGGGACACGAGCCGGGACAGTCTGCGCAGGCGCACCTGTAGTTTTCGTCTTCGTCGTCGCAAGCATGGAATGACAGCGCCAACGACGCCAGGCCGGTCTCGTTATGGGTGCGGAAGTTGATTTGGAATGGCGAGCCGCCCAGCATCGGCTTCTCATCGCCCAAGAACTTGAGAAATTGCGAGTAGTTCTTGGCTCCTCCTCCTATAAGATCCATAGCGTATCCGTTAGTGGCACTGAACTTGATGTTTTTGCACGAATCGTAGAACTGGACAGCCATGGCTGTGTCCACCTGCACGTCAACCTCCGCCACAACTGGCGAGCCCGACAGGGACGTACCGGTACGTGTCACGTTGACAAACGTGGACTGGTTTGCGGAACACGTGAAGTGGCAAAACAGCTGGAAGAAGTTATCCTTGCAGGCTGGACACGAGCTGATCAGGGGCTCTGCTTTGTGGAGCTGTGTCTGGAGATCGTTTAACTGGTCATTGTCACAACAGGCATACTTCTCGTCTGCCCAACTGTCGCCGCAAACAGACACCAACAACTGGTGGTCCTGTGCGCTCAGCAGCGGCGCTGCCGAGTTGTTCGGGGCTGGTAGGTTGCCGCCAAAAAGCGACTTCTTGCCCCCGGAGCCGTACATGGCACACACTCCGGGAGAGTGCACGGCCTGCGCGACTGCAAGAAGAAGGAATATAACGAGCATTAAAAAACAATTTTGACTACATCTGCGATTTAGGCCTCTAAGACCAGTCCAGCAATTTCCCTCCACAGCATCTTGATGAGTATCTTATGGGTGTGCGTGGCCAGAACCTTATATATTCAGGCCTAGACCCTGTCATGACTTTTGATCTTTTTTCATGACGTATTCGGGTGTGAGGATACCCCACAGATGGCCCCGGACGGCAGTATCAGCGCTATTTTGAGATAGATACAGAATGCGGGACATGACCTTTTTTTTGCGTGTGTATAAAGGAAGCTTAATCGCAGTCTTCAAGCACAGCGCAGCTGGTATATCATATAACTGGGTATCACATGCTGATTGTCAAATATAAATACCCCACGATAAGTTTTTCTCCTCCAATGTTGAAGACCCTACGGATGACTGTGAGACACAAATCCGGAACCGCAAAAGGCTCACTGTTCAAGTACCAGGACCAGCTGCCATCGCTGCCGGTGCCGTCTCTCAGCAAGACGCTCGAGCGGTACAAAAAGTCCATCCAACCGTACTATATGCGCGGAGCAAGCGACCCTTATCTGCGGTACTGCTCTGTGATCGACGACTTTGCGAAGACACAGGGCCCGAAGCTCCAGCAGAAGCTCGAGCAGTTTGCCGCGGACAAGCGCAACTGGCTCTCGCATTGGTGGGACGATTATGCGTATCTTACTTATAGGGACCCTGTGTCACCGTTTGTGTCCTATTTTTTTCACCACAAGGAGCTCAATTCCAAAATTGGCAAGGACCAGGTCACCAAGGCGGCATGTCTTGCATCAAAGACGCTGGAGTTCATGGAGGCCATCGAGACACAAACTCTGGAGCCCGAGCTGATCAAGAACAACCCATTTTGTATGGAAAGCTTCAAGTGGATGTTTAACAACTGCAGAGTGCCGGAGCCAGACAGAGACACAAACCCACGCTTCAGTCCCGAGCAAAACAGATATATGATTGTTATTGCAAACAACAGGTTTTACAAGCTGTTGCACCATGTGGACGGAGAGCGCGTCGGGCTAGCAGATCTCGCCGCCAACATACAGGCCATCAGGACACACGCAGACACGCTGCCTCCGGTGAAGAATGCGGTCGGCGTGCTCACATCCACCGACCGTGATGTGTGGGCCACAAACTATGCAGAGCTTGTGAAAAACCCGGTTAACAGGCAGTCGTTGCAGGCAATTCAGGCGTCGTCGTTCGTGCTCTGTCTCGACGACGATTATCCAATGACGATCGAGCAGCAGTCGCGCAACGCGTGGCACGGAAACGGAACCAACAGATGGTTCGACAAGCCGGTGCAATTCTTCGTTTCTCGAAACGGCACATCAGGGTTCCTTGGTGAGCACTCCAAGATGGACGGCACTCCGACTCTGAGGATGAACGACTGGCTCGTGCGCGAGCTGGAAAAGATGCAGCCTCCGGAGGAGACGTACAGCACACAGCTCTTCCGAGAACTACAGTTCGACGTGTCGGCAAAAACACAGACCGCTATTGAGAACGCCAAGGCAAGTTTTGACAATACTGTCAACGCATTGGACCTGCGAGTGTGGCAGTTCCACGGGCTGGGAAAATCGCAGATCAAGTTGTTCAAGGCGTCTCCCGACGCGTTCATCCAAATGCTCATTCAGTTGGCCTATTACAAGTACACGGGCACTGTGAGACCCACTTATGAGTCTGCGTCCACGAGAAAGTATTTTGCAGGCCGCACAGAAACGTGCCGGTCGGTCTCCAACGAGTCGTTGCATTTTGTGAGAACATGGGAGGACGTTTCGACTACTAAGGAACAGAAAATCGCGGCCTTCCGCGACGCTGTGTCTGCGCACGTCGAGTATATCACTGCTGCCTCTGATGGTCGCGGAGTCGACAGACATCTGTTTGGTCTTTCGCAAATGTGTGAAGAGGAGAAACACGACTTTTTCAAAGATCCTATCTTTGCATACTCCTCGTATTGGTACCTGTCAACTTCTCAACTCAGTTCGGAACAGTTCAACGGGTACGGCTGGGCGCCAGTCGTGCCAGAGGGTCTTGGCCTTGCCTACATGGTAAACAACGATTGGCTGCATGTGAACGTGACAGTGTTCAAAAACAACCAGCTAGGGCTCGAGGCCGACAAGATGGCATATTACCTTGGTTTGGCAGCCCGCGAGCTCAAAGAGACGCTCACGAGCGAGACCATCAAGGCCAAGCTCTAGAATCAAGTTCCCAGTATTTCATAGATGAAAACATAGTCGCTTGCTTTGCCCTGCCAGCCCCTGTTTCCACTAGAGCTCACCATAAAACGACACGTAGGGTCCACGTAGAGATCGCTCAAGATGCCGCCGTTGTGTCCGGGGACAATCATGAACGGTATTTTCTTCCTCTTTTTCGACGGCTCGTCTGACTGCGCGCTGTTGGAGAGCCGCAGGTCGTAAAGTCGAATATTGTCTTGACAGCCGCAAAGCAGGTAATTATCGTTTGGTAGCGTTTTGACCACGCTGATGGGGCCCGACGCATGAGGAAACTTGATCTGCTGCTTGACCTCGCTCGTTCGCCGAATATCGTATTCCTCCACCACAGCGTTGCGTCGGCCCACGTAGATGGAGTTGCCGTCATTCGACCATACAGCAGACATACACCACGGCGTGGACCCTGGCAGTATGCCGATGGTCGAAACGTTGTTCGACGCTGTCGGCAGCCGCGAGTCCCACACATTGACGGTTCCGTTGACCGCCGACGAGAGGAACACGTGATCTGACCGCTGGATTGAAGCAGCTAAACCGGTCTGGGCAGCATCGTCCTGGATCTTCTTAATGTCCTGTTTAGTCGAGTCGCGTTCTTCCGGCTGCTTCTTGGTGTCGTCGTCGTCGTCGCCAAACAGCGAGTCCATGTCGTCGTCCCCCTGGCTAATAGGTAGGTCCACTCCGCCAACAGGTCTATATTCTATGTGCGAAATCTGTCCTCTGGACTCTTTGAACAGATTGATGGTCTTGCCCGTGTTGAGATCCCATTCGAGAATTTTCATGTCCCAGGAGCCACTCAAAAAGCGTTTTTCGTCGTTGTTGAGCTGCAAACACGAGACGGTGTCGCTATGCGAGTGCTCAGACTTTCCGTGCTTGAAATAATACTGGATAGCGCCCTCGTTGAAGCGCACGCTCTGGAGAGTGATTCCGCCGCTCTTCAGCCCGCTTAGCAGCCAATGCGACTCTGACTGCACCGCCAGCGAGTACACGGGAGACATGCGCGGCTCGAAGGTGGTAATTGCCGTGTTAACAGGTTTTTTGGTCTTCGCCTTAGAGTTTTTCAGCTGCTCGGAAGCCAGCTCCGTCAGTAGCTCGTCCTTGTAGTACGGCTGCTCGTTCTCCCAGTAAGAGCAAAGCATTCCTCCGTACGAAATGGAGTCCACCAATTGGTGCTTCTGCGCAGATGTGAGCGGTGACTTCCCTTCGACAGACCCAAATAGGTCGAATTTTCGAATGAAGCCGTCCTCTCCGCCGGTGAAAAGCCACCGTGGACCCTTGGTAAGCGCAATTGAATGAACCGGTGATGAGTATGGAATTGCCACGATGGGGTAGATCTCCAGCACGTTCAGCTTGCGCGCACGCTCTATCAACGACTGTCGCACGCTGACAGCTGGTTTCTCCTCTGCCGGTTTTTCTGCTGGATTATCTGTCGCATTCTCGTCAACCTCAGCAACGGGTTGTTCCTGCGAAGGCTCGTGCTCGTCGACGTCCATTTCTGCTTCGTCGTCGTCCCCGTCCCCGTCTTCTTCCTCATCGTCGTCGTCAACCCCTTCCTCATCATCTTCCTCCTCGTCTTCCTCCTGATCATCGGGCACAGACGGCTCGTCGACTTCTTCTTCTTCTTCGTCCTCTTCCTCGTTCAAGTCGATATCCTCGTCGAATATGTCGTTAGAGTTCATTAGACAAAATAAATCGATTTTTTTTTTGTTTCAATGTCAATCTACACAGAGGATCTCTGCTACACCTTCCCTTCCAAGAAAGTCGGGCTTTACGACATCAACCTTGACATCAAACCCAAATCGCGTGTTCTGTTGGTCGGGCCGAACGGGGCCGGGAAGTCGACTCTGCTGCGTGTCCTGGCAGGTCAAAAACTCGTTAAGCAGGGCAGACTGTTACTCAACGGTAGAGACCCGTTCAAGTTGGCCTCTGCCGGCAATTCGGGCATCATCACGTACCTGGGCACTGAATGGGCTTCTAACGATATCACGAAGCGAGATATTCCCGTCACAGTGCTCATCGACTCTGTCGGAGGAACCAACTACAAAGAACGCAGAGATCTGCTAGTTAATATGCTGGACATCGACATCACCTGGAGGATGAACCAATGCTCGGACGGAGAGCGTCGCAGAGTTCAGCTGTGCATGGGACTGCTCAAGCCGTGGGATTTGCTGCTCCTCGATGAGGTCACCGTGGATCTGGATGTTTTGGTGCGTTCGCGGCTGTTAGCATTTCTGCGTCAGGAAACGGAGCAACGAAATGCCACCATCGTGTACGCCACGCATATTTTCGATGGTTTGGGCGACTGGTCGAGCGAAATCATCCATCTTCGCGGCGGGTGCATTGTCGCCAAGCATTCGATGGACACAGTGAAGTACAAGGACAGTGAAGACGCAGTGCTGGAGACGGAGCTCGCCGTGGAGGTACCGAAAACAAGATCGATATATCCTCTGGCACTGAACTGGCTTGAGCAAGACCTTCATCTACGTGGTGAGCGCACAGAGGATAGAACCCGTCCAAAGTACGAGGATTTGTCACAGCTCGCAAATAACCAGTACTATGACGATAAGGAGAGAGTGACGAGTTACTTCAAGACTACGAGGAAGATTTAGCTGATGTGCACGACCACGATAAAAAAAAAATTAGAGCTTCGTTGATTATTCGTTATGGTAGAATTCGTCTCTGACAAGACCCGGGGCCGGGCCGAACAGGGGCTAAATGCAGTGCTAGCAAGACATCTTCCAGGAGCCGATACGCGTGAGAAGAAGCGTGGCGGTGCAGCAGCTATTGCACAGGTGAGGAAAAATATGGACCACTGGGACGCAAATAGGCACGTTGCCGCTCGCGAGCGCTTGAAAACGGACAAGAAACGGAACGCAGCCATTCGAAAAGCCAAGGAAACGGAACGCCGGGTTGAGAAGCTGGCCAAGTTGCAGGCGGGTGACATAGAAGAGGTGGAAAATGCCATTGCAGAGAACGTGCGAAAAGTTAAATCGTGGGAGCCCAGCAACGCAAAGGAGCTACGGCAGCTAGAACTCAAGATTATAAGGCTGCGCAATAAGGAGATTTCGCGGCGCAAAAAGGTTAGGCAGAGCAAGCTCAAGAAAGATCAGTTCCAAGCTAAGGTTAAGAAGGGACTCATTTCTGTGCCAGGACTTACTCCAGGACTTGCTCCTGTGGGGGAAACTGGTTCGAGCGACGACGAGGTGGAGCTGGATGGGGACGACGTCCAGCTGAAGGACGATTACGACGAATATAACTAAAAGTAATATTTCATTATGTACAGCACGGAAAACGTTATTTTTCGTTGGCTTTTTCCAGGGGGACCCCACCATTCTCGAAAGGCGCCTCTTTGCGTGCCTCATCCAGCATCGGCTTTATTCCCTGTTTCTGAAGGTGGATATCTATGCATTCTTTGTAGTCGGCCCAGAGGTCCTCACATTCGTTGTAAACGCTCTTGCCCTTGAGGAACTTTTCTGTATACCAGTAGTTGAAGCAGGCATCGTATTTTTGCTTGAGATCCGTACACTCGGGAGCAAATGAAGTTGACATCAGATTACCCATGGTAACAAAAGGTTTAAAAAACGGACGAGACGAGAATCGACTCTGCGACGGCGACGCTGCACCGACCTGGAAAAATGATTTGAAAATAAATTACCACGCGAACGCGTACCATGTCTCGGAGATCGTTTTATTTCTCATCCTCTTCATCCACGCGGTCCCAGGAGTTGGAGCAGCTCAGCAAGATCGAGCAGGAGATTACGCTGACATTGCAAGAAATTGACAAAAATCTTAGCGTATCGAACAGCATTATCAACGAGAGCGTGATACCGCGATTAGCAAGGTTCCGCCACAGCAGTAGCAAGATCTGGAGCAACGTGGAGTTTTGGAAGACCTTCTTTGAGAACAGCGCGAATGTTGAAATCACCACGGAGGAGGCCGACAAGATGGCTATGCAACAGGAACAGGAGCCTGCGGTCGAGCCGACTCTGGCCGCGACAAATAACTCGCAGTACAATGAGATCAACCAGCGATACAAAAAGCATATTGACAACGAGGCAAACGAGACGTCAACAACAGCTACAGACACGGTTTCTCTATGGAAAGAAGGTACTCGCAAGCGGTTGGCAAGCTCCACGCCAAATAGGAAACCGGGACTCGACAACGACTCGAGCAGCTTGGAGCCGGCTGTACAGCTGCGGTCCGACGACGTGGAGCGCGAGCAGGCCGAAAAACAATCACATATTCCTGACGAACTGACGACTAGTAATATTTTCGACGCGTCGACGGTGCAGCTGCCGGAAACACAGTGGAAACTGACCAAGAGCCCCAAAAAAAAGACTTTGAGCCCTGTGCGAAAGAAGCAGAAATCAATAGCTACGCAGTACGATTCGTCGCCTATCGAGGAGCCGCCTGTGCTCAAGTCAGCTGTCTACTTATCGCCCGCTCGAAAAGGCTCGCGGAGCCCGCACAAGGAGAACGACGACGATCAGCGGTTCCCGAAGTCCCCGAAGTACGGAGCTGGGGGACGACTGCTGCGCAACACCAAAGGCACAGAAATCGCTCTTAATTTTGCCCGGTCGGAGCTGGCCTCGACGACGGCAGACTTTTCCTACCAGACAGCGCCGCTGCCCGGCGTTTCCGGTGCTAGCAATGACTATGGGCTTAGTTCGTCGGTATTAAACCAAGAGTCCACGACAATGGACGAAGCTCCACAACTACAGTCGCAGCTGCCTGAAAAAACGCCTGAGATCGCGTCGTCGCCGATCAAAGATCCCGAGAACCCATTCATTGAGTAGTGTATATTAGCCAGAATAAAATGCACAGGTCGCATTTTTTTCGATAAATTCTTCCATTCTTATTTCCGAACTGAAATTTTCAAATCGGCTAAGGATCATGATCCGGTGTCCGCACGCTTCAGAGTTGTGAATAATACGTTGCTATAAAGAGTGAGAACAGTACCATCTCTAGAAAAGTTCTCTTCACGGCTGCCCTGTGTCCGCGTCGCTGACTGCAGCCTACTACTATACATATCGCTTATTCTAATGCCTGGTTTCAAAATACGCCGAAATCCAAAAAATGTGCTTAATTGGCTAGGGATTCCAGGAGTGCTATTTCACATTGTGGTGATGGTGGCGGTGACTCTTCTGTACGTCGAGTACTCGCAGAACAAACGGATACTGGCCGATGCCGCGAGAATTGTCTCCGCTCCGTTTGTCTTGGAGTCCGACCCCCATGACAGATTCCAGCCGTTTAATCTCGGCTCGCTTATTGCCGTCATGGCCCTTACTCTGGCATTTTTATTCCTTTTAGGTTAATACGCGTTAATCTTATGAAGAATGATACCTGATGTGGTGCAAGGAGTAAACTTCACTGATACGCTTTAGGCGACAGAATCACGACAAGTTTTGTTGGATCCAGATGACGGCAGACTACAAGACTGTCATCAGACAGAAGCACGCATCCAACCTAGACAAGATCCCAGCCGAGTGGCGCCTCAAACACATCCCTAGCCCTGAAGAACAGCAAGAGGTCGAGCCATACATAGAGCCGTTCCTATCTTCGAAAGAGCTGTGGATTACTAATGTTTCTGCTGTTGAGCTCCTGAAAAACATCCAGTCCGGGCAGCTCTCTGCTTTGGAGGTCTGCGAGGCATTCTGCCACCGATCTGCGCTTGTTCACCAGCTCACTGATTGTCTGATTGAGATCTTCTACGACAGAGCCCTGCAACGTGCTAGGGAACTAGATGCATATTTCCAGAGAACCGGCAAGATCGTGGGCCCTCTGCACGGGATTCCCATTTCTTTGAAAGACCAGTTCAATCTGAAGGGCATCACCACCTCACTAGGATACGTGGCTCCCCACATATCTAAGGAATTAGAGTGCATAGTCTCACAGAAAAAGCCAGACGAAGAGTCGCTTCTTGCTCGCATTCTGTACGATGCGGGCGCAGTTTTCTATGTCAAAACGACCGTTCCGATGGCAATGTTTGGCAGTGAGACATCGTCGAACCTGGGAATCACTAAGAACCCGTTTGACAGACGCAAGTGTCCCGGTGGCTCCAGCGGAGGGGAAGCAGCTTTGTTGGCCGGAAAAGGCTCCGTGATTGGCATGGGAACCGACATCGGTGGGTCTATTCGTGGCCCTTCTGTGCAGTGCGGCCTCTTCGGACTAAGACCGAGCTCGAACCGGTTCCCGTATCTGGGAATTTCCAATTCGTATCCAAACCAGTCTATTGTGCCGTCCGTGGCAGGGCCGATGTGTCGGTACTTGGAGGACATGGAGTACGTTTCTAAAGTTGTTTTCGACGCTCAGTCATGGTTTGAGGATGCGAGAGTGCCTCCTATTCCGTGGAGAATTGTTGGTCTCGAGGCGGTAAATGTTGGCTTCATGCACTGGGACAGGATCGTCATGCCGCATCCACCAATTCTGCGTGCTCTGAAACATGCCAAGGCATCTTTGCAAGAGAGCGGTGTCGAGTGTCTTGACGTCGAGCCTCCGCTCAACCACGCCGAGATGGCTACCTTTTTGACCGACATCTACACCTGCGACGATTTCGCAGAGATCAAAAGATTTGCTGCTCTTGGAGGTGAACCGTTGCCGGATCTCCTTGTCAGGATGTTCCATCTGAACGGCCAGGTTTCCGACCTCGAGGATGTTTTCAAGAAAGTCGGGCAAAAGTATCAGTACCAACAAACGTACGACAAATTTTGGAACGATACCGCCAAGCACACCAAAAATGGCAAACCAGTAGATTGCATCATCATGCCGGGCTGGGCCTGTACCTCGTGGAAGAATGGAGAAAACCACAAAACTGCCAATAGCTACACCAGATTCCTCAATGTCTTGGACTATTCTGTGATCACGCTCCCTGTTTCTCACGTGACCGACTCGGACGAGCCGTTCGAGAGGACCGACTTTGCAGGGGAGATGGACAAACTGTGCTGGGAATATTACGACAAGGAGTTCTATCGTGGCATGCCGATCGTGCTGCAGCTCGTTTGTCGCAGATACGAGGAAGAGAAATGTATTGCGTTGGCAAAAAAGTTGCTGCCAATAATTAGAGATTCATAGAACTACCTCTCTATTTATACAATGTTTAAACTCCCATAGCAGTCGAAATCCTTATAAAACAACTAACATAACGCTATACACGCCATCCGATAGCGATCTAGTTCATCATTTGGTCAGTCCCGTTCTCTTCTTGAGGATGGCTTCCTCTGTACCGTATTCTCTGTCGTCCTTCTCACCCTCCAACTCAGACCGGATCTTGTCCGTGTTCTGGGTCTGTTTGGCCCAGTATTTTTTATCTTTTTTGGTCTGCTTGCTGAACAGCTCTTTGTCTGGCTTCCTGTAAGATCCGCCCAGTCTGTCCCAGAGAGTGGTAAACTGGCCGTAGTTGTAGTTGAAGTACAGGTGGTGGATGGTGTGGCATGCAGCTCCGTTCACAACCGGGTCATCTGACATGTACTCCCCGTCGTGGATCATGACCGTCCAAAAATTCACAAACGTAAACAGTAAAAGGTATGAAATTTTGTGGAGAGGAAACAAGAATGGATACCAGTGGTAAGGCAGCGACTGCGCATAGCCGTCGACCGGATGGAACGCGTGAGATGCGAAGGGTGTGCAGACAATCCATTTGTGATGAGGCTTGTGCAGCACTTTGTACACGGACGGCCAGTGCAGCCACCTATGGATGAAGTAGATGCCGCAGTCGGTGAACATGATGAAGGTGGGAATCTGGAGCACTAGGGCCCGCCATCCACCGGTGGACTCGTTAACGTCATAATATAATTTCGAGTGGCCGTGCAGCTCGAGCAAGAACCAAGGGATCGTGAGGATGACCATGACCGGGATGGCACTAATGGCCTGTTTGATTTCCAGAGACATCTGGTTCTTGAGATACCTTGGATGGTTGAAATTGCTCTTGTCGTACACGAAATGGTACGACAAAGCGGCAACGCTGAAATAGAGCAGCCAACCGAAAATGGTCATGATTAGAAACAAGGAAATCGACTGCCTGATGATGTTGGATCTTCCCAACAGAGACAAGTGCGCATAAGGGCTCTCGTCGAAGAAGCGGTACTTGTTATTGACACCGTAAATCTCCTTGTTGAAGTTGAAGATCTGTGGCAAGTTTGCGGCTTCGGAGTAGGCAATAGCGGCTTGGGTGCCGTTGTTAATGAATTCCGCCAGGTTGTCAATAGCCTTGGGCTTCTGCGGCATGTAGCGTGCCAGAGAGCTTGGCAGCAAAGTGGCGAAGACCTTGTCGAACACAAGGGTGTCGCAAATCTCTAGCACGATATCCATCTGGATGTAGCGGACGAACCTATGGTAACTCGAATGAGAGAATCAGACACAACGATAAGCTTTCAAGCCAATGAGGATCAGACGCGAGGTATTCTAAGTGAGTCCCGAAAAGTGGGTTTATATATACGATGCGATCCGGAAAGCTAAATAGTACGATTTATTTTTCGTTTATTTTTATATCCTGTCGATCGTTTAACTCGTTTAATTGTTTTCCTCAAAATATGAACGTTCCTGGCAAGTAGCCCCATGATGGAAAAATTCTCGTTGAGAGAATTATTCCCAGTGTTTGGATGTACGCGACGATTACGGAGTTGGTGGCAGGTGTATAGTTGATGAGGAGGTAGTTGTACACGAGCGAGACAACGTAATTTTTCGCAATGTAGAGTGCCACCTTTGTTTCCAGCTCCGGGCTCACATATATCTCGGATAAAACCGCCGGGAGATCAGTGATAGATTTAATCGTCGAAAAAACTGCCATTAATTGCTTGAACAGCAGCAACTCGAGCAGAACAGACGAGTCGAGGTACGTGAACAGCTCGCACGAGACCAGTTCGAGCGCCTTGAGTCCTGTGGCCGCGAACGCCCACACGTTCAACTGTCTGGATGGGACGAAAAGTAGCCAAATAACAAGAAGCACAACTGTATGCAGTAGTGTCTTGGCAAAAGGCTGTGTTCTCCCCCCGACGAGATTGTTGAGTAGCGGAAGGCTGAAAGGCGCTCCTTGTAGATGGCACATCTTAGAGGCGTTCTGTAGCAGCGACACGACAGCAATGCTGGAGAAGGGCAGCGTGAAGGAATGGTTGATCAGCGTAACATAGGTAATTGTGGAGAGTACCACCCCTGAGAGCAGATTCCACACCAAGTAGCGTAGCATATCTAGTTCAACTGATTTACCCCGTCTGGTGTTTATATATTTGAAAATGTCGCAAATTTGGTTGAGCACTAAAGGTATAAAAAGGTTTATTTTTATCTGATCTCTTAATCATGTTGAAACTAGCCTTGAAACCACGGCTCTTGGGTGAGATTCCGCGGTACCATCGTTTGGCGGTTCCGATCCGCCACAAGAGCACCGCTGAGCCTAACTCTGCCTACAGGGTCAACGACAATTCTCATCATCCGGAGGATTCTGCGGATGCTAACGCAACTATCCTGTCGGAGGCAATTGATTTCCACAAACGTATCATGGACAGCAAGGACCGCGCCACGTGGTGGGAACTGCTGAAGAAGCAGAAGGAGCGGGCTCAGGAGGGCAAGGATATTGATTCCTTCACCCTAGAAGACGTCAAAACTACAGAGGTGTTTGAGAGAACAAGAGCAGATGGGTTCTCGTATCTCTTGTTACCTTTCAAGCAGGATCCTTTCCTCATGGACAACTACGTCAATGTTGCAGGAAGATTGAGATTTGGGAACCTGTTTCAGGACTGCGACTCGCTGGCAGGTAGAGTTGCTGCCAAGCATTGCAAGCCGGCAGAGCCTATGAACGTGACAGCTTCGATCGACAGAATCTACGTCACCAGGAAAATCGATGAGATCCACAAGTACAACTTCGTCATCGTCGGATACGTGACCTACACGGGGCGGTCTTCCATGGAAATCTGCATCAAGGGTTTCTCTTTCGAGCACGACATCCCCTCGGATATCACTCCGGATTTTGTCGAGCAATACAGGAACGACTGCTTCCTCTCTGCTAACTTCACTTTCGTTGCCAGAAACCCAGCTACCCACAAATCCCATGCTGTCAACAAACTGCTTCCTGCCACAGAAAAGGAGTGGGTCGACTTCAAACGGGCGGAGAGCCGGATCGCCGCCAAGAAGTTACGTGCAAAACTGGAGTCGCTCGAAAACGTGCCTCCAACAGAACAGGAATCCAAGATGATCCATAATTTATACACCTCCTCCAAAAGGTTTGCCCAACAGGGCAAGCCAAGCAACATCGTGTTCATGAAGGACACGCGGCTTTCATCTACGCAAATCCAACAACCACAGTACAGAAACCGTCATGGTGTGATTTTCGGAGGCTACTTGCTAAGACAGACCTTTGAGCTTGCCTACTGTGCTGCTGGTGCATTTTCCAAATCCAATGCACGATTCATTTCTTTGGACAACACGACCTTCAAAGTTCCTGTTCCCGTTGGTTCGGTGTTGTACATGGACGCAGAGGTTTGCTACACGGAACACATCCACGAAAAAAACGAATCTTCCGAGTCGGCCGAGCGGATGAGACAGGTTTTGAAGGACTACGATACCAGCGCCAACGAATTGAGTTCGGATGAGCAGGAGTACTTCTTTGTTCCAGGAACGTTGATCCAGGTCAAAGTGGAAACCAAGATCCGTAGTTTGGACGACTCCAAGGTGACCGAGAGCGGCACCTTTGTCTACTCGTTCTACGTTCCTCGTGATGGCAACGGAGAGTTCGACGACCCTGGTTACTGCTCGGTGATTCCAGAAACCTACGGAGAGATGATGGACTATGTGGAAGGGCGTCGCCGTACGTATGACACTGCAGCCTACGCCCAGCAGCTGAAGCTCTCTAGAGGAAACTAGCAATATTTATATATTTATCGCTGAATACTATTCATCTTAAGCTTAAAATTATATTAATCGATTAAAACATGTACGCGAGAACTAAATCACCAGTGAAAATCACAGCATCGAGCCGTTGTAAGTGCTTTCGATCACTCCTTCAAACGACCGCTCATCCCTTGGCAGATTGACGGCTTCGGATCCTTTACGTTGAACGTCCACGAACTTTGCGCTGGTTTTGCTGAGCGTCGAGTCAGAAAACTCGCGACCAAACTCTTCGTCCAGCGTTGTCAAGTCACGCGGACGATCTGTCGCATCCACGTACTCGCTCGACGAGGATTGGCCATAGTTCACGTAGTTTCCAGAACCAGAAGAGGCATATGACGAGTTTCTGTTCATGAATATGCTCTGCGACTTGCGCTGCATGTTGGGATCATCCGCGACTCTGACAGTCAGCAGGTCGGTGGTGGCCACAGTAGCCAGTGACGTAAGCGAGTCTCGAGGCTTCCATTCAGAGGCGCCATTGCGCCACGATTTGGTGATTTTCTGCGAGCGGCCAGAGATAAGCTCGTCGGTGCTCTGGTGATTCATGGCCTCGTTGTATAGGGAATGGGAACGCGAGTGATTGCTTTCGACGTTGGTTAGCGAGGAAGAGTCGTCGCGCACACCAGACTCATCCAGTTTGAGAACATTGAGCGCCGAAAGACGTTTAGCGTTATCACCCTCGGCGTCATTTTTGAGCGTCTCTGCTGTTCCTTGAGGGTTAATATAGAACGTGCTCTTTTTAGCCTTGTCGTCTTCCTCGTCATTATTCGACTTGCGTTTCCGCCAGCAGCAAAAGAAGATCAGCAGCGCGCCCAAAATAGCTGCCAACGGAAGGGCTACACCCAAACCAATGGCCAGGTTTTTCTTGTTAGACGATCCGGCCTTCGAACCAGAGCCTGAAGTTGCAGACGGAGACGCGAAAACCGAGGATGTAGACATGCCCGTATGTGAACCACTGCTGGAAGAAGAGCTGGCCGTGGAGGAGCTACTCTGCGAGCTGCTAGTAGAATGCACGGTTCCGATCCCTCTGATATTGAACTCTCTGGAGTCATCAAGACTGTTCATGGTAGCTTCAATTGTCACTTTCAGGTTGCCGAAGGTGTCGGGGACAAGACCGGCAAAAGAGTGGTTGGTGTAATAGTAGGTCAGCCACGTAGCATTCGAGAAGTTAGCCTTAATGTTCGTATCATTGAGGTTCGAGAAGGCCGACGAAGGCAACGAATACACGAAGAAGTCTCCGCGAGTCGCGTTCACGTCAGGAAGGTCTTTCACAGTGAAAATGTTCGAGTACACGTCAATTTCGAAATCTAAAAAGACCTGGTTGCCGTACACGTCGGTGACCGTCACATTGACCAGCTCGTTGCTATCCTGGTCTTCAGGCACGTCACCCGTGAGCCGGTTGTTTGAGTCTAGTTGGACCCAGGACGGGGCCTCATAAAGTTTCACGCTGGAGATGTTTTGCCACGAGACGCTTTGGCCGTCTAGCTGAACGTCCTGCAACGGCACGTCTACGCTGAACGACTTTCCGGCTGTCACATTTATTTGCAAAGTGTCGGACACATTTGTTGTGAGCTCGTGAGCACCCACCAGGAGATAAAAGGTGCCATATGTGCCAGTGTACCCTTCGTAATCAGTTGCGATCAAAATGAAGCCAAATTCCTGGGAAGGGGCAATGTCGGAGTTGATGGCAGGAGCAGTTCCGGAAAACGTGAGGGTGTCCTCATCGAAGTAACACCAACTAGGAAGCGAAGTTCTGTTGAGGGATTTGCCGTAGTAGGCGACAATGTTGTTGCTTGAGCCAGAGCTCATCTGGAACGTGTCGTTCGAGAACCGCACCTCAAAACTTTTCTGGGGTTCGATGATAAGTCCGTCGTAGCCGTTGGTGTTTCCCATGGCTTGCAATTGCGGAAAAATAGAAGTTTTGAGTTCGGGGCCGGCCTCCTTCGAAACAACGATCGACACAGACTGGTTAAAGCTACCGGAGCTGTCTGTTCCTATCAGGTCAAAGGAGAGCGAGTCGGTCGCGTCAGATGAAGAGGGGATACCAGAGAAAGTGAGAGAAGACTCGTCGAACCTAAGCCAGCCAGGCATATTATCTGTCGAGTAGGAAACGGCCCCTTCGTCGCTTCTATAGGTGTCTTTGTTGATGGTGAAAGCGTATTCTTCGCCCACTCTGGCGACATCTGGTAGCTGCTGGGAAAACGGGAACCCAGAGTAGGGCGTAGCTCCCACCAGCGACGCTAAACACAAAAAGCCCAGACGTAACATCAATTAGAATTTGGGAGGGATGAAATTGTTTTTTAAGGGAACGCGGTGCGATAATAATAAAGGGGAACGCGTCTGCACTTAGCATAAAAAAATACCAATTAGGAAACTAGGGATGAAGCAGAGGAACAGAAACGGCCATTCAAACGTCCGCATACGAGAGGCGCATTGCGCGTTATTGCCACTCGAGGTAGCCTTAGTCGCAACAGTGCTTTTCATTTAATTTGCCGGACTTGGTGTGAACCGAAATCTGGACTGCGCCAATATATTTTTCAGACTGGTCACTTTGTTTATCGTGCGCACGGGTATCGCCAATACTCTGTGCAAAGATGTGATAATTATTTTTGCTAAAAAAATATCTGTGCTGTTACAACCGCCAGTGGGGCTGTACTATCGTTGCCCATTGCTAGGATTACTTGCTATTATACGCTTGATCCAACTACATCATGCCCCCCACACTAGTGACTCCCAGATTCGTGCTGTTGATCCTCACAGTTTGCGGCCTTTCCCTTCTATCGCTCATTACGTTCAGCTTCTTAGAGCAACTAGATGGCCCGGACTCGGCCAAATGTCGCAGCGTCTACATGTCGCCGGCATACGCGCGAGTCCATGGCTTTGATGAGTCTCATACACGATTTGCCTCCAAATACTCCCTATATCTCTATAGAGAACAAGGTAGAGACACTCTTCCTGACAATGACGGTCAGAGCCTGAGATTGAGCGGCACTCCTGTGCTCTTTATCCCTGGAAACGCGGGCAGCTACAAACAAGTGCGTTCTCTTGCCTCCCAATCAGCCAATTACTATTATTCAGAGCTCGAGAAATTCAAAGACCTCAATCCTAACGTGAACAGCCTCGATTTTTTTGCTGCAGATTTCAACGAAGATTTCACAGCTTTTCACGGTAGAACCATGCTGGACCAGGCTGAATATCTCAACGACGCAATAGGGTTTATTCTAAGCCTCTATCGACATAATCCGACCCCAGCACGGTCTGTGATACTGGTCGGGCACTCAATGGGAGGGATTGTGGCCAGAGTGATGCTTAGTCTTCCTAATTATGTTGAGGACTCCGTCAACACGATAGTCACATTGGCTGCTCCCCATGCGGCAGCTCCAGCGACCTTTGATGCGGACTTGCTGCACGTCTATGCGGCCACAGACGATTTCTGGCGTCATGGCTTTGTCAGTCTGGACTCCGATGACTCAGGATTCAGCAAGCTTGCACGAAGGAGATTGGAGAACTTGTCGCTTGTGTCGATAACAGGTGGGCTTCTGGACAATATGCTTCCTGCAGATTATACTTCGTTGACGGGACTAGTGCCCGATACCAATGGGTTCACGATTGCTACCACTGGTATTCCTGGAGTTTGGACTCCAATCGATCATCTTGCTATTGTGTGGTGCGATCAGCTTCGCAAAGTTCTTGCTAGCTCTCTGCTGCAGTTGGTTGACAAAACATCTTCGTCTCAGACGTATCCGCTCCAAAAGAGAATGGAGATTCTGCGCAAAAACCTTTTCACAGGCTTTGAAGCTGACGCTACCCAAGATTTTGATTCGTACAAGGCCGGCGCAGGTAAACTGGATTTGCCATATAAACTCAAGATTGACACGAAGCAGCTCAAAGACACCTCTAGACAGCGCAGTTTGCAACTTCCTAAATCCAAGTTGAAAAGGAATACGCCCTCATCTCCGGACATGCATCTGTTTTATATCCCGAAAGATGGGCTCAAATTCAGGTTTAATTTTCTGAGTTCGCTGGAGCCTGTGGATATATCTCGTTTGGGCGAAGGCTTCGCATCGCCATCCATTATGCTCTGCAGAACGCTCAATCCGGACGGGCGGGCTTTCAAAAAAGAGTTTGATTATACAACTGGCACCACCAGTAAAGCAGTTCAGCTAGAGTGCATAGATATTCATGAGGACGCTCGCTTGATTCCGAGATCTTACAACGACTCCCGATCTTCCAGTGAGTCGTCGCTGGGCGGAGAGAAGCGGCCGTTCTATTCTATTCAACTGGACTCCCGAGTGCTATCCATGTTTGATGCTGTGGTTATTGCTGAGTCGCCAGTGCCAGTGGAAAGTCCGGAATTTGTCCTTGCAGACCTGAAGCTTACTCAGTCCACAGACCTTGTCTTGGGAGACCACAGCTTATGGACGTTGTTCAGTAGAGGATACGATATCACGTTACCTGCACACAGGCCTTTGTCCATCAGCATCAAGATCCCTTCTGCGTGGTCCAGTCTACTTGCATACAATTTTGATATACGCTACCAGCAGTCGCAGATGGAACGATTCTCGCCCTTGATCAGCCAAAGAATCAGGGACGAGACTAAATGGCACATCAATCTACATCAGGATAAATCGGTAACTGCATTAATTCAGGGAGTTTCTCCATTCTGCCCTTTCACTAGGGATGATACATCGTCGTTAGAATTGCAGCTTTTCAGCGACTCGTTGGCTTCTGACCAGATTATGGACATTTACTTGACCGTGGACTGGTTCAAGTCGCTTAAATTATTGGTTCTCAAGTACAGGCTTTCAGTTTTCAGTTTCCCCGTCTTTATTACAACGCTTGTGTTTTATCTGCAATTCAGAAAATACATCAAAGAGGACGTCTTTCCCTCATTCGGGGAAGGGTTGTTGATGCTCTGTGATCCACATATTCTCATTCCACTGACTTTAGTATTCAGTGTTTTATCCTCGTTTGCATCGCACAGTTTTTTCCAAAAGCTTTTGAGTTACATCGACCCCGTGGACTTTGGAAACAAGATGCTCATGCATGAAATAGAAAAGTCGGACGTTTTTGTTAACCTCTATTTTTTGGGTCTTGAAGAGAAAGCACTCTGGTTTTTCGGGCCTGTGGTACTGGTGATTTCGTTGTCGTTAGTATGCGCATTTTACAACCTGCTTGAGGTTTTGCTTTGGACGATTGTTGTGTTTCTGCGAAGATTGCATAACTCCAATCTTTTCAAACCCTGCATGTTTGGCAATTACAATAAACGCCGTGCATTCGGTACTGCTTTGATCCTAGCGCTTGTGCCCCTATACATTCCGTACCAGTTCCCCTATGTCGTTAGCTGTTTGGTGCAATGTACAGTCGTGATACGTGCGTGCTTGACCAGCCCGGGCCAGAAACACGTCCCTGTGGAAAATTTCCGCAACTTCAATATCTCGCTGCTCATTCTAATGCTGTGGATTTTGCCGGTGAATATTCCGGTCCTAATTGTCTGGATTCACAACTTTTCGCTCCGTTGGGCCACGCCATTTTCCTCGCATCATAATTTCCTGGCCATTATTTCTATCGTTTTCCTTGTGCAGAACAATGTTGCTGGCAACCTCATTCCAAGGCCAACTTCTGCGGTCACGATCTTTGTTACTAAGTTTGTGATTGTATACTTTTCGTTGTGCTCACTCATTTACGGCACGCGTCACCTATTTTGGTTACATTATCTGTTCAACTTCATGTGCGCATGGCTGCTCTGTTTGCTTTTGCAGGAAGTGTGGAAGAAACAGGTGAAGAACGTCGCCATGTTCAAAAAGGAGGACACACCCTCAAAGCTAAACTAGCGTGGTTTGTATTAATAGAATGTATTGTTAACATGGTAAATGCTCGGCTCTATAGCCCTTGATATTCAGATATGGCAGCGAAACCTGTCTAAAGTCATTGATTCTTGCTGTTGTTGATTCTGAAGAATGCGAGTTTGTTGCCATCTGCGTTCTGTGCAAAATCCAGTCCTGTGATAGCATACTATTAAACTCAGAGTTGTCTGTTGAAACCAATATTTTGAACGACGACGGCGGAGTCAGATTGGTTGCCGTTTCCAGTTGGTTGATCACTGAGTACAGAAACGCCTGGTACTCAGCGTATAGCACATTCAGCTTGAATTCCTCAGAGAGTTCGACATCGGCTCTCAGTGCCTCCAGAAGTGGGGAGTTAGTCAAGCTGAATCCGTAAGTTTCAATCCTCACAGCTGAGTCAGGTGGATATATCTCGACAAAAAGTCTGTTGAGCTTACCTTGCTCTAGGAAGCTTTTAATCTTAAAAGTGAGGTCAGCTAGATACCGTTTGACATCCGGATGGCGAGACATGTGAACAGGGAGCTGAAAGCAGCGAGCATTTTCAAACGACTCTGGAGGGTAAACTGAACGATGGTACCAAATTTGCTCAACGATGCATTGCAGTAATTCTAGTGTCAGCTCTATGATCTTATCGATCATAAAATTTAGTCGAAAAATTAAGTTGCATATAAATTTATAATTTTACGCGTATGACCCTAACCCAAATTGGGACCGCCGACGTGCACAAGATCACCTCCGGACAGGTGATTATTGATATCTCCACCGCTTCCAAAGAACTTCTGGAAAACTCATTGGACGCTGGGGCGAGTCAGGTCACCATCACATTTAAGAACCACGGGATCGACTCTATAGAGGTGAGCGACAACGGTACGGGAATCGACGAAGAGGATTTCGATGGTATTTGCATGAAACACTGCACATCAAAGCTACGGAAGTTTGAGGACGTTGCGAGTGTACGAACTTTGGGCTTTCGCGGAGAAGCACTGGGCTCGCTATGTGCGGTAGCAAGAGTGGACATAACAACGTCAACTAAAAACATCCAGCCTAGAGCATACAAACTGGAGTATGATCAGCAAGGCAATCTCAAAAATAAGCAGACAGTGAGTCGAAGTTGCGGCACAACTGTGCTCATCAGTGATATTTTCAGAACCTTGCCTGTGCGAAAAACGGACCTGATGAAGAATGGTAGACGAGAGTTCCAAAAGGCGGTGACTTTACTGCAATCGTATGCCCTTATCAAAGTTGGGCTCCGTCTTGTTGTCCAGCACATTGACTCGCGTGGCAGGAAAAGCGTTCTGCTGGCCACAAGCGGTTCCCAGCATCTTCGCAGCAACGTGCTGAGTGTTTTTGGGGCCAACGGTATGGCGGGCCTAGAGCCAGTAGACTTCCAATTGAATATCTCCGCACGGTTTAGGTTGAAGGCTTGTGACATGTTATTGGGCGTGCGTGGCTATCTATCCAACTGTTCGTTTGGCAAGGGGCGCTCTGCTACCGACAGGCAATTTTGGTTTGTGAATGGCAGGCCAGTTAAATTGCCGCAATTTTCCAAAGCCCTCACCGATGTCTACAAAACATTCAACCATCTACAGTGTCCAGTGATTTTGTTGGATCTTGAGCTGGACCCGCAGTTCATTGATGTGAACGTCACTCCAGACAAAAGAACAGTTTTTTTGCACAACGAAACGGCCATCATGGAAGCTCTCAAGGAACGCGTTACCGAAATTTTCTCTGGTCAGGACATGAGCATTCCGAAGAGCCAGTTGACAGTGGAGAGGAGCAGAAACAGCAAGCTTTTGAAGCAGGACTTCGAGGAGGTGAACGAGCACGAATCGAGCCGGCACCTCGACATGGAGCATGAAGATAGGCAAGAAGAACAAGAAGAAGAACAAGAAGACGAAGAAGAAGAACGGGGTCATGAGGAGGGTAATGGTGCATGCCGTATTGATGTCTCTGACGTGGACGACCGCGGAGAGCGAGAGTTAGGGGGAGCACAGTCCTCTATTAGTGTGACAACTGTGGCCCCAGAGGCGGTGCATGAGTCTGAAAGCGAATACGATGGCGACTCCGGTGGCAAGGACCACACCGTCGCGACTATCTCAAAATCCCCAATTAGATCGCAAGTGCAGGGTACGCTCACTACGCTACTTGATAAGAGTGCAGAGCCCAAGTTGGCTCCTGACTCAGAACCTGATACCACGGAATTTTCCAGGGTCGACGACCTGATCTTGTCCTCCGACACCAATAAATCAAATGAGTCCAGCTTTGAGAAAAGCCGTGATGTCGAAACAGAAACTACCTCGCCATTGCGGATGACAGTGCGCGACAAATACATTGAGACATACCCCACAGGGCAACGAAAGCTGAGTTTTGAGCCCAAGTCAGAAAAGAGGGCGTCCTCCGCCGCGCTGGCCCGAACCCAAAGTTCGCTGCATGACATTGAGTTGCCAATTGAGGCAAGTCCTGGCAGTTTCAAAATGCAGAAACCCAGACTTGTAAAAAACGGAGGCACCCGTGCTGCCGTTGATGATATCACTGACGAGTCCGAAGCAGAACGCAAGCTTATGCTTTCTGTTTCCAAGAAGGATTTTTTGGAATTGCAGGTGATCGGCCAGTTTAATCTCGGCTTTATTCTGGTTACCAAGCAGGATAATTCAGGAACACATCTGTTCATCCTTGATCAACATGCGTCCGACGAGAAGTACAACTTTGAGCGCTATCAAACGGAAACGGTGTTCAACAACCAGCCGCTTGTTATTCCACAACAGCTACATCTCAATGTAATTGATGAGCTCGCCATAATGAACAACCTGCAAGTTTTTGAGAAAAACGGGTTTGGGCTCCGTGTGGACGAAGATGCCCAGCCTGGCGAACGTCTCAGCCTCACTTCATTACCGTATTCAAAAGACACCACATTTGGTCTGTCCGATCTGGACGAGCTTGTACACCTCGTCAAGGAGCACCACGGCAGAGGGGTGCTGCGTCCTTCTAAAGTCCGTGCTATGCTTGCTATGCGAGCGTGCAGAACGAGCATAATGATCGGCAAACCCCTAAGCCATAAAACAATGACCAGCGTCGTGCGCAACCTGGCGACTCTCGACAGGCCCTGGAACTGTCCACATGGCAGGCCGACCATGCGTCATCTGATTGAGCTGAAGAATTGGGCTACTTTCAGCAGAGATTATGAAACATAAGGCTGTGCAACACGCCCAGATCTCGAATATTTCATTAAACGTCCCGATAAGGAAATAATTTTGCGAGATAGCCAGATCAAACATTTGTCTGTACACTCGTCCCAACATATAAAGTGCAAGGCTCGACACCACCGTTTCCACATTCTTCACAATGTCTTACTCTCTTCCTCCGGGTTTGAACCCCTATCAGATTACCCTCAATTACACTTCTGCTTACGGCTTCACCGAGGTGACGTTTGCGCAGCTGGACTCGTATGTCAAGGCCAATGCAGAAGTTGCGGCAATCTTTGGCATGAGAATCGGTCTGGCAGCCATAGCTGTTCCTGCCATATTTTTTGTCACTAGGAACAAGAAGTCCGTACTCTTCGTGCTTAACGAGGTGTGCATGGCTACCATGCTCATGCACGGCATCATGACCGTCTGCACCATGTTTGAAGCTTACCGTTCGCTCGCTTTCAATTTCTCAGGCTACCTGTATGTGGACAAGCATGCTTCCGATCTCACGGCTGCAACCAATGTCATCTATGTGATTCTGATAGGCCTGACTGAGATCTCTTTGACCTACCAAGTGCACATTGTTTTCCGAGGCCCGTCTTTCCACTACAAGAACGTAGGGTTTAGCATGGTGATAGTTTGCGGCCTTCTGGGCTTGGCTTCGACGGTGCTGTACTTCATCTACGCTGTGATGTCGAACATTGCCCTATACGATATCAGCAGATCTGTTCCAATGTGGGTGATGAATGCTTCACAGATCTGTTATGCCAGCTCTTCCTTTATTACCTCTATTATACTGTCTTGCAAGCTATTTGTGGCCATTCGGACCAGGAAGTTTTTGGGCCTGAAACAGTTCGGCATCTTCCATATTCTCTTCATTATGTCTCTCCAAACCATGATCATCCCAACAATCCTTGTCCTAGTGTCTTTCAGAGAGGTTAAGGGCTCCTCTGGTCCTGACAAGGCATTGAATGCTGTTGGTACCGCTCTTATTGCTATCTCGCTACCACTAACTACTATGTGGGCTAACACTGCTGTTAACGAGACATCCTCCAGCTCAGCTTCCAACACGTATTTGCAGAAAGTCGAAAGCTACTCCTCCTATGGCTCAGGAGATAGCGGAAGCCCTAAATCTTACAAGTCAGGCACCAGCATCAGTGAGGAAGTCAAGGACATTGACTCGCACTACAGCACGAGTCCAAACACCGCCATTACTGATAAGAACTTTTGGTCCGAGGTTCAGTATCTGGCCCAGGGCCTGAAGCCTGCAGATCTGGATGATGACGAATTTGTCCATGCCACCGTCGAGACTTCTATCAATAGGAAATAATTAAATACGGGATTTTTTAATCGTCCATAACAAAGTTTAATACTTAAAAGTCAGCGAGGTAATTGTTGACCAGCCGCATTGGCGGTCCGAAAAACTCCTTTTCGGTATCACGATCCTTGGAAATTTCTTGGGCTGCATACTGGGCAAGATCAAGGCCCTCTTTCTCGAAAAGGTGCATCACGTCTTCCCAGATAAGATCCTCTGCATCAATGGTGTCGTAGACTATCTCGCCGTGGTCTGCCAGTGCTTGTCTCGAGTAGTTGAATTCCGGAAGAGGCTCTGACATCGTGAAATTCACCTTGTGCTCGATAACTCCCTCGCCATGGTTTCCTTTGGGAGATAGCGTATAGTTGGAAGTGCCATTTTCGTGGCTAACACCCTTTATCACGGTGATGCCATTGAGTGCAACCTTCTCACCAAATGCTTTGGTAATGTTCACTGAGAAGTCCACATCCTGTCCAAAGGTTGGCTTAGCCTTGAGCTTGTAGATCAAAGGCTGAGTCACCTTTTTCTCCAACGACCAAATAGTGGCATTAGTGGCCGCATCTTTCACGCTGCTGGTGATGTCAGTCTCTGGTATAAACACCAGCGACTCATCTTCACCAAAACCGGCCAATAGTTGCACGTTCGATTGCTTCGTCTTCGAGGAGACCTCGAGAATCAAATCCTTCTCGGTTCCATTTTTGTAAGTGTAGATGATACTCGAGTTGACTTTGTTTGTGTATTTGGCATCAACAATCTGACTGTAGAGTCCTGCTGCAGGAGGACTAAAGGCGAATGCGGAGACTGACGTCTTGTTTTCGAACGAAAGAATTTTTCCCCTGGAAGCAAGGATCGTCGAATCTTCCCACGTTGCAACGCTACCAGAAGCAATCCAGTTGGAACCAATGCCGTTGGGAGTTTCACCGAATTTCAAATCGTCATCCACACAATTTGAGACGTCTATAGCGACCTGCGTCGATTGGTTCCAGAGTATTGGTAGCAACGGTGTTATGTCCAGTCTGAGCGCACGAACGTCGAATGCTCCAGTAGAAACGATCGGGTGCCACAAAGCGGGTGAAATTCCTCCAGTATACACAACCACGAACGGATCGGCAGTCAACACGCGAATGCCATCCACAAAGACATTGACAACACGACAAGGGCCATGGCCAGGATATGACTTGTGGAAAACGTTCCTGTATTCTTCAAGCACATTGGAGTACCAAAATTCTTCGTCGGCATTTCCAGACACAAAAAGATCAAGCACAACCTTGGTGGTGTTGTAACTCAGCTGCGGAATCACTGCGTCGAACGTGTTATCAGGTAACGTCAATAAAGGTGGCCTGCTATCAATCTTCTTTTTAACCAAGGGATATATTTTATCGGCTGGAGGGCGCAGTCGGTCGCCAGTGTCGTAGTACTTCACATTCAAGCTAATATTGAAAGCTCCAGTCAACCTTGGAGTCAGGAGGTTGTCAAGCTGGAAGACAATCATGGCATCCTCTTCAAAGAGTTTCGCATATGTGGAGACATCCTTTTCCGCATGCGCATGAGACAGCTTTCCGTGAGGCTCGATCGTGCTTGTTCTCCAAACCTCCACACCTCTAACGTACAAATGAGCCAAGCGGTCGTACTGCACTCCATCAACCCAAGTATCCAATGAGACAACTACCCTATTAAATGAGACGTTTGGCACTGTGTAATGAGCTTCAATCGGATGTCCCCAGCTGTTGCCAAAGGTGTGATTTAAAATATTTTGCTCAAAGACCGGATCCCCGAAATCTGGCTTGGGAAATCCAACTTCAATCACCTCAGAAACGGCTTCCTGAACTTCACTGTGGAAGGTAGGTAGGAAGTGAGGCCCCCAAAGATACAGAAGTAAAATCAACGTCGACGTCTGGACGGCCCACAGGGTCTTTTGCAGCACACTAAAAGAGGCTTTGTCTTCGGGCCTGTCTGGAGCTTGGCAGTCCCCTTCTTTTTCTGGGACTATAAACATTCTGTCGTCAATTGGTTCTTGCCCCAATCTTTGTTTCTTGTGGATCATCAATTGGTTCCAAATTGCCCATTCTCTGGCCAAAGAGGCTTTTCTTATGACCCCCATATCTGCTAGCTGTAGTTTGCGCAGCTGCAAATAATATAAAATAAAAATAAAAAAATGAAAAGATAAATAACAGTATCTGGTTTATAATAAACAAAAATCCTTCCTCCTTTAGCTTTCAATGATTCAAAGGATACGAAAGATTTTTAACTCATTTCGCACTGAGGAAGAGGAGCGGATGTTTTCACGAAAAGCCGTACGTGTGGTTCATAGTAGCACTAACACATAGTTCTACAATTTCATGGGATTTTTGACATCTTGCGTGGTATTTTCGTTTGTCGCCCAAAAATTGACTGCTCCAGACTTGCGCTATTTGAGGAAGGAACTATTACAAAAAACATAACGTCATGCATCATTGCGTTCTATGCATCTATACACAGGGAAATTGCTTTAAGGTTCGGATTTGTCGTTGAGAAGATATGCCTTGGCCATCTCGTATGCGGTCCAACTGATAGCAGTTGACGGCACGTTGAATATGACACGAGGGCTCAGACCCCTCCAGAATGCACTTGAACCTCCGGCTTTATACAAACCAATTGCAGCAGATTTGAAGCCTCTCACATTAGGGATTGTTCTTGTCTGTAATGCCGTTTTGATGCAGTCCAAGGGCGTAGTGAGAGCAGCAGCGGCAGCACCACTCACTCCTCCGGAAACGCAGTGCAGCAATGGGTTGTAAAGCTGGTCCGGGTTGAGTTTAGAACTAGAGTACTCGTAGACTCCGAAATTAATGGCAGCAAATGGAATGTTGAGAATCAAGGTCGTGGGGTAAGAAATATAGAATTGTCTCAACCCTTCTCTCTTGTAGATGTCCCACGCAACGTGCGACATTGACGTTCTGCCGGAAACCTTTTTGTTAAGGATCTGCATTCTTTGTTTTAGAACGTCAAACGGAGTCATTAAAGCGTCTGAAGTGATTGTTGCTGCTATTCCTGACATGGATGCAATGATAGGGTGTTTTTCGTCTGTGATAAAACTAGCGCTGCCATGCGTATGTGAAGATGCGGAGAGCTGACAGAGAGCGGTCTTAGTAGACTCAAAGACCAAATAATATACAGCATGAGCAGGTCCCGCCCCCAAAACAACAGACGACACCCCTCGCCATAATGCAATAGCTCCTTCAGTAGAGGAGATTTTGGAAAATGATTGAATGACTCCTTCGTTAAGTGGAACTTTCAATGTTTGCATTCGGGTTTTGATCGCATCAATGGGATACATGACAGTGTGTTCCATAATTCCGGCAAAGGCTCCAGCGACAAGTTGCGCGACGACGGGAGAGTTTTCAGGGAGAGCTTCGTAGTCAATCTCAACTCCGTCGTGAGACGGTCTCACGTTGAGTGGAACGGAAATACTTTTATCATCCAGTTTCTGGTCTTTTAGAATCGGCCTAGTCGTCATTAAGGTTTGGTTATATCAAATCTGGCAAATGGCTGGTTGGAAAAGGACTAAACGTTTCTCCTATCAAGCTGTCTGTGCAAAGGGATCTGCACCGATAAATTGCTTTGCTTTATTTTTTGGAAGCCAAAGCACTGTTCAAATGTCTGAAAAGTGTGATGAAAATTGTTATTCACTCCAGCAAATCGGCCGTAGTTGTAATATACTATCCTTGCTTAATAGATATAGTGTTTGGCTATGTGCTATCAAATTGCCTAGACGTTTATATACAAGTTTTTTTCTAGTCAACGGATATTTTTCTCTCGCCTGTCGCTTGCAATTGGCACATGCGGATTATCCGTACCCGCTACCGCAGGCTAGCCCCGTATCAGATATTACGTAATTTTGGAAATGGTGCGATGTCTGAAGGACATGGCTTTAGCTTTCGCACTGATGACCTTCACCACCTCAATGTGCGCTCGGCCATGACTCACGCTGTTCGGCCATATCGTCCTTTCATGCAGCCAATCGCAACTGCAAAAATATCTGGTACTCCGAAGGAAAAAACGTGTATCCGTTTTGAGTGTGGTGCAAGGATGTCATCTGTGACTCTCTTTCAAGGGGCTGCAGATAAGAAGATAATTTAGCTAAATTAGGTGTAATTCCAAAAGTGTGTCTATTCTGTAACCAGCATGGGTCTTCGATATTCTCAATGTCTGGACCCAGATGGTGTTGACAGCGACTTTCCGGAACATTCTATCCATTCCAAACAAGTATTCTGTGCCCATCCCTGCTATGACGGATTCGGGTACGGATCCTCTGAAGTAGACGACGACGATGATGATTGCGACACTGAATCCCGATTTCCTGTTTTCTATGCCCGAGGCCCCGCCACAAGGTTTCTTTACTCTCACTCGCCACGATTCATGGCCGCTTCCTCCAGTTCGTCAAGGTCAAAGCCGTTTTACCGAAAGACTTCCAAATATAACAAGAATGGTATAGCAATCACGTACGGGTGCGGGCAATGTCTCACCCATCTATCTTCGTCCAACCAGATAATAAGCGATCAGTATACAGGCAAAACCGGGGATGCTCTGCTCATCAACAGCGTTGTCAATGTCGTCCTTGGCGACCCCGAGGTGCGAGAGATGACGTCCGGTTTGTACACTGTTTGCGATATCAAATGCCACCAATGCCACAAGTTGCTAGGTTGGAAATACATCAAGAGCCACCAGGCTTCGCAGAAATTCAAGGAACAAAGATACATCCTTGAGATTAATAATATGAAGGTGATCGCGTAGGCCAAAGGGTATAGGGAATATATGGATATTTGAATTTTACTTTTTCAGTCCACTGTGAGGATCCTGATTTCCTCTTGTGCCTTCCTGCGTTTCTCCTCTGTGCGCTGGCGCAATTTCTCCTGTTTTTCCTGCTTCTTCAATAGCTTCAAACGCTTTTTTTCCTCCGGAGAAAGTTCGTTCTTCCGTTCTTGTGCTTTCACATCGTACGACACTTTATCGTAAATCTCACCTTCTTTGTGGAACTCAGCACCAAGCTCTTCAAGTAATTCGTCCAGAAAGCTCTCAATCTTGCCTCTTTTGGTCGCTTCCAGCTCTGTCAAAGATTTCTCATCACCTGCCACTCTGACATCAGCGTCGAAATTGTCCTTGTCATCAACAACAATTCGGATTCTCTCCCCCTTCTTGACTTGCGTCTCGACTTCGTGTCGTTTTTGGCTGGTAAGATCATGCAGAGTGATTTGCCAAGAAACTCTGACCATTTTGACGTCGGGTTCTTTCTGTCTATTTTCTTGTTTCTGCTGTTTGGCTATGAGCCGAGGGTTCTCCTCTTGAAGCTGCTGTGTCTTTTGTTGCTGTAAATGCTTGGTCAGCTGCTTGCGAGCTTTCTGTGGAGAAGCCACCTTCAAAAGTCCAACGTCGCCGAACTTCTGGTCCCTTACAGACCCCATAAACAGGAACCCTTCCTTGGAAAGATCGATTTGGGCCAATGCAGTGCGGAAGTTCATGACTCCGAGGTTTTCGCCCTTGCGGATGATCTGGACGAGCCCTTTTGGATTCACTTCTCGAGATTTCTCAAACACGAGCTTCAAAGTGTCCTGATCTTTAGCTGTTCCACCAAGACTTCTGAGACGAACACTGTCTCGTTGAGGCATGGCTGAACGCGAACGAAACACGCTAAATTGACGAGTCAGCGCACGCAGCATGACTTCTAAAATATTTTTCACTTTATTTTTTTTATACTCGTGAAGGTATCTTATTTATTCAAGAATTAACAGTCTAACCACGGATCACCAAATCGTCTGGAATTCCTGCATACTCGTCGTATTTCATAGCCAGGTTGATATTCTGCAGACATTGGGTCGAAGCTCCCTTAAGGAGATTATCAATTGTGGCAACCACAACCACACGGTCTTGCTTGGCATTCACGGCAAACGCACCAAGCACAACCCCATGTTTGCCACTGATGTCCTTCACATACGGAGCCTCACCGCTGATGGTAATGAGCTGTTCACCTTGGTATCTGTCCTGATATATGTTCCTAACATCCCGCGAAGTCAGTGGCTTTTTTAATGGAATAGAGATCGTCTCTGAAATACCTTGGAACCACTGAGCAACATGAGGCATGAAGGCCACAGGCAGCCCCAGCTGCGAAGAAATCTCCCGCTCGTGAATGTGGTCCGTGAGAGAATAAGGAATCAGGTTATCCCTCAGCACATTGATATCATTCTTTGGCGACGGTTTGGTTCCTGCTCCCGAGTAGCCAGAGACTCCAAAAACAGATGGAATTCCAGAACAGTACTCTACCAGTGGGCTGATGGCGATCTGTGCGGCAGTGGCATAGCATCCAGGATTAGAGATTTTGCGAGCGTTCGAAATCTTCTGTCTATCATTGAGCTCTGGCAATCCGTAGACCCACTCACCGGTAGCGTCGAATCTGTAATCGGCAGAAAGGTCGATAATGATGGACTTTCCCGAAGAGGTGCTGTCAATTGCATCGACAAACGGCTTGCACACTCCGTTTGGTAATGCCATCACCCAAACGTCAACTTCGTTATTAGCCTCCATCTTCTTAATGTCCTCGATCTGGAGGTTTTCGTAGACAATCTCATTTTTGTTGTAGCCTTTAAGCTTCTGACCTTGCAACTCCCTTGAAGAAACGTGGCTAAGCTCTAAGTATGGGTGCTTATCGATCATTGAAATCAAGTTTTGTCCGGTGTATCCTCGAGCTCCAATTAACGCCACGCGGGCCTTGGAGGTGTTAGAGCCCTTCTTCAATGGTGGGTTTGGATTAGACGACGTAGCTAGTCCCCTCTTGAATTGTCTACTGAATTGTCCAACAGAAACTTGTCTTTGACTGCTGAAGCTTCTTGTCTGGGAGCCGTTCTTGAAAACTCCGCTCTGTTTCGCCGACACCCGGTTGGCAAAGTTCTCAACCAGAGTACTCACCTTCTCGATACGATCAACACCGTACCAGAACAAGATTTGCCCGTTCTTCGAGAAAGATCCGTCAGCCTTGGCAAAAAACCATGCGGTGTTTGGATCATCTTCCTGCACAGTCCACTGGAGAGCAGGGTAGTCTTTTTTCACGGCTGTGAAAATGTTGTCGGTCACATTGTTGAGCCAGCCGGCTTTGGAAGCAAGGAACTTGTCCAGTTTTGGAACCCCCGTGGAATCCTCCTTCACAATGGCGAGGACATCAAGCGGCTCGTCACCATAAGCCTTAAACTGACTAGACTCGAGAGACTTAAGGTAAGAGGCCACCGATGTAGAGCCAGATGAAATTTCTGGGTCCCTATTGAGAGCAGCCCTGAGTAAGTCTGGCTGTTGGAAGTCCCCAAGCGAGCTTCTGGTGAACAGCTTGTACCCCCTTCTAATGAGAGTTCCTGCTCCGGAGTCGGTGAAGAGCTCTTTTTGCAGGTCGTTCACGTCGATGATGGCAACGGAAGACGAACGAGGCAAGTGCATCAGCAAGTCTCGGATCTCTTTTATCTTCAACTTGGTTCCGTATTTCACCCAGCTCTGTTTCAATAGGTCCTCGTACTCTTCGTCCAAGTTAATGACAGACACCTTCTCGCCGGTATTCCCATTGATGATTCCTCCCTTTTCATTCAAGTAGACGATCTTCAGAGGCTCAAACACTCTGGCAATTTCTCCTGCGGCAACATCAGCATTGACATTAAGGATCTGTCCGGACGGAGTCTCTGCCAATGATGTGAGGATAGGCAAAGCACCAGCTTGGATAGATGCCTCGATTGGCGCCTTGTTGACCCCAGTGATATTTCCCACAAGCTGGTACTTTTCCTTGTCCAGATAGTCTGCCTGGAAAACGCCCGCTGTAATCGGTCTGGCATGAACGCCCATCTTTTCCAAAGCGGTCACCAATTTCAGGTTTTGCTCAAGGAAACACTTTCTAACGACTGCCATGGTCCTTTCGTCCGTGATCCGGATTCCATCGATGTAATCAGGCTCAATTCCCTCGCTCTCCAAGATTTCGTTGATTTGGGGGCCTGTTCCATGCAAGACAATAGGATACAACCCCACATGGTACAGGAATGCTAGACAGGAGGCGAGCTCAGGCAGTTGCTGCGTAATGATAGCTCCCCCAACCTTAATGACAGCAAATTGTTGCTGGGACACAGAGGTGAAATATTTGAGATACTGTTCAACCTCTCTTTTCGAACCAATATTGTTCAATAATTGGATCACGGTAGACCTAGTAGAATAGCATCTAATCGTGACTGGAGTCTTGGAAGAAACCTTGACTGAACTGACAATGGCAGGACGTTGCACGCCTCGTTTGAGGGCGTATCTTGCCAGCTGGTTCCTCAGGCTGCCTGCGTTTCTAATCATTGAAAAGGTTGCAAGTTTAAAAATTTTTTAGTCATATGCACTTCCACCTGGCTCTCACTTACTGACAGGAAAATTTTTAAGCGCGCACCAGTGGCTGGGGAAATTACTTGTTTTGTACATGTGGCACAGCAGGACGCTTATGAAATCGATGGATCAAATCGACTTCATTTTTTTGTTTGTTGAAAATAATGTGGTCCGGAGCCTCCCCTCAAGAGCAAATTATAGAAGCCTCCAGACGAAACAATGTGGACTTGCTAGCTTCTGTGACAGAAGCTCATCCGGAGAACATTGCAGAGCTTATAAACGTTTCCAAAGACGCCACAGGCAATACTCCATTGCATCTTTGTTGCAAGTACGGATGCTACGAAGTGCTCGACAAGCTTCTTGACATTGAGGGTGTTGACGTCGATCCAAAGCACCCAATTAGCGGCGAAACGCCCTTGCACTATGCTGTTCACTACAGTTTCGAGGAGCCCGAGTACGCCAAATTTCTAATAGAGAACCTTCTAGAGGTTGGTGCGGACCCGACGATTCGCAACAAAGATGGCCTGAAACCAGCTCAATTGCTGGGCGATGCCAACGAGGATATAAGGATGCTACTCGATGGAGCCGAATACGCAGCAAATGTGCTACAGGATGAAGAAGAGGAGGTCGATGACGGTCCGTCAGACGAAGAATAACTTTCTAGCGGGAATCAGGCGTTGGTCTATTTACACTAGTCTATCCGTTCCTTTCACCTTGCCGGTCCCTGGATCTATTTTGGCACTTCGAGATCCGAACTGGATGGCCCGTTTTGGTTCCTGTTCAACAAATCTCAACCCAAGGTGACGAGCAAGCTCTCTCAATGCAAACTTTCTTACGATCTCGCCATTTGTTCTATCCATCCGCAGCTTGTCCTCGCACCTCACTTCTCTGGTCGCATATTCTACAAATCTTTTATCCAGGAATGGGTAGCGGACTTCTTTGGACCAGCACGAGATCACCTTATCGTCCCGCGAGAGATTCCTGGTATACAAATTGGATAAGTCAAGCTGCAATTCTTCAATCAGACGTTTGATCAATGTGTTCCAGTCATTCTCTGTGGTATTGTTTGGAGGTTTTCCAGATACTTGTCGTTTTATTTGGTTTGAGAGGCTCGTGAAAATACGTTCATGACGAGTGTAACCTCCGAATAGCTCGTCTGCTCCCAAACCGCTCAGTAAGACTCTGCATGTACTTTCGTACGGTTCTCTCGTTCCGTTTGGAAGAATAAGATTACCGATACCTCGTGCAGCAAAATAAAACGCGATGGCAATGGATAAATCCATTTCGGTGTCATTGGGATAAATCAGTCGTATCACCTTGGATCTATGTTCCAAGTATTCCTCATATGGGACGTCAACTTCGACCAGCTGAAAATTAACCTTAGGATATAATTGCTGCAATCCTTTCCAGCTTCTTATAGCAAGCAGTCTGTCTGGCGTGTCTGCTGGTTTGGTGCTGGTGCGTGGGTTGCAAAAGGAGACGTTGAGTAAGTCGATCGTTGTGTCGGGGCCAAGTTCTGCGGCCGCTAAAGCTGCTAGCAAAGTGCAGTCGAGTCCTCCACTAAACAATATTGCCACCGAAGAGCTTGACTTATGTGTTGGCGAGATGGTTCTCACGCGTTTTCGCACGCTCGATGCCAATAAATCATGCAGTTTCATCAAATTCAGGGGCTCATTTGTCTGCTGAACAAAATCGGGGCAAGGAAGACATTCGCTTGATTCAAAGTCGATCGTTACCAACTTGCCGGTTTTCATGTCATATTCATAAACCGTTGCACAGGCACACTCGAACCAGGCATTTTGTGCCTTGGCAGGAGGGCAGCTGCTAATGTACAATTGGTTCTCATCTAGCATATACCCTAGACTCTTTCTTCCCAATAGATCTTTCCCGAAAAATACCTTTTTAGTGTCCATATTAGTGATGCAATAAGAGAATTCGCCATCAAGTTGACCTATAGTTGAAATCACGTCAAACTTTGATTTCACCAGTGTTTGATAAATAAATTCTAAATCATTATTTTCTATCTCTTGATTGTAGAGCTCTCCGTTGTATTGCAGAGAAAAGTTTCCCCTGACCATGGGTTGAGGCGTCAGGGGTGCTCGAATCGACAACACAGACGAAAATTCCGTGATCGTGCCCTGGTCGATCTCTTTTTTAAAATACTGCAAGCTATCTAGTCCTCTGGAACGCACTAGGGGTACCATTTGTTCAAAAAGCGCGTCATATGAGTCACCCTTTTCGCGCTGAGTCGTCGGTCGGGCATCTATGCGACTCTGAAAATGCCATAATATGCCACACATGGTAATCTGAATTGTACCGCTTTTTTTAAAAAAAAACTTCTTGAACTCGCTCTTTATGTCGTCTGGTAAGAAACTCCTTTTGATGGGCCGCTCCGGCTCGGGTAAGTCGTCGATGCGGTCCATCATTTTTTCAAACTACTCTGCATTTGATACAAGACGCTTGGGGGCTACAATTGACGTTGAACACTCGAATCTACGCTTCCTCAACAACATGACACTCAATCTTTGGGACTGCGGTGGACAAGATGTATTCATGGAAAACTTTCTCAATAACGACTCAGACACCCAGAGTTCCAACTCATCAAGCAATATATTCAAGAAGTGCGAGGTTTTGATTCATGTCTTCGATGTCGAGAGCAAGGAGGTCCAGAAAGACATAGAAATATTCAAGCGTGTGCTAGATAATCTCCACAAATTCTCTCCAGGAGTCAAGATATTTATTCTTGTCCATAAGATGGACTTGATTCAAATCAATAAAAGACAGGAGCTTTTCGATATCATGTTCAACAAATTGCACCACGTTGCGTGGGATAGTTACAAGTTTAAGATTAAAGGCTTTGCAACATCCATTTGGGATGAAAGTCTGTATAAAGCTTGGTCTCAAATTGTCTGTTCGCTGATCCCAAACATTTCGCTCTACGAACAACTTCTGAGTAAGTTCAACTCAATACTCAATGCCAGAGAGATGATCCTTTTCGAGAAAACAACATTTCTAGTGATATCTTCCACTAACAAATTCAATAATGGCTCTGATGAACTGGATCCGAAAAGATTTGAGAAAATATCCAACATTATCAAGACTTACAAGCAAAGCGTGAACAAGATAAGGACGAATTTCAACAATCTTGTTCTTCATGGTCGAAACTCCTCTATTTATTTGGATGTGCTCACCTCAAACATATACATTATGATTATTATGGACAACCCGAAATCAACATTCACGGGACACCAGGTAGATGACGAAAATTTGGTTCTCGAAAACATCAAGGTGGCAAGGGCGCAGTTCGAGAAGATAGAAAAAGGAGTATAGATAGCTTTTAAAGATAGAACTTTTTCTTCTCTTTGTCCATGTCTGGACGATGCTCCCAGTCAATCTCCTCCTTAATTCCACGTTGGACTCGGCGAAGCTTTAGGGTAAACTGAGGTCCAAGTTCCTGTAATCCCACCTTCTCTTCGTTCTTGAACACATATCTATGCATTCTGAAAAAAATATAGTCTCTTTGGTTGTGCAGCGTGATCACTTGACGTCCTTGGATTTCTGGTTTGTGTGGAAGCAGCGACTGGAACAGCCGACCCACCGTCTGACCCAATCGAGTTGTGAAATTATTCAAAATGAGCTCTGGGATATGCTCTGTTGGGTTTCCATGGCCCACAATCTGCTTTCTGTCTCTGAGAGACGAGATCGAGAAATAAAATGTTGGTCCTTGTGGAAGATGAATGAAGGTTATACCATTCACCACTTTTTTATCCTCGTTAATGACGATAAGATGGGTGAAATCTCTGTTGGAACAATATTCGCTCATGTCTTTCATAGAGTACTCCCTCTTTCTCTTGACAAAAGATGAGTTTGGAATTATTTCCATTAGGGTAGATGAGAATCTATATGCTGCTTTTTTTGCGTGCGGACTAGTGGTTATCAAAATTTTGGGTTCTTTCTCTCTGTTCGTAAAATACTCGGCAAAGTCATCTTCACCCTCCAATTCGGTGTTAACAGTCTCGTCGTAGACTCTCATGTTTTCAATAGTGTTTGGCACATTCGTGGCTAGCCGTTTAGCTTTCAGCTCCGGATTTTGTAGCTCCTCCTTTGCTCTGGCTGCCCTTATCTTGTGTTTCTTTTTATTCTGTTCATCCTTGTATTTCGCAAATAACTGTTGTCGTTTCTGCTTATTCTTGATCGACTTTAGCTTTTCAGTCGAAGAAGGCATTTTGATGGTATTTTTATTTAACTTTTTTTAAATTTTTTTACCTATCTTCTACACTTCCTTTCCTGACTTAATTCATATTTTCTATTTTCACCATACGTCTTCCTGATATCTATTTAGAACCCTCAAGTTTTTCACCATGTCCGTGGCAATAGACTCAGTCACCTTGCGCTCAGACATCATGATCTTGATTAGTACATTCTGGACGTCCCTTGCCATTCTGGCAGCATCACCGCAAACATAGAAGAATGCACCTTCGTTGAGAAGTTCGTTGATTTCCTTGGCTCTTTCCAACATTTTGTGCTGAACATAAACTTTTTCTGTGGTTTCTCTAGAGAAGGCTGTCACCAACTCGAACTTTTCGCCCAGTTTCTTAGAATAATCAACAAACTCGTCTTTATAGAGGAAATCTTCATTGGATTTCCTGCAGCCAAAAAAGAGCAGTGTTTTGCCAACACTAATGTCACTAGCAGCCTTAGCAACCCTCTCCCTAATGAAACCTCTGAAAGGAGCCACACCAGTTCCAGGGCCAATACAGATAATCGGGGTAGCTGGGTTGGATGGTAGCTTGAATGTGGATCTTCTCACATGCACAGGTAATTTGAATGGAGTAAACTTTTGTCTCGGGCCTTCTAGATCATATGTCACCACAGGCCTGACGTCAGAAACTTTGTTTTGAGCCAGTTGGATATTGAGAAGCAAGTTAGTAGCCACACCTGTGACGATATGATCAACGTTTGGGTACTTTTCCTGCTCAACAACTGCAGTAACATGGATGGACTGCTTATCACTCAGGGAAGAGGACGAAATAGAATAATATCTTGGTTGTAGATGAGCAACGGATTCTATAATGAATGCAAACGGAATTGAGGTCCACTTAACTCCGTCACTCAGAACATGCAAAAGATCAGCAATGTTGAGATACTTGCTCGTCACCTCTTCGTGGAAAAGGTCCTTATCCTTTCCAAGTTTGCTTGCGTGTGCCTTGGCTTGTTCGGTAGGAGCAAATTGAGCGACCGAGCCCACAAACTGACGAGAAACAGGACCTGAGATTTCCAAATAGTGTCTGACGACAGCTTCATATGTACTTGGAGAAATTATGTGAGGATGAACCGTTGGATCCAAGGATTTGATATCAATCACGACATCTTTTTTCTCGTGAAGGCCGAGAATATCCAAAAACTTGAACACATGTTCGTTGGAGTTAGAAGGCCAGATCGCTAAGTGGTCGCCGGTGGTGTACCTCAGGTTCGAACCAGAAATGTCAAACTCAGCATGAATACAGTGTCTGCTATCAGAGTTGAATAGTTCCCTGCTGATGGTAATCGGAGCCAAGTATGGATGAGTGTGATCGAATGGTCCCTCAGTCAGAGATTGCGCTTCCTCTTGAGATGGGTTGATATATTTAGCATCCGGTTCTCCCAAGGAAACTTCCGGAGAGTCAATGGTAAGGACGCTCTCCTCGATCTTGATCTGGGCCTCATAAACCAATTCATGCTCCTCGAGACTCAACTCGTCTTTCAAGATGTCGAAAAGACCATCCTTCCAAGCCATATAGTCCTCATCCATAGTTCCTCTTCCATCATCACCAAGACCCAGCTCACCAACAAGAGTGGCACCTTTTTCGGTCAGAGTAGAAACAGTTTTTTTTCCCATTGCATTGTAAAACTCGTAAGTCGAGTTTCCAAGACCGAAGCACGCGAACTTCAGGTTGGACAAGTCCTCGCATTCATTGTCCAGATAGTCGAAAAATTCCACAGCATTGTCAGGTGGCTCGCCTTCTCCGTAAGTAGCGGTGAAAAACACGACAAGCTGAAATCCGTCAACGCTCGTAAAAATCTCGTTTAGGTTTTCATAGTCGTAATCAGCGAGATCGCCGCACATCGTTGGGATGGAGAATCTAGATTGGAACTCCTTCGCAAACTTGTGGCTGTAGTCCTCTGCCGTGCCTGTCTGGGAGGCAAATAAGACCAAAGCTTTTTTGTTGTTAGTAGAGAGAACCTCAACCAAATCCCTTGAAGATCCGCGTGGCACAGACACGTCTTCTCCATCAGATTTTCCCCAGAGAGAGCCCTTGGTGAAGTATATACCAATAGCCAAGACTATGGCAACCAAAACTCCGAGGTCTAAAGTGTCAAGAGCCATTTGATGAAGAGTTTAGAAAAGAACGGCTTTATATTTATTTGGCAAACTTTGAGTTCAGCACCAGAAAATAAAAATTAGGGATCTTATGTCCGATTTAGGCAATTTGGCTCGAGACGTAGTAGCTGAAACCGTCAGATGGTATGGTCTATATTCAAGTCCTCAAGGAACGCGAAATATATGTTTTGGCCCAAAGTCGCGTGATTTAAAACCGATAAAGTACCTTTCCTGGCTTTTTTAGGTTTACGTAATCAATAAATATGCTGCCAATCATCAAGCATCGAAATTAGAGTAGACACTAGCACTCAGGTCATCTAGCTCTTGCAGATTGTTGAGAGTGTACAGGACTTCATTGTCAAGAGAGTTGTTCGTTAGCTGGTTGGATTGTTTTGTGATTGACGCCAGTAACGAAGCCAACTTTACCTTAGGTATCTCAGTAAACACCTGTTCCTCCTGATCTGGATTTTTCTGTTTGTTTATGAGGCTCACAACGATATTGTCCAAAACCTTGGAGATCCCCACTGTGACCAAAAGGCTGATGATCGCGCTGACCTGGTCATTCATCAAATATCCCTTCAATTCGTTTAGCAGCTTGCTAACGTTTTCCGAGTTCTGTATGTTGTTGTTGAAATTTGTAAGGAATTCCATGTCATTGGTTTGCTGCAAGAGGAAAAACTCCATGTTTGCTGGCGGGAGGAGAGATGTGATTACAGTGGAGCTCGAATGCTGTGGCACTGTCAAAGGCTCGCTTTCTTTTTCCGCGTAGATTTCCTTGTCAATTATCTGCTGTGTCTTGTTGATCAGGGTCGCAAACTCGTCGATCGAAAGCTCTTGTCGAGGGTTAATATCCCCAAAGATGTCTTCGACACTGGTTTCCACCTTGTTTTTGATGTCAATCCAGCCTTTGTTCAGAAGCCACCAGCTGTAGGACAAAAAGGCCTGCTCAGCAAGATTCTCATCCTGTCCACTGGAGCCAGTTGCAAGCTCCTCGTCGTTGTCGAGGAACATGTTTGCTGGGTCCAAATCCACATTGGACTCATTCTCTAGTCTGATTCCTTTCGTCTTGGATGCCAGCTTTATCGCGGTTTCCAAATACGAGCGTCTTGAGAGAATGTTCAGCTGCAAGTGCAGAAACACGATGAGCAATGACTCGCAGTAGAGGAGCGTCAAAAAACGCGTGATGCTTTGATTCCGAAGTTCGTTCCACAGTTGTGTCTTCGACTTGGTCTGTTGTTCGCCAGTATGCATGGGCGTCTCCTTTTCATTATGTACAGAGAAATCGTCGCTGAGGACTGTTGACATAGCCGGATCAGTAGTGTTTCCAATAGGTGGATTTTTAGCCTTCTGTCTTTCGAATCGCTTGTTTTGCAATTCTCTCGTTATATCCTCCACCTTCAGTGCCTCGTAGATCGGCTCTGTCAAAACGGGGAGCAGTGACAGGAACGTCATGTAACAGTCATTCTGTGTCTGCTTGAAACGCCTTTTAATTTGTTCTTTGGCAAAATTCTCCTCCTTTAATCGTTCTTGCAACTCCGCCAATTTGTTGCTCACGTACGAACTGACCGCGTAAGAAACAGCGATCACACCTGTACCAAACAGAAGCTTTTTCTTGTGTCGCGACACAAGGTCTCTACAATATTGGAACATCACCAGGTATCACAAAGAGCGAGTAGAGGACCACTTGTGAGCTAAATATTTGTTTCTTGCTGCTCACTAGAAAGCCTATATCTTGCCGCAACAGGAAATCTAAGGATTAAGTAAGCTCGATGAAATCTATAATTACCCGGTCTACCATATATTACGCGAAAGCTAAATGGCGATGAATGCAAGCGCAGGTTTACTTCTTGCTCTTAGTCTCCTTTAGCTTCTTGTGCTTCATTTTGGACTTCTTGGAGTCTTTCGAGTCGTCGGAGTCTGTCTTGCGTTTCTTCGTTGTTTTATCGGCGTCCTTGTCTTCTTTGTCTCCCCCGAATTTCGTGTGCTTACCCTCAAAGTGCACTTTGCTCACCGCTGGCTCTACTTTCTCACCAAGCTGGTTTCGCACGTGGCGTTCGGCAGCCTCTGCGACTTTCCGCCTGAACTCTTCTGTATTTTCTTCTTTGGCAGCTGCCTTTTTCGCTCGCTCGATATAAAGTTTCACACGATTGAGCTCTTGCATTACGGGATGTTCGTTCTTCTTATTCTCGCCGCTGGCTTTCAACAGCACAAAGTATAGAGACGCGATCACGTACGCATAATTATTGTATAGGTTGACTTTTTCGAGCGGTGTTTTAGCACCCTGGACATGATTCAGCAAGCTCTTGGCTAGCATTCCAGACTTCAGCTTAATCTCGAGTTCTTCCACTCCGTGGTGGAGGGATACCAATAGTTTCTTCACTGCGTCTATGTCATCCATGTCCTGACAATTTTAATTCTTCAATTTTTTTCATCCCTACACCACAACAAAAGTGTCGCACCGCGAAGCGATCGTTTTTGTTCGAAAGCCTGCAGAGCATCACCTCACTGCCGGTCGCTTCCGTAAACATCGGCAAGGGTTTGCGCCAGGATTGTAGGTGCTCGCAGTCAGGGTAAACAAGTTCTCCTATTTGCTATGACATTTTCGTTCTTTATTGAGCAGGTTGCAGATTTTCTAGAAAAACGTACCCGTATATTTAAATACTCGAGGTTATCATATACGTAGCATACTCTTCAAAAAAAGTACGACCTTTTTAAATATGCCAATCGGAACACTTTACGCTTTATCAACCTCACCAAGAAGTACATTTTTGATCTCACTCGTCAAATTTACTGGACTCGATATTGAGATCAAGAGCAGCAGTGCTCCCGAATTCAAAGAGCAATTTCCATTGGCGAAATGTCCAGCTTACCTCGGAGCCGATGGCTATCACCTGACTGAAAATCTCGCCATCATCAAATATATCAGTGAAATCTCACCAAAGAAGTACAACTGGTACGGAAAAGACGCTAAAGAGGAGGCGAAAGTGTGGCAATGGCTCTCCTTCTTCAATTCAGAATTCATGTCAGCTCTGTGCGACTGGGCCCTGCCAACTATGGGAATCTTGCCTTACAATGCTGAACAGATACAGAGAGGTATTGATAGGCTCGAAAAGCTAGCTGGCCTTCTCGAGAAGCAGCTAGCAGAATCCAAATATCTTGTTGGAGACGAGGCCACGCTAGCCGATTTGTACGCTTCCGAGTATGTGAAAGGTTCCTACAGCGGTCTTTGGGATGAAACTTGGGCCAAAGAACATCCTGGTATTACAAGATGGCTAGGACAGCTGAAAACGGATCCAATAGTTGGAGAGTCCTTGAAAAATCTTAAACCTGCAGCCAAGAAAAATGAGTAGAATAGACAGACAGAACATAAGAATGTTTATAGCGTTTTAAATTTGAAGGCAACTTTGGCAAACTGGGGGAGTTCATTCTGGCAACACTCACTATAAAATCAAACTTGACAGACAGACAAAGAACAGTAGATGAACACAGAGTTCAGCAAGCGGGGCCGTCTAGTACGACTCCAGGTCCTGCTTCTTTCTCAGTTCGTAAACCTTCAATGCCTCTTCTGCAGCTTTGACACCCGAAAGAACCATAGCACCAAAGGTTGGTCCCATTCTGTTGTGGGAGTCGCACTCACTCAGCTCCATACCAGCACAAACAAGACCAGGGAACACCTCTCTGGTGTTCTTGACGATCGAATCCTCAGCACGGTTCATGTCCAAGCAACCCATGTGGTTTCTCTTCAAGAGACCCAGTTCGGCCAGTCTCTTAACGCAGAAAGCACCCATAGGACCATCATGACCAGTACAGGAGATAATAACCTTGGAGTTGATGGTGTTTGGATCCATACAAGATTGATCGTCGTGGTGCATGGAAACCAATGTCCAGTTGGTAACAACACCAGCGACTCTGGTCTCACCAGAATCAGTAGTTCTGGTGATCAAATCTTCAACACAGGTAGCGTTGAAGAGCTTGACGTTAGGGAGAGCCAGTGCCTTGGAACACAACGTAGTGATGAACAACGCTGCGTGCTTGACAACAATGTAGTCACCTTCGTCCTCGTACTCAAGACCGAGCTCTCTGATGAACGAGTCGGCTGGTTTTCTCAAAACCATGGCTGAGAAGAGTTGTCCTCCAAGGAAACAACCACCTCCCACAGCAACATTGGCTTCGATAATAGCAATCTTCAGGTCAGGCCTAGCCTTACCCAAAACATAAGCTGCACTCAAACCAGCCGAACCAGCTCCGACAATAACAATGTCACTCTCTGCATACTTGTCCAGGTCTGCAAAGTAGCGTCTTGTCATAGCTCGAGACACCATAGACTCTCTGATAGGAGCAAACTTGAAGGTGTCCCAGTCGTACACAGCGGACACTGCCTTGGAAACCGGAGAGTCTGCATTGAACACATTTCTCTGCTTCAAAGACAGTGTAGCTTGCTCAGAGACTGTTTTCGTTGGCGCAACAATAGAAGATGGAGCCCTAAAAGATTAGTATTGTTCTAATACAGGTGCATTTTCTTTTCGCTAGTATTAACTAGATCAAGTTCCGACCGTATAATCTCAGCCCGCAAAGGGGCACCGGCAATGCTGTATCATAGGAAGAGCAAAATTGACTGACCATCCGTCGAAAACTTAAGTGTATCTAATCAAAACCATTATGACCTACATAATTGGATTGATGGAAACTACTTGGCGACCAGGACGATTTATATAGAGAGGAAAAAAAAAAAGCAACGCGACGGGCGATGCAATCAGCGGGCCCCACAATTCGCCTCGGAAGATACTCGACCGCCATTGACCAATGGTACTTTGCGCAGGACGGGAAAATCTGTATTGGGAAACCGAACTGGCTTGCTGTCCGCTAAACAGGCTGTGTAGCCTGTTTGGAGCCTAACCTTAAACCGTGTTAACCTAAATGCAACACCCAGTGCAAAGGTGTGTTTTCAGAGGCGAAGAATCCATCGCACGAGCGAATTTCATTGTCAACAATCTTTCCCCATTATATGGCGATTGGCAGGCCCCCGTCGTACAAGGAGCCTGGGATCGAGTTTCTGGTGGACCATATTCCCAAGAACTCGAATCTAAAGGTTTCTAATGGGGCAATTGTGCTGAGACATGATATGACTAATCTCGGCACGCTGTATCTAGAGGCCCCTTATTTTCTTATTCCGCCTTTTGATCTGGTCAAGCTCGTAGAGGTTGGCAAGTGTTGCAGCTACTGTGGTGAAACTTTGAAGATTTACGATAAGGGTAGACTCAGGGACAAGGAGGCGCATGATGTTTCAGATCAGAAACATATGCGATTTATGAGCGGGCTGGATTGTGGAGATTGCAGCTCTAGGTGGTGCTCGCAAAACTGCAGAAAGCTTGATTTTTGCCACAGTTTCCTCAACCACCAGCCGACCAACAAAGGGATGACGAACCAGATCACAAACTCTCGTGGAGAGAAACTTGTCTTGTTGTACGACAGATGGGTAAGTTTCAAGAAGGCCATCCACGAGAAGAGTTTAGAGCTGGCGCACTGTGGGCTTTATGTTACCTTACAGCTGTTTTACTACCCAGAACTGAGGGAAGGCTACATGAGCATGCGGAATGTGGTAGCAGAACAACGGGACGAGTTCCTGGGCCGAGAGATAGATTTTACGACGCTTTACGAAGAAATGACTGCGTGTTTCAAGGACTTTAAATTGTCGGAAGACGAATTTTTAGACTGCTTATCGATTTTCAAGCTCAACAATTACAACAGTGGTGTCTATCCGTTGACGAGCTATTTGAGCGATCCTTCGGGCGAGATCAACTGCTCAATTTCTCCATTTGAAACAAGCATCGCTCATGACTACGAAGATTTCCGGATTGATGTTGTTGACGAGCATAATGTGACGCTTACAAAACAGCGACATTTGGAGTCCTACAGAAAACCCATCCATACGAGTACCCTGAAGATTGATAAGAAGATAATTATAGTCTCCAGCATGCGCAACATCAAAAGCTGTGAGAAGCTTGTAGCTGGAGAGTCACACGAAACTGGTTCTGCATGCTCGAGTTCAGATAATTCTTCGATGGAAAAAATTACGGCTCCTATCCCACATCGATTTCCTGGAAAAGCACGCAACCAGCGTAATGCCTCGTTCACCTCTTCAGGAAATTCGTTCGGGGAAGGCATCATAAAATACAACAGGGACCAAATTAGAGAAATGCTTGTCGAAATGTCTCTTGACTCTGACGATAGCGAGGCAGAGACGCCTATTCAGCTCGAAGTCCCTGAACAATTTGTGAAGCCTCGACGTAAGAGCGTGCGTTTCGAGCTAAATGAGTCAAGTGTGCAGGTTTGACTCAAGCGCATGCCTGAAAATTCGGTCAGGCCTCTTTCACACTGCAGCACAATCGTGCGTTTTTTCTTGGTACAGCAGGAAAAGATGGTTTGCGCACGAAAATGTTTTTATCAACGCAGGATACAATAGAGCTGCATAAAATAATTGTCGGAGATGTAGATAACTACGTTGATAAGCGTATAAACAGCCAATCACATTGAATTATCTCGAACCGGGCTTTTTGGAAGAATATTGGTGGCCGTAGATTACTTCGCAGCTACAAGAGCTCTTCGGCGTAACGAATGTGCCATCCCCAGACAATAGACCCGCTTTTTTGGATATAAATATCCCGAGATGTGCATATTTATTTGTCTGCTCGATAGTGCTCATTTTTTGCAACGATGAAGAACTCTATGACTGAGGACCTCACTGCAGACTATGACAAGGCCGACATGGTCTGGGTTATGGTCAGTGGTGTGCTGGTCTGGATTATGATTCCTGGTGTTGGACTGCTGTACTCTGGGCTCTCCAGAAAGAAACACGCTCTTTCTCTGTTGTGGGCCTCGCTCATGGCTATTTGTTTAGTCTCCTTCCAATGGTTTTTCTGGGGATATTCGCTCACTTTCGGTACTAACTCGTCGAAGTTTTTGGGATCCCTGGATAACTTCTGCCTAATGAAAGTTCTTGGTGATGCCGACGCCGTTTCTACTCTCCCGGACATTGTTTTCTGTTTCTTCCAAGGAATGTTCGCTATGATTACCGGATGCATTATGCTCGGTGGAGCATGCGAGAGAGCTAGATTGGGCCCAATGATGGTGTTCCTGTTTCTGTGGATGACCGTCGTCTACTGCCCTTGCGCTATGTGGACATGGAACGCTAAGGGCTGGCTTGCAACCCTCGGTACTTACGACTTTGCCGGTGGAGGACCCGTCCACCAGGCTTCTGGTTTCGGTGCCCTGGCATACGCCCTGATTTGTGGTAAGAGACATGACCCTGTTGCCGGCTCCGGCTTGCCTAAGTACAGACCTCACTCTGTTACGAGTGTTGTTTTGGGTACCGTTTTCCTGTGGTTCGGATGGTTTGGATTCAACGGAGGATCTTCTGGAGATGCCTCCATCAGAGGATTCTACGCCTGTGTCAACACCAATCTGGCTGCCGCTTGCGGTGGACTTGCTTGGATGTTCCTGGACTACTTCAGATGCGGCCGTAAATGGACCACTGTCGGAATGTGCTCTGGTGCCGTTGCTGGTCTTGTTGGTATCACTCCAGCAGCAGGTTTCGTTCCTATCTACTTTGCCGTTCCAATCGGCGTTCTGACTGCTGTTGCTTGCAACTACTCTGTTGATATCAAGAACATGATTGGAATTGACGATGGTCTGGATGTTTGGTGTCTTCACGGAGTCGGTGGATTCACTGGTTCTGTGCTGACTGGCCTGTTTGCTGCCGACTACATCATCTCTACTGACTTCGGTGTCACTGGTGACGGAGGATGGCTCAACCACCACTGGAAGCAGCTCGGCTACCAGTTGGCAGCCAACGTTTCCATTGATGCATGGTCTTTTGTTGTCACTTCCATCCTGCTGCTGGCTCTTAACAGAATTCCATTCCTTAAGATCAGATTGAGCGAGGAGGAAGAGGAGATGGGTACTGATGCTGCTCAGATTGGTGAGTTCACTTACCAGGACTCCAGGGTGTACATCCCAGAGCCAGTGAGATCTACCAGAAGCATTCAAGGTGCGAAGGCCGCCAGGTCCAATGAACTCGACGCTGACGCTGTTCCGCTTCCAAGAGACGAAAAAGTTGACGTTTAATACCGTGTCCTATTAATATTAATGATACTAAGTTTATTGTAAAGGAGCAAACAAACTGTTGTTGCGACTAGTATCAACGCGAGATTAGGATCACCTGCAATTTTGGCGGTGATTGATTAGAAAGAGTCCAGCAATGATTTTTGGGTCGCATTCTTGCTGTAGTTTTATCTGGGTATCCGAGTATCAACCATGACATGAGACAAAAACGGATCTTTGCTTGAGTGACTCTCTCACAGGCTTCTAGATATCTTTTTTAAGATGAGTTGCCCGCAATGAGCAACCTCTGCTTTGGCACTAATCTACGCCACAATCCCCGGTTTAACATCTAAAAGTGTAGTAAGGCTGTGCAACCGTTTATTTTCGTGTGTATTTGAATTCACGGTAAGCTAGTTTTTGGCACTCTTGTACTTATGAATTACGACTCCAAGAGTCAGAACTCAGTCAGTTTTTGTCTTTCAAAGGACTTAAAGCTGCCGATCAGATTTCGAATAAATGGGCTGAACGACTACACCCAAAGGATCGTGCAATTTCTCTCACCTGATAAGCACAGTGCTACTTCTCGAATCATACAGGCAAAGCTCAAGGACCAGCCGATTAGTGAGATATATGTCTATGTCTACGTTGAGTCTTCAGGAAAACAGCTTACGGTCCCAGTGTTAACCAGTGTGGCTTACTCCAACGGGAATTCCAAAAAGTCGTCACGTGGAAACTGGATCGATTTACCAATAGACTATTCGCAACTTCCTCTTGACGCTGTTCTTGTTTTATCTCTTTTCAGTTACAAGTTGAAAACGGGTTCAGAAAACCGACTAGGAGAATGTAGATTATATTTGTTCAACCAGGAAAACTGCACGCTTATGAAAGGCTATCAGAGGTTGAAAGTGGATTTTGCAGATGGAGAGACAGAGTTGGATCAACAGAAACAGAGCCAAATGCAAATACTGGAGGCCAAACTTAAGCAGAGGGAACACGGAGAAGCTAGTCCAGTTGAATGGCTGGACCAATTAACGTTTCGCAGAATCGAGCAGATAAATGCCAAGGAAGCCGCTAAACTCAAGCAACAGCTATCGATTACAAAAAGAACGGGAGATGTGCATATCAACTTGGAGCTTGCGCAGTTTGAGATTCCAATAGTATATTCCGACGTCAAATATGCCACTTTGAACATCACTACTTCTGAGTCTCACGTCATGAATGCAGTTGCAAGGAACAATGTCAGCAATAGAGATCAGTTGTTGTTCAACGAGATACAATCAAGCAACCTTCAAGACTTAGCGAAGCAGAGAAGACCAGCCATTTTTGATCCGGATCAATACAGATCGGAAATCATTGAGGACCCTATCGAAAGCAAATTCAGAAGATTGGAGAGGACTCACCAGTCATCATCACTGGATAAAGACATCAAGCCTACGCTGAAGTTGAGGGCTGAGCTCACTAAGATTCTGCACAAGCAATTTTTTGAAAAGCTCAGCCAAAAGGAAAAGAACATGATATGGAAATATAGGTTCTTCCTGTTGAATAATCTCATTCTGAACAAAAATAACACTGAGTTCAACAATTTTGTTATTAACTTTATCAAGTGTATTGATTGGGAAGATGATTTCGAGGTCAATGAGTTTTTGGTGATCATAAACAACCTGAACACCGATCCATATTCAAATGTGTTCATTCGGAAGATGGAAATAGTCGACTGTCTGGAGCTACTGAGTGCAAATTACAAAAATTACATTGTCAGGAACATGGCTCTGGAACGCCTTAGACTGGCCTCAGACGACGACTTGGAAATGTACATGGTTCAGTTGGTTCAGTGTATTAAAAATGAAGCAAACTATTTGAGCCCGAGGACAGATATCGACGATGATGGTGAAGAAGACAACAATTCTGAAGAGAATTCTGAATTTCTGGATTTCGAAGACTCGACATACACCACCAACTCCAGCGAATTTCAAGTCATAAACACCGAAGATGAAGACCCAGTGGTTAAGCTGCTCAATAATCCTAACATAACGAACCCGGAAAAAAAGATAATCGAGAAGCTGCCAAGGTTGCAATCTCCTTTAGCCAATTTCTTGATTGAGCGCTCGGCGAACAGTGAACGGCTGTCCAATTTCTTCTATTGGAACCTCAAGGTTGAAGTGGATGATGAGCGAGAAAGATACAAAACCGCACCTGGAAATCAGAGAGCAGCCAACGCAGGTGAACAAACAGAGTATGCTCCTGACCAAGCTGCCCGTGGATCACAGGTCCCAGCAAAGTGCGTCAAGCATATATTTCTTCGAACTCTGCTTCATTTCATCGCTAATTTGGGCGTGAGTAGAAATGGCTCAGACAAAATATGGACTCTGAGAAACCAAGTGGAACTTATAGGGAGATTGCATTCGATTTCAAAGACGATCAAAGTTGACCTCAAAAAGGATCCCACGCAGAAGAAAATTGAGGCACTCAAGGCTCTTTTGGCTCAAAAGTTCAAGGCAACAAGGCTCAAGTCGTCAAGAAAGTCCGTGTCAGAATACGAGTCCCTTTTGGATTTTGGACCTGTTCAGCTTCCATTGGATCCAAGTGTTCATGTGATAGGAACTATTCCCGAGGAGTCAAGCGTATTCAAGAGCAGCTTGAATCCCCTGAAAATTGTATTCAAGACTATTGAAGGCCCTCCTTACCCCATCATGTACAAAATAGGAGACGATTTACGACAAGATCAGTTTGTGATTCAAATCATGACTCTCGTCGAGCGAATACTCTTGAATGAGAATTTGGACATGAAGCTGAAACCCTACAAGATTATGGCATTGGGATCTGTTGAAGGACTCATTCAGTTTATTCCCAACTCTTCGTTATCCTCCATTCTTCAAAAACACCTGACCATTCTCAGCTACTTGCAAACTTACAACCCGGATCCTGTGGCACCTCTGGGTGTCAAACCCGAAGTTATGGACAACTATGTCAGGTCATGTGCTGGCTACTGTGTTCTGACATATATACTGGGTGTGGGCGATCGTCATCTGGAAAACTTACTGCTGACCACTGACGGCTACTTTTTCCACGCTGATTTCGGCTACATCTTAGGGCAAGATCCGAAACCATTTCCTCCCCTTATGAAATTGCCAATACAGATTATAGAAGGAATGGGAGGACTTAATAATGAAAACTACCAGAAGTTCTGCAATTATTGTTTCATCACGTACATCACATTACGCAAAAATGCATCGCTGATTCTAAATATTTTCCAGCTCATGATAGATTCCTCTATCCCTGTTTTACGGACCTCGGGAAGCAACGGGATGTCCAACGAAACCGAGAAGTTCGAACTGATCTGGAAAATCCAGGAAAAGTTCATGCTCGAATTGAATGACGAGGAAGCCGTGCTGCACTTCCAAAATCTCATCAATGACAGCGTGAACGCCTTTTTGCCTGTTGTCATCGACAGATTACACAGTCTCGCTCAGTACTGGCGCGCATGAATCATTTCGAGACTACGTATTTCTGAAGTGCTTTCGAGGGAAGAACCTGTTGCTTGACAAACAGCTTGAGAGCGTTCGTTCTCGAAACTGTGTAAGCAAAAATCAGGTTCGAAGCAGCGAATTTGCTCATAGCATTAAGCTTTTTGTCCAGCAATCCGGCGAATTTCGCTTGATCTATTTTAGGATTTTTATCGATCAGGTTGATAGTAACGCCTCTAATGAAATCTCGCTGTTTTGGAGTAATTGCGCCGCGGATCAATGTCTGGCGATACCTTTGATATTTTTCAGGATAATTCTCAAGTTGTTTCTCCAATTCCGCAAAAAGTTCCTCGAGGGTCGCCTTCTCAGCTATCTGCTGAGACTCTGGGTATTTGATTTTACCTCGACGAACGGTTTTGACAAGTGACAAGGTCTTGGCTCCTGTGGGGTATATTTTGATCTGATAAAATTCTTCCTTCCCTAGGTTGAGTCCCCAGACATCACGTTTCAACTGGATCCATGGGAACTGGCTTGTCTTGAACTTGCCGAATATGTTTTCTGTTTGGACCACTTGCTGTTCCTTGAACTTTTCAAAGATTTTTTGGTAGCCATCAAGAGTGTCATACTCCATGTATTTGATGTCTTCTATATCTGGGCCGCCCTGTTGTCCGCGACCAGTATCGCTTTCAAATAAACTAACTCCAGTTGTTTTCATCTTCCCTTCCAGGGTAGGATTGGAATGGACACCAACTTTGTGTGCATCCACGAAATCAATCACGTAGCATCTATGTTTGCTCTCATGTAGCCGGAGCCCTCGCCCGACCATCTGAGTAAGGAGAGTCTTGGATTGCGTCGGACGTACCATGAATATGGAGTCGATATTAGGAATGTCCGTTCCTTCTGTGAACACACCGCAATTCATTAGAACAGGCAGCTCCCCATTTGAAAATTCCGCGATCAGTCTTTCACGCTCGAATTTAGACGTATTTCCTGTCACATATTGTGCATTCACACCGTTGGAGCGAAAAACGAGCGACAAACTTTCCAGATGGGCAACATTAACACAAAAGAACAAGGATGATTTCAGTTGATATTTTTCAACAAAATGCTGGTAACTTTGGAAGACCAGGGAGTTGATTTCATCCTTGTTGACGTGATTTGCCAGCTCGTCCATCTTGTAGTCTCCATCTTTACCAAGGGAAACCTGAGAGAGCTCTAGACCTGCAGAAACCTGGATCCACGAAAAATCAGACAGATAGCCTTCTCGAATGAGGTCCACCAGATTCTTGTCATACACGATTTCGTCGAAAACAAGACCAAGCGGCAACTCATCGTACCTTGACAATGTGGCACTAAACCCAAGCAGCGCTATATCGCAATTAGCAGAATCGCAGCCAAAATGCTTCAGTATTTTGGTGTATGATTCTGCAACGCCGTGATGGCATTCGTCGACGACTATAGCTTTGTATTCACCTGGGTCGTGGGACTCTAGTCGCTGAGTGCTCCTGTTCAAAGTTGGAACCGAGGCAACAACGACATCGATGTCTGGTGCATGAGAAGGTTTGCGATTTGCCATATCCAGTTCTATTTTGTATTTAGGATATACTCTTCGCAAGGATGCAATAGCCTGATCCGCCAGTTCTTTGCGATGCACCAATATGAGCGTTTTTGACCGTCCAGTTTTCGGATTCGGTGGAATTTGGTCAATCAAATGACTGAATATGACAGTTTTGCCTCCTCCGGTAGCCAGACTAACTGCTATTCGACGGGTCGTCTCAAGCGACTTTAGACACGTGTCAACACATTCCTGTTGATAAGGACGCAGGACAAGGCTTGAGACCTGGTTCCGTGCAGTCAGCGAAACGCTATATCGTCGTATCAAGATACGCATCATGTTTTATTTACGATTCAATGTTTTTGTTTGCACAGCCCAAACTGGATCCTGTAACGCAGAAAAAAAACTATCGCAAGTCCTAAATAAGCTTTATGATGAGGGTGCTCAAGATCTTGTGGTCGGCATTTGTTCTGGCATCATGTCTTGCGCTCAATACCACTGAACCAAGGCATACAAATAACTGGGCGGTTCTGGTGTCAACCTCAAGGTTCTGGTTTAACTACAGGCATATGGCAAACGTGCTGAGTATGTACAGAACAGTCAAGAGGCTAGGTATTCCCGACTCCCAAATCATCTTGATGCTTTCGGACGATATAGCCTGCAACCCTAGGAACGCGTTTCCTGGATTTGTCTTCAATAATGCCGACAGACAGCTCGAGCTGTACGGAGATAATATCGAAGTGGATTACCGTGGATACGAAGTGACGGTCGAGAACTTCATTCGTCTTTTAACAGACAGATGGCCCGACGAGCAGCCCAAATCCAAAAGACTGCTTACCGATGAACATTCCAATATTTTCATCTACATGACGGGCCACGGTGGAGATGAGTTTTTGAAATTCCAAGACGCGGAGGAGATTTCGTCTTATGACATCGCAGACGCCTTTGAAGAAATGCACGAGAAGAAGCGCTACAACGAAATTTTCTTCATGATTGATACCTGTCAGGCCAACACAATGTACAGCAAGTTTTACTCGCCAAACATTCTGGCTGTTGGTTCATCCGATTTACATGAGAGCTCATATTCTCACCATTCAGATACCGAGATCGGAGTAGCCGTCATCGATCGCTTCACATATTTCAACCTAGAATTTTTGGAGAACCTGGAAAAAGACAGTAAATTGACGTTGCAGGATCTGGTGGACTCGTACACTTTCGAGAAGATACATTCCAATGCTGGTGTTCGCACAGACCTGTTCCAAAGAAATCTCTCTGAGGTGCTAATCACTGACTTCTTCGGAAACGTTCAGCAGACCGTTCTTGACAACGTTGAGGAGGATTTGCTCTATTTGACTAATCACGACGCACAAGGCTTCTTGAAGAATCTATCCGCACCAAAACTACTAGAGGTCGAAGAGCAAAGAAAACCAAGCTACTTCAATCAAAACAAAAGTATGATCACTCTTGGAACATGCGAGAGCAAACAAATATCGTCTACAAATCTCGTCACCACTGGAGCGGTCATTGCCGCGTTGTTCTTCTTTGTCAACTACTTCAAAATTTAATTGTCTTATTCTGCAAATCCGTTGAAAACCGTTTCGAAAAACCCGTGCGCCGATGAAAAACACCAGGACGCGGCGTTGAAGATTCCAAGATGTCTGGGACGGATCCCGCTTGAAGCAAGGGAGTACTTGAGCACCAAGCCTGCAACGCCAATACCGATGGAACACTTGACAACCATTGAAAGAGTTTTGTGATGCGAGACAAGTGCCTTGGAGACGCGAGAACGTTTGAGAGACCGCTCCTGTTCGCTCGTGTGCAAAAGGATAAGTTCCGGGTTGAGGGATGCCGCCCTTAGCATGCTGTACTTGCTTAGGTCTTTCGTTGTTTGCAAGGTCCCATGCGGGAAATCGGCCATGTACCGCAAGGCATTCTTGAGTATTTCGAAAAGATGACTGCACTTGAGATTGTGACTTATGAAGTTGTTCAGAGTCACATGGATAAGGTCTCTGTCCGCGAGATCCAACTCAGTCTCTTCTGTGAGGGTATCGTCGCTCGTGAAAGACTTGCCCAAGAGATCATCCAGATCGTTCAATAGATCATCTTTATAGAAGACAAGTACCGCCACATAAATATAGTACACCAAGACAGCACTGTTCTGGGTCAGAATGAAGTCCCAAACTAAACACAGCCCGTCGAAATCTGCGATATCATGCGCAAAGAGGGAGATCATTGAGCTCAGCGCATAAATGGGTTCAATTGAGCCAATGAGAGCGTGTAATTTGGGATCCACCAAAGATAAAAGCTCGGGTATCAATTTGAGCTCTCTAACTGTAGACTCAATGTCCGGCAACATGTGGTCTCTGAGGTACATGAGTGTAAGTTTCGTCATAAATTTGTAAGCCATGAGGTCATCGAAAATCAAAACGGCGATCGAGGCAACATCGTGGTAGCCTTGGTAATAGTTGAGTCCCGGATATGCACACAAGGCACTGTTGATCAGATGGTCCAGGCGTCCACGTAATGAAAGCATCTCATCAGGATCCGTTTTTGGATAAAAGACAAAAGATCTCTCTATGTCTTTGGTAATCTGTTCGTGATCTTTGTGCTTGAGGTGCGGAACAGGTTGAGGAGGATTCCAGGAATCCAACTCCAGCAATTTGGGCCAAATGACTGCACGCTGCTCCCTATTCACGGCTCCTGATCTCGTGGCTACGAGGTATCTGAGTAATGCTATATCTTCCGACGCGAGAGCTTTTTGGAGCGACTTGAGTTTAAGAGACTCATTTTCTGTAGTCAGAGGATACTCGTTAAAAATGGAGCAGTCACATTCCATATGCGTCCATTCAGGAACGCTCATTGGGAAGAAGAGCAGAGGATGTAGCAAGAAACAGAAAATTATGACATAAAATTCAAGGGGGTAATGGGTGCCTGGCAGCGCTGAAACTGAGATATAGCGTGAGGTAGTCAGATTATTTTTTTTAATCTAAAAAATATCACGTTTAAATATTTGAATGGAAATAAAGAAGAGCGATTTCGAATTGGGGAAAAGAATTGGCGGAGGCCGCTTTAGCGATGTCTACCTGTGCAGGACGCTGAATGATACGAACTTTTTCTTTTCCGAGTACGCTTTGAAAATCACCGAGCCAGAGGATGAACTGCCTCCACACAATGTAAAAAACGAGCTGAAGCTGCTACGAAAACTGGCGGATGCCCAAGATAAAGAAGATAAGGAGAATGGTACTAGTATAGGTAGAAATGTTGTGCGCCTTATTGCATTCTACCAAAGTCCCATAGAAATTGGGCTGCTGTTCCCTTTTTACAAAACCGACTTGAACGGCGTGATCGCAAGTAATACTAAAGTGCGGTCTGCCTTCAACTTACAGGATGGTACGATCACGAAAAAAAGGGAAAACAACTTCAGTACATCTCAGATCATCCAAATTTTCAAAGGATTGCTCCGCGGGCTTGCATTTATCCATAGTCAGGGCATCATCCATAGAGACGTCAATCCAAATAACATAATGTTCGAGTCGCCTAGCGAACTCGAACCTGTCATTATTGACTTTGGTATCAGCTACATGGAGCCAGACAACAATGGTTTGGAGAAAGGAGACTCTAAAATTACAGATATAGCAACCGGCTATTACAAAGCGCCAGAGCTGTTACTTTCGGTCAAGGACTATAGTAACAAAGTTGATATATGGTCTGCCGGTGTGATCCTGATGCTCATATCAAGCAAGGAATTCACCACGCCATACTCAAAAGACTCTGCACACAGCGACCTAGCTTTACTCGCATCCATATTCAACACTTTTGGGTCGCCGCCCGATAATTGGCAAGAAGTTAAGTCTTCCCGATCGTATGGTGCGATGAACACTGCTTTTTTTCGCAAGACCCGCAGATCTACGGATGACTTGCTGTTCAAGTTAAAGGATCATCCCCAATGCGTGGAAACTTTCAACAGTATGATGGTGTACGAGAGCTCCTGTAGACTGTCTGCAAGCGAGGCGTTGAAGAGGATTGACTCTGAGCGACTGCAGAACCAATAGATGATTCAGATGTTTATTTGAGGTCAGAAAGCTTCTTTTCGCATTCGACGATGCTTTTGGTGCTAGCCTCAATCTTATTGGCAAGATAGGTAAGCCTCTCCCTGAACAACTTGTGATCATCAATGCCACTATACTTTTGAAGCTCCTCCTCAAACTGGCTTATTTTGGAGCGCTGGAACTTAATAAGATTTGTGAGATAGTCCGTCTCCAGCGAATGATATATTCTTGACTCTTTGACCATTGTCTCGAAGGCCAAGTGATACAATGGTTTCGACGGTTTCACCTCTTTCACCATTCCCTTCTCACGGATGATAGTGATCAATTCGGCGTTCTCCATGGCCTGCAGTATATTATGGGTGTCACTCTTCAACAACGGGAGCTGAGAAACGTCGTTGTAAGTTGCAACCTCCTTCTCTGCCAATAATTTGATGATACACCATGCTTGAGATGCACTGTAACCAGAAGCGCCATTTCTGGTAAAGAGCTGACTCAGCTGCTCGATGGATTGGGCTACAATGCCATGTAAGGCCTCCTCAGGAGTTTCCCCAGACCGCATGCGCCTCACAAACACTTGGAGATCTAGCACACGGCCGCCGAAAGGTTCGACACACTTCATCAAGGTATCTCTATCCTTTTCAAGATATCGTGATAATCTATCATCGTGCGAAAGCTGCTGTTCAATAAAATTCCTCACGGCTGAGTTCGATGCATCAGTTAAGAGACAGCGTTTGAAAGGAGTGTTTGGAAGGGCTTTTGAAAGGGTTTCCAAGCTTCCAACGTCGTCTGTCACGAAAATGACATGGGCTATGTTCATGCTCACCATACTTGCTGCCCATTCTGCAAGCTCTCGATAAACAAACGCGTTAGCATTGTTGGCTTTGCGAGCTGCCTGGAATCGGTCAATAACCACGACGGGTTTGTCCTGTGGATTTTGCTGTAGAAAGTCCTCTTCTTTCAGATGAGCATCGTCGTTCCGGCTCGTAGAACGGTAATTGGTTAACGAAATGTCCCTAATGACTGCACTCGTCAAAGATAGCATATTTTTGATCTGCGCCTCTTTGGACTCACTAATTCCCGATTTTTGCCCTGTAAGACCCTGGACTATCAAGTCCACGAACGAAGAGACCGAGTTCAACCACGAGAACACAGGAAAATACCCAAACTCATCAGCAAAGTTCTTAATCAACTCCTGATCCTTCCGTCCCTTTATGATATTTTCGCAATCAATGTACAGACAGTTAGGCCTGTCTTTCAGCACATGCTTCTCGACCAAATTTCTTTTACCGGATCCCCGAGGTCCCTGAACGACTATAAATGAGTTAACATTCTCCTCGATCCACAGCTTCAGCTCTTTGGCAACAATCTCCATCTCTTTCCACATTCCATCCATTCCATTGATCATTTCTCTGTGCGTTTGTTCAGGCAACGAAAGAACGCTGGACATTGTATCACGAGTCCTGTAAGCCAATTTCGAGATCTGTTGGAAATACGGGTTCTTTTCCAGAGAATATTTGGACGTGACCTTCTCTTTGACAGCGAAGTACCTGATCGGGTCAAACACGAGAACCGCTAATGTCGCCAAGATGGCAAATAACAGAGGAATAGCAATACGAGAGTGGTTGTTGATGAAATTTCCGATCAAGTTGACCTTCACAATTGGCGCATACTGGATATGGACCACGGTGTCGCCAACCTTGATCCCTGTCACGCAGTGCCGTGCACTGATAGCCGCTCTTGTCGACCTGTAGATGACAATTGTGAATGGATCCTTCGAATCTGGAGGGGGCGGAATAATATCATTTATCTCTCCGTACCGCCTTAGCAACAGGTATAAGTTTTCCTGCGTCAGTTGCGGCCCTTCATACCATATCTTGATCCTGGGACTAGGATATCTGCGAAGATCTTCAATCCATGGCGTACCTTTCACCGGGAAGCATCGAACATGAGTTAGATAGTGCCATATTGAGTCGTTGAATTTCTTGCTGACATTGTCCATAATCTGCTTGTTGAACACCTTGACATCCATATCCGGTGGAACGGCGAGCTTGACAAAGGCTCCGCCATCTCTTGGGATGTATTTGAAGCCCTTAATTTGCAAAGCCTGTGGAGAGTTGCTATTTTGAGCTAGATCGAGAACCCTTTTTCTGAGACCGTTATCTGAATAATCCATAATAAATGAACCTAGTAATCTACTGAAGTCATATCGTCCGGCCTTGAAAGGCGTAAGTCTGTCAAAATAAAGAAGAGTCTCCTTACTCTCTTTGAGGATCACACCCGTGTTCGTCGCATCGTCATCTTCTCCCAAATCGCTCTGACGCAAAATCGACTCTTCCGAGATCAGTCTCATCTGCTGGATTGCCCAAAACTTCGGCCATTGGGCCATGTGCCGCCTCAACGGCCTTCTGATAAATGGTCTTATATACATGCAGGCAAATCAAATAAAAAGTGCTACACGAAAAAGTTTATTTATCAATGAACTCATCGGATGAAACACCGCTTCCTCTATTTGAGAGGTTTAGAGATGCACATATTTCCAGTCTTATTGGGCTCATGGACGATGTGATGACCAGCATGGCGGATCTGGACCGGTCGCTTGAGACCGCAGTGGCCATCAGTAAGGAGTTCACGTATTTGCAAAGTATCTGGGGCGCGTTCTACGACCCAACGAGAATGGAACAAGAAATTGAAAAGGCTGAGGAACAGCAACAGCCCGCACAATCTGACCAACCAGATACTAGTACGACAAGCTTCCAATTCGAAGGGAGAATGAGTGATATCAAAAGTTAGTCTGATTACCTATTTATTAGCTAGTATTGATCCTTCCCGCTGATAATGACATCGTTGATCTTCAAGATCATTCTGGTAAGCTGTGTGGCCAGCAGAAGCTGCTGTCTCTTTCCGATCAAGGTCTCAATCACAAACAATTCCTTCATGTCGTTGTTGTTATTCCCCAGACAGTCCACACCGAGCTTGGAGTTTTGCTTCAACACATGGTCTGCCTTAAGTTGCGTCAGTGTCTCAATAGGATCCAAACCGGAGTTCTCGGCCAAAGACATCGGAATCACATCCAAAGCTTGGGAGAACGAACGGAAAGCATATTGGTCAATACCCTTCTGTTTGTCGGCCTCCTCCATGACACGCAAGGAGCACGAAATCTCCGCGGAACCGCCTCCATAAACGATTCTGCTGTCTTTAATAAGGTTGCGGACCACACAGAGCGAGTCATGGAGAGCACGGATACTCTCGTCCACAATCATCTTACTAGATCCTCTAATCAAAGCAGTGACAGCCCGAGGATTATCGCAGTCCTCTATCACCAACATATGGTCTCTAGTAGTTCCGAATTCTAGCTCTGTGACTTTACCAGCGTGACCGAGCTTGGATTCGGTAAGATCCTCGAACCGCGGCACAATCCGTCCGTTAGTGGCCATAGCAATGGTCTCGATCTCTGTTCCGCCAACCCATCTCACGGCAGGTAGCTCATTGGAGAGAAGTAAATGGTTGGCCTCGTCGTCGAATCCCCACTGGCAAACCACCATATTGGCACCTGACTGCTTCACCCAATGGATCATTTCTTTGAATTTGTCCTGCTCGTACGTCTGGAGCTTTTTGAATTCCTCAACAGTGCTCACCTCCAGCTTGTGCTTTGTTTTTGGTTTAGGTGGCTCGAACGGACATGTTAAGATGGCAATTTTCGCATTCTCAACTTTCTTTGGCATTTGTGGGTGAGAGAAGTCTTTGTCGATAATAACACCGTTGATCACCTTGGAATCTTCGAGAGAGCCTCCTAATTTTCCTTCGACACGAATAAGCTCGAAATCAACATCCTTGCGTTCCAGATCAGCAACGTTGAGCACAGTTTCGACAGCCATGCGTGCAAACTGGTCGTGACATTTGGAAACAATCTTTGAGCCAAGGGAAGTCTTGGCTGCCTTGAATAGTTCGCTTTCAGGCTTGGTGTTGTTTTCGAGATTCTCCAGATCAATGGAAACAGTATCTGCAATTCTGTCGAGTTGTTCGAGGGCGATTTCACACGCCCTGTCGAACCCATGTGCTATTTTGATAGGATGGATACCCTTCTCAATCAACTCGAGGGCTTGGTCTAGAAGAGCACTAGTAAGGACAACAACCCCCGTGGTTCCATCTCCAATCTCATCGTCTTGCGATTTAGATAGCTCAACAAGTAACTTTGCAATCTCGTTGCTTAGCTCCATCTGGGACATGATAGTGGCACCGTCGTTGGTGATGCTGATTTCTCCGTCTGGAGAAATCAGGATTTTGTCCAGGCCGCGCGGACCAAGCGAAGTCTTCAAAATAGAAGCCACCTGCCTTGCGGCCAAAATATGCGACTTGACAGCTTCGGTGCCGTGGGTTCTCTTTTTGGAGCCCTGATCTTTCACGATGATGAATGGACGACCCATTTCGTCTTGCGCCACAATGGCGTTCGACATGTCTGGGAGTTCCATTTGTTGGGACATTTGGGACATGGACGCGAAGAAATAGTAGTTGGAAAAAAGTGAACGAAAAATAGACCGTCGCGACGGAGTAAAAAATATTTGAGTGCACTTAAAAAATTTCCAAAAAAAAGAACCTCCAATGTCTACCGTTGGATCCTTGATTTTTTGTCAAGATTGCGGTACGCTTCTTGACTCTTTTGCAAACAGGCCTTCGATACAATGTCAGATGTGCAAAAGAACCTACGAAAGTAAGAACTTTGCCAATCTGAAGGTGGTGACGCATACTGCTCCAGATGCTTTTCCATCCTCTCTCAAGTCCAAAAAGTCTCTCGTCAAAACATCCCTCAAGACAAGCGAAGTGGACGAAGGCGCTACGATCAAAGAAAAATGTCCACAGTGTGGTAATGACGAAATGCAGTACCATACTCTTCAACTTCGGTCCGCAGATGAAGGTGCTACCGTTTTCTACACTTGTACATCATGTGGTTACAGATTCAGAACCAACAATTAGGACACTATGTTACTCAGCCTCGTACATATCCAGGGCCACAATAGCACTCTCGCGCACGACATCGTCCTTGTCATGCAGAAAACCTTTCAAGATAGGAAGAACATCTTCTGTTGCAATAGATCCCAATGCTTCTGCAGCCTCATGTCGCACCATTCCGGCTTCCGCTTTGTTGCCGACAACCTTAATTAGAGCAGGAACACTGACAGGGTTGCACAGCTGACCGAACACGTACGCAATCTCGTGCTTAAACAGCGCCGAGTCATCATCGAATCCAGTGGCTAGGGCAAGGCATGCTTCGTCAGTGCCGATGTCCCTAAGCCTAAACATCGCTCTGTATCTTTCAAATAGAGACCGACTCTGGTCGTTAAGAATTTGTTGTAGCTTTTCCACTTTGTCGTTCTCCTCGTTGTCAACTGGTAGTGGCGGCGCAGGGTCGATAGACTCGTATAAGGATGTTTGCAGATTTTCAGTTTTGGCCTTCTCGCTCTTTGCCCACTTGATACGATCAATAGCCAGCTCGCAGGTCTGCCTAATCTCAATCATTTCATTAGGATCATTATAATATTTTGAAAGCAGGTCCAAAGAGTCGCTGTCCCCGAGGGCCCCCAAAGCTTCAGCCGCTTCATGTCTGACCATGCACTGTTGATGGGTGTCTGCTAACACCTTTCTGAGAATTGGAGCGGCTTTCATATTCTTTGTCTGGCCTAGCACATAAGCTACCTCATGCTTAAGTAGCTCAGACTCATCCTGAAAGCTTTCGGCGATGTATTCCAAAGCCTTTTGTGCTTCTTCTGGCTTTTCTGCAAACTCTGCTCCCACAGATTTCAAAAAGAAGAGCGCGCGAAATCGAAGAGCCAACTTCACATCGCCAGTTTTGTTGACCAAAACATCCCTAAGAGTTTCAAGACTTGCATTTTCATCTTCCCCGTCCCAAATTTCAGTCATTTGAACTGTTGGCCTGATCTAAAGATTTTTTTCAAGTTTTTTTTTTTTTTCTGAAATCCCGAAATCTACGGATCGTCGCGTCGCTTTCTGTTAAATTACAATTTAATCGATGTCGTTCCACCCGATTCATGGTCAGGATCCCATAAAGGTGCTCAAGCAGCTAGAAGGCTCTCAGCTTATATTACCAGTTGTGTCGATAGGGAATACGCCTCAATTGGCGGCAGATCTACTAATACACACGCTGCCTGCGAAGCTAGTGGCGAGACTCGATGATATTTACCTGTACCCATTTGCATCACCTGTGGACTATGTGGATGATCCCAAACAGGGAATCACATCAGGCCTGGAAATCTACTACAGCGAGCAACACCAGGTGACCATTTTGCAGCAAAGGTCTCCAATCTTGCCTGGTTTAATAGCGAAGTATCTCAAGGAGCTGATCGTGCCGTTCGTGCGAATGGCACAGTTCAGCAAGGTGGTGATTCTACAAAGCAATGATGCTGGTCTTCGCGAGGACAAAAACGTGGACCATTTGTTTCTGCTCTGGGCCAACGATATTGCCAAAACCCTTGAGACGTTCAAAATTTCTGATAACAGCATTGGAGTGATCTCCGACAAGTCAGAACTCGACGGCATGGGCAAATTGATAATTGACGCATTTGAGGGTCAAAATGGGGAAACCTCGAGTCTGGGCCCCGAGGTGAAAGGGTCCTTGAAGCTCGGAGGCGCACCTCCTGCGTCGATCGACGCGATATTTCTGTCGATCTTTGTGTACGAGGGCGACAACTCGAACGATTCGAAGCAATTGGCTTCTCAGCTTTTACGTGTGCTCCATGTAAACGAGCCTGCAGAATGGACGACTCCGATCTCCTGGCGCGGAGTGTATGGCAACAAACAAATTCCTGTTGGAATGGAGTATGGTGTGTATACTTAAAAATTTTTCAGACCATAGATAAGTGAGAAACTATTCAAGGCAAAAAAGGGCGATAGACAAGCACCAACACCGTAATTTGGTTAGATTGCAAGCCTTGCACTATAGGTACCACTTTTGTTCACGCATCTGGGTAGAAGCTGCTCGAGTTGCTAAATGTCGGATGGCAATTTGATCACCAAGATGCTTGCTGACGCTGCGGCGGAGGCTGAAAAGGAAAAACAGCAGCGGCAGGAAGTCAATGAGGTTCCTGCTCGTGCTGATGAGGATGTATCTCCAAAGGATGCCAGACGGCGTTCTACCAAGCAGCATGTGTACTCCCCGGAATTCTTACTTTCATTGAAGGGGTCGCCTTTATGTGCAGACGTTTCCCATCTGAACCTGCCAAGCAACCAGCACGAGTTTTTCCTCTTGGACCAACCGAAACGTACCGCGTATGCTAATCACAATAACCACAAATACCCAAACCAGCGTGGCAGAAAGGATCGAAAGAAGGATACAAGAAAGACAGCCAAGGAGACGGAGGAACCACCAGAATGGGTGCTGAAATCAGACGCAATCACGGGAAATTCTATCCAAGATTTTGAACTATGGAGACTCAAGATGCGGATAGAAACTTTTAGACGGAACGGGGAGCCTGTTCCCATGGAGGATGTCAACCAATATGAGTACTTGAAGGCCCAAAAAGCCGAGAGTGCGGTGGCAGCTGACCAGTCGAGCCAAAGTGTTCCAAAGCCAGTCACCAGACCTGAATTCGACTTCCATGAACCAATTCAGGAACCTGGCTCGAATCCAGACACTTTCGCCACGTCGAGCTCGGGCTCATCCAGATTTTCGAGTTTCTTTGGTCCTGAACAGACAAACAAAGGGCCCCAACGAAGCCCTACCAAAGACGAGTCCAAGTTGCTATCGTTACTTCAGAACTCCGGAAAGCAGGTGCCACAAGCGCAGCCAATACCCCAGGCGATGCCCCAGGTGGCCATGCCGCCAGGACTAGCCCCGACCGCAGCCGTGGGACCCCTGGGAATTGTAGGTCATATGGGGCCTACGGGGCCTCTTCCACCGGTGGGGGCTATGCCTGTTATGGGTCACCCTCCATCCTCTAACGCTGACATGTTTTTCAACTCTTTGTTGTCCAAGGCCCCGGCTCCCGGATCTGCTCCGTTCTTGCCTCCAGGGCTCTTTCTACCATTTTCGGAGAAAAAATGATGATTTTGCATTCTTCACAAAACTGTAGAGATTCGTAGTACACAATCGAGAATTAACAGTGTCTCATCACATCCGTGACTGAGTTTGGCGTCTGTCTCAAAGAGGATCCTTGAGATGCTGTTCTTCTGTCTTCCGTCCAGGCTCAGCGAGATACCGCTGTCGTCGCCCAGAAGCAGCACATCATGCAGAGAGCTGATTATCAAAGTGGCATTGTACCCTTCTTTCGAGATGTAGTCAGTAACAAACTCAAATATGCGGTCCGTGTCTTTCTTCTCTGCGAGTCTGATCAGTTCCATGAGCTGATCTTTCGGCAGGTAGCCGAAAACGTCCCTGATCTGGTCTTCCGTGACGTCGTCCGCCATTTCGTCCTCGGCAGGAATCAGCATCTTGTGGACACTTTGGAGGAAATTGATGGCCTTTCTCAGGTCCCCGTCACTGATCCTCAAAATTTCCTTTAGCATAGGAGTGCTAGCAAGCACGTTTTCTTCATTGCAAATATATTGCAATCTTTTGATGGAGCTTTCCTCGTCCAGCATCTTAAATCTAAACTTGGAGCACCGCGAGGCAAGCGGGTCTATTATACGGGTGATGTAGTTGCAAATGAGGCAAAAACGTGTGATTCCTGAGTATGTCTCCATGGTTCTTCTGAGCGCACTTTGCGCGTCAGAAGTCATCGAGTCGGCCTCGTCAAGAATCAGCAATTTATATGGCGGGCACGGGTACTTCTCTAGGTCCTCCTTAGAGGGGTTGGAGATCGACAATCTCGCAAAGTTCTTGATTTTGTCTCTGACAATGGATATCCCACGTTCGTCAGAAGCGTTCAGCTCGAGCACTCTGCTCCTGAAAAGGTGTGGGCCGTAAAGCTCCTTGGCCATTGCCAAAATCGTCGACGTTTTTCCAGTCCCTGGGGGACCGTAGAACAGCATGTGAGGAAGATTGGCTGTTTGCAAGTTCCTCTTGAGGACTTGGACAGCGTGAGTTTGCGAGGTAATTTCGTCCAGGGTTTTGGGCCGACTAGCAGTTAGTGGGCGAAAGCGCGTTGCCGGCTGACTTACTATTTCTCGACCCAAGGCATTCTCTCCTTTTGGTCTGACATGGTATCGCGAAGATGGAAGCTGAATTTTTTTAAATTCAATTTCGCGTCGCAATGGAGGAAGAACCGTCCGAAAACTCGTTGAGCCTACCTATTTCGAGGATCAAGAAACTAGTCAAGCTTGACCCTGAGCATGTGTCATCAACGGAATCGGCCAACCATCTACTCGGAGCTGCCACAGAGCTTTTCATCATGAACCTTGCAGAACAGGCCTCATTCCATGCCAAATCACAGAAACGCAAGAAAATCGCATACTCCGACTTTTACGAGGTGGTCCACAACAACGACAGCCTACTTTTCATGAAGGACCTGGTGCCGAAGACTGTTCCTCTACAGCAGCTTGTGAAGGAAAATAAAGTAGTGCTGGAGCCAAAGTCGAACGAAGACGACACCATAGACGACGACTCCGGAGTCTCGACACCGCAGCCAGCCCAACCAAAGCAGCAGACGCTACCTTTCGTGCTCAAGAAAGACGAGGACAAACCAGAAGATGTCCTTATGATCAATTAATCCTCTTTATCTATATACATTTACGCTCTCTCGATATAATCCTCTGTGCGCGGATGTTTCACCTCACCGGTCTCAATATACTCCTTCACTTTGTCGAACAAAAACTTTCCATCTGTAACGCTCGCGTAGCCATCAAATGTGTTCTTTGGAATCACTGCATTCGAAGACACCAGGGGCTTCAAACTGAAGTCGGCAAGATTAGATGGTGCCACAAAAGTACGGACACGCTGGTAGTCAATGCTGTACGTTCCCCACTTGTTCAGACGTCCAATTCCCGATGACCTGGTTCCCTTGTAGAAGTTTTTGTTACCTTGCTTTGTGGTCAGAGGAACTCTCTTGTTTCCTGTTTTCGAGTAGCCGTAAAAAAGCGTACCATCCCTGTACGTCTTCCATGGGCGACGCAGCAAAGCCGACTGCGTCCCTTGGAAATACAAGATGCTGGTGGATCTCATGGTAAGGAATAAAAAAGTCGCAGTATTTTTACTTGCCGAAAATTATATTGTCGACGATCGACTCGTATATACGACGACTATTTACCAGGCTTGATGTAAGCCCGGTTCAAATTAAATATCTCTCTGCAAAGAATGTACCAGTCCACCTCACGTATAAAGCCAGGAGTGTTGCTAATAACATCCTCTGGCCCAAGGTCGAGGTGCCGGATGTCAAACTCGTCAGCCTCTTCGGATATAGCTCTTTCGTAGCCCGTTAGGGAGAATCGAGGCCTATCTCGTGCAGAAGATGAAATAAAGGTGGAACTCACCGACCCCACACTATTCGAAAACGAGGATCTGTCGCTGTTATTCGTGGAGAACGTGGAGTTGTTAGATTGGCCGTTAGAAGATTGCGAAGAAACGCTGAATTGCCGTTTCTTGAGCTTCGACCGCATAAAGAGTTCTTCCCATTTGAACAGTTCATACATCAGCTTCAAATTGGGCTGGATTATCACGTTCAGTCTGCGCACACGCACATAAAGATATGCCCGCGGAAGACTCACATTCAATCTCCTCATCACCTCTGCGATACAAACAGTGGCCGAGCGAGAGACGCCAACCTGACAATGGACTAGAACCTTTCCGTTGCTCTCATAGCACTTGTCAATGAATTCAAGAGCATCATTGATCGTGGTCGTCAAAGTGCCAATGCCATCGTCATTGATGTTATTAATCCGCATCACTTCTTCAACACCACAATCACTTCCTTCGACTCTTTGGTCTGAGCATATCTTGAAAATCTCACACCCGCTCTCGGTAGTGCCTGTAGCGTACTCTAAATCGTCGAGCCAAGGAACATGCTCTCCAACGCTCACAACATAGTTGATTCCCAGTTCCTTCAACAGCCGAAGGCTGGACGCGTGACTCAATGAGCCCAAATAAAGATGAGGAAGTACCCGTGAAGGTATAGACCCTGCAACTGACTCACATACACCCGCCACTTCTGAATCGGTACCAGCAGAAGACAAACTAGATGTGGAATCTGAGTCAGAATCAAGATCCTTAGCGCGTCCTTTCTGTTGCTCGCGAAGATGTATAACGTGCTGACCTGTAGATGTGTTCAATACAGAGTTGAAAGACATATCCAGCGTCGATTTGTGCCTGACGTGTTTAGGAGCCAACAAATATGATTTCACAATGCTTTTATCATCCTCAAGAGTTAGTTTATCACCCTTGAGCTGCGCAAACTTCAGTATCATTGGTTCCAACTTTTGTAGCAGCAGATAATCTGACTTGAATATGAAGAAAGGCCGACCATACTGCATGTGTAGACGAATTATTGCCTCATCGATTCCGATCTTTTGAGAGTACATGATGAAGCAAAGCCCGAGTAGCGAGGTCTCTGTGTAGCCGTCAGAGCAGTATAGAAGACCTGGAAATTCTTTTGTGCATTGGAAGCAAAGCAGTTTGCACACATTGACAATGCATAGAATATCCTCCTCCGATAAATCAGCGATCTCCACAGAACCTGATGGAGGAAATTCAAGGTATATCTGCTGAAGATAACCAATGCTAGAGATAACTGTTCGCAAATCCATTGGAGTTGGAAACTTGGCACCATCAATGCAATGCACAAATAACTTCCAATGCGCTCTTGGAAATGTTATCAGCTTGGCGTCCACCTCCTTGATTGGCCTCTGAGCAAGGTCCTCTTTCTTCAAGATGACGACAGTATTAGTAGGATCGCAGTGCAATGGGAAATCCCGTGATTTCAAATCAACAGAAACTGGCTTTTTACCCGAGTTCAATTGTATATGGAGACATTCGAAATCGGTAGTGTTTCCAAACCAAACATTGTCGATTACCTCCGTTGCTGAGGACATCTTTGAAATCTCGAGCTTTTCACGGTAAAGATAATTCGAGTCCCAGTTGTTGAACACCTCGATATCGTAGTCAGAGCAAAGATCACCAGTTGCTTTCGAAGACGCGTCAGGCTTTAACAAGGGTATCGACAAAAGATTCGAAGCTTCCAGCACATTAAGTTTGACGTCGTCGAGAACAAAAGTGTTGTAGAGCTTCTTTTGATCTTGTTGAGCCAGCTCAGGGTGATCTGTGGTATACATCAGCTGGGCAATATGCAGTAGTCTGGCCAGGGACGCGCACTTGCATTTGCTATTCCAACTGTCTTCTTTCTTGGGCAGACGGACCGAGCGCTCGTGATCATCATTGAAGCAGTAGACGACCAAATCTGATATATTGCTCATTTTGGAAACTTGAATATGGAAGTTTCGGAGGGAAACGCCAACCTGTGGATCCATATTTTTGAACAGCGGCAAGAGTTGGGTGCTTACACAATCTTTCACCAGCATATCTATCGGAAACGAACTCAGTATCTCTTCCGGCAGGATGGATAGCAAATAAAACTCCACATTGCGAACACTGAACACCGAAACCAGTATGTCATGCGGCGAAACGGTTCCTTTGATTTGTCCCGTTGTTTCGGCGATTATATCATCACAGCGGTTGCCGTCAGTGCCGGCACATACAGAACGCACTGGCATGAGGCTGCGAACATTAGAAGGGACTCCTATCTGTAGATCAGAGTCAAGCTGGTTCGTTAAACTTGAGAGAAATCTAAGCTGAACTGTGTTATTCTTGTGAACCCCATGTAGCCATGGAAACATCCTTTCTGTCTCTGGAAGCTCTGCTGTATAATGTCTGACTAGAAATTGGCAAAGTTCGTCTGTACTAACAAGGATGCAAGCCTTCGCAGTTTTGAGCGAACGGTGGTTGACAAAATAAAGAGAGTCCGGCTCAAATATAGATCCCAGGTCGGCTGGTCTCATCGGTGTATACAATGAGTTTGAACGGCTCTTTTTGAAATATTCGTCGCCCTCCTGGTAACTCCCTTTGAACAGGCTGTTAATCCGAGACCGAAATTTCTCTTTATCCTCATACGAAACACTATTCGCTCTTTTGGCACCAGCTCTTATCTGAGGTCCCGGCGCTGTAGGTTGAGGCGGATGGGACGATGGCCCCGGAACTGCCTGCTCTACTTGCTCGAGCTGGTTCATATCAATATAGATCTTTTAGCTTATTTGTTTGCGGGCTGCTTTCTGGGCAACTTTTTTTTGCACACTTTTATTGTAGCCCCCACATATATCCTTATCTAACTTTTTGGCGCCACATATTGTTTTACTAGCCACAGCGGCGGTGTTATATACATTTACATCTTCTCGATCAACTGGATCAAATATTTGAGGAAGTGTCTGTCACTGAACTGGACAAGCTTCTCAACAAAATCCTGCGCAAGATCGACGGGAAATCCCATATTGGAGATCAGCAAGGCACGTAGCTGGTCCACCATCTCCTCGTTGAATTTGATCGCTTTATTTTTCTTGGTTGCTTGTAGATCAGGGACCTCGCAACCGGCGTAGCAGACAGCCTTCATAGTGCGAATGACCTCCAGAAGAATACTATTGCGGTACTGGGCATCGTTCAGAAGCTCTCTTTTCATTTTGAAACTCATTTCGCAGGCCAATAGCAGTGCGTTTGTCACTAGCAGTTGCTTGGCTTCCTCAAATACGTTGTTGTCGTTTTTGAACACATCCTCTGGGTCCACAACTTTCCCGAGCCCAACGCCTTGAATTAGCGAGTTGATGCATGTGATAGCCACCTTCACCAACGAAAGATCGTTGTTTTGGTAGTTGTAGATGTAATTAAACATCAGATTGATGATGTTAACTAGAGTACCTTTGTTTTCGTTTGTCAGCCACAAAGAGCTCACATGGTCACTGTTCATCGAGACAAGCAGCGAGATAAAACATTTTTGCGTGTCTAAAATGTCTCTCTTCATGAAATCGTCTTGTGCGGCAGATGAGTCCGTTTCTATACGGGAAATGACCTTAGCGACCAGCGGCGTGAGCAGCGAGTTCAACATAATGTATATCTCTTGTGACCTGCCACAATGATGCATGATCTGGCCTATAAAGTTTAAGAAGTTGTTGATCTCCTGTAATTTGAGCTTGTCGAAATTGATCATTATAACAGAGATAAACTTGGAAAGCAATTGCTCTAGAGCCTCAGATGGAGTTTTAATGAAAAGAATAAAGAGTCTCACAACACAGAATTCGGATGCCTCTCTAACTATGTTGAATGCAAGGAAATTTTCCAAAGTAATGAGCACCACCTGGGAGATCTGCTGTAAAAGTGCAATAAATCTTTCGTCAAACTCGACGACATTTAAACTTTCAAAGCCTTTCAAAATAGTACCGACAGATACAAGTGAGTGGTGCACTAGGACAACCAGGTTGAGGTTCAGTTGCGACATGTTATTGATGCATTTTTCTAAATTGGAAAATAACGGCTGAAGCACAGATTCAAACATGGAGACACGTTTGTGAGATTTTCTGATCAGCGAGAGCAGCAGACCAATTGACTCAAACAAGTAGAGTTGGTGATCAAAGCTACCGTCTGTCTCAATGAGACTCAGATCAATGTCCTCCGAGAGTTTCGCCTGGCTAGTGACCTCGAAGTCAAAGCTCAAAAGTGGAAGCAGGCTTTTTATCAGCTCTTCGAGAATGAAGTCGTCAATGGGTGGTTTCGTGAGTTTGATGAATCTATAGAACAAATACCATGAGCGGTACTTCACTTTGTCGTTTTCGCTGAACACTCCGAAATTGGAGACAAAAATTTTGAGCACTTTCAGCAAAATGTCGTCTTTGTTGACTCCATCGACCTGAATATTATTATTTGTGAAGAAAGTATAGTGCTTCAGAACAAGCTCGAAAAATAACAACTGGATCAGCGAATGATTGACTAGAAATGTAGTTGAGCCATCAATCACCTTACAGAGCATTTCGTTAAAGACAAAATATGGCCGAGAATTGTTGATCATGGTCTTAGGCAGATTCATGACATTGTTTCGCAGAATTTCGCTAAAGTGACTCAATTCATACATTCCAAGTTCGATGGTGCGCCAGTCGGAGTTAGAGCTGAAAAGCGACTCATTAATGCAGTTAATCATGACGTCTAATGCTAGTGTTTCGTTGAGGATGACAATGGAATCGTGGAAGGAGTTCAGCTTGCTTCTCACTTCTTGGAATTGCTCGATCGACTCTTCCTCAGAGCCATCGTCTTCCTCGTCGAACTTCTTCCTCATAATGATTTTTTTCAGCAGTGTTGTGAGAATTTCATTGCTCGATAGGTATGAGAAGTCAACTTGTTCGTTAGTGATGTTCTTTTTCAGGAAAAGCAAGAAATTGCCGATAAAGGGGAAAACCTCCAGCGCGACATCGTCGTAGTCGTTATCAAGGTATTCAAAAACGAGCGGGAGAACATCGATTATTTTGTTGATGGTTAAGTTTTTGAACTCTGTGTTTGCCAGTTCCTCGTTGGAGCTGGTGTCGAGCACGTTGACCAGCTCTGACCCCAAGTTCTCGACCAGCTTGGAAAACGCCACGTTCACGTCAAAATCTGCTTCTTTGGATTTGAGGTCCATTTGATTCAGAATGCTGGTCAGATTCAGAAAATTGATGAGCTCCAGCTTCTTGATTGGCGCCATCTTTTTGTGCAAGATCTCATTGAAGCACCCCGCAGTCGTGATTTTCTGTTGGTCGTCGGGACTGGTCAGGAATTGGTACAGCAATCCTAAGTACTCTTCGTCGAGAATAAGATTGATCTCGATCCAAGAGACATATTCACCAATGCATTGAATGGTGTTGTTCAGAATGTCTCTCTTCAATGCTGTGTTTGTATTTGAGAAGTGTTTTAGTATGTTTTTCCATGACTCGGTCATCAGTGTCATGTCATTGGCTCTGATTGCGTCCTTTAACAAATTGTTTCTCTCATGATGTTCCGGCTCGCGAGCGATCATTTGATCTCCGATCTCTTGGTGGATCACCAGCAGAGTTCGTAAATAGTAGTCTGTCGCTAGCTCATTAAAAGTCCCTCCAGCTTGGACTGGCGCGAGAAGATCCTTGATGAGCGTCTGGTAGCAGGAAAGCGTGGCATGGACAAAAAGTAGGCCAAAGGTTTTGGAGAGGGCATTTCTCAGAAAAACGGGCTCCACCGAGTTCTTGTCGAGCAAATCCTTCAGATAATTAAACAGATAGTCCTTGACGGCCAGCTTTTGCGAGTTGTCCATGAACGGGAGTCTAGCATCGAGTACCTGGAAAACGAAAAACTTGACGTTGGGCGAAAGTTGAGCATTGGAGCTCAAAAGATTCACACAGCGCTGCCATCCGTCCGAAGAGTCTTTGATCTGCGTGATAAACTCTAGCGCCTGCTGCTTCAGCTGGACGTCCGCCGTGGCGCTCGATGCGATGTCCACAGCCTGCAAAATCTGTTGGTCCATTATATATAATTGATATATTTTTTTGTTTGGTTTTTCAAATTCTAGCTTGGTCGTGTGCGGGTTAAACGAGTCAGAGTCCAGGCCGTGATCCTCAGAACTGCCCGACGACGTAGTACAACTGCTTTGAGTAGGGATACTGTGATCACCGCTTTGTCTGGTTGGCTACGCCTGATTGCTCGACAGTGAGCCATATCAGAAACAACTTGCTATTTATTCCCAGCCAGCTCTTCTTGTCGCACTGCCCGAATAATTTTTCTCTAATGCAGTTGTTTATACCCAGCGCCCGGTTATTGAGACCTGCCCTCTGCTTGCGTGCCGGCAGGCTCGCTCCGTTTGTTCGTTTTCAGTCGACGTTCCTTGCGGAAGATCTTAGAAAAGCCAAAGAGGAACGTCTTGCCGGGCTAGGATACCTGGCTAAGTTTCCTCCAAAGCTTATCCCGTACATGGAACTGATGCGGATCGAAAAGCCTATTGGCACCAAGCTACTCCTGAGCCCCTGCCTGTGGGCAATCACCATGGCTGCGTACATGTCGTCGGCGCCCTTGACATCCACACTTTATATGATGTCGGTCTTTGGTGTTGGGGCTTTCGTGATGCGTGGAGCAGGTTGCACCGTTAACGACCTGCTCGATAGAAACCTCGACAACAAGGTCGCCAGAACGATGGAACGGCCAATTACGTCGGGACGCGTCAACGTGAAGCAGGCGTTGGTGTTCTTGGGTGCGCAGCTGGGTGTGGGGCTCCTGGTGTTGCTTCAACTGCCGTTAGACTGTTTCCTGCTCGGAGCCTCGTCATTGGCCCTTGTGGGCACGTACCCGCTGTTCAAGCGGTTCACCTACTACCCGCAAGTCGTACTTAGTCTGTGTTTCAATTGGGGAGCGCTTCTTGGCTTCCCTGCCATGGGAGTGTGGAACTGGCCCGTGATGATCCCTCTCTACTTGAGTGGCTTCTTCTGGTGTATGCACTACGACACCATCTACGCGCACCAGGACAAAAAATTTGACGCTGAGGCCGGCATCAAGTCCACGGCACTGGCATGGGGCGACAAGTCAAAGACCGTTTTCCGCGGCCTGACCGCCGCCCAGATGGGATGCTACACGTTGAGCGGATTCCTTGCCGGAATGGGCCCTGGGTTTTATTTCGGAGCAGCGTACGGCGCATACCGCCTCTTGAGAATGATTCAGCTGGTGAATCTGGACGACCCAAAAAGCTGCGGCTTCTGGTTCCGAGAGAACATCAAAACTGGCCACGCCTTCTGGCTAGGCATTCTCGTTGATTACTGCCTCCGGCTGCTAGGATACTTGTAGATATGTATCAAATTCATTAATACCAATAGCTATGAACCTCACTGAGCTTATTTGGAGGATGGACCTGGGTTCATTCTTCTCTTTCCACCTGGGGTGTTGGCAACGTTAACAAATCTCTTGGTGTACAGCAGTCTCTTGTATGCTCTTCCCTTTGGCTTCTTTGGCTTCTCGGTCTTCTCGACCTTTGGAGTTTGAGACTTAACCTTACCGGCACGTGCAAGCGATCCGTGGACTTTTCCCTGACGCTGTTAGTTGCTCGAGAGGATGTGCCTACTTACCATTTTGCAATAATTAGGTTAACTAAAAAAACAGTTCGCCTCTAGAAAAAAGAGTAAAAAATTTGTGGAAAAGCCCTTCTACGACATCACGTGATATATAACATTTTCCAGAGTACTCCATCTACCTCATTAGCGCTACAAACAAAGCGACCGACAGCAGACACGTCACGCCGTATACGAAGTACGGCTCAATGTATGCGACAGGGAACTTTCCATTGCGAAGCATCGATTGGGCGATAAAAAAGCGCACGCACCCAATAAGCACCGAAACCATGGCCATAACTATGAAACACAGCCCCAGAGCCTTTCCGAGTCTTGTAGTAGAGGAGCCCGGGCTCTTGGCCGCTCCCATTGCCAGCAACTGTGTGACATACACCCCCAAACTTGCGAAGGTAAGCGACGTTCGGAGCCAAGCAAGGAAAGTGCGCTCTGAGGCCAGATGGTCGCGGGCGACCTGGCCCTTGTTTTCTAGTAGACAAGACCCGAACTCAGTTGCTCTATTTAGCCAGTGGAAGTCCGAGAAGCGAACCATGGCTATAATTTAGCAACGAATATGATCACGATGGAGAAAATCTAAGATGTTAGTAAATTCTGCATTACATCTGCACAGCCACGGCCGATAAGACTTACCGGTAGAACAAAGAGAGAAATGGCAAAAGCTGGTATGGCACCGTTTTGGAATCGCTCTGACCTGACAATCCGGTTGAACATGGTGCAATATCGAGCCATGCCGAAGGCAAGCGTCAAAAGAGCTGCCGCCAGGCTCAAAGCACCCAGAGGTTTTGCATAAGTTGTGGCTATATAGTAGTCGTGGCGCAGCATTTCTGGGTACTTTTCAAGGTTCAGAGGCTTTAACGGGTTGATAATTGCGTACTCGGCAAGGCGGACCACTCCGACTCCGAGCGACAGAAAGCTCATCGATGTCCGCAAATATGCAAGCATGGTGCGCTCATTGGACAGATGGTCTCTAGCCACAGCACCAGATGGACTTAAAACAGGGTATGGCATCAGTCAAATGTAAAAAAAATAAATTAGTGCTAAGCGGAAAAATCTAGCGAGGCTATTTTGTAGATCAGGTAAACATCGAGACCTATCATTAGGAAAAAGACTAGGGGAATAACGGTGCCATCAATTCCAAAGCGGTTGTAATAGGTCAAAGAGTAAGAATTTACCACGAACCTTCCGACGTTTGTGACAACGAATATGAGCCCGAAGCAAGACATAATCACGGTCCAAGGTCTCACAAGCGTCTCGTAGAAATTCTGGTCTTTTGCAAGTCGGCCATAGTCGGGCGTCGGACAGATCAGCTGCTCGATGATTGACCGTTTAAACAGCTGAATGGCACTTATGGAGACAGTAAAATAGTTCAGCGCGGTTCTGATGTACGCTAGCAGACCTCGTTCATTTGCCAAGTGGTCACGCACCGACGAGCCGGAGTTGTCGCTGCTGACTATGAGATGGAACTGGGGGGCTGGGTCCTGTGGCTCCTCCTCTTGGCTTGGTACATTTCGTGCAGACATAGAAAAATACTGTCTTGAATTTATTTTTAGATACTTATATGCCTTTTAATGCGCCACATATGCCATGCGATTATATGCTCACGAAGTGGAAACTGTGACAGTCCTGTACATGCGAAGGGTGCCAACAGTGCCTTTTGAAGTTAGCGAGCCGAGTCCCACAACTCCCTGCGACGGAGTGGCGGTGGTGGAAAACATGGATGAGAATTTCTGAGAGTAGGTTGTAGAGACGGTAGCCACCGAGTTATTTTCGGTGATAGTGACCCAGACGAAGGTTGGTGAGACGCTGGTGGTGGACGTGCTTTCGGTGTCTGTTCCAGTCTCAGACGTCAAGGACGTGGTAGGCGTGATCGTTGCGGTGTCGCTGGTGGTTGCCTCGGCTGTGGCTGGTGCGGTCGTCGATGTGACGGTCTCAGATGAAGATGTGGTCGGAGTGGTTGCTGCCGTCGGCGTAGTCGTCGGCGTAACATCAGTAGTGGTTGCTGGGGTTGCAGTTGGGGTGGAGGATGGAGTAGAAGTCGTAGATGGAGTTGCAGTCGGCGTTGTTGCATTTTCTGTTGGTGTAGTATCGGTTCCGATAGTGGCGGTTGTTGCAGCATTTGCTACGCCGGTGGTGGTGGAGGATGACGAGGAAGAGGTGGTGGTGGTGATGTCGGCAAGGACACCGAGCGCCAGGATCAGCAACAGCGCGAGTCTGCTGGTTCTCATCACCGAAATGTTATTTTTGTTACAAATCAAAAAACTCTCCTTCGATTTCTCTGTGTCACCGGTTTCAATGTACTGTGCCGGAATTTCTGCGTCGACCTGCATACAAGATTCGGACCTAAAAAAAAATTGCACTGTTGAAATAAAATGGGCACTCGCAGAACAACGGATCGTCGTTCTCTCAGATCTGGATTTTTGCAATATACAGCCCAATTACTGTCCACTCAACATACCCACACAAAATCGCAGCGGTTCTGCTGGGCACCACCTAAACCGATAAACGACGCGTTCCAAGCCGTCTCGCTTTTACACCGCTACGCCCTTTTCGTGTTTTTGCCAAGCTTTGGATAAACAGAAGAATCCAACAGAACAATTCGCGCGTATGCGAGAAGTTGCATTTTTCTAGAAATCTTTTTTTGTTTTACTTCAAATGACCTTTGAGATTTCACACACGGCAATCAATACGCATATATGCACGTTACACAGTTGGTAGTGTCTCGATCGCATATTCTAGCGATTCAGCCAGATCGTGGCAGTCGCGCATTGTTAGCAAGGTACTACCAATAACGATATCGCCTTCGACAGTCACCAGATCTCCGACTTGGTACGTAAAATACTCTCTAATTTCAGTAATGTTGTCGCTGAATCGGGTAACCAGATACAGAATATCTCGATAATTTTCCTTTGGTGCGGTGGCTCCCGTAAAGTTATTGATATGATCCAAAGCTATCAGACACCATTGGACAATCATCTACAGAGGCAGGAAAGTCCACCGAGCGCGTCAGCCAACCGTGTTCCACCACAGCTCCAAGCAGGGAATAGTATAGAAAATCAGTTGAAAACCACGTCCGTTCGGGCGTCTTCCGCAAGAGCTGGATATGTTCGGCATCAGCAAAATAAAACGATTTTTGCCGTAAATGCCAGCGTCATTTTTTCGATACACATCGCATTCAGTTCCATAATCTCGTGCAGGCCCCATATGAGCCGGTTCACAGCCTCCTGCAGAACCCGCACAAACAAGATAATAATGATCATAGATAGTACAAGCAATCCCAATGGCTCGAGCCTTGTTCTCTCATTACGAAATTGTGCTGATTGAGAAGACGCGTACTTGTTAAAGAAAACTCTGACAAACGTGCACAGAAGACCCAGTGCTGACTTGACCAGCGAGGCAGTGGTCGAAGCAGACCTGGTGAAAAATACAATTGCATCCTTGGAAGCAAGCAGAACAACGTTAGTGACAGTGTTGACTTTTACTGCTAGACCAACAATCGCCTCATTCTCCTCGTCGAAACCTACCATTTGCCCCTGGTTTCGTAAACTGGAAATCGACCTCTGAATTGCTCGTACCGTAGGCATCTAGCATCGACATATGAATTTCCGATCCAGCAGCCTGTCGACTGCAATATACCGCTCTATCATTTCATTTTGCTCTAAATAGAACTTCACTGCTTGCTAGTTCTTCAATTTCTTCAGTCCACCCTTCTGTGTCTCAGTGGATTTTGGAGGTTCACGGCTGGAACTGGCGTCGTTGCTTCGTCTGAGCCGACCGAGAACGACTTGGCTCTGTCAGTTAATTGCCCTTTAGGAGAAGCGCTGGAACGTCCGCTTGAAGAAGGCAGCGAGACTACAGACCCAGTGCGTCAGTCGGCGTTTGCTCAATATCCAAGGTCGAGTATGACGGACGGAACGAATAAACGGGTTTGTCGCTGGTCATTGCTCGCGTAAAGACTAGCTTAGCTACCTCTAAATACATAATGCACTATTTTTTTCATCACATCCGTGCCCCAGATTGGCGGGTCATCTCATCCAGAAGCACAGGTCCATGGAACTCAGGATCTTGAATGCGATCCAGGCACCATTTGGCCACTGTCTGGGTACTGACGGGCGGTCTTATCACGCCGTCTAGAACATGGCCAAGCACAGTCTCGTTTGCGCGTGCGGCAGCAAGGAGCAGATCTTTGAGTTTGGTGCGGCTATCGCCGCCGGCATGCTCATCATACATGAATCCGGGGCGAAGCAAGATCGGTCTGAGTGCGGGCTGCATCTGGTAGAGCTCATATTCGGTTTTCCGTTTCGACTCGATATAGCCCAACGGCACACCAGGAAATCCACGATCTGCAGAAACGTACGCGAAAGCAGGCTTCGACTTGTTGACCTCCAGCAGAGTTTCTGCAAGCACGATGGCACTCTCGTGGTTCACCTTGTCGTAGGTGTTGAAAACCGATTTTTTCATGGGGTTTGCTGTTTTGAAGAACGACAGAATCTCTCCAAGAACGTCGTCATTCGATTGCACCACTTTCTTGTAGTTTGGGTTCTCAAGTAATATTCCTATGGAATGAACAACCGCATTGGCATCAGAGAGGAGATCCTTGTATGTGTGGGGCTTGAAGATGTCGCCCTTGACCCACTCTACTTTCTCTGGCCACTCTTCGACGGGGAGCAATTGACGAGGCCGCGAACCGGAAGAAGTCACAGAGACCACTTTGAGGCCTCTCTCAACGGCAGCCTCACATATGCGCTTTCCCAGGAATCCGCTTCCTCCAAAGACAACAAGTTTTGACATAAATATATTGTATCGATGCACCCCCAGAATATTGTCAGTAAGAAACTTACCCTGCCCACACCAAGCACGACCTTTTTTATACTTCCAAAAAATTTTCACTTGATTTTTTCATCTTCGTATTATCACACAGAAATGGTATGTATGATACAACAGCACGAGGGAAAGGACGGCCAGGACACAAGCTGCACATTTGTCTATGCGAGAGAGACAACATGAGAGAACATTTGACCGAAAAAGGGGCCCAGGAGACGGTTTTCACGGGGCCAGAGAGCCGCACAAACTTCAATAATTAGCAACAGCGAGTGGACTACCAGCACAGATGGTACCGACCAGCAGCATCAGATGCGCCATCAGAATGCTGCTGTGAAATTTGGTGCGATTTCGTTCATGTGCCCCTTCTAAGTCCCTCTTTTCGGTGAGCAGTGCGCGTTAACTTGGGCATCTCGTATTGGTTCGCACTCATCCACTCCACTGCTAGCGCACTGTGGTACCGTTGTATGGAGACAGTGTTGTGGCAGTTCTATCTTTTGTTGCCCCTCGCAAGTTTGGCTATAATCTTGTTGTCGCCTGGCCTATTTCCTGGCACTTCCCAACTAACCATTCAGGACACCAAAACTCCAGTCACTCTTGCTAAAGTCATCAAGGTTCTTGGAAGAACCGGTTCTAGAGGTGGTGTCACCCAAGTCAGAGTCGAGTTCTTGGACGACACTTCCAGAACCATCGTCAGAAACGTCAAGGGTCCAGTCAGAGAAAACGACATCTTGTGCTTGATGGAGTCCGAGAGAGAGGCTCGTCGTCTGAGATAAGGATATACAAGTTAATATAACCACACTGTATCAGACACTGTAGCAGTCACACGCGACCTCGGTCACGTGACCAAAACTGGTTCCAGGATTCCCCAAGTTTTAGTGATCTGGTAATTAATTTGAACAATTTACTCTTGCCAAGAATGTCGTTAATGCCCGATAAAGATAGTATTTATGTCGACGTGGAGGAGTGCAATACTGCAGACTGTGCCTCCAAGTTTGAGAAGACCATCGACGCACGCGAGGGCCGCAAATACCAATTGTTCAACAGGAAAACCGGTGCACGTTTGGTTGCTGGCTGTGTTGTACTGAATTCCGACCACTCAAAAGTGCTGATGGTCTCCTCTACTAAACACAAGGACCGCTGGATCTTACCTAAAGGCGGAATTGAGTCCGATGAGATGGACAGCTTCCGCAAAACGGCGTCGCGCGAGACTTGGGAAGAGGCGGGGGCTGTGGGGAAGATTCTCGGCAAGCTGCCGGTTGCTGAAGACCTACGGTACCGCAAGAACTCTAAGAATATACCGACCACGATCGAAAACGAAAAGATACCTCGGAGTGAGTTTCATTTCTATGAGATGGAGATTCAAGAGCTGTGTGAGAAATGGCCCGAAATGGAGAACCGTAGTAGAAAATGGTGCACATATCAGGAAGCAAAACATGAGCTTCTCAAGGCAAAACGGTATGAACTAGCAGAGGTGCTAGGCGAGTCCCGTATTCGCAAGGACTGCACGAACGTGAAGTTTGATGAACACTCAAACGTGTTGCTCGATAAAGAACCGGCAAAGGACACTTATTAGGTTTATTTGCCACCTCCTAAAAGCCCTGACATCATCTCCTGTAACATGTTTGCACTTTTTTGCACGATAGAGACGCCGAAATACGATTCCCCGATAGCATTCACTTTCAGAGCCAGATTGTTTCTTTCCAGCAGCTGGAAGTATCTGTTAACAAGCAACTTGAAGTTTCCAGCGTTTTCGCCGGTGGCACGCTCGCAGATCTCGATCAGTAATTGTAGAAAATTCACCAGCCCGTAACAGTCTTGCAGATCGTTATCTGTGCCCAGTTCCAGAATTTGCAACTCGCCGCTCTGCTGGAAGGAAAACAGACCTGATCTATCGCTTGTTTTAAGCTTTGATATCATATCGGCGACGGACTTTCTAGCCAGCTTCAAGTTTCCAAAAGTAACGTATGGGATCACTAATCTCGCAAGATAATTACCGAAAGTGTTAGGCTGATCAAGCAAATATGCACCAAATTCTAGGTCGACAAGCATCTGCAAGCTCTCAGGCGTTCCACTAACGAGCAGGTAGTGCTCGCTAGCATTGATCTGGTCCACGGAGCCACTGTAGTATAGCTTAGAGCCAATGACAAAGCTGAGAGCTGGGAATCCGCCTTCTGATCCGCTCTTCTTCACAGCAAATTTGGACACTTCCTTGGCAAGATTCAAAACGTTTGGGTCCTCGTCAGGAATGACATTGATGAGTTCAATCAATTTACTCAGGTCATGTGCTTTGAATTCTTCCACCGACTTATTTTCCTTTTCAAACACTTCAATCATGTAAAGAACAAGATCACATGCTTCGTCGTATCTCTTGAACTCCATCAAAATTTTGGAACTTTGGTAGAGCAGCTCAACGGCCGAGCCGTAATTTAGAGAATTGACGTGTCTGTTGATAATCGCCCTCATCGTCTGCTGAGCCTCGTAGTAGGACCCATTTGAGATTCTATGCTGTTAGAGCAACCATCATAGCTAAAACATACCTCTCCTTGAACCGTGCCAAGGATTTTTGCAATTTTCCGTGACTAGCGTCCATCGATTTTATTGTACACTGATCAGTCTCTAAACTCGTATTTTTTCTTAGTGAATTTTAATTTCTAGGATTGTGCGGTGCGGTGCATGCTTGTCATAATAAAATGCGAAACACCTGATTATTGGTAGTAGATTCCCTCCCAAAATCCGGTAGCCTCGCCGCCCATGCTGAACCACTGGTCCTCGGGATCGCCAAAAAACCTAGCTCGGCACTGTACATCCCTGCTCTGAGGTGTACTGGTGAATAGTTTGGAGAATATAACCACTATAGGGGGCAGTGACAGTTCTGAATTGTTTGGCACGAATTGCCGCTTGTTCAGATTGCTTTTCTCCAAACCAGGAAGCCACCATCGAAGTCTAGGGATCGAGAGGTTGCAAAGCTTGATGATGCGCAAATTCTTCATCGGACAGGCCGCGAATCGGTTCAAGAAAATCAGCGTGGCATCAAGTCCTCGAACGTCAATTGAATAGATAGTGGACGCATTCTGGTGGATCAGTAGGGCCATTATCTCGCCGCAGAATTTAAGGTTTGGTTGCTTCTTGATACTTCTATGATCCTGCTCAAACTTCTCCCGTATCAAATCTGAAAACGTGCTTTCTTCCATGAGGTACCTGCTGGGTACTTTCATCACAAGTCTACTTTTCAGTTTGCCGTAGATCATCGGCTCCTTGATGGTTGAATGCAATGCCAGAGTCTTTAGACCCCTGCATTTTATCTCGGGCAATTTTGTCTCCTTGGCATTAAATTTGGGATTTGCGACATTGATATTAATGTGGAGGCCCTTCAACGTATTTGGAAGAGCTTCCAGAAGGTCTCTCAAAAATGTAAAGCTCCCAATGTCCACTTTTAAATATCTTAAGTTTACAAATTTTGGTAGCACCGATATCAAGGAGCTGGGGATCTCGCTGTAATCCGCCTTCCGATTAGAGTGCTTGTCACGCCTGTGGTAGTTTCTCGACCTTTCTTGGCTTCGCTCAAACTCCTTGATCGACACATTATTTTTCAGTTGAAATACCTTCACCTCGGCGTAGATTTCTGAGTTATTCGACATGTGTTGCAATAAATTCCATGTTGTCTGGAGATTCCTGTTGTACCGGAAGCGATGACTGCCACCGGTATATTGCAACCTGACTGGCTTGAGACGGAACAAAGTCAGATGACATTTGTGATAGATAGTCTGGCAGCTCAACAGAAAGGGGATGTAGTCAAAAGATTCAATGTAGCCCAGGACTTTATCTAATAATTCTTTGGGCAGATCTGCAAGCGTTATACCGTTGGAGCATCCATTCAAGAACCCGTCTAGCTGTGGGGCCGGGGAAACCATTTCCAGAGCGCCGAGTAGTGATCAAATTATTTTTATCCTTCACGCTGCCCCGTTGTAAACTGGCTGTGCTCCTCTGTATTTTGGTTTTCCCTGCGCTCCAAAAAACTATTAAATCATGTCTTCTCTTCAGCTGATCGATGAGAACAAAACCTTCAATGAGCGTTTGTTGCCCTATATTCAGCAATACTATGATGGAAAGGACGGCAATGGCCTTAATTACCACATAGTGGCCGTTTTTGGGTCCCAATCAACAGGTAAGTCAACCTTGTTGAATCGTCTTTTTGGCACTGAGTTCGAGGTCATGGACGAGGCGAAAAGACAACAAACTACAAAGGGCATTTGGATATCCCATGCAAAATACATAGCGTCTTCCACTGCCGAGTCTGGGCGCACTGAAAACAAAAATCATGTGTTTGTTCTTGATGTCGAGGGAGTGGATGGAAGAGAGAAAGCAGATGATAAGGACTTTGAGCGTAAGTCTGCTCTCTTTGCGCTCTCTACGTCCGAGATACTGATAGTCAATATCTGGGAACACCAAGTCGGACTCTATCAGGGTGCCAACATGGAACTCTTGAAAACTGTTTTTGAAGTCAACTTGAGCCTTTTCCACACAAACAGACAGAAGTGCTTGTTGCTGTTTGTGGTGCGTGATTTCACAGGTGTCACGCCACTGGAGAATCTTGAAGAGAATCTCAAAACGGACTTGAGTAAGATCTGGGAGAGTTTGAGCAGGCCGGAAAATTGTGAAGGTCTCAAGATAACTGATTTCTTCGACCTCGGGTTCGTTAGCATTTCCCACAAATATTTCCAGACAGAGAGGTTTGAGGAAGACATCCGCTTGCTGGGCGATAAGTTTGCGTCTGATTCTCTTTTCAAGCAGGAATACCACAGAAATATTCCTATAGACGCTTGGACCATCTATATGGACCAAATCTGGCAGCAGATTGAGCTAAATAAGGATCTTGATCTTCCGACACAACAGATACTGGTTGCAAGATTTAGGTGCGATGAAATAATGCAACAGGCATACGACATTTTCGAGGAGCAGTACCAAATGGTTGATTTTGGGGAACTGGAGGATTCGCAACTTTTTGCCGACGCTTTGAAACAGTTGCGCGCCGAAGCCCTCGCACCGTATGATAGTTCTGCTTCAAGATATCATCAGAGCGTGTACCTTGAGCGCAGAGAGCAACTAATCAAGAAAGTTGATCAGAGACTAATGGAGACGAACTCGCAAAGACTGAATTCTGTGATCAAGAAGCTTGTTAGCGTATTCACCGAACAAGTCCAGATTGCAAAGAGAAAGCACGACGCAAAGTTCAGTGACATATTAGCAGCTCAAGCTGCAGCCATTGTGACTCAATTCCGCGAGGACGCCACTAAGTGTATTTTTGATCATTCTCGTGAGCTGGAACAGCTGGAGAGAGAACTAAGCGATATCAGTGAGCAATTGAGGCGCAAAGAGAAGAATCTCTTACTGTCACGACTGGCCAAGAGGTTTCAAACACAGTTCAAGGAGAAGTTGTCAGAAATCACTGGCAACCCATCAATAGATCTTTGGGATAGAGTCTTGAATGAGTTCAGTCAGATTTCACAGAGCCTAGAGTCGAAATATGTCTCTGGTGATTTATATGATTATCAGCTCGGAATGACAGAACAAGAAAACAAGAATACACACATCGAATTACTGCAGTCATTCTGGACAAAGTTCAAAGACATCGTTCATGATTTTGTGACGGAAGACACAGTCTCGCGTATTCTCCGAAACAAATTTGAAGATCTTTTCAGATACGACGATAATGACGTGCCAAGGGTGTGGCTAAATACACTAGAGATTGACCAGCAGTATAACAAAGCGAGAGACACGGTCCTGAGTCTGCTACCTGTTTTTAGCAAGATGGTATTGACTAAAACCAATGAGGAAATTGTTCCCCCTGTGAACATTTCCACTACTGACTCCGAGGAGTTGGATGACGATGATAAGGAAACCACGTTTGCCGAGCTTTTGTCGGCCAAGCAACAGAACGGAGTGCTGTCCAGGGTCAAAAAAGAGATGGATGCCATTTACATAGAAGCCAAGCGTTCGGTTATGGCCAACACCACCTCGATTCCTTTCTGGATGTATGCCTTGGTTCTTGTTTTGGGGTGGAATGAGCTTATGGCTGTTCTCCGTAACCCATTGTTGTTTATGCTGATCATCATCCTTGCTACAACGGCTTATTTTGCTCACTATATGGGCCTGCTACGTCCAATGCTGAGTGTTGCAGGGGCCACCTTGACACACACCAAGACGGTGGCCAAACAAAAATTGCGGGAGCTCGTTGAGGATGCCGAGTCTGCAAAGACAGATGTGAAGGCAGAGGTCAAGGAGGCAAAAGCCGGATAATATGTGTACTAAAAAAAGTTTAAAAAAATGTTTCTCCCTCACCAGGACTTGAACCTGGAGCCTTCCGGTTCGTAGCCGAACGCGATAACCATTACGCTATAAGGGAAGAAACTATCCTATTTATTCGGGGTCCCATTAAGTGCCACTTGATATTTTGACGTAAATTCACTTCTGCCTGTTCATATTTTGATCCTTTCAACAGATGTGTTTATCCATCATATGTTCGAGTTATTAGAAGAGCAACTCGTGCGGTCAAGCGACACATCCTTCCACTACACGCATTATCGAGATGTTCCAAGTCTTTTGCCGACGTCCAAGCTGCCTCTTATGAAACCATGTCCTAGAAGGGAGTATTTGGATAAACATAATTTATTTACCACCGACTTGTTAAGTTTCTTCGGAATTTATATACACACGCCTACTGGGCTTCTCATATGTGCTTGTAAGGACAAGAAGTCGTTTGCCTTAAGACTCGACCGATATGAGCTTCAGGATGTCATAAACCGATCCGAAAGAAACGCTCTCCTGTTGTCCAGCAAGCAGAGGGAAGGAGTACATTATATCAATTATACCAATCGGCCAGGGTTCAAATTCAGCAGGCCGCACGTTGTGGTATGGTCTGATTTGCAGGAGGAAATCACCCTGGAATGCTCGAAAAGAGGATTCAAAGTTGTCTACGAGGTATCAACAGCCGACTTCAAGAACATCTTTCCGTTGTTGCCTGTTTACCTAGGAATCCGAGAGAAGGGCGCAGATCGCGCTTTGGACCTGTCTCAAAGCGAGTATGTTCAGTATCTGACAGACGGTGAACATAAAATCATTCTGTTTCAGCGACTCTACTCGGTGCAAGAACGAGTGACTTTCCAGCTGGATGGCTTGTTGCCCAATGTATCCAATGCTGTCACGGACTACGTGGAGACTAAACACCAAGGTGACGTTGCCACCTTTATCATCGAGTGGTATCGACTGCAGCTGAATAAGAACGTCAACTATGAAGACGACGAGCCGCAAGAAGCAAGATCCGACTTGGCTGACTTCTACGGGATCTTCCCGGAGGTTCTTGGGGACAGTTCAACGGAGGCCAAAGAGAACGCCGTCAACTCAGAGGACGAAATTGAAATCACTCGCGTGCAACTTTCCAGTGATGACCGGGTAAGCAAAAGTGATTAAGGTGGTGGAAAATTGTATGTCTGGGATTCCGATAGGTATGTCCTCTATTGAAATACCAGAGCCGCATGGCTCGTTGATGCTAGCATGGCAGGTCAAGAGTGAGTGTTCGGAACCAACTTGCTAACCTCAGACAAGCATGTGCTTGTTGTAGGCGCTGGAGACGTTGCATTATCCAGGGTGAATCATTTATTGCAGGCCGATGCACAGATAACAGTGGTGGCTCCCGACATCCATCCGTTGATCCGAAAGTACTCTGAACTAGGACTATTAAAAGTGATAGAACGCGAGTTTGAAATGGGAGATCTCGAGATGTACCAAGAACCAGGAGATATCAGCAAGCTGGATATCAACCACGATCGTGAAGAGATAGAGCGCCTTTCGAGCAGTAGATTTGCGATGGTGCTTACTTGTCTCAACAGCTACGACCTGAGCTTGCAAATTTACTACCGCTGCCGGCAGCTGGGTCTGAACGTTAATCTTGCTGATAAGCCTGAAAACTGTGATTTTTATTTTGGCTCTACCTATAGACAGGGTCCGTTACAAATCATGATCAGCTCCAACGGCAATTCGCCCCGGTTCACCAACAGACTAAAAGAACATAAGATCAAACCCGTGTTTGAACAACTGGACATCCGGAAGGCAATAGAGAATCTTGCCTATCTGCGAACAACGCTGCGCACCAAGATTCACCCTGGTGAGTCGCCGGAAGTGATAAAGAACCGCATGGAGTGGAATAAAAAGATCACTGATTCGTATTCTATCGAGGAATGGACACAAATGGACAAAGCCCAAATTGACAGCATCTTAGCAAACTATGCTAGTGTATAATCCATCAGACTGTCTTTTTTTGTTTCTTCTACATGTCATCTGTCTTTTCCGGAGGCAACATAGAAGCGTAATGCGGCACGTACATGTATTGGCCGTTCTGGTCGATATATGGAGACTCTGCCGCGTATGGATCGTAGAACATTGGAGCCATGCCAGGCATCATCATGCCTGGTGTTTGTGGGGGTCCTTGGGCGGGTGGCTGGTGTTGAGGCATCCCGGCGGCAAGCGCAGGAGCTGTCAGCAAGTGGTTTCTGTTGGATCTTCCCCAGCTGAGTCTTACTCTTGAGCCGTCAATCACGTATCCCTGAAGCTGCTCTATTGCCCGTTCGGCGTCTGCGCGCTGCGTAAACTTGACGAAACCACAGCCTTTTCCCGGCGGCACTTTCACGTGGACAATCTGGCCGTACGGCTCAAAAATCGAAAGTAGAGTCGCTTCGGAAATACTGCTTGACAGTCCACCAACGAAGACGGTGGTGTTTGTAGGATCGGAATAAGCGGGAGGCGGTTGGGGCGCGGCATAGTAGCCAATGGGAGGCAGTCCTGGAGCGTGGTAAGGATCGAGTTCGATTGGGATCTGGTGGTGTTTCCGGAATTGTTGGTTTTGGTGTTTCGGAGTGGCCAGAGCCACGCGGATGAGTCGTCCGTCCAGCCACTTGCCGTTCATCTCGACAAGAGCCCTTTGCCGGTCCTCGTCGCTCGAGAATCGCACAAAGCCAAAGCATCGTGACAAGCCGGTGGCAGGGTCAGTCATGACTCGCACTGTTTTCACTGTGCTGAAATGCGTCTGGAAAAGCGCCAGCAGGTGTGCCTCTGTGGTTGCGGGGGATAGGTCTCCCACGAAAAGCGAGTATTCAGGGGTCTGGGCGATCTGTGAGTTAAGGGTCGCGGCAGATGCCCAATTGAGGCGGAAAAGTTTATCTGTTGTGTTTGGAATGATCGTTCCGTTGAGCTTCAACGCCTCTTTTGCGTCTTCGGGTGTCTCAAACTCAACAAAACAGTATCCGGAGTGCGCCAATTGGTGCACGAGGGCATTATGGCGGGGCTTTATAACTTTGACGAGAACACGTTTATTTGTTTTGGCCCACACGTCGGTGATAAATTCCTCGTTCCACCAGGGCTCGATATCGCCCATCCAAAGTGTGCGCGAGGGAACTGTATTTGCGGGATTTTCTGGCGGATCGGGTAGTGTCACTGGGGAATCAGATTGCGCGGCAGGATCGGTCATGTATTGGAGGCAGAATTTTGACAATTATAAACAATTGGAAGGAACTAAATTAAGATGACTTTACGTTTCATTACCTAATTTTTTCCGAAAATTTAACCAGTTTGCTCTGCGTGGCACAGATCAGATCGTCGCGGTGACGAAAAATAACGTCGCGCCGGGAATTTTGTTTATCAACGCGTGTTTATGCTTTCTCGAGAGGCAAGAAAAGAAGCCAGGAAAAGAGGCTCTGCCAAGAGGAAAATTGACCTCGACGGCCTCGTGCTGCGGCCGAAAGCAGTGCCGTCTCAGCCAAGGGCGTCGCCCAAGAGTCCTAGGGTTACGCGGAGTCCTGTAGCGAACAGAACCCCAAGAACACCTAAAGTTGCGAAAAGCCCAAAGGCAGATTTCTCCCCAGAAACGCCAGAAATAAGCTCGTTCATGTCCCCTGAAAGACCGACACCGCAGCAAACGCCAAGGACGCCGAAACGAACTCCATTGAGAACGCCCAGACAGACAGCCACCGCTACTCCGAAATCAGTGAGACGATCGACGAAGCCTGCGACGCCCAAGGTTCCCGCCAAACGTACTCCAAAACAGACACCGCACAGTGCCACGGGAGACATGAGGTCCGCCCCAGTCTATACCCCTAAAAGAGGACCTGGACGGCCGAAAAGAGCTCCCGAGCCTCAAACGCCAGTCATTCCCAATTCGCCCGAGTTTTCTGACGAGTCGCGCGACTCCTCAAGCGATACCGATTCATCTGCGGCTCCAGGAACTCCTCCGGCGCCCGCATACTACGATTATGTTGACCAAGAGGTGGTTGCTGCGACGCGGAAGCGGGTGACACAACAGCACAGAGAGAAGGTGATGGAACGCCGCTCGCAAACAATAGATTCCCAGAGGTCTGTCCAGGACAAGAGACGACGCTCAGCAGGCTACTTGGAGATTAAGTACGGCCGAGTTCCGCATAATAAGACCAAACTAATAACGTTGGACGTCATTAAACAGGCGCTGGTCGATCGTCTGGAAAACAGCGATATTCCGGAGGAGGCTGTTGGCGTGCAGCGCAAGAAAACAGCGCAATTTCTGCGCAACTATAAAGATCTTATCGACAGACATTTTTCTCGTCTTATCGATACGTATCTCACGAACAATCTAATCCTGACCGAACTTTCGGAGCTGAACAAGCTCAAGAACGAGAAACGGAGCCGAATATACGAAATTAGACAGCAGCGACGCGAGATCAGCATGGAACTGAATAGCTTGCGGCAGAAGTATCTGCAAAAAAGCGAGAACCACCGCAATAAGATGAGAGTGTACAAGCAGCTGCGCAGCGTGAAGACGAACGAGGGTAAACGGCCTCCTGCAATCTCCAGGCTTCTGCGGCTGCGCCGGGTCATCGACCCTCACTTCGGCGTGGTGGACAAGCTACAGGTATTGAACGAATTATTACGGGAAGTATAATAGAGTTATACTGGTTATGTATTACATATCGTCAGCAATAAGCGCGGCAATCATCCGGTAGAGGTAGTAGAAGAACATAAGCAGGTGGAAACCAAGCTTAACAAACGACTCCTTCTTGTGTTTGGACAGAGTGCGGAAAATTTCTGTGGCGTCCAGAAGGTGGTTCTTGTTGTAGATCTTATTAGCATTGTAGGCCAGGATTGGCACGTTGAGCAGGAAAGTGAACCAGTAGCCGTTGACCAGGAACAGCGTAGTCAGCATAGCGTGCACAGCTGCCTCAGGAACAATGTAGTTGTTCAGCTTGTTGCACAGCTCAATTGGATTGATATAGTCGCACTCCAGGTCACTGTACATGATGGTGAAGAAAACCTGTAGGAACAGGTTGATCGCGTTCACGATAACTGCCAGAATAAATAACCATGCCTCACCCGTCATCTTTGAATAAGAACAAATTTCAATATCGGTAGAAAATTTTTCTCCCATGCACGCCAAACTCTAGAAAAACACTCTGGGGTCTTGCTGTTTTGGCAATGTACGATCGGCAAGATTTCATTGCCGTGCCGCCTCTGTCCAGCAGCCTTACTTTGGGCATGTCGCCTGCCAAGACGGCCGTCACCGTGCCCTTTGCCCACAAGACAGCCAGTTTCGGGGTTTCGAACGTTCTGGATCTCGGCTCTGGTAAGGGCTATCTGGCCCGAATTCTCGCCAACGGGTTTGGTCTAAAGGTGTGCTGTGTCGACCACAACAAGGACCGGATCAAATCCAGTCTGCGCATTCACAGCCTCATACAACAGGAACAGGTGTTGCAGACCAGTCTGGGGCCCTCTGGCAACTTGCACGCCGTCGCAGCTCCCATTGAGGAATGGGAGAACTTCATCGATGAGGCTACGAGCTTTTTCAGACGCAAGACCAGGCTCGGCGAGAAAGAGTTGGACGTCGCCGTGGTGGGCCTCCAGCTGTGTGGTGACATGGTGTACAGAGTTATAGACCTGGTCTCAGGTTGCAACCGGGCGGGGATTCGGCTCTGCGCGTTTTTGGTGAGCCCCTGCTGCTTGCACAAAGTTGTTTCGCTGAGGTCCAAAGCGTTCCGGGCCAGTGAGGTTTGCGTAGAGAACATATACAAAGATATCCAGGAATATCTGGTGGAAAGGGGATTTCGAAATGTGCATTTAGGCTATCTGAACATAGGCTACTACTACATCGAGGCCACAAGATAGTGAATGAGTTGAGTGAAGCTGAAGAATTGAGCCCGACATCCTGCCACAAACTCGGCACGAGCTATGGTCCCCAATCGTGCCATCCGCTTCCATATATTACGGCTGTGTAGTAGATTTTTTTATCAATTTATTTCATGCCCAGTGTCACCAAAAGCAAGGAAGACGTCAAGCAGCTTCTCCAGTCGCTGGACGATGCGATCGCTACCTGGAAGCCGCTGCTGAATCTGGAGCTCCGAGAAAAGCCATCTCTGAAATCCTCTCAAGTGAGCCATCCTCTGGAAGAGCTGAGTAAGCTGGGACAGCTGATTCATGCACACACCACGAAAGTGGGTATTGTTTACCGGCCTCCCATCTCTCCAGAAAACTTCCATGCCTGTTTTGTAGAGGTCGAAAGCGTCACAAGGAGCCTGGTTATGCTTGTGAGCCTGTGTTCCCAGCTAATTGCAGAAAAAAAAGAGTACTCAGCATTGTACATCCAAAGAGTGCTCGACGAAGTCCACACCTTGCTTGGGACGTTTTCTGTGCTAAGCAACGAGCTCTCCGGGTTGCTGGACGCACAGGACAACGATGCCGACAGCACAAGGCTCGTTTCAGTGGGGAAAATATGGGAGATCTGCGACAATCTCTCGTCTCTGGTCCGCTTAGGAGCGAGCGGAGTGCTGCGCGCCAAATTCAAGGAGTCTGCCTCACTGCTAGCAGACGGACTTGAGGAATATGAGGAGTGGCTGGAGTCTCCGAGCGCAGACAACGGCGACTTCTTTGAGGAGAGCGACCACGAGGACGAGGCAGAGCAGAAAGAGGTGGACTCGGATCTGATCTCGTTCGGCTCTCAGTGGGTGCAGAAACTCAAACTGATCAAGCTACTGTTCACAAGCATGGATAAAAACATCGGCAAAACACAACACACAGAAAAGGTATCGTCCGAGCTCGACAGAATGAACTCAGAAAGGCTGGAGATTGGTCTCCTGGTAGATGAGTTTATCTCTGCGATTATCTACGACATGGATCAGACGGCGGCCCAAGAGTATGCCTCGCAACTCACTAAAGCTTGCTTGTCTTTAACAGAAGTCGTTTCCCGTCTGGAACCGAAAAAGGTGAAATGGTTTGACACTTGGAAAACGAAATTCCAGGAAAATATATAGTATAATCGATAATACAAAATCACCAGTCGCCCTCGTCTTCGTCATCGCTGTTTGCAACCTTGGCCTTTCTATTGCTGAGGGCAGCAGCAAGAGCGTCTGCCAGCGAAGCTGGTTGGCCGGGAGCAGCTGCAGAGGCAGGCTGGCTTGGCGCTTCGCCACGGGCCTCCTGGAGCAGCACATTCGGCTTCTCAAGCTGCGACTTGTCTGTTTTTCTCAGAGAGCCAATACCTGCATTACGGATAGAGGCTAGCAAAGCGTCTCTGCCGTCGAGCTGGGCGCCAGGAGGAGGAGTTGCTGCCGCGGTGTCGTTAGCAGGTGTGGCCTGTGCAGAAGGCATGGGAGGAGGAGGTGGAGGAGCAGAGCCTGATTGAGAAGCTGCTGGGGGCAGTGGAGGTGGAGGGGGAGCCGACTGCGAAGGTTGAGTGGTAGCCGGTTGCATAGGCGGTGGTGGCGGAGCTGTAGGGATGGAAGATGTTTGTGGGTACGGCGATTGAGGTTGCTGCTGAGACGGAGGCAGCGAAGGGGCCGGTGGCACAGGATTTGGGTGGTGAGGAGGAAGTTGGGGAGGCGGCGAAGCGACGGGGTGAGTGGTCATTGGAGACGATATCTGAGGAGGTCCAGGCACCGGTCTCGATCTCGAAGGAGGTGGAGGTGGCGCAGGGCCTCTGCGTGGAGGAGGCGGGACAGGCGCTGGTCGAGACTCTCTTGGGGGGAGCTGCGGTTGTGTCCTTGATGGAGGTGGAGGAGGCACTGGGTTTCTCGAAGGAGGCGGTGGTGGCGGTACCGCACCGGTCCTAGGAGGAGGCAGAGGAAAGCCTCTGTGCTGCTGAGGCTCGGGTGGAAGTGGCGGCTCCTGGCTCTGGCGTTGCTTTACTAGATGTGGCATGTAGTCAGGGGCAGGAACGTTGTGGTGCATAGGAGGGGGGATTGAGTGAGTTGCCGTGGTGGCAGGAGCAGGAGCAGGAGCAGGATTAGCCGCTGCCGAAGGAGTTGGTGTTTCGGGATCTGACGCTGGCGTCTCCTGTCTAGAAGAAATGGATGAAGGAATGGCCGAAGGAGTATCGCTATTGGGGAGATCCGGCGTGGACGCTGTCTTCTGGGCTGCTGGAGGAGGCGGCGGCGGAGCTTTCTTTGATATTGTGCTTGTATTGTTGCTTCCGCTTGCTGACTTCTGGGCCAGCTTGTACTGGTATTTGCGAGGAATTGGCGGCTCCAAGCCGACCAGCGGACCTCCTGTCTGAGCAATGTAGTTCTTGATGAATTCTCTATTTTCCGCAATCATATCCTCGGTGATGCCCACGCTTTCCAGCTCTCTGTACAGAGACCTCCACTCTGGAGGAGGCTCGTCCTCGTAGTAGATAAAGCCCTTGGTGCGTCTCGTTCTCTGTTCGTTCTCGAGTCCAGACATATCGCCTCTAAATCCGATCTTGTTCACCTGGGTGGGTTCCTTCTTAAGCTCGACGCCGTGCTTGTTCTGCACGGTCTGTTTGGAGCCGTGCTTGTCGCGAGATTTGACTTTCTTGTAAAAACTCGTGGCCTCGCTTTTGTCCTCGAACAGCAGTCCAAAATAGCACTCCTCGCACTCAAAGGAGTGGAAGAACGAGCGATCCTGGTTGTATTCAAAGTCGATGTACAGCTCTTGATCCCATAAAACTCCCTTGTGCGAGACAATGTCCACCAACTTCAAAAAGAAGGTATGGCCCACCAGGTCGTCTACTAACACTATGGCGCCTGCGAGACCCGTAGGGGTCCAATGGTCGGGTTCCGGATAGGCGATGTACAGCCTCGCCACGGCGGCCGCCAATATCTTATTGGAGGCCTTGGGGATTGCTCGTTTGATCGACTCCTTGTCCTGAGAATTGATCATTTTGCCAGCTTGGTTTTTGGTGTGGTGCAAAACTACAGTATAAAATGTTCAAGGGATGAAAAATTTGCTACAGTTTTTCGAATGTCTGGAAGACAAGGAGGGAAAGCAAAGCGTAGGTACATATGATGACGAAAAATGGATAGTGAACAATCTCCTAGTTTCGACGTTGAGGAGAAACCGTTGCCTTCCTACTGAGTACTAACATCCCAGCGTTGAAGGCTCCGAAGAAGAAGGTCCAGGACCTGGACGAGGCCGATATTGCTTTCAAGCAGAAGCAGAAGGAAGCAGAGAAGGCACGCAAGGAGCTTGCGGCCAAGGCTTCTGGTAAGGGACCCCTTGTCGGCGGTGGCATCAAGAAGAGCGGTAAGAAATGAGCGAGGGCTCATTGGTTTGAAGGGCAGCCGCTGTATGCAGCCAGTCTATACAATCAGTAATTGAAGAGCGAGAGCGACGATGTGGTAGGGAAGGTAAATATGTTTCAGGCATTATCGGGTCTTGAATGCTCCTTAATGCTTCTTAGCTAAACGATTCAGGTTTTTTTTTCCAACTGATTTCATTTATAATTACTTAGCCTTTCAACAGCGGAGATGCTCACAAAGTACAAAATAGTTTTCTTGGGAGACCAAGGAGTGGGCAAAACCTCGCTCATCACTAGATTTATGTACGACACGTTTGATGCGCACTATGCGGCCACGATTGGGATCGATTTTCTCTCAAAGACAATGTACTTGGACGACAAAACAATTCGCCTCCAGCTTTGGGACACCGCGGGCCAGGAGCGGTTCCGATCGCTGATTCCCAGCTACATCAGGGACTCGAACGTGGCAATCATAGTTTACGATATTACGAACAAGGAATCGTTCCAGAACGTTAGCAAATGGTTTGACTACGTCAAACAGGAGCGCGGATCTAACGTGCTGATTATTTTGGTGGGAAATAAGAGTGATCTAGAGAACAAGATAATTCCCAACGAGGAGGGAGAAAGCATGTGCAAGAAGCTGGGGTGCAACTTCTTCATCGAGACCAGTTCGAAGAACGGATATAATGTCAAGAACTTGTTCAAAAAAGTCGCCAAACTGCTGCCCGAGCTGCAAGACGAAAACACAGATCAAGCACTGGACAACGACAAAGTGCAGATGATTGACGTAGCAGTGAACAACCAAGAAGCTGCCGATGGGTGTCAATGTTAATTCACGCATCTATTTAATATACTGCTTGAGCAGCCGCAGCCTATGCACCGCCTCTTCCAAGACAGAGTCATCTTTGCACACGGCGAAGCGAAGACAGTCCTCAATCACATGTGCATTCTGAGGCAGATAGAACTCGGACGGAGGAATGCTGACCACGCCAAACTGCTTGATCAGCCAGAAAGCAAGCTTGAAGTCGCGCGGCCTGTGCGCAATCTCCTGAGGGAACTCGACTTCTTTTGGAATCTCCACCTTCTTCAAATTCACCAGCAAGAAGTAGCCTCCGTCGGCAACCGTGTACGGCAAGCCCAGCTCGTCAAAGACTGCCGTGAAGATTCTATATTTGTTGATATACTCTTTTCTGGTTTGCTCGTAGTAGCCGTTGGTTCTTGCCAGTTGCAATGCCTGAGCGGTCGCCTCTTGCATCACGTTGGGTGTGCTGAAGCAGATACGAGTGTGGGCCAGCGCGCAGTATTGCACAGTCTCCTTGTCGCCAATGACCCAGCCAACACGCCAACCGGTGGCCGCAAAGCTCTTACCAGCAGACCCGACCGTCAAGGTTCTTCTGCCGATTTCCGGGCTCAACAGCGCAACTCTTGTGAAGTCCCCGTAATAGAGGTTTTCGTACACCTCGTCGGAAAGAATCAGGAAGTTGTGCTTGACGGCCAACTCGCCGATTCTGAGCAGCTCCTGCCTGTTGAAGACCTTCCCGATCGGATTATGCGGAGAGTTCAGGACAATCATCTTTGTTTTTGGCGTGATGGCTGCCTCCAGCTCGTTCCAGTCGACGGTCCAGTCGTCGCCGGTCACGGTCCTGGTAGCGAAGTCCGCCGGTGGATGCAGCTGGACGTACTTGACCTTTCCTCCAGGCATCTCAATGTTGGAGATGTACTGGTCGAAGAAGGGCTCAAAGACGATGACCTCGTCGCCCGGCGCAATGAAACCGAAGAAGCAGGAAAGCATGCCCTCGTTGGCCCCGGTGGTGACCAAGACCTCGTCCTTAGTCAGCTGTCTTCCGTAGATCGGCGAGTACGTGTCGATGATGGCCTGCACAAGACTGGGTCTGCCCTTGGCTGGGGCGTACTGATTGTTGGCCGGGACGTCCAGAGCCCTCTTGGCAGCATTGATGGCAAAGTCCGGCGGCGAGTACGAGAAGAAACCTTGGCCGAGATTCACCATCTTGCGTCCGCTCTCCTGCTCGGCTGCGGCGGCCGTTTCGTTGATCAGCGACCAGATATCCTTGCCGCCGACTTTGAAGTAGGGATTGTGGGATGGAAGAGACATCGATCGTGAGATTGGGAAGAATGAGTAATTCGGAGTGAGGACAGTTCTTTTAGATAACATGTACGTGCATGAACTAATACGGAAATCTCAGAAAAATAAATACAGTATGGCGTTTTTACACTACAGCTCCGCGCTGGATTCTGATTTTGCAAATCGCCGCCGCATCCAGCTTGCAAAGCGGGTCGGCAAGTACGCAGCAAGCCAGATAGCGTCTCAGTCGGGCAAACGCATCTTCAACCCGGACAACAGGCCGAAGAACGCAAACAAACGCAACGGGATACTGGAAAGTTCATACGAACGGTGGATCGGTAATGGGAGCCCGTCATTGGTTGAGCGCGAGGCCCCTGAAAGAGCTCGAGCCTACTCCAATGAGGACCCGGAGCTACAGACCCTTATCTGTGGCGATGAGATTATTCCATCTCAAACTGGAATAGCGCGCAGTCACGTGAACGCCAGAGGCTCTCTCCAGAGCCATGTAAGGATGTTGAACGAGCTGTTGCATATAAACCTGATGCAGGGCAGGTGGGAGACCAGCTACCGCATATTTGCTCTCCTGGTGCGGGTCTATGGCACCGACACCCGAGAGCTGTGGCCGGTGGGGTTGGAGATTCTCAAGAGACTCAACGAAAAGGAGACGGGGTGCGAAGACGACCCAATCAAAGCGCGGGCGCGCCCCAGTGACGGAGTGCCAAGACGGTACCAGCCCAAGATTTTTAGATTTCTGCGGTTTCTCCAGAACTCGCACGACGCAAAGTCTTCGGAGATTGTGGGGCGATATCCATACCAGGTTGTCGATAACGCGTTGGATGAGCGGCTCGACGAGGACGCAGACAAGAAGGACTATCAAACGCATCACTTTCTGAGACTGGAGACTGCGCCCCTGTTCAAGTCGGGCTCCAAGACACATCTCGCCATGTACGTAGTGTCGTTGCTATGGGAGCTAACGGTTGCCGGGCAACAGGCCCAATTTTACGAGCTCGAGGAAATGCTAAAGCTGAATTTCTCACGCGAGAGTTATGTGCTCCAGTACCTCAAGGGCATCAACAAGATCCGCGAGGGGCTCAAGCTGGAGCGGGACGGCAAGCCCGGCGCCGGGGATGCCATCAGCGAGGGCGAGGCCATTCTGCGGGAGATGGATCTCGAATAAATGATACGCAAGCATATTCGTCTATATACAGGTAATGACATCATTTATGATCGGACTTCTTATCTATCGCTCGCTTCTCTTGCTCTATCTCCCGCTGCCGGCGCTTTTCCTCCTCACTTAGGATCTGTTTCTCTCTCTTGATCTCCCCTACCAGATTGGCCGGGTCGCCTTTGGGCACGGCGACGACAATCTCCGGATTGTTGTTTTGCAGCTCGATCTCAGCCACAAGCTTTTCCCCGCCGATCTTTTTCACCACTTCTCTCAGCTCCGCGATCTCTTCTTCCAACCGTCTCACGTCTCCCTCCATAGCGTCCTTTCTATTATTCTCTTTAACCCGTTGTCTATTCGATTCGTAGAGAAGCGCTCCTGCAGCAACGCTGAATATAAACGTCTCCGACAAGATCTCTGCCCCGTTCTGGATGGCTTTTGCCTCGTTGAGCGGGCGGACCGGGCGTGCCTTGCTGCGCAAAAGCGACGATTTCAGTCTCTCGTCTAGGAAATGGAAGTACTGCGCAACGCGCACACAAACCACCTTGAAGCCCTTGTGGTTTTTTGCTTCGTGCTTCAGCGTGTTGGCAATGGGCTTGGCGATCTGCCGCATCAGCAGCGTGGTCAGTTTCAGCGCAACAGAGCTCATTCTCTGTTTTTACAGCACAGCCTGTAATTTTTCGTTCCTCCGCCACCTAATTTTCTGTCTACAATCTGCTAGACTATGGTGCTTCGTATGAAATTTGCTTTGTACGCCGTCGCCAGCACGGCCATCGCCTTCTACATGGTGTACCAGTCGCTGCTCGAAAGACCCAACATCTACTCCGTCGGAGTCCAGCTTATCCAGGGCCCGTACCTGGTGGTGATCGGGAACTGGTTTCTGGTGATGGGCATCACCTTGGGCAAGTTGCTGCAGGTGCTGTTGTTTGGCGAGCTGCGGATAATCGAGATGGAGCACATCTACGAGCGCTCGTGGTTCGCCATCACGAACATGCTGATGACAATTGGCGTGTTCCGCAAGGAGAATAACCTGCTGCTCGGAGCACTGGTATGCGGTCTGTTGTTCATGAAGTGCTTCCATTGGGTTCTGGAGGACAGGCTGGAGATGCTGATCCAGCAGAAACGCTCGATTTTCAGGACGCTGGTCAACAGAAACACGCTTGTGCTGTGCCTTTTCCTGGTCCTCGACGACAAGATTGTGAAATCATGCATCAACAGATCCTTTATCCACTCGGCAGACGTGTTCCTCATTTTCGGCCTGGACTTCCTGGTCATCTACCTCAACATGCTTGACGCGACGCTCAAATTCGTCCTCAACGTCGCGGAAATGGCCTATCTCAATAAATATCCTGACGAAGACGCCTGGGAGTCCAAGATCTGGCTGTCAAAAATCGGCTCCTTCATCCTGAGCATCATCAAGAGCGTGGCGGTCTTGGTGTTGTTTGTGGGGCTCATCTACGCTGACCGTCTTCCGGTGAACTTCGCTGGAGACATGTACACCTCCATCACGCGGCTGGCCAAGCAGTTTGGCGACCTGATGTACATGATCAAGGCGGCAAGGGACCTGAACAACAACGTCATGAACGCGAACGAGGACGACTTGCGCAAGGAGGACATTTGCATCATCTGCCGTGACGAAATGGAGATCGTCAGCGATAAGAACTCTCGGTCCGCACCAAAAAGACTCAATTGCGGTCATGTGCTACATTATGGCTGTCTCAAGAGCTGGCTTGGACGGTCGCATGTGTGTCCGACCTGCCGCAGAGACGTTTTCCAGAATAAATCGCAGCCGAACCCAAAAACCACGATTAATATACCTCAAAACGCGTTCATTCCCCCCGATTGGACAATTCTACCCGTCACGCGCGCTGGAGACACGAATTACACCATCCAGCTGAACGATACCACCTTTGCAGAGCTTCGGACACGTACATAGTCTAGCCTAATCACGCTTAAGATACATTCACTTAGTATACAAACAACAGTAATTTACTCGCCACGACCCTTGCTTTTCTCGACCTTGAGCAACAGTGCCTTGTTGATGTGGGGAAGCACACCACCGTAGGCAATGGTGGCCTTGATCAGAGTATCGAGTTCCTCGTCACCTCTGATGGCCAACTGCAGATGTCTCGGTGTGATTCTTTTCACCTTGAGGTCCTTCGCAGCATTTCCTGCCAGCTCAAGCACCTCGGCAGTCAGATATTCTAGCACAGCGGCAAGGTAGATGGCAGACTTCGATCCCACTCTGATTTTGGACTGGGCCTGCTTCTTAAGGTATCTCTTGATTCTTCCGACAGGGAATTGCAAGCCAGCTCTGGCAGAGTGGCTCTGCAATTTGAGGGACCCCTCTTTGGCTCCCGACTTTCCTTTTCCTCCGTGAACTTTTCCTGACATATTAAGGTGGAAGAAGCTTTAAATACAAATAGGTAAACAAATGTTTATTTTTTGAATGTTTATATTCTTTGAAGGAGGGCAGGGCTGGGGCTCTAGGCCGGGTAATTTAGGCGATCTAAACTGGTAGTGTTTTTTTCTACAGGTTTGAGGATATTACCACAGAATGCTGCAAATGCTGCGTGACAATTGTCGTTATCGTATATTAATTAAATGCCTAGTTCATTCAGGGCAGGGAGTCGGTATCCGTTAGGGGTCTGCGTGCCGCCCATTGTAACGAGGGTCTGCGCTGCGGCTGAGTCTGGCGTAGCCAGTTGATTATTCAGCACGTTATTGAGCCATGTTTTCGTACTAATAGGCGTTCCTGCGGAAATAGGGGTATCGTAGCTGTTTATGATGAAGGAGACAGAATGAGGAGAGTTCACTCTGCTGGAAGAAGCAGAAGAGGCGGATGGCACAGCGCTCGAGGTTGGCGTTGGCAACTGGGAGCCAGCTGGCGAGAAGTTGGAGTTCTGGACAAAGATAGGTCCCGGCTTGTTGGGCAGATGTGGTCTGAATTCGTTGTTGCTGGACAATAAAATGCTTCTACGAGGCGGAGGAAGCATCGCGCCCTGCTGGACGACGGCCGGGTTTTTCTGCGCGTGTGTATCCTTTTCCTCAGACTTCATTCTCACGTTGACATTTTCGCCGGGATACGTGAGGATGAAATTTTCGTAGATGTGGACGGTTTGTTTATGTTGTCTAAGATTGTCGAGTCTAGAGAATCGACGAGCGCAGTGTTCGCACTTGAACGGTCTTTCGCCGGTATGTTTTCTGATATGTCTGGCGAGATGTTCAGAACGGGTGAACGACATCGAGCAATTCTCGTAACCAACACATTGGAAAACACGGCCTTTGTGTTTTTTGGTTGAAGAGGTTCTAGGCATGAGCTGGCAATTATTTTCAGAACTGGGGAATTTTGCAAAATTTATACGTCAGGGAGTCAAAAAGGTAAGCGAGCGAGATTCAAAAAAGTGCATCATGCGCCGGTGGGACGATAGGACTCATAGGGGAAAAACGTGGCGGAATTAGCCCCTGGCCCCCCTGCTTTGCCCTGGTGCAAGCAGTATTTTTCAGGGATGTTCGGCATCCTGCAAGGTAGCCTCGGTTTATTTCAGCCTGGGGCCTGTAATAGGCCAGTTTTGAGAATTTGCACGCAACACCATGCAAATATTTTCCAGCATTTCTGCAGTGGTTTTTTGTAGGGATTCCGTATTAGGAGGTTGGGCTTTGTTCTCCTGCGCCAAAATAGGACGTAAACCCAAAAATGAGCTCACTACAAGGCGCGTTGCTGTTACACGGCTGCGAGGCACTTGAAATCGATGGAATGAACATTGTTTTGGCTAAATTTAGTAAACCGTGCCCATTCCATTCTCACTTTATCTTACATCCCTGCACGGATACAGGAACAATCTCCAATTATTCCAGAAGAATGTCATCTCCGTTTCCAAATATATACCAGCTGCGCAGAGTGGGCACTGATAGCGCAAAGCCGTGTGCAGTATGTTATAAGTCTACCCAGGCCGTGCTAGTGTCGGCACCGGATTTTTTTTACGTTTGCGAGTCGCATTTGAAGGACAAGCAGTTCTGTACGGTAAAATATGCAGACGGTGAAGATGGAAAAGACGCAGAGTACCAGTCCCTTGATAAGGAAGTCCGGAGCTTAGACCTAAAGACTGCGCAGATCCAGCACAAGATCCAGCAGCGGGAGTCTCAACTTGCCAAAGTGCGAGACTACCTCTGGAAACCAAAAGACGGCGAAAACCAGCCAGATCTGAAGCAACAGCTTGCGGAAATAATAAAACAGCGTGACCAGGCCAGGGTTAAACTAGAAAAATTTATCAAAGCCTACACAAGATATACGCTGGACGCTGTCTTCTACAAAACCAGACTCCAACAGCATAGCAAGAAAATTAGACAGCAGCAGATCATGCAGAAGCTGAACGACGGGACCCTGTTCCCTTCCATTCCTGACCTTCCCAAGCCCTAGGTTTCAGGCCGAGTCCCGTCGCTGCCACTTCGCACCTTTTATGCCACGGACCATGAGATCGAGCGTCAGCGTTCTCATTTTACCCTCATGATCCAGCACGTCAGCCACCTTGACCGTCTTGACGTAGGTGAATCCAAGCTTCTGATAAATCTTCCTGTTGCGAGGATGCGAGCTCTCCAAGTACAGCGGCGCCCCGATCTGTCTGCCCTTGCTTTTGCGCTGGTCGTACTCTGCCAGAATATCGCGGTCCTCGTCGTAGTACCACGACGAGTGGGCCGACGACGCGTCGGAGCTGGCCGACGAGTAGCCCGAATAATCTGTAAATGTGTCCGACTGTAGGTCGAAGTCGAAATTATACGACTGGATCTCAGAGTCCAGTAGCGATTCCTCGTTTGCGTCAAATCCCGAATGCACGTGGTCGGCGTCGTCCTCGAGGTCCGAGTCGCCATCCTCTGTTGGCTGCTTATACAGATCAATGTAGTTGTGGGTCACGAAATCGATCAAACGTCGAGCCAGTCCCTTGCCTCGTCCTCTGGGAATGGCACCTATGTCGGACAGGTACCACGATTTTTCTAGATCGGGCCCCAGGACATCTGCGCGGAACGACTCGAGCATCTGTGACTGCTCTTCGAACACCCTCTGTCTTGTTTCTTTATTTGCTAACCACATGAACTTCAGATACCCGCCTTGGTACATCGACCACAAATAGTTAAGTATCGACTGCGGTTGATGGTCTTTTGCCTTCTGCGGTTTCTCAAAGCACGCGACGGCCAAGAACGGAGCATCGGGCATCTTCTGCTCCAGCTCCGAATCTCGCACTGCGACCACCAGTCCCTTGAGGATCGTCGAGTAAACAGTGGCCTCAAACAGGGCCATGTTCATCTGCCGTTTCAGACGGGCATCTGTGATACCGCTCGTGAGATAGTTGACGTAGAGGTCGTCCTTGAATGCGATTTGCAAAGTCTTTGCCGCCTTTTTGTAGTCCTTCAAAGTCACCACCTCGACATGCAAATTATGGGCCGACACCGTGTCGGAAATTTCCTCGTCCGAGCTGTTCGCCCGGGACGCGTCTCCCTTTCTGATGCTCGACTGAAGCTTCGAGAAGAAAGACATGCTAGGTCTCCGAAGTTCTTATCACTCCCTGTGTTAATATACGACCGGGTACTAAGCACAGCCAAGAAACAACCAAGCTTTTCTATACCAACGCGGTATTTCGAGCCTGGGCCGGGTAAGCGCGCCATACAAAAACCAGTAGCATCGGAACTGGCTTCGCGAGCTTTGGACGCCCAGGAGTGGCACCGCGGCTAATCGAGGCTCAGAACGATATCCTCGCTAACGCATGTTGAAGATTATCTGGAAGAATACACACTGATCGGCTGGAAATCTTGCCAAGATTTCGCTTATTATATAAGCAGATCGATAAGATAGCTGGCGTGCGCTATGCCAGATGGACCTTAGGCTTTACGGCTCCCGGGGCTTTGCTCTTTTTCAGCGCGCCGGACTGGCCTGCTGCTCTTTGCGACTCGATACTCTCTCGAATCATCAGCCCCACGCATTCCTCCACGTTTGTCCAGTTCTCGAACGAGCAGTCAATCTCGATGAACGGGAAGCTCCACTGTTTGGCCAGTTTTCTGCCTTCTTCGACCAACACCGGCGACGCTAGCTCATGTGCACAATGAGTCGCGACCATCACAATAGGAGGAAGATACGTTGCGTTCGGGTCTGTCTGCGCTATCTTGGATTTATTCCACAGAGTCTTGAGAGAACGATTGATCGAGAAAATGTCATACTCTTGGCCAACCTCCCAGTTATGGTGGTATCTTAAATACTCTGTCCATGCCTCCTCTAAAGTCGACTTTATCGCCTTGACCACCTCTAACGGCTTGAGAGGCTGATTATCTTGTGGATCGTCTGTCACGCAGTAAGACGGTGGTGGAGAGTCCAGTGTAGTTTCCGGGATGCAGCTATAACAGAGAATGTATCCATCGATGGAGCCGTTTAGATCACTAATTCCAGATCCAACTATCAATGGCTTCACTCTGGCACGTCCAAGCCCTCCGTCGTTGTCCTCAGCCAGGTTCCTCAGAACGTCCTTGGCCAGTCTCGAGTCCAACGACCGTTCCAAAAAAGGTATCAGCTCTTCTGCCTCCACTCCAGGCGTGTCAATGAGCTCGAGAAGAATGGGCGTGGTGTATGGCGGGGTGTAAGCGCTGCGGTTAGTGGAATTCGACCGAACTTTTTGTTTTTCGAAAGAGTGTTCAAAAGGCGAACTAAAAGGGCTCGAAACGCTGCTGTAGTTTAGCGGCGAAGAGTACGGCGAGATAGGAAATAGTTTGTCGTCCAGTTCTGTGTAGTCCAGGTCGTAGTAGTTCAGGGTCTTGCTGAGGACGTGCTCGGTAGATGTGTTTCTCGACTGGGTTTTTTTGACGGCACTCAAGATAGGCTCTGTGAGGTTGATATCGATGCCCCCTATAATTCCCATTTCCTCGAAGTCGGCTTCAGTTGCGTTGATATCAAGCAGGGTCCGGGTTTTTGGATTTGCAGGCTGAAACTGGAGTAGTGTGGGGGAATTCTGGATGGTAGGGTAGTAATTACCTAGAGATTTGTTGCTTGTGATAATTGAGACGATCGACGACTTGGACGAATTATGTGGCCCCAGCAACGCAAACCTCAAGGGACGATCTGTAGTCGACCTCATCAGGTTCTTCCTGTCGTGGCTTATCATGCTGGATGTCGTTTATTTAACCTTTTTTTTTTTTATTTTTTTTTTTTTGTTCTCGCGTATTCTTGCGTTATCACTTTGTAGATCCAGCATGCCAGAGAGTAATCGGTGACACAAACGCAAACTCTTAACGCGCATAGTTAAATGCTTCCAACCAGCTATAGCAAGTGCCGCCAAACTGAAAATCCAAACTGTGCCTCAATGCCCGTTGGAGATAAAGGTCCTTATCGATATGGTAGAACACCATCAGCAGTCCCCACACTAGGCCGCTGGTTGTTCTCCAACCGAGTTTCTCGATCTGGGCGCGGCGAAGTCCTGTCCGGCGCTGTAGTTTGACAGAAAGCCATTTTCCCAGGGCCAGGACAACTCGTGACAGACAGTACATCGTGATCTGTGTTGCGATTGCTTCATTCACGAGCTTTTTGAAGTGCATATTCAGCACACCCCCATAGACCAAAATCCCCCCGAGAAATCCCCCGATGAAATGATTGAGCGTTTTCTTCGGTGCTATCTGGTTCAACGCCAACTGTACCGAGCTGTAAATCACGGCAAATAAAGCCAAAAGCTTTCCGTGGTCGAGCCCCAACCGTATCGACCTTATCACTTTTTCGACGATCTGATCCATCAGTCGTCTTCGTCTGTCCATTGATCCCATCTGTACAGCTATGCTGTGTATGAAGCGCACTCTGTAGCCATATATGACGGCATTCTTAGAGGCTGACAGAACAGCGTCAATATAATCCATGACAAACAAAATGCGGGCATTATCACATGCCTAAATCGTTGATCAGATCGACGCGTCGACTATATGTATATATATTTTTTAGGGTGAAAAGATCCTGCCTGAACTCTTTATCACTCATGGCGTGCAAAGATTCGTCGTACAGCGTCGAGGACACTTTTGTCCTGGGAGACATGAAAGTGTCAATTTTGAGATTCTTGGTGCCTTTGGATTACAAAAAGTGTGATACAACTATCAGTGTCTGTGTTAAGCTCGTCAACAGCTACAGGTACGGAGAGCCGACGGATTTTGTTTACGAAGCAGACATTTCAAGAAACTTGGATCACATCCTGCTGTATCTGCAAGGTGGGCCTGGCTATGAGTCGGAGTTTCCCAACGTCGCTTCGCGCCCCAGTTTTCTGTCTCCCCTGCTACGTAAGGGATACACGGTGCTGCTACTTGACCAGCGGGGCACAGGACTTTCGACGCCTGTACATGTTGCCAAGTTGCTGAGTCTAGGGTCTGCCAAGGACCAGCTTCACTTTCTAGAGTGTTTCCGTGCGGACTCGGTTATTCGCGACTGCGAGAAGATCCGGCTGGAGCTTATTGGCCGCTGTAAATGGACCTTGCTTGGCTACTCGTACGGTGGCTTTTGTTCTATTTGCTACTGCTCAATGTTCCCGGACTCGCTGAAAAAAGTCCTAATCTTTGCTGGACTGCCACCCCTCACGGGGGACCTGTCACAGGTATCCCTAAACAATCTTGCTACCGCTAAACGGAGGACTCTGGAATTCTACGAGGAGTATCCGGGGAGCAAGCAACGGGTGGAGCGGATTGTTGAGTATCTGCGGAAAGAAAGACCTGTGCTGCCAAACGGAGGCATTCTAAGTCCTGAACGGTTCCAGCAACTAGGAATACATTTTGCCACTGTCGGCGGTTTTGGATGGATGAACAAGCTGGTTGTCACCATGACTTTGGAGCTACAAACCACGGGCCAGCTGTCGTACACCACGCTGAAAAATGCTCAGGACGGGTCAGGGTTCGACTCCAATATGTTGTACTTCTTCTTCCAGGAGGCCATCTACATGAACGGCGCTGGGTCCAGCAGCCAATGGCTTGTCAACAAAATAAAAGAACGTGTCCATAATGACGGAGAATTTTATTTCACCAGCGAGTACCACTATCCCGGAATTTGCGACGATTTCCAGTCATTGAAACGCCTGAAGCCGCTGTTGGAGCTTGTTCACACGTACGACGGATGGGACAAAATCTGGGATTTATCGAGGTTACGCAGCGTCACGCTCGCCAAATTGCCGATTTACTGTCTGCTCTGCTACGATGACCAGTACGTGAGCACCGAGCTTGCTCTGGCCAATTCTTCTATCTTTGAGTTCAAGAGATGGATCACCACAGAGTATCTTCATGACGGGATCATTGCCAGCGGCGAGGAAGTTGTTGACAAACTCTTCCGGCTAGTTGAGGGAAGAATTCCGAAATAAGTCATATCGGTAACACTAGAATTCCTGATAGCGAAATTATTTCCGGTTTGCCTCGGAAAAAAAATATAACTGGACTGATAAAGCCTATCTTCATGGAAAGTAGACGTATATGGACTACCCGTAATATTTTTTGGGCTCGAACCCGATTTCCTGTCTGCGGTATTACACCACGAGAAGCGGCTAATAATCTCCGACCAAAAGCTTGTGCCTACAATGGACACCGCTTAAGGCTCTTTCCATCCTCAAATCGAAGTACGTAGTGAGAAGGCTTCCACAGCTGCCCAACTCGGTCAACGAGTCTCTAACTTGGCCACCATGGAGGAAATCTGTGTAATCTTATATTCTGCATATTTAGGAGATGTACTTTTCAGTCCCATTGCGGTGTCAGCTTTCTTGTGTCTCTTGGTGGCCGCAAGACCACGCTCTCTGGGTCCATCTGGCACGGCCGTGTACAGCATAAGGTGGTATTTTGGGGTCACAGCTGCTCAATTGGTTTGCAAAAGGCTCAACAGAGGCCCACTGGTGCCCGAACATGAGCAGCATACTCTTCAGGCGCCAGTTGGGTGCAGTTTTCTATATATGTGTCCCGGCAACCTCGCTTACTACTTCCAGAATTCACCGCTAAATAAAAGTCTGCAGACACATGGCATTGCCAGCAATGAACAGGACGACGATTTCGGGTACCACGATCTCCGCCATTCGCATCTAAAACTCTATAAAGCCAGTCAGGGCAAATTTTCATCGAAAAGCACGTCGAGCCGTTGTCCACAATTTCCACTGTTTTTTGGTAGCAAGCACTCTTTATTTTTGGAGGCCCAATTTAGTGCTTCCAGATCGCTAGCTGACCTGCTGCTTCACTTCGAAGACACAATTTTTACGCTCACAGTTCAACCTTGCCGATCAACACATTTCTCTGCTCAACATACGGTGATCGGCTTCTTTACTTGCTGCATCTACGCGGAATCGCTCACCGTCTACTCTCTGCTCTGGATGGCCCGCAAAATAAGGCTTCGTGGACTCTGAGTTGAGGCTCTTTTCACGTTTTCTCGAGCTACTAGCTCTGGTGTTTTGGCTGGCCGCGATTGGCGCGTCATCGTTGGCTGCAGTTCACGTTCGCAGGCTCGCCTGGTTAGAGGGGCCAGGACAGAGCTTACACACGTAGCTCTCGGGCTGCTGAACCTGCTTTTCGTATTTCTGCGTCTCGTGCCCATGAGACGCCGTAAGCACTGGCGTAGAGCCATCAAGGCCTCACACAAACGGAGTCTCCAAGCAAGACCAAAGGGGTAGTGCTTTTGCACCAGTCTATAATTTCTCACCTAATTTCCTTTCCGCTCGACAAATTATTTTTTATATCTAATGCAGCTTCCCCAAAAATCTACAGAGCAGTCGCCGCTGCTTCCGCAGCCGGCCCCAGCAAGCCCACCGCTTCCAGCAAACTTGCCGCTCATCATTGTGTCTCTGTGGACCGGCTCGTTTCTCTCGGCAGCCGACTCCACCATCGTGTCGACCACGGCCAACACCATTGCCTCGCTGCTTCACGACTCCAATAAACTCGCCTGGATCGGCACGAGCTACCTGCTGACGAATGCGATTTTCCAGCCGCTGATGGGAAAAATCAGCGAGGTGTTCGGCCGCAAATCGAGTCTCCTGTTCGCGCAGTTCTGGTTTGGATTGGGCTGTCTGCTGTGTGCCTGCTCGCGGTCGGTGACTCAATTTGCTGTTGCGCGGGCATTGGCGGGAATCGGCGGCGGCGGCATTTCTGCCCTGAGCTCCATCGTCGTCACCGACGTCGTTCCGCTCAGAATGCGCGGCATGTACCAGGGGTACGCGAACCTCGTGTACGGCCTAGGACAATTTGTTGGTCCTATCATTGGCGGTATTTGTTTGGGACTGGACCCCCAGAACGGCTGGAGATGGATGTTTGGCTGTCAGGTGCCGCTCGTGGTTCTTGCCGCTTGCCTGGTCGCCACCAATGTGCACGAGTACATTGACGACGCAGAGGAACGCATGCGGGAACGCTTCAGCAAGGAAAACTTTGCCAAGATCGACCTGGCCGGCTCGCTGACCCTGGCGTTGCTCATTGCAAGCGTGCTTCTCCTGTTCTCGTCGACCACCCGCGCCGAGGGGCTCACCTACGTGGCCAGTGCCGCTGTCTCCGGCGTGCTATTTTACCTGGTGGAGTCGAGACTTGCTTCAGAGCACATCATCCCGCCCTTCGCTTTCCAAGGAGTTTTGCGCCTGGGCGCGCTCACGGCAATGTTTGGAACCATGACGCTGTACGGAATCAACTTCATCCTGCCTATCTATCTGCAGACCGTCCACGGTCTCGACTCGCTGCAGCTGGGGCTGTTTAACGGCTTTGGCGTGTTTTTCGTCTCGTTTGGCTCGCTGTTTTCGGGTTGGCTGCTGAAACAGGACGACAACGCGAAGGACGACTACGTTGTCTCGAAATCCATCCGCACGTCGATTTGGGGGTTCCTGGCCGTGTTTTCGGGCTCGCTCCTGTCGCTCGGCGTTTGCCTGACGGCGAAGCCAGCGTTTGCGCCAGAAGACCGCAACTGGTGGCAGATCGCGCTGCTTGCCGCGGGCTTCTCCTTAGCTGGTTTTGGGTACGGCATGTACCTGGTGAGTCTGCTGATCATGGTGGTGGGCAAAGTCGGCCTCAAACACCAGGCCTCCGTCACCGGGATGAACTATCTGTTCCGGTCGATCGGCTCCGTTTCTGGAGCAGGAATCACCCTGAACGTCTACAGCACGGTCCTCAGCAAAGAACTATGGCACTACTTCATCAAGAAGAACAAACCAGACGGCGAGAAAATATACAGAACGCTCATGGAGAACTTCTTTTATGTGCGCAACGGCCTGGACCCAAAATACGCCACTAAAGTGCTGAAAATATACCGCGAGGCCGTGGGCGATTCGCTCATGATGGTGTTTGTCTTCGCCACAATGGCCCTCACGGCGAGCGTCTCGCTCAAGCTGTATAAAAATTAAGTGTCGACGTACAGTTTTTTTTCAATTTTGCTTCTTTGGTACGGGCTGTCCAGGTAGGACAGCACTTCTTTGCCCATTCGGTTGCCAAACATGGCGATCGCCGCCACCATCGTCCGGCACACGAGCCACTCCGCAAGGCCGCCGCTTCCCGTCCCCATCCCCGTCAGGACAAACACGTCCGCCGCCTGCTCCTGTCTGACCCGCACCAGACTCTGCCAGGTCCAGTCAAAAACGGAACGTATTGTCTGTTCATCTGAAAACCCGAGAAACTCTGGAGTTCTCATTGTAGGGACGTGCAGAATCGCGCTGGCCCTGTACTTTCGCCAGGCTGGCGAGTCTGGCCTGCTGAAGCGGATCAGTCGCGCAGTCCCTGGAGCCGAGTACCCGTGACTGTTTTCGAGAATCCAGTTCTTGACGTACTGGTCGGTCGTTTTCCAGTCACCAGCGTCGGAAAACAGGTGCGCCAACGCCCTGTCGTAGCCGCCGGCCATTCCACCAAAGGAGTTGCCCGGCGAGAAAAAGACGGTTTCCTTGTCGGTGCGAAGCTCAAGGGTCTCCAGATCCCCGTTGAAAATAGAAACCTCCAGTTTGTCGTCGCCCCAGCGCATCGCATCAGCCACCTCGTTTTTCAGTCGTGCCACTTCTGCCTTCCAGAGCCGGCAAATATGCGCGCTTGCATCTAGCAGCACTATTCTCATCGGATAAGGAAATTTCGTGGATAAAAACTATTTTTCTCTATATATTATATTTCACCAGCTTAAATGCTGGCGGCGAAGGCATCTCCTCCACGGGTCTCTCGACCACCACCAGCTCGTCGTCCGACAGTCTGTCGGCCAACAGCAGGTTCTTGTACTTGTTCGTGAACCAGAACGTCTTGTCAGACGCCTCTTTTTCTGTGCTGTCGTTGGCAGAGCCGTTCACCCCGTTCGGCTTGCCTCTTGGACGCTTGCGGCCCTTGGCCTGCTTTTGAGGAAGTTCTGTTTTCGCGTCGAAAAATGCAATCCAGCTGGTGCCGTACACCCAGAACCGGTCGGGGGTCTCGAAGACCCCGTACGGCTGGCCAGGCAGCGACAGAAACGGTTGCGGCATGTTCTCGCTATTTTTCTTGGACCACTCGGTGTGCAGCTCGCCCACCAGATTAAACTCAAAGAGCCTGTGTTCCATCGTAGCCACCAGAAGCGTGTCGTTCGACGTGAACCGTAGAGCTGTCGGCACCTCGTTCAGTCTCACCAGCACGCGCGCCTCGCCAGACCCGAGGTCCAGCACAGAGATCTTGCCGTTGTAGCCAGCACAGGCAACGAGCCGAGAGTCCTGGCTGGCGTCCAAAAGCTCGCACTCGTTCTCCACGTCGTACTCGACCGCTTCCTGGTCTTCGTCGAACTCAGACACGTCGTCGTCGTCTTCCACGTTGAAGCGGACACTCAGGTACTCGTTGCTGTTAGTCACCAGCAGGATGAGCCCCAAACCGTCCAGAACGCGCACTTTCTTGGCACCAAGGTTCTCCAGTTTGGTGGCCGGCACTTTCACCACCTGCAGCTTGGCTGTGTCTGTCTCGATCAGCTCGTATATGCGGACAACGCTCAGACGCGAGACAACTAAATACCTTCCGTTCTTGGAGAGGGCAACGTCGCTAATGCTCTCGGGGTCTGAAAGCGTGAGCTTGGCGCTCAGCGTCTTCTCCTGGTTGTCCAGAAAACGCCATATTTTCACCGTCTGGTCCTGCCACATCACCAACAGTCTGTGCTCGTCGTTTACTATCACGTTGTTGGCGTTCAGCGGGAGCTTGAACACCATGCTGTTTTGGAAGTTTCTGAGAGAATTCACGGCAACCACTCTTTCCACACCACCGCTGACTAAAAGGTCCAAGTTGCGCGACTCGTACGACGCCATGGCACGCACATCGTTGCCATGCAGCAGCCTGTTGGAGCTGTTCATCCATTTATGTGTTTTTTTCCCCTTGTCGACCAGCTGGAACTGGAATATCTTGCGGTCCACTCCGGCACTGAACACAGTGGTGCCGCTCATGTCTCCTGTCAGAGTCAGAACGTCAGCCTCGTGGACGCTGAAACTCTGTTGCAGCACAAAATGCTTCATGTCCCAGAACTTGACGCTTCCCGTAGAGTCTCCGGAAACCAGCTGGCTCCCATTTGCAACCATGTAGAGGCTCCACACAAGCGTGCTCTCTGTCTTCGACTTGTCGACTCTTAGTGTCTGTAGTAACTGTCCCTTGACATCCCAGCACCTGATTCGCCCGTCCGCACATCCGCCGATGATCATATCGTCTTTATACCAGCATAAACTCAGCACCCGTGACTGCTGTCTTTGCAAGATCCGCTCGTGCTCCATCACGCCAGGACCTCCAGAAATGTCTATTATCACCACTGAGCCGTCCTCGCAACCCACCGCAATCTTATTCTGCGACTGGTTGGCGGCAAGAGACCATATGACTCCGGCATTGCAGTCGTTGTTCTGTAAAGGAATGCTTTGCGAAACGTCCCACTCGGTCAAATACGTCGATCCGCCAATGGAAAATAGTCTGGGCTGCCCCTCGTTGCTGCACCACACGAGCCCCTCCACGGATCTGCCCCGACACCCGGGAATTACGTGCTCCTTGAGCCAGTTGGTATGTCTTCCTCGCGGATTCCACACCTCTATCGACCCGTCGGCGCGCCCCACGGCCAAACGGAGCTCGTGCGGGCACACGTCGCTCACTGAGTTGTGCGAGAACGCAAGCGATGTCACCGTGTGGGGCGTGTAGTCCACAAATCGACACCGATGAATATCCATCCTGAATGAAATACTTTTGAATATTTTTTGTAAAATATTTCTGCTCGCATAAAGCTTACCCGGCCATGGAGCAGGGTCCGGGTCCTCAGGGCAGCGACACGCAAGCTCGGCTCCAGGCTTCCAGCAGCTGTTCCGTGGTTTCTGGAGAACTCTCTGTCTGCTCTGGAGCATATAGGCCCAGTTATTTAACATTTTGCATGCACCCCCATTATATCCGGTGTTTCTCCGAGTCGAATATTTTTCATGTTGATTGTACGCTCTTCGCTGTTCCAGATCGTTTGCCGAAGCATTTACAGGGCCGGCGTTCGCCGCCACAGCACGTCGCCGCTCCAGAGATACGACCACCTGGTGGCTCAGCACAGGTTGAAGGACGACGCGTACCAGCGAGGCATTCTGAGCAGTTTGGAAGGCCTATACTCCGAGCTTGTCCGTTACCGGCCTCCAAAAGTGGACGAGCCGGACATCAGAGACCTGACTCCCAAGACAGGGCTGTCCAAGGCGTTCGGATCGATTTTCAGGAAGAAGAAAAAAGCCCCAGAGGAAGCCGTTTCTGTTCCTAACGGTATTTATCTCTACGGAGACGTGGGGTGCGGGAAAACCATGCTGATGGACCTTTTCTACCAAACGGTCCCCAAACACCTCACCAAGCGCAGAGTGCATTTCCACCAGTTCATGCAAAACTTGCACAAGCGCTCGCACGAGCTCAAGATGAAGCATGGGGGCAAGCACGATATCGACGTGATTCCGCTGTTGGCGTGGGAGCTGGCGCAAAAATCGACGGTGCTGTGTTTCGACGAGTTCCAGGTCACCGACGTTGCGGACGCCATGCTGCTGAGACGGCTGCTGAACCTGGTTCTGCGGCCGGACCACGGCCTGATTCTGTTTGCAACGTCCAACAGAGCCCCAGACGATCTGTACATCAACGGAATCCAGCGCGAGTCGTTCATTCCCTGCATCCAGCTGATCAAGAGAACGACAAAGGTCATCTACCTCAACTCGCCGACAGACTACAGGAAAGTTCCGAAACCTCTGTCGTCCGTGTACTACTTCCCCAAACCAGGCATCCGATTCGACTCCAAGACGTCGCGAAAACAGCAGAAGCAGCACATCGACACCTGGTACCACTTTTTCGCCCAGGGCGTCCCGCCACAGGAGAACGTGCCGCTGCGCATCTGGGGCCGCGATCTTGTCGTGCCGCTGAGCTCGCCGCCCAACGTCGCCCTGTTCACCTTTGACCAGCTCTGTGGCCAGCCGCTTGCTGCCGGAGACTACCTGACGCTGGCCTCGTCCTACAAGGCGTTCATCGTGACCGACATCCCGTATCTGAGCGTCAACGTGCGCGATCGAGTGCGAAGATTCATCACCTTTTTGGACGCTGTCTACGACAGCCACGGGTGCCTGGCCGTCACTGCGGTTGCTCCGTTTTCAGACATCTTTGTCGAGCCCGAGGACCTCGGCGACGGTGACTACTCGCTGTCGCGCACCACGTCGGAGGAGGTCGAGGATGCCCTGGAAAACGACGATCTGGTGAAAAACCACGGCTTCGACAAGAAGATGGCCAAGAAGGCGGCCATGTTCGGCACGCTAGACGAGGAACGGTTTGCTTTTGCTAGAGCGCTCAGCAGATTGAGCCAAATGAGCACACAGCACTGGATAGATGATAGATTTTCCTAGGCGCACCGCGCGACAATTTATTCCATTTCGTCTATATCCAACGCTATCTCGGCGCTGTTTCGCGTCGCGCCAGCGTCCATGGCCCCGCGGGTCTCCTTGTGCACAAATCCGATCGAATCTGTCGTCTGGGCGCGCACGTTCACCACAGTGTTCTCCAGATGCCTCTTGAACCGTAGCAGCTCCTTGTAGCTCTCCTCCGAGCCGTTGTCCACCTCGAACTGCTTCCACAGACCCCACACGCGCTCCACGTCCTGGTCGCGCTTCGCAAACTGCACTAGGAGCCGCGCTGCGTACCGGTATATCTCGCGACACCGCCGGTACTGGCCCAGCCGCAGCTCCAGCTCTATAAACCCTTGCACCAGCACGTCGAGGAAGCCCGGAGCGTTGACCGACACGGACTCCAGCGCGCCGTGGTAGACGTCTCTGGCGCTCTCGAGGTTCTTGAACTGGGCTGTTTTGGCTGCAAGGAGGCTGTACAGCTCCACTTTCTCGGCGCTTGCTGGGATGTGTTCGATGGCCCGGCGGTACACCTTGAGAGCTTGCAGTTTCGAGCCCCTGGTCTCCTCGAACTGGGCATACAGCAGGAAAATTGGCTTGGACAGGTCCGGAGGACAGTTTTGCAGTGCGTCCTCAAACAGGTCGCGAATTCTTTCGACGCCGATAGAGAGCTGGTGCTGGTAATGCAGAATTTTGTCAAGGTAGACAGTCCATATCTCGTACACCACTGGGTAGCGAAAAAGCAGCACTCCGCGTTCGTAGACCCTGAACGCGTCTTCATAGAGCTTTTTGTCTTCTAGGAATCCTGCATAGTCCAGAATCGACTGCGCGGTGGCGACCTTGACGTCGATCATTCTGTCGTACGCCTTGCGGGTGGCTTCCAAATTTTTGGAGCTCCTTATCAAGTCCAGATAATATTGCCAGAGTCTCGTGGACTTGTGAATGCGCATCTGCGGACTAAGGTCCTCGTCCCGGTAGTGAATTGTCCCGTCGTACTTCGGCGTCTCGAGCGCTTTTTCGAGCACCTTCACGGCCCGTTCGCGGTCTTTTGCCAGCTCCCACTCTGCCCACGCCAGCCAGACGTCGACCAGGTCGTCAATTTGGCGGAAAGGCACCTTCGTGGATGTCTGGAAGATTTTTCTTGCCGTCGTGGCGTCGCCGTTTTCCGCAAAGAACTTTGCGTACTGGATCCAGAGCTTAGAAAAAAGTCCTGGCTGCTGCACTTTTTGCGGCCGGACGGTTTCGGCTGCCTGAGCGTAGCAGTCTGCAATATCGTTTTTGTTGCGGAACAGCTCAATTCTGCTCAGCCACTCGTGCACGTTGTCGGGGTTTTGGCGGAGTGCCGTGTCGCTGACCAGGAATTTTCTCCTGGCCAGCAGATCCTCGAACCTGTCCATCAGGACGTCCAACTCGCGCACAGTGTCGTCGTCGAGTCTTTGCGACAGGGAGGTCATTCGTCTGTCTTCCATTTCTGCGTAGGCCTCGAAAATCAACTGGAAATCATGCAGGTTGTCCACTCTTTTTAGCTCCTTTTCAAAAACATCTTCTGCCTCCAGATACCTGCTGCTCTTTTCGAAGTAGGCTGCCAGTTTTATGGAAAGCACGCACCGCTGGTCGGCGAACTTGTCGGCAAGATGGCGGTACATTTTTCTTGCGTTCTTTTCGTCTCCGAATTGCAGAACCAGGTCGAAATACGTGCTGTACAGGCTGAACTCTGAAATCGAGAGCTCCATCAAAAGACCGGTATTCTGGGCTATTGTCTCGAAAACCGGCCCGAGCTTCGCAAACTGGTCTTCCGAGTCCGTGTGCAGCACAAGCTTGTTTATAACTGTGTCCAAATCAGGAAGGTCTGCAAACAGATCGCCATAGTCCACAAGCTTCGCTCGAAAATCAAAATACCGCCTGTACACTGCAAAACTGGTGCGTCCGCCAACCATGTCAGCAAAACGGATAAACAGCCTCCATATGCCAAAATGCTGTGAAATGCTCAAACTCTGCAATGCCTCGTTGAACCGTCGACGCACGTAGGAGATATCCAGTTGATCAAGGTTCTCTACGAGAAATACGAGAAACCTTTCCCAGAGACCAGGAAACTCGCTCAGATTCGCCAAGCACTGCTCGTACGCTTTGACCAAAAACCCTGCATCTCCCTTGCCAGCCAGCGTGTGGGACAGCTCGAGATAGCCCGTCCAGAGCTTGAATGACTGAGGCAAGCGTCTGAGTGCGCGTCGGTAAATCTGCATGACCTCTGCTTCTGGAGAGCCCCTCTTGTGCTCTATATATGCCAGCCAGTTCTCCAGCAGGTACGGCTCCTTGTGAACCGCGAGCTCGGCGTCCAAATCGTCTGCGCGCACCAGACCTCCGGACATGCTTATGAACTACTTAGTGCACAGCCCGGGGCATTTTTTATTATTTTCTCAACGCTACCCGGCACAAGCAGCCAAAAATTGACCATTTTATAACAAGTATCTAACATGTCGTCTGCAAACAGGTACGTACAAGGTGTTTTTGGGCGCTGACAAGTCAGAGAGCAGGTCTTCCCGACACGGATGACGCTGAGTTTGATGAAGGGGAAGCTGAAGGGGGCTCAGCAGGGCCACTCGCTGCTGAAACGTAAATCTGAGGCCCTGACCAAGAGATTCAGAGACATCACCAAACGGATAGACGACGCCAAGAGGAAGATGGGCCGTGTGATGCAGACGGCGGCGTTCTCACTGGCTGAGGTTTCGTACGCGACAGGCGGCAACATTGGATACCAGGTGCAGGAATCTGTGAACAAGGCGCGGTTCCGGGTGCGTGCCCGCCAGGAGAACGTTTCCGGAGTGTATCTGCCGCAGTTCGAGGCAGACATCGACGAGAGCATCAACGACTTCAAGATGACGGGTCTGGGAAGAGGAGGACAGCAGGTTCAGAAGGCCAAGGACGTCTACACGAAGAGCGTGCAGACGCTTGTGGATCTAGCGTCGCTGCAGACCGCGTTTGTCATTCTGGACGAGGTGATCAAGGTGACCAACCGAAGAGTGAACGCCATCGAGCACGTGATCATTCCGCGCACGGAAAACACCATTGCGTACATCAACTCGGAGCTGGACGAGCTTGACAGAGAGGAGTTCTACCGGCTGAAGAAAGTGCAGGAGAAGAAGCAGCAGGCTAACGCGCAGCTTGATGCCGAGAACGCCGCGCGGAAGGCCAAGGCGCTTGCCGAGCAGCCGCAGGAGTCGCAGGAGGTGCCTGACCTGACTGCGCAGACAGAAGACGACGTGATATTTTAAATAGCGAAAATGACATTGGGGCAGTGCAGTATAAAAATATAGGGCACTATCATTATTTTAAATCCCATGGCAGCGATTGTGGGCCTGGCGATTTCTCTTGTCCTGTTTGTGCTCCATACAGCGACTCTGAGGTATATTGGTCTCCTATGGCCCGTTAAAGTGCCTCTTTTTGAGTATCCATCCGAGTTCCACCAGGAGACGGTAAATGGTCTGATAGAGCGCATCAACGAGACCAGGATAACAGAGCAGTTGCAGTTTCTCGCGGGCACGTTCCCGCACCGCGAGTTCAATTCGGACGCGGGCGAGTCGTTCGCCGTGGAAATAGAGTCACTGCTGGAAGAGACCGGTGTTCCCGTGGATATTCACCAGCACGCATGGAGACAGCCGTCGCTCATCGCCAAAATCCCCGGACAGCAGCAGAGCAAGGTGGTGGTCGGGTGTCATCTGGACGCGGTGAATTTGGTGCCGTTCCTGTCGTCGCCAGGCGTCGACGACGATCTCTCAGGGGTAGTCACGTTGCTGGAGGCAATACGAATACTGCGGCAAAATCCGCTGGAGTTGCGCCAGTCGCTGGAATTCCACTTCTACGCCGCCGAGGAGCCCGGGATGCGCGGGTCGCTGGATGTCCTCGCCAGCTACACGGACATCGTCGCGTTTCTGCAGCAGGACATGACGGGTTTTTCCGCGGGTGCACCGCCGCATTTCGGCGTGGTGGAAGATTACGCATCCGAGCCGCTGACAGAGTACGTGAAGCGGCTGATTGAGACGTATTGCACGATCCCGCACAGAAGCACACGGTGCGGCCAGATATGCTCCGACCACTCGGCGGCGCTGCTACACGGGTTCCCCGCGGTGTACGTTCTGGAGTCAGAGCTTGCGGCGTCGAACCCGTACATCCACACCGAGCACGACACGCTGGAGCACATCGACGTGGGGCATGTGGCGCAGCACGTGCGGCTGGTGCTCGCGTTTGCCGTCGAGACCGCGCTGATGGAGACGGTGGAGCCCCGCGGCGAGCAGGCGGTGCGTTTCAGATGGACCGACATCGTCATCTTGTCAGCCACGTCAGATACGCTGCGATTTGTCATGGCGTGCATTATCCTGTCATGCGCAATTGCCAATTTAGTGCTGGTGCTTAGGTCCGGGGGTCACCGGAATTTGTTCAAGCTCCACCAAAATTAATGGAAAATGGTGGGGTAATCAAAACTGAAAATCTATATATCGCGCGATTTCCCCACAGTTTTCTGATTGCAAAATGTCCGCCATAAGTGCCCTGAGAAGTCCAAGGTACGTACATCCATTCAGTTCTGCTGACCTTTAGCTTTATTGCGCTGCTGGTAGGGATGGCTGTTCCGCCGCTGGTGTTGCACCAGATGGGGTCCAAGTACCCCAACATGATCTACCGAACAGAGGACGAGCGCAGCTTGCGCAGACTCCAGAAAGACCTCGACATGTTCAACGGCCGGCTCGCCACGCTCGAAAGCGTGCTGTCGGGCAAGCCCAAGTTCCACTAAATAGCATGATCCAATATATTCGCCATCTCCTTCCGTTAGGAATTTCGTACTCCAGATTTTTACCCGTTTTTCGCTATAAGCAGGCCACGGCGAACGCCTATATATATGAACTCCTGCACCTGTCCGCCCAACGAAAAATGGTTTCTCCCGAGTTTAACCTGTCCTCTGCCAAGGCCATCGAATACGAGCACGAGTACGCCGCGCACAACTACCACCCGCTCCCAGTGGTCTTCTCGCGGGCCCAGGGCGCCAAGGTCTGGGACCCGGAAGGAAACGAGTACCTCGACTTTCTGTCGGCCTACTCTGCCGTCAACCAGGGCCACTGCCACCCCCGCATCATCAACGCGCTGGTTGAGCAGGCCCACAAGCTCACGCTCTCGTCCAGAGCGTTTTCCTCGGACGTGTTTGGCTCGTACGCAAAATACGTGACTGAATTTTTTGGCTACGAGTGTGTTCTGCCGATGAACACCGGTGCCGAGGCCGTCGAGACGGCTCTGAAGCTGGCCAGAAGATGGGGCTACAAGAAGAAGGGCATTGCTCCGAACGAGGCCATTGTTTTATCGTGTGCAGACAACTTCCACGGCCGATCGCTGGCCATCGTCAGCATGTCCACCGATCCGGAAGCCAGAGATCATTTTGGCCCGTACCTCGAAAAGGTGGGCCCTGTGATTCCAGGAACCGACAACCAGATCCTGCGCTACGGCAACATCGCGGATGTCGAGCTGGCGTTCGCCAACGCGGGCGACAAAATCGCCGCCATTCTGATCGAGCCGATCCAGGGAGAGGCCGGTATCGTGGTGCCGCCAAAAGACTATTTCGCCCGTGTCAAGGAGCTGTGCAAGAAACACAACGTTCTGCTCATCGCCGACGAGATCCAGACCGGCATCGCCAGAACCGGAAAGCTGCTCTGTTGGGAGCACTACCTACCAAGAGAAAATAAGCCAGACATGGTGCTGCTCGGAAAGGCCATCTCGGGAGGCGTCCTGCCGGTGTCTGCCGTGCTGTCCTCCAAGGAGATCATGCACACTCTGGAGCCGGGCTCCCACGGATCCACGTACGGCGGCAACCCTCTGGCCTCGCGCGTGGCCATCGAGGCCCTGGAAGTGGTCAAGGACGAGAAGCTTGTGGAGCGATCTGCCACGCTCGGCGAGTTTTTCCAGGGAGAGCTCGAGAAGCTCAAGGAGGAGTCCAAGGGCGTCATCAAGGAGGTCAGGGGCAAGGGGCTTCTGTGCGCCATTGTTGTCGACCACACCAGGACCAACGGCAAGACAGCCTGGGATTTGTGTCTGAAGATGAAGGACCACGGCGTCCTGGCCAAGCCAACCCACGAGCACATCATCAGACTCGCTCCACCATTGGTCATCTCGGAAGAAGACCTCGTGAAGGGAGTGGACAGCATCAGACAGGCATTGAAGGAGGTTGTTAATTGAAAATGTTAATAGTGGAAATAAAATTTAACCTGCTTGCTCACCCCTCTGTCCTCAGCACCCTGAGGAGAAATTCCAACCCCTTCTTGGCAAACAGTTGCATGTTCTCCGACCTGTCCTCGCTTCCGGTGCTCACCGTGCACGATCTGTCTCCGTAGGGGCCACTGATCCCCAGATAGACGACTCCCTGCTTCGAGGAGTCCGTAATGCTCTCCTGGTCTCCCAGTCCGACACTAGTGGACGGCCCCGCAAAGCCCGACTCAGACAGCACGTACGTAGACCCAAACTCGATCCGCAGGTTTCTGGCGAGACGAAGCACCACTGCCTCACTCGGCCCCGTGTAGTCTCTGATCTGGTCCGTATTCCAGCCGCTCAACTTCAGCCGAGACTTCAGGCTATACACCAGACGGCCTCCGTCGAAAAACTTGGATGCGCCGGGCAGCGAAATCAGGTAGGCGCTCAGAAGTCCGCCACACGCGCCCTCGCTCACCGACAGTGTCTGTTTGCGCGCCAGGAGCAGCTCAGCGATCTCCTCGACCAGGACTTTAATGTCGTCTGGAGGAAAATTCATAGACAAAGTAATTTATTTTATTTAATTTTATTTTAGTATTTTTGAAAAGTCGCTTGTTTGCCACAGGAGTTTTATCTGTAAACATGGTTCTTTCCACTCCACTCAAATTCAAAGCAGGCAAGGTCGACTACAATGAGGAAACCAAGGTGTACACGCCGAACCCCACCAAGGGCGAGATTGTGATCAGCCAGAGCGACGAGGGAGACGAGTTCTACCTGTTTGTGTGGAAACCGCGCGAGACGAGCGTTGGTGGGGTCGAGTCAGAGGAACTGCTTGTCATTGCCGGCGATGTCACATGGAAAAAGGTCAACTCGTGCAAGACCGGAAGAGTGTACATGCTGACGTTCCTGAGCAGCGGTGCCAGAAACCTTTTTTGGATGCAGGACATCAACGACGACGAGAATGATCCGTCCAAGGAGACAGAGAAGGACAAAGAGATTTTCCGCAAGATCAACGATCTTTTCAAGGAAAGCGAGTGAGAGCAGTTATCGATGGCCAAGCAAATAGGATAAGTACGGCAGCGGACATGGCGATTCCAAAAAACGGCCCATTTTCTTCGTCGTGCCGTGTTCTGTCTTTTACGAATAGATCTGTAATGCGTCAACCCCCAGCAGTAGCCACAAAACAAACTTATTTATTTATTTTATTTATTTGTCCTGCGCCAATTTATTATATCCATGTCTGCCTCCAGCTCTACCCCCAGACGAAGACCTCTGCGTGGTTCGGCCCCCGGAAACCTCACGCATTACCGTGATCCGGAGCTCTCGTCGCCGCTTCTGGACTCAGAGACCGCGGGTTCCGGGCCCTTATCGGGATCGGTTGATCTGTCACCAAAAGAGGCGTCCCCTTCGAAATCGGCAGCACACATCGCCCAAGCCGAGGCCGACGCCGGGTCCTGTCCGTACGGATGCTGCAAGACTGCAACCGTGTCAGACTACTTCTACAAGCGTGGGTTTTTAGAAGGAGCCTACTCAGACGTGAAAGTCACGGCGTTTGGAGCCACATACAGGCTCCATCGGCTTGTTCTGGACAGAAGCGACTACTTCCAGAGCTTGTTCAAATGGCCCGCCGACGACGAAGACCACGTGCGCGACGACTACGTTCTGGAGTTCGACGACCCGCGCATCACCCAGCACAGCTTCGAATTGGCGCTCTCGAGACTCTACGGCGTCGTCAACGTGGCGGAGGAGTCCAAAATTCCGTACAGCATGATCTCCGTGGGCCAGTACCTTGCCATCAACGAGGCGGTGTGCACGGCGACGGACTGCATCGTCAAGAACATGACCATGGCGAACATCTCGGAAGTTATCAGGTTTGCCGTCTCGAGCAATTACGGAGCCGCCAGCGAGCGGATCATACAGAACGGCAAGGGAATATTATCCACGGACGGCTGGGAAGTCGGCGTAGAGCCTTGGGACGATCTGCCGGCCACCGTCGTTGCAGACGTGGTTGGCGAAGATTACTTCTTTGTCCCCAGCGAATGGGACAGATGCATATTCATCATCAAGCTGCTGGAACGACGCATTGAGGCGAACTACGACGAGGACGACATTGCGCCTATCAAGACCACATTGAACGAGAAGCTGCATTACTGCCATATGAGTCCTGAACAGCTCCAAGAGCTGGAATCTTTTACAGACATCTACGGCAACCCCTACGTCGACCCGCAGGTGTTGCACAAGGCGCTCTGGCAGGCGGTTTACCTACAGCGGCTGGTGCTGAGCTCGCCAACATCGAACATAGCGTCTACCGTGACGAGTGCTGCGCCGCCGACGTCCGACACCAAATGGTTCAGAATTCCAATAAAGGACGCCACCATTTCTGGTCTTCCTGCGGAACTCGACAGAAAAATGGCCGACATGCTCAGCTCTTCGCCCGCCACAGGGCCCGTCGAGAACGGGAAGTCTACCCAGGACGAGAGCCCGAGAACCGAGCGGCTGTACAGCTGGACGTCGATTCCTCCGTTCCGGTTTTCCATCGCGTTTGCAAACGTTTCCGACCTTTTGACGGAGAAGCGGGTGTATGGAACAACGTTCTGGTATGCCGGCTCATATTGGAACTTGTATCTCCAGAAGAACAAGATCCAGCTGAAAAACACGTATCAGATAGGCGCGTATCTGCACAGGGCAAACAACAGCGGGTCGACGTCGTCCTCGAAATACAGTCTGACGAATCCGAACGTTTTCGCAGGCAACGTTAATTACCAGAGCATGCCAAAAAAACACCACAATCTCGTGAACGCGCGGACGGAAAGAAACATGGCTCCGCTGGGAGGCAATCTGCATGGAGCCGAGGAGAAAGAAAACGTTCAGGACGACAGCTCGCTCAGTCTGAACGATCTTTCTCTCAACGACTTTTCCGCACCGTCTATCAGAAGCCCCGGAACAGAGCCACGCTCTTTCCTCACCTACGAAGACCAAAGAAACGTTATCATGGTGTACTTTATCATGTTTACTCCTTCCAGACGCGAAAAGCCCACAATCACCTCGTTCCTCTCTGTCCCGAACGATTTCCACAAATCTCAGAGCTGGGGCTGGAAAAGCAACAGCATCTGCGTGTTTAACGAGGATGGAACATTTCCTGAAGGCCACGACAAGCATCTCAAATTTATGATTGTGCTCGGCAACGTCTGATTCTACCTCCACTCGACTGCATACCTGAGTTTGGAACCAGGACGGAACGGCACCACGGTCAGTCCGCCCTGTGTGACCGTGTCGGCAACCACGTTTGGTTTTTCGACCAGCCAGCACTTCTGTTTGGAGCGCAGTTTGGACTCGTCCATTTCATAGAAGTTGTTTCCAAACGTCGACACAAAATCCTTTAATTTGTCGAGCTTTCCTTGCTTGTCGAACACCTCGGCCAAGTACGCAATGGCGTATGGCTGGGTGTACACACCCGCACAAACGCCGGTGTGGACTGCCTTTTTGTGGACGTCGTGGGGAGCAGAGTCTGATCCGAAGATGAAGTACGGCTTGCCGGACGTGGCAGCCGAAATCAGGGCTCTCTTGTCCTCTGGCAGCTTAGCCACCGGCTTGCAGAAATTGAGCGGGTTGCCGGCCCAGTCGTCCACGATGAGGAACAGATGGTGTGCTGTGATGGACGCCACGACCGTGGGCTGCTCGCCGTCTTTCAGGTCCTTGTTGAGTTCGTGTATCGCGTCGACAGCAGCCTTGGTGGTGCAGTGTTCAAGGACGATTTTGAGCTGCGGAAAGTCTCTGTGCAGCTTGAACAGAGCAGGCAGAAATTCCGGTTCTGCGTTCAGCACGTGAATATCCTTACCTTCTCCGCTCGAGACCGACGGCTTCTCGCCGTGCAGGTTGAGCACAAGTCCGTGTTTCTGCATAACCTCGAAAATTGGGTAGAACTGCGAAAAGTCATTAGGGTCCACGCCAGCGTTAGAGTTCGTTGTGACGCCGGACGGATAGCACTTGATGCCGCGGATGGCCTTCTTCTGCGCAGCCTCCTCCACCAATTCAGGGCTCAGGTCCTTGCTCAGGTAAAACGTCATCAAAAAGGTGGTGGAGTCGCATAGCTGCTCGAGTTCCTGCTTGTACTCGATTGCACGCTCCAAGGTGGTGATCGGCGGAACCAGATTGGGCATGATGTATGCTATGGACACTCCTCCTTGTCTGACTGTCGGAGTGACGAGTCTCATCATCTCGCCCTGTCGCAAATGGACGTGGTAATCTGCGGTGTATCCCAGCTCAATAGCCATAAATAAAGATAATGAATAAAATTAAATTTATGTTTTAAAAAAAAATTAAAAAATTAATCACCCTACATCTACAATCTCTAGACCATGTCAGAACTAGTACCCCCGGCGCTGTCCACGGCGCAAGACGCTACAACCTTTGAGTTCTCGCAGACTCAGAAAACAGACGGCGCTCGAAGCTATCTGGGGCCCGTTGCCGATATATCAGAGACAGGTCTCCGAGACGTGCTGAGAGAGTACTACTCTGTGGACAAATTGGTGGAATTTCTGAGGCAGAAAAACGACCAGAACAAGCCCAAGTACAAGCGCATTGCGCTGCAGTTCCCAGACTCGCTGATCGCAGACTCCTCGATCGTGCTACAAATGATCCAGGAACAACTAGATGCTGCACGTGACCAGAGTCACGCGGCAAAGGCGAGCAGGGACATCGAAGCCGTGGAGCTGTGCAGCGGGAACTGCGGCAGGGAGTGCCAGAACTACCAGGAGGTGTGGATTCTGGCGGACACGTCGTATTCGCCGTGCTGCATCGACGAAGTTGCCGCCGAGCACGTTTCTGCCGACCTGGTGGTGCATTTCGGCGACGCCTGTTTGAACCCGGTCGACAAGCTCAGCGCCGCGTATGTTTTTGGCAAGCCGTACCTGGACACGGCTAAGGTGCTTACGGCCTTCAGGGAGACGTACTCGCCGGGCGACAAGGTGATCTTAATGGCCGACGCGTCGCACACGTTCTATTTGCACGATTTGTACGAAAAACTGTCTGGCGAGTACCAAGTCGGCTATGCAGAGCTGGATTTGGAGCGGAGCCGGGCGGCGATTATCGACTACACGACGCGCAGCCACGAGGGCACGGCGCTGGCGTCGCGAATTGTCCACTACGACGGCCCCCTCGACGAGTGCGCTCTGTTCCATATCACGCAGCCGGAGGACCCACGGCTGCTTTATCTGAGCACACAGTTCTCTAGCATGGCCGTTTACGACGTCAAGTGCGCCACCGTGAGTTCTGGCCCGTTCCCGTCGCTGATGCAGCGGTACAGGGCAATGCACATGACGAGGAACGCGGGCACGGTCGGCATTCTCATCAACACGCTCTCGCTGGCCAACACGCGGACGCTGCTCAACAAGGTGGTCAAGTGGGTGCGGCAGGCGGGCAAGAAACACTATATGTTTGTTGTGGGCAAGCCGAACGTGGCGAAGCTGGCCAATTTCGAGAGCATTGACGTGTGGTGTATTCTTGGGTGCGGCCAGTCGGGCATTATTCTGGACAAGTACGGCGAGTACTATAAGAATATTGTGACACCGTACGAGCTGCAGCTGGCGCTGAAGCAGGAGATCACGTGGACGGGCCAATGGATCACGGACTTCGAGGCTGTGATGGAGCAGGAGAGCGAGCACGAGGACTCGGACCAAGGCGGCGACGAGTGTGTGCCGGAGTTCAACCCTGTGACGGGGCAATTGGCCGCGTCCAAGCCGCTGCGACAGATTAGACACCTGGAGGTTGAGCTGGGAGGCCCAGAAACTGGAGGATCAGAGGGCCAGCTGGTGAGTCGGTTCTCCAACACGCTGAGCATCAAAAACACGGTGAGCACGTCGGCGAATTATCTGCAAACAAGGGCATGGACCGGTCTCGGCAGCGACTTTGGCGCCGAGGAGCTGGAGGGGGCTCTCGTTGAGGAGGGCAGGACGGGGATTGCCCGTGGATACGGTTATGATAAGGAAATAAAAAATAATTAAATTTATTATTTGATGCGCCATGTCAAAATTCGAGTCGTCGTTTTCGAAGCGGAAAACGTCCGACACAGGCAGCAATCGGCCGCTGCGGCCCGCAAACGAGTCGCAGGACGATCTGGTGAGCTTTCCGCCGTCAGAGTCGATCCAGTACGACATGGGACCGTCTCTTGAGGACGGATACAAAGACAAGCTTTTTGCGTCGACGGTGCCGTCTGACGAGCAGGAGATGAGCACCAGCACGTCGTCGCCGCGCAACAATTTGCACTCCGTGCTCCAGCCCCCGCTGGTGCCCTCGATGGGTCTGGTGGACGACCCGCTGCACTATTTAAAGAACCAGGAAATAGTGGTGACGTCGCGGCTGCTCGCCACCATCGACAAACACAGAGCAAGCCTGCAGAAAGGAAGCAGGCGGGTTGGCAGGACGCGCGAGCTGCTACTCAATCTGTTTTCGGAGCTTAACCAGATCAGCCAGGCGATGAAGGAGATCTACACCACGGAGCAGCACAATAAGATTGCGGTGCTGACTGATTTCGAGCATTGGGAGGCCAAGCGGACGAAAATCGTCGACCGAATAGACGAGATCGAGAACCGCACGTCGGAGGGCGCCGCGTACAAAAGCCTGCTCGCGGAGAGCGACCGGATCGGCACAGAGATCGAGCAGCTGGAGCACAAGCTGCGCGCGCTGCGGGCGAAGCAGAAGCAGGTGAACCAGCAGCTGCGCGAGTCCAAATCGCTGCTGGACATCAAGCTGAACGCGTACTACGAGTCGCTGAGCCAGATTGAGGCGCAGGAGTTCAACGAGATCGAAAAACTGCTGCCGGTCAAGGGCGGCGACAAGCAGCTGAACCCGGCCTCCATCATCGAAAACTACAGTTTGCAGCTGCGCGCATTGGCCGACATGGTGCACACGGCAGAGGCCCGGGAACTGAGTTTCCACGAGTGTTGTGTGTATTTGGAGGATGTATTTGGGACTCTGGGCTCGCTGGAGGCAGCGTTGCAGAAGATAATTGCGGACACGGTGCCGGAGAAAACCGAGCTGCTGCTGAAGGAGCTTGCCGCGGCGCGGCGGACGCTGGAGCAGCGCAAACAGCAGGCGGCCCAGTCCAAGCTCGGTTTCATCGAGGCCATCATCGGCGACGAGATCACCGCGATAGAAAACGCCGTCCGCACCATCAGGGGCGAGGAGCCAAAGCCCCTGCTCAAGACGTCTGCCAGCGCCACAAGCGTCAAGAGCGCGAGGAGCGTAAACTCGCCGTCGCCGTCGGCGCTGCCCATCAAGCCGGCGTTCTCAGTGCCGGTGGCGTCGACGTCGCAGGTCACCGCAGGCAGCAGCGAGGCAACAAACTACGCGCACGCCAAGTCGGCGTTCCAGAAAAGCAAGGGCGACAAGAAAGACTGATCAGATTTTGTCCTCGAGCGACAGCTTGCTGGCCACGTCGGTGTGCGCGATCGTTCTCTTGAACTCCTCGAAATCCAGCCTGTTGTCTCCGTCCTCGTCGTTTTCCAGGATCGTGCGGTCTACGAGCTGCTGCAACTGCACGTCCGTGAGCGAGTTCGCCACCATCATCCGCAGCACGAGGAATAACTCGCCGTTCGAAATGTAGCCGTCGTTGTCTATGTCGTAGACCCTAAACAGGAACCTGAGCTTGTCGTCGACCGAGCCGCTCGAGAAAATCGACAGCCCGGCCACAAACTCCTTGAAGTCGATGTCGCCGCCCCTGTTTGTGTCGAAGATGTCTATCACGCGCCTGGCGAGCGGGTTCTGGCCGATTCCCGGGATCGACAGAAACTCGTCTTTGTCTATGGCCCCGGAGTTGTCTGTGTCGAGCTTCATGAACCGCTTGGCGAGACGGTCGATTTCGTCGGATCCAACTGGAGGTTAGACACCGCTGCGGCGAATACTTACAGTTTGTGCCCTCGGACAGGTCGTCCAGGAGGCTCGACGGAATGTTGCCCATGCTGAGGAAGGAATATTTTGATGCGAAAAATATATGTGGTACATCCGTACATCGAAATCTGCGCCACTTGTCATGTACGTGTATGTATTATTACGCGTCTGCGATACTATATGCAGCTAATTACGTTTGGGCCGGGGAAACTTGGGTTTCGGCTTGCTGATCTTGATCAGCTGTTCCCCGGATGCGCCCACGGGCGCGGCGCTCTGCCGCACGGGGGCAGGGATCTTGGGCAGACTGGCCGGCGGCGGCGGTGCCTGTTTTGGCGGGCCTGGCGTTGGCACCTTTTTGAGCTGCGCCCCGTCCTTCTTTGCATTACTCAAAGACGAGTAGCCCATGACGCCCAGCTTTTGCTTCTTTGGCTCGGCGCGCGTGTCGGGCTTCTGCTTCTTGCGTTTCGGCTCGTAGCTGTCGGCCACACCGCCCTTTTTCCTTGTGAAGCCCGGGTACGCCCTGGTCACGAGACCGCGCTCGTACAGGTCGTCGATGAGGTCGCGCCACGTCTTATTGGACACGAGTGTTTCTCTGCTTCCAAGAACCCACAGCGAGGAGCGCGCTCTGGTCAAGGCGACGTTCATGCGGCGCACGTCGCCAAGAAATCCAACGCCCGAGTTCTGCTCCCCGGCACGCACGCACGAAAATAGCACAATGTCCTTTTCCTGGCCCTGGAACCCGTCCACGGTGTTGAAGTCAATTTCCTTGGTGATCGGGAACCCGAACTTCTGCACAAACACCTCGCGGATACATCTGATCTGCTCCTTGTACGGCGAGATGATGCCGATCTTGCCCGGCCACTGCTCGTCCGGGAACAGCGCAAACAGGTCCGACACGATCTCGAGCGCGATCCTGGCCTCGGCGTAGTTGTACAGCGACTTTGTCTGCTCGTTCTGCTGGTGGCTGCCCTCGATGTTGAAGAACCGGTACGGCCCGTACTCCTGGATCGCGTGCCACGGCCGGGCAGTTTTTTCCGCCATTCCTGAGCCATCCAGCAGCTTGGAGTCGTAGAACTCTTTGGACGGGAACTTGGAAATTTCCGGGTGCATACGGTACTGCACGTTCAGCAGGTACACTGCATTGTCGTGATTGTTCTGCATACGCACAAAAAGACTCTGCTCGTAGTTGAAGCTGGCTGCTTTCTGCGACAGCACTGTCGGAGGCAGCTGGTTGGGGTCGCCGACCATGATGCAGCGCTTGGCGCCGTACCGCAGCGGGATTATGGCGCTGAGCTCGATGCACTGCGCCGCCTCGTCGATGACGACAGTGTCGAAGGTAAACGACATTCCTGCGAGCACATCGTGCGCCGAGCCCGAGAGCGTGGAGCACACGACCTCGGCGGAGCTGAGGATGCGGAACTGCGCGTTGCGACGCTCGATCTCTCTGTTTCTGTGCTTGACGGAGTTCTGCTCGCGCAGCTCGTCGAGCCTGCGGCCAAGCTCTTTCCGCTTCTGCACCACCTCCTGCAGCCGCAGCTCGAGCCGCGCCACCTCTTCGGCCGACACGTTGCCCGCTGCCAGTTTCTGCCGCAGCTCGTCGCGCTCATGCACGCACTTGCGGTGCTCCTCGCGGATCTTGGTGTCGTCCGAGGCGGTGTCTACGGCGCTCAGCTGTGCGTCCACAAGCTCCTCCAGCGTCGTCTCCTTCACCTGCGCGTTCACCGCGTCCGAGCGGCCCAGCCGCACAACCTTGGGCCGGTAGTCGTCGCCGCGCGCGCTCTTGATGCCGCCCATCAGCCGCAGCACGAGCTCATCCACGGCTGCGTTCGACGGAGCACAGATCAGGATCCGCCGCTTCGAAGAGACCTTCTGCTCGCCCGGCACCGCGATGGCGTTCGGGTTGCCCGACGTGAGCGCAAACCCAATGATCCCCAAAATCGTCTTGGTCTTACCCGTGCCCGGTGGACCCTGGATCAGCGAAAACCCGTCCTTGTGCACGCTGCCCGCGATGGCCCGCGCCTGCGAGTCGTTCACCGCGTACGTCTGCTTCATCCGGCCCACCACCACAGGATCGATCTTGCCCGGCGCGCTCGGCGTCGCCGTCACTATCTCCCGAGCGAGATCATAATACTTCAGCCCTTGCAACGACGAGAACTCGCGCTCAATCGTCGTCATCTGCACAACCTTCATGCACACCAGTTCCACGCCCGGACTCAAGTACGGGTTCATGTTTGTTTTCGTGGCCACGCGGACCGTCAGGTCCGAAAACCCGTTGCCGTTGTTCTTGATGTCTTTCACCCGGCCCAGACACGCGTGGCGACACCCGGCCAGGTGCCTCTTTGTCAGCTTCGCGTCACTGTCCAGATTCTCCACGTACATCAGCACCACCAGGTCGCTATCGCCAACACAACGCTGCTCGGTCACCACCTCGCGCCGCGTCGACGCAAAAACGTCATAAAAAGTGTCGGTGGCCGCGCGCGAGCCCACAGTGACCCGGAACGGCGTCTCCTGCGCCGTCTCCTTGGCCCGCTGGATCGACTGCCAGCACTCCAGCAGCAACAGCGGCCGGAACGTCTGCTGGTACTCGTCCGCGCTGGCGAACCGGTTCTTAACGCTCGTGTACCTGCTCTGGTCGTCGTCGGGGTAATCGCCTTCGCGGAAGTACGACCACGTGAGGATCTCCTTGTACAGCGGGTTCATGTCGACGTTGAGCCGCAACCGCATCAGCTCCTCGGCTTTCTTCTTCAGGTCGACGCCGCGAGCCGCACCGCCGCTCGGCCGCACCGCCAGGCTCTTGGCGCGCGGCTGCAGTGACTGCAGCGCCGCTTTTGTTTTCTTCATCTTGGCAACCACCTGCTCTCTTGTGAAAAGGCAGTTTTCGTCCTCGGACTCGGACTCGGACGTGGACGACTCGGCGTCGGACGCTTTGGAGCGCCTGTTGAAGCCGGCCGGGCGTGGCGGCGCCGGCTCCTGCCGCACGGGCTCCTGGCGCCGCTTCTCGGCCAGCTGCAGCCGTGCCTGCTCCAGCATCGACAGGCGTTTCGGGGCAGCCGGTTCTTCTGGGGCTGGTTTGGTGAGGAAGTTGGTGAGCGTGGACTGTTTTGGTGCGCGCGCGGTGGTGCTGGAAACACTAGGCGGCTGTTCTTCCGGCGTTGTCCGCTCACTTCGTTCGCGGGACTCGCGAGGCTCGCTGCGCGTCTCCTCCTCGGCAAGCACCTCCTCGACCAGCGCATTGTTAAACCGCCGCACGCGCACGAGAATCTCGCCGCGCTGCTCCTCCGACAGCTTACTCTTGAACTTGCGCGCCTTGACACACAGCTTCGCCAGAATCGCCAGCGACGTGTGCGTGAACTCCAGCCCCAGCTCCGCCACCAGGTCCAGCGTGTCCAGCGTCAGCCGCACGCACAGAAACAGCAGCGCGCTGTCGCTCAGCCGCAGCCAGTACACCGTGCGCTCGAACGCCTGCAGCACCGGCTGGATCAGGCTCTGTTGGATCTCGCGGCTCTGCTCGGCCGAGACTCCCACAAACTGCATCGACTCCACCAGCAGCTTGTACCCGCCGAGCAGCATCTGCGACACCTCCAGCACGTCGCGCGTGAAGTCCATCAGCGTCCTGGTGATTTTCTCGTTGTGCTGCGGGTTTTGCACGTGAGCCTTGACCTTTTCGTACTCCTTAGACCAGTCGAACGTCTTGACGTAAATCATGGTTAGGAACCGCCAGCATTGGGCCCAGAACTGCGCGAGAATGGCGCGCGTGGCGTTGCTGAGCCGCGCCGCGTCGATCAGCACGCCGTCGATCGGGTCCAGCAAACACTGCGCGAGGTCCATGAGCACGCGCACACCGCGCCTGCTGGCGTTGAACTGCTCCAGCCGCGTCAGACTCACAAATGCGTCCTTCGCGGCCTCGACGGTGACGGCGGTGTCCAAACGCAGCATCTCGCGCACCGCCTCCAGCCGGCCGTCGACGTCGAACGCCTCGTACAGCAGCCCGACAGCGCTCTCGTACAGTTTTTCCTCGCACGAGCACAGACACTTCCACAGGCCGGTCGACGCGGCGAGGTCGGCCAGGATCTGCTGCAGGGTGTGTCCGCTGAAGAAATCGGCCATGCGGCTGAAGATCGCCTCGACGCTGCTCGCAAACATCGCCACGCTCTTGTTCTGCTTGCTGCACGCCGCCACCAGCTCCCGCAGCTTCTCGTCGGAGAAGTCACGTGCGTCGCGGAACGTGATCTTGAGCAGCGTGATGTCGAGCGAGAACACGTAGCTGGCCTCGCTCAGGCTGCACAGCACCTGTTGCGCGAACGCTCTATCGTCAGCGGCCAGTTTGCGCGACAGCAAGATCCACAGGTCCATGTTCACCGCCGAGACCGTGCTGGCATCGTACTTGGCCAAGAAATGGCTGGCCTGCGCCAGCGACGCCACGTCGTACACGAGTGACGCCGCCACCACGCCCAGCGCCTTGATCTTGACCTGTGGGTCGGCCATGGCGTCGAACAGCGTGATGGCCTTGCGGTCGATCAGCGCGCGTGCGTCCGACTTGCTGTAGAGCTCGACCGTGAGCTTGGCGTCGAACAGCGGGTTCTGCAGCCGGATCTCGTCGGTAATTAAATCTGCCCCCACGCAAACGAGCAGCGCGCCGCAGTGCGGCCGCCCCAGCTTATCCAGGAAATATCTGTACACGATGCACGCTGTCTGCGTCTTCTGCGACGGCGTGACCGACCTGTACAGCGGGTAAATCCAGTTGACAAGGTCTTCCAAGCACGGCGCGCGCTCGCCCGGCGCGGCGTTCGCGAGCCGCAGCTTGTCCAGGTGCTTGCTGTAATGCGGGCTGTTAAACGAGACGTCAAAAAAGTTGAGGTAGCTGTGTGGCTGGACGTGCTCCCAGAATTCGGCTCCCAGCTTCGTGAGCAGCACAGAAAACGCTCGCAGCAGCAGCGGCAGCGGCTCATCCAGGTACGACATGATTTCGTTGACAAAGATGCGCACGAGGGACACCACCTTGAACGGAGCTGTTTTCTCAAAGTTGCTGGCAGCAGCGGGCCAGTTCAGCCGCAGCACGCACTCGCCCGTCCCGAGCTGCAGCAAAGGCACGAGGTTGGCCCAGAACCGCGCGCACGCGTCTGCGCTGAAGAGCGCAGGGTTCTGGATGTTGAAGAAATGAAGCTCGTACTCCTCCATGAACGACGCCGTGAAGCTGGCGGGCCGCAGCTGCGCGGGCAAGCACGAGAGCGCCCACGCGCGCTCTGCGTCAGAGCCCTCGAACAGAAAGTACAGCAGTCCGGCAAAGAGGTCGATTTTCGGCCGGATCGGCTGTCTCTGCGTCACCACGGCCAGCATGTGCGAGCACAGCGTGCGCAGCTGGTCGTTGGCGCGCAGAAGCTGCGGACACACCAGACACTCGGTCAGGGTGTTGTGCACGTCGGGGCTGTGCAGCAGGTCCTCGTCGCGGTCGAATTTCAGCGCGCCGAGCTTGTCGACCAGCGATTGGGCCTCCCAGTCGAACACCCGCTGGCTCACTATGGCGATCTTGTCGTAGGGCAGTTTGCGCTTGAGCAGGAGGTCGTTTCGCGCAGCGGCACGCGCCTCGTGGAAGCCGAGGATGCATTTCGGGCAGCGGTCGAGCGACTCGCGCGCCGCCGTCTTGAGCGTGCGCAGGATGTCCGAGTCCTCGAACGCTATGCAGATGACGAGCAAGTAGCACGCGATGCGCGCCGTCGTGGGGTCGCAGAAGTAGTGCTCGGTGTCCAGCGACGCAAAATACTGGTAGCACTCGTTGAAAACGTGCTGCTGGACGGCCTCGTCGCTGGGCCTGCTGTGCGAGCTCTCGATGAGGTCTATGAAGTGCGACATGCAAAAAGGATTTTTTTTATTTGATTTAATTTTCTCGCGACGCGACGATATTTTATAAAGATATTCATTATGAGGTGAGTTGTCACGCCGCCAGTGCTAACCCTTAGTGGCCGCTTTGTGAGAGCGTCCAAGTACAGACACGTCTACGGCCAGCCGTTCAAGAAGGAGATGTGCTACGAGAACCTCAAGGTCACGATCTCCGCGTTCGACAGCAACATCGTCAAGTGCAACGGCAAGTACCTCAGTGTCAACGCCAACGGCATCGGCGCGTTTCTGGTGATCCCCGTCGACGAGGTCGGCAAGGCCCCGGACAAAGTGCCTATGTTCCGGGGCCACACGGGCGGCCTTGTGCTCGACACTGACTTCGACCCGTTCCACGAGAACAGGCTGGCCTCTGCGGGCGAGGACGGCAAGATCCTGCTGTGGGAGGTCCCGCCAAACTACACTTTCACCCACGTTGACCCGGACAACATCCAGGACGTCGCGCCGGTGGCCTCTTTGACAGGCCATTCCCGCAAGGTCGGCCATGTTGTCTACCATCCGGTCGCAGAGAACGTTCTGGCGTCGTCCTCGTTCGACTACAGCGTCAAGCTGTGGAACCTGGACACCAAACAGTGCGAACGCACGCTGCAGCACAAGGATCTCGTGACCAGCTTCTGCTTCAACTACGACGGGTCCAAGATCGTCACTGCGTCGCGCGACAAGAAGATCCGCGTCTGGGACGTGCACACGGGCAAGGTGCTGTCCGAGGGCCCGGGCCACACGGGTGCCAAGGCCCCGCGCGTGTGCTGGCTGGGCAAGCACGACAGATTCGTCACCACCGGCTTCGACAGGTTCTCCGAGAGACAGCTGGGTGTTTGGCAGGCCGATAAGGTCGAGGACGGGCCTGTGGGCGGGTTCTACTCCGTGGACGCGTCTTCGGGCGTGCTGATGCCGTTTTTCGACGACTCCACAAACATCCTGTTTGTGGCCGGCAAGGGCGACGGCAACGTGAGATACTACGAGTTCGACAAGGACGAGCTGTATCTGATTTCTGAGTTCCCGTCCACGTCGCCGCAGCGGGGCTATGCCATTGGGCCCAAGCGGTTTGTCAACATGAGAGAGAACGAGATTGTGCGCGCGTACAAGCTGCACAACGACAACATCGTCGAGCCGATCTCGTTCATTGTTCCAAGACGCTCGGAGATGTTCCAGGACGACATCTACCCGGATGCGCCAGCGGGCGTTCCTGCGCTGACGGCGGAGGAGTTCTTTGCGGGCAAGACGAGCGGGCCTGTTCTGGTGTCCATGAGGGACCTGTACGAGGGAACGGAGGAGCCTGCAACCTGCGTGGGGGAAACGCACAAGGTGGAGGAGCAGAAGCCAGAGACAGTGGAGCAGAAGGACGACAAGGAGGAGGAGAAGCAGAAAGTGGAGCCTGTGCGGCCATTGTCGGCGACGGAGCCCGAGCTCCAGAACAAGGAGGAGGTGACGACGCTGCTCAACAAGGTGAAAGAGATGTCCGACGACGACACGCAGGAGGTCGACGCGGACGACGAGGAGTGGCAGGAGGTCTCGGAGAGGGAGGCGAGAGAAAAGGAGGAGAAAGCCAGGGAGCCTGAGGAAAAGTCCAAGGAAGCTACCGAGGAAAAGCCCGAGGAAGCAATTGAGGAGCCTAAAGAAACGGTCAAGGAAGCAACCGACGAAGCCGCTGGAAAACCCAGTGAGGTTGTGTCCGACAAGGAAACTGCAGCTCCGAAAACAATTCCTGAAACCGCCTCGTCTACCTCAGTTACCTCTTCCACCGTTCGAGCAGCTGGAGGCCTCAAGTCGTCCATGGACAAACTACACACTCTTGTGGCCCAGCTGGAGTCTACCGTAGAGCAGCTCCAGGCTGCCGCTGTCTCCAAGGACGAGAGGCTGGCTGCCTTAGAGGCCAAGATCGACCAGCTCTTGGCAAAGACGGCCTGATAGACACTACTGTTTCGGAATTCCATTTTGTACTTTTCCTGACCGTTGCCGAAAAGAAAAAAAAAAACGTAGATAACCCCTGGCAGTGCTCACATTGCTTTTGTGCTCGGAATTCCTTTGGGGGGAGCACCGAGATTTGTATAAATACCCACGATCCGCTGTCCGGCATGCTTCCACGCTTTGCAACATGACCCAAGACGAGATCGTCACCTCTCTGATTCACGCCAACGACCCTACGCCGCTCCCTAAACCGCCTCCGGCCCATATCATGGACAAGAGCATCATGGAGCTTTTCTCGCTCAAGGGCAAGGTCTGCGTGGTGACCGGTGCCGCTAGAGAGATCGGAATTGGCTTTGCGGCCGCCCAGGCCTACTGCGAGGCCGGCTGCGACGTTCTGTGCATCTGGGACTACTGCGACGCGACCGAGACGTGCGAGAAGCTCGCACTCAAGTACGGAACGAAAACAAAGGCCTACAGAGTGAACGTTGCGTCGTCCAAAAACGTCGCTGAGGCCACGAACGCCGTGGTGGAGGAATTCGGCAGAATCGACGTGTTTGTCGCCAACGCCGGCGTCGTCTGGGAGACCGGCTCGATCCTCGAGGACATAAACGACGACGACAAGAGCTGGCACCGCGTGATCGACGTCGACCTGAACGGAGTGTACTACTGCGCCAAGAACGTCGGCAAGGTGTTCAAGAAGCAGAAATCGGGCTCGCTCATCATCACCGCCTCGATGTCCGGCATGATCGTCAACGTGCCCAACTACCAGATGCCGTACAACGCTGCGAAGGCCGGCTGCATCCACATGACCAAGTCGCTCGGTGTCGAGTTCGCCACCTTCAACGCGAGAGTCAACTGCGTGTGTCCAGGCTACATGGACACGGGACTCTCCGACTTCTGCGAGAAGAAGATCATCAATGCATGGTACCAGTTGAGTCCTATGGGCAGACAGGGTGTTGCGAAGGAGCTAGCCGGTGCGTACCTCTATTTGGCTTCCGACGCGTCTACGTTCACGACCGGCTCTTCAGTGGTGTGCGACGGCGGGTTCACTTGTCCATGAAAAGTATCGGGTCCTTCATAGAATGAATAAATAATTAGCTGGCGGTGCTACCAAAATAAATCAAATTAATTTTAGATAATGGACGTGAAGGAGATGGCCTTCGACCAGACGGCCAATCCGTTTGAGCGAATCACGGAGCGGCTGATCACGAAGCGCGTCGCCGACCTGGAGGAGCAGAACAGGGAGTCTGTGTCGCTGTGGGGGGCGCTTCTAAGTAAAGTTGCCAGGGTGCTCCGGGACGTTCCCCTCATCAAACACTGCATTGGTCCGCCCGACGAGGCCACCGCGCAGATCAACCGGCTGACCGCGCAGCAGCGCGCCGCCACGAGCTACGCAGAGTGGCACGAGACCAGCGTCAAGCTCGACGCCCTGATGGAAAAGGACGTCTGGAAAAAACAGGAGGAGAGCGATCTGTACGACTGGCAGCTGGTCAAGATGCGGCTGCTGGAGCTGCGCGAGGCGCGTCTCAACAACGACTACTCCAGAATGCTCTACCTGATCCGCACAACGTGGACTAGGAACATGGCCAACATGGACAACATCAACCTGTACCGCCACTCGTTTGTGGGCACGAAGAAGCTGATCGAGGAGTACATCTGGGAGTGCCAGCAGTGTCTGGCGGCCCTCTCCCGGCAGGACTGTCCGCTGGACGACACGTACGTGCTGGCGATGCTGATGCAGACGCGCAAGAACTACGGCCGCGTGGCGATCACGATGAGCGGCGGCAGCTGTTTCGGGATGCTGGGCATGGGCGTGTTCTCGACGCTGCTGGAGCTCGACCTGCTGCCCAAGATCGTGTCTGGCTCTAGCTCGGGCTCGATCCTGAGCTCCATCATCTGCTCCAAGACCACCCCCGAGATTTTGAGCCTGCTGGAGTCGATCACGTCCAGCAAGTTCGAGGTGTTTGGCAAGGACGACAACCCGGAGACGTTTCTCACGTGTCTGGCCCGGCTGCTCAAGTACGGCACCTGGTTCGACAACTCGCATCTGCGCGCCACCATGAGAGAGATCCTCGGCGATCTCACTTTCCGCGGCGCCTACAACAGGACAGGCCGCATCCTCAACATCACCGTGTCGCCCGTGTCCGTGCACGAGCAGCCCACGCTGCTCAACTACCTCACCGCGCCCAACGTGCTCATCTGGTCTGCCGTCTGCGCCAGCTGCTCGCTGCCCGGGATCTTCCCGTCGTCGGAGATCTACGAGAAAAGCGTGAAAACTGGAGAAATCCACGAATGGTCCGACACCATGGTCAAATTCCTCGACGGCTCGGTCCACTCAGACCTGCCCATCAGAAGGCTGTCCGAGATGTTCAACGTCAACCACGTGATCGCGTGCCAGGTCAACCCGCACGTCGTGCCGTTCCTCAAGATGTCTGTGCAGTGCGTCGGCGGCGAGATCGAAAACGAGTACAGCGCAAAACTGAAGCAGATCCTCAACAACACGTGCGAGCTGCTCACCGCAGAGGCCATTCACTACTTCGAGCTCGCCGCAGAGCTCGGCATCGCCACCAATTTCTCCACGAAAATGCGCCAGATCCTGTCGCAGCCGTACTCGGGCGACATCACCATCCTGCCCGAGATCCGCTTCAACGAGATGAACAAGCTGCTGGTCAACCCGACCCCGGAGTTTCTGCTAGACGCTCTCGTGCGAGGCGCCCGCGCCACATGGCCCAAGATTTCCATCATCCGGAACCACTGCTCGCTCGAGTTTGCGCTCGACAAGGCCATCTCCACGCTGCGCTCCAAACTTATCTCCACCCCTAGCAGACAGCTCACGTACCTGCCCGTCTCGCTCATCAACAACCTCGAAAACCCTTCCCAGAGCGCAGAACAGAGCAAACCGCGCAAGCGCCGCGCCCACCAGCGCCGCCGATCCGAGTCCCTGGCCGTCGGCAGCCTCGGAGAACAGAGAATGCGCTCCAACACTGTCTTCGCCTCGCGCAGACCAACTGCCACGTCCACGCCGCTAAAACGCCAGATCCGCCGCCATCCAAGCATCCCGCTGCTGAGCATCCCCAAAACCGCGTCAGAGACCCAGCGGTCGCTGCCGACGTCGCCGTATGCAATAAAGTGCAAGGGCGTCGCCGTCCACCGTTCAAGCAGCTGGCTGTCGACGTCGTCGTGCGGAACCCCCAAGACGGGCGTTTTCAGCGGCACCGGCGCGTCGCCGCCAAACTCCACGCAGCCGGTGTTGGACGTGCGCTCGGCAGACGGCTCGATCGGCCCGGACGACGTCAAGAACACGCTCGACTACCCGCTCTAGCGGCCGCGTCGATCGACGCGTCGCTGCTGGAGCTCGCCCAAAATTCCCCTGTCCCGGAAAACGGCTAAAAGGATAGGGTTTAGTATAAGTACCAAAAAGATGGTTTAATTTCCGGGAATGACATTTCTCGTGGGTCTGAAGCCGGCGTTCTTCAATACGTGGGGGATAGCCCCAGCAAAGGCACAAAGCCAGTCGAGAAGAGCCGCTCTGGTCAGCAGGCTGCTCCAGCTCTACAAAAGCCAGGCTGTGTCGCTGTGTTTGCATAATCCAATCACCAGAGACAGCATCAAGGGATACTACCACGATCTCGGCAAGCAGTATGAACAGAGCTACAAGCGGCTAGAGAGCGCGTCCCAGATGGTAGAGTTCAGGTTTGTGAGCTATCTGAAGGACGAGCTCTATGCGCGCTCGGAAGAGCTGGCCCAGATAGCAACCAAGCCGACGAAATCCGACCTTGCGTGGCTGGCAAAACACTACACGCCGGAAACGCACTCTTTCCTGGAGAAATATCACTCGGAACGGATCCAAACCACCTTTGAGATTAGCAATTATCTGCATAACGACTCCCTGGTCCAGACGGTCGGTGCGCGCCAACTTGTTAAAAACGCAATCAAATACACCCAGGACGTTCTAATTCTGAACGACTACCCTGTTCCGCTAATCCTGCTGGACTCTTGCTCCGATGACGCCAGGATCCGGTGTGTTGCTCCGCATATCCAGCATGTGCTATTCGAGCTGCTCAAGAACTCCACCATTCCCGCGCTGCGAACCAACACTCCTATCAGACTCAACATCCTGAGCGATGCAGACACCACCACGATAAAAATCACAGACTCCGGCGGCGGCATGCCGCCCGCCATCGCCCACAAAATATGGCAGTTCCATTTCACCACGGCCACCGAACAGAACAAAGACGAGGTGAACGGGTTCGGCATGGGCATTCCGCTGTGCTCGCTGCTCGCGAGGTTCAACAAGGGCAGTCTAGAGATCGAAAACCGGCTCGGTAGTGGGCTTGATGTGCTGCTGAAACTTCCTACAAGATGATGCCAGCTCTATAATGCATTCGTATTACCAAGTTTATAAGTACAGCAACCGGGTGTGTCTTCTTGCTGTGCGTTCGTCCAAGCCGCCGGACTCCGCTAGTAGTTTTGCTCCGTCGTTCTCGCACAGAATATTGTCCTGGAACACAAAGTAATCGGTCCTGATCGTCACTCCACACTCGGAGCAACTGAGACAGTGCACATGGAACAACTCGCCATGCTCATTCGACAGACACTCGCCTTCGATTCCCTGTCCGCAAAACGTGCACAACGAGCCGTTTTTCTCGTGGAAGTGCAGCTCGCAGTACGGGAAATCCTCGTGCACGTAGCAGGACTCGCCTTTCGAGAACGGCTTCGAGCACGTGATGCAAGAGAAACATTTCCTGTGCCACTGGCCAGACAACTGCTGGTCCTTGGACCAGATCGACTTCTGGCCCGTTGCTATTGCCAGCCCGCATTTCCTGCACGGTCCTTCGCCCGGGCTGAATTTGACTACAGAGGGAGCCCTTTCTGGAGACTTGACCGAGTTCTGGCTACTGGTGTCCAGTCTGGACAGCTTGTTGGTCACCTGTGACACGCCATCATCGTACTCTGTGTCCTCCTGGATCGTCGACATGTCGTTCTTCCGGTCCTCCTCCTGTGTGTTGTACACCTTGAACTCCGGGCTCTGCATATCATTCAGCCTCTGGATGTCTTGGGCATTGTATATGGACGATGCCATGCTGTCTGTTGGTCTTGGGGCCAGCTGTGGGATCTGAAGATCGACCTTTTGCGTTGGCGACAGTTCCTTGCGCATAGAAAGCAGCTGCTCCACCGAGTCGTCATTCTCAGCCTCGAACTTGGCGTCGAACGCGTCGATCGACGAATTGGCGTCCTCGAACTCCTCCTCCGTCGTGTTCATGGTGGACTTCGACAGCGGCGTATCGCTAGGCTGCAACGACGACGGCCTCAGAGGAGGGGTCGCCAGTACGTCTGTTGGCGGCTGAGGTGGCGTGCTATGGATCGGCGAGCTTGCAGGAGACGTGACGATTTGCGGAACCATGGGCTTTCGTCCGAAATTGAGAGAGTTGCCGGATTTCTCTGATGCCTGCGACATGCCAGATAGGCCCCTGGCCCGTCTGGAGGAACTGTCGCTGTGTGCGCTGGCACGATCTGCGGCAGAAGGCAGCTTGGAGGTCTGCCCCAAAGAGCCTGTTCTGCTGGTGTGCACGGATGCGTCTCCCAGCTGGAAGTTGGCCAGAGGGTCTCTGTGTGTGTCTGGGAACGACGCCCCGGCGGACGTGGTTCTTTGTTTGAGATGGTCAGGCCTGGCGTCAAGGGGCAGCGAGGTTGTACTCCTGTCCCCATCCTTCATCATCATCTTGTGCTGGATCTGCGGATCTGAGTCGTGGTGGCGCTGTGTGGCGAGCGTGCCGGGCGCCGTGAAGTTCCTGTGGGTGTTCAGATTGGGCGTCGAGCGGTTGCCTGAGGATCGGGGACGGTCTGGACGATACACGTCAAAACCCGCTCTCTCCATCACCGAGCGCACTCTCTTAGTGGTTGTGAGGGGCGGAAACGCAGAGTGGAACCGTATCTGCGGGCTCGGGGCCCTCATGAACTCCGGCAGAGTCTTCAGTTCTGGCGGTTGAAGATCTTTGTAGCTCATAAAATGAAAGATTTACCTTTCAGAAAAAAAAATAAACATTTTTTTATTAACGTGTTCGCGACCCCAACTAAGCATTCTCCAAGCCTAGATCGGAAAGTTCGTCAATTTCATGCGACTCCAATTTTCGTGAAACACGATTATATATCACGTATATCACGGCCGCAAACGACAGCGGCGCGATCACCATGCCCAGAAAGTCCACCGTCTGCCTTCCTGGACTCCGTCCGTCCTGCATCATCTTTCGTAGCTGGTAGCCGCTAAATATAGGGACAAATAATTTCGGACTGACTGCAGCTGTGGCTCCCACGTAAATGCTGGGTTCCAGCGTCGGGATCGCCGCCAGAGCCCCGTTCGAGAGCGAGTAGGGGAGCGGGCACAGCCGAACCAGACACATCAGGCCGAAGTTCTGCCAGTAGGGGGCCTTCTCGTCGTTGAGAGCAGACACGAACACCTTGAGCTTCACGTTTCGCTGCATGCACCACACGGCGTACGGTTGTAGCCACCGACGGCAGAGCAGATACGACAGCGTCGAGCCAAGCACCGTTGCGGAGGCAATGATCGGCCAGCCAGCAAACCCGTAGACCATGCCTGCCAGCAGCGACAGCGCCGAGTAGCCGATTACCGGCGGGAAACTGACTGTCACGACCAACATGAACAGCAGCAGCTTTCCACGGAGTCCCCACGACGCCCAGTGGTCTGCCACCTCGACCATCTTGTGCACGAGGCCAGAGTAGTACTTGGACGCCAACATGTGGACAATAACGTACGCGACAGGAACGGCGAGAAAGAGCAGTTTCTTCCACAGCGCAAACTCCATAAACCAGTTCCTGGCCCTTGCAAGGTACGTCTGTGCCGCGTCCCGCGCTCCGGTGAGGTCCTGCCGCAAATTCATGAGGACTTATTCTTGGGACGAGAACTTTTGGACGATCGACGCGTCTTGCCGGAGCCAAGCAATTTTCAGCCCGGATCACAAGGTAGCCGTGCAATGCTGCGTCCCAAACTTCAAAAATGGATATTGCTGGCCCTGGCGTGCGCGCTGCTGTTCTACAGCACGCTGTTTCTGTACGAGGCACGCGCCACGGGCTCGGAGGTGGACATACTGGACTTTTCTCGGTCTGCGCTGAAAAACTACTGGACGTCCCAGTGCATCAAGGAACAGTACTTCAAAGACGGCATGAAAGGCCCGCTGACTGCTTACGACATCAGGAAGATGATCCAGGACGAGAACACCAAGTTTGCGGAGGACCGGGAGATTTTGCTGCGGAAAAATAAGGATGGCCGCGCCTACAAAGCCATCAACGTCCGTGCCCCGATGAATAAGGTGTTCCGGAGGTTTGCCGAGATTCTGAGGCTGAACAAGATGCTGTTTCCTCATCCTGAGCGCACCATCACGCTAGACGGCAAGCCGGTGATCTGGGAAACGCAGTTCGAAGAGACTCCGTACAACGTTCTCTCAGAAAACCGGCTGCTCGAGTTCATGGAGTTTGACCCCCAATTCGTGGAGGACCTCAAGCGCAAGCACCGCAACATCCTCTCGAGCCTTCCTAAGCGCCCTGTGGATTTCTACCGCGGAACAGGATACACCATGGTAGGCGGTGGAATGTATACGTGGTATGCGTACCTGTCGATCAAATCGCTGAGGAAAACCGGCTCGAAATTGCCGGTCGAGATTGTCATTCCCCAGAACGACCAGTACGAGCCGAAACTGTGCGACGATGTCTTCCCAAACGAGCTGAACGCAACATGCGTGAGGCTGTCGCAGGTCCTAGGAAACGACACCCTCAAGTCGCTCGGAGAACTGAAAGGGTACCAGCTCAAGTCTTTTGCCATGCTGGCCAGCTCGTTCGAGAACATGATGTACCTGGACTCGGACAACTTTGCTGTATCCAACCCAGACCATTTATTCGAGTCGAGTCTGTACAAGAAGTTCCGCATGGTGACTTGGCCCGACTTCTGGAGAAGGACCAGCTCTCCGCTTCTGTACAAGATCCTGAACATCAAAGTTGGCAATTTTCCGGTGCGGCGGCTCAACGATTTCTACACGCCGACAGAAAAGTACGTGACGAAGGACGAGCTCATCGAAGTCGAGGACCAGATCAATTTCCACGACAGACTGGGCACGCTTCCCGACTGGACCTCGGAGAGCGGCCAGATCCTCATCAACAAAAAGGAGCACTTCAACACGCTTTTGCTATCTCTGTATTACAATTTCGATGGCCCCGCTGGCTACCACCCGCTGCTGTCCCAGGGCGGCGCTGGAGAAGGCGACAAGGAGACGTTGGTTCTGGCAGCCCACGTTCTCAGAAAGCCCAACTACCAGGTCTATCGCAAGCCTGATAAGCTCTACGGCACCTTTATCAAGCACGCCAAGTTCTTCGTAGACTCAACCATCGTTCAGTTTGATCCTGTGGCTGACTACGAGAATCTCAAGAAAGCTGTGAAAAGTAACATGCAGAGCATGGAGAACCTGCAGAGCTCGTATGTCTACAGCTACATGCATACTTTTGGAAGCTTTGCGTTCGAGAAGTCTCCCGGAAAGCCTCTGTTTTACCACATCCATAATCCTAAGATGGATCCTTTCGACTATGTTGAAAGAAATCTATTTACTGACCCAAACGACAAGGAGCTGCGCAATTTCGGGAAGAACTTCCCTCAGATCGGATACGACATTGAGCTCTGGATATGGGAGCTGGTGCTCGATACGCTGTGCGGGCGGAAGTTAGAGTTTGCAGGGTTCGCCGGCAGAGACATGACGCAGATTTGCAACAGCACTCTTATAACAGACCGATTAGAGTACCTTAGAAGAACGGGCGCTGGATTGCTGGGGGGGTCTCAGGTGCCACATATCGAGGTGACTGAGGATCCCGAATTAGACCAATACATCTTTGACAAGATCAGCGAGACACAGAAATACAAGAATATAGAATGAGTATCAAAAATCTACGAAAATTAATTATGTGTATGACAATATTATTGTTGCAACCTCTTGCAAGCATCAATTGCCATATGTCTCACCTCCAGGTCACCCACGTTTCTAAACAGGCCTCCCAGGATGCCTTTCAGGTTGTGTTTTTGAGCGTAAGAAGCCACCAGCTCATGATCCGGCAAGTGTGCCAGGTTCTGGAGAATGTAGAATCCACGTAGAAGAATATCGGTGTCGTACTGGTTTTGAAGTAGGCCAAACAGGCGATCCAGAAACATCTCCGACTTCTGAAGTACGACAGCGACCAGCTCAAAATCGCTGGAATTCGCCAGGATATTCAAGACCGCCAGTTGTGACGCGCGATCGTCTAGATCGACAAGCTGAACAAGAATCTTGAAGTTTCTGTGATTGTCATCCTTCTCTGAAGACCAGTTGAAAAACTTCTCCATACACAGTGGGGTCACAATGAGATTTGCCAACAGCTCCAAAATACAACGTCTAATCTGGACGTTAGCAGAGAGCATGAGATTGCCAATGGCCGGCCACCCCAGTTTCACCGGAACCAGCTTCACGTCGATGTCGTCAACTGACGACAGATTGATAAGAGCAACCAATGAGGTGAACAGTTCAGCATTGTCGATCTCAAGTCGTGAAAGCGGGCTTGCAGTGTTGGTGCCGTTAATCTCTATGTCGTATTGAATTAGCGGCTCAAGCAAAAAGGGAACGGGTGTAACAAGCTCAGGACGCGTGAAAACAGCAGTCGGATTGCTGCTGGAAAGAATATTTGCCAGCGTGTTGATGGCGGTGAGACGCAATTCTTGGTTTTCCACCGGTTCGCTAATCGAAATTCCGTTCTTGTAGTCGATGTTCTGAGACGACTTGACGAGATATGTGACCACCGTACCAACGCCACCTTGCTGTGCCAGCTGCGGACGGCAACTCCGGTCTGTTGATATGTTGTAAAGCAGCTCTATTGCTTTCTCTTGAACCCTGGAGGAAACAGACTTGAGACCAGTGACTTTACCAACAGTTCCAGAATCCAGCAGATACTTGAAAAAAAGACGAAGCTGTTTCTCGTTGTCGGGCTCTTCGTTGATGTTTTTCAGCTGACTGAGCTGGTCTTTCTTGGCAACCCAGGTTAGGTTAGCCAGCACACAAACCACCCCGTATGGCTCACTATCCAGGTATTCTGTCAGTTCCTCCACCAAAAAGTGGTTGTCTCTCATTGATTTGCTATGAAGAGACAGGTAGGCAAGTCCTTCAACTGCGGAGGAGTCATTTTGCTCAAGAGCTTCCGAAAGCACTTTTTCCAAATTGCTCAGAGACAAACTAGGACGATCCTTAAACGTCTCTTTTTTTAGGTTATTCCATATCTTGAGGATCACCAATGCCCCAAGAGCCCGCACGTGGAGATCAGCAGACTCCAAAGCGCGGATGGGAACCACCGAGTACTGGTCGGCAATAGGGACCCGACACAGCTCGTCCACGCACGCAGCTGAAAAGAGGTCCAGAAGGCTTGCAAACCTGGACTTTGGAATTGTGTCGTTTATGAGATCAGTTGTCTCCCTCGTAATGTAGGAAACGAGCGTCTGGTTCTCCATGAACAATTGGTGACATATTGCGGGTGCAATGGTGAACAATCGGGTCAGAACCTTGAGCACCTGCTGTCGAGGCGAGAGTTCAATCAGATCTTCCAAAGAGTCAACCAGTCTCTCATTATAATCCTTTCCTCCTTTCGCTTGCAACTTTATCAGATTGGCAAGCACGATCGAGTTGAGTTTGTCATACTGAAGAAATCCCAATATTGCCGGAATAAATGCTAGGCCCTCAGATCCTGTTTGGGACAGCTGTGAATACAATCTATTCAGCAAACCATCGGCCTCCCTCGCCAGATTAGGGTCACTCGGGTTTTTGTTGAGCTGTTCGAGGGCACGGGTCAACTCATTTTTAGTGACACTATTTTCCATACCGGCAAATTGATTCGATAATTTTCTCGGGAAATACAAACTTTTGGGCATTACAGTGCAACAATGTATCTTTCAGTTGACGTATTGTTTGATTATTTAGTCCTACGGCCGAAATTATTTCCCTTTGCGGAAATGGTACTGCAACGAAGCAAATTGAAAATTACACGTATAGTTTAGTAGAGGGGACCACGCAGTGCTGGACGTCAATTGGCGTTGCCTATTGCAATGCGGACACGCTCCACTGCCTTTGCGAGGAGAAAGTCACCCTTAATCTCCGGGCCTAAAATAAGAACCGTGTTTACTTTTGCACTAGTTAAGTCGGGCGCCTCTTAAAGCCGAATATTTTTTATCTTCTGCAGCTGCAACATCCCCAGGGTCGCGGCCGAGAGGCTCACAGAATTTGTCGTTTCGCTGGTCAACTGTCAACGTTCAGACGTAACCATCACAACGTCCGCCAGTGCAAGAGCGATTTGGATGGTAACAGCTTAGCCCTATTGTTTTCGTAGTAGAGGCGCTCTAAAATTATAAATAGCAAATAAGCTTGTTATGAATTAGATGGTTCTCACAATTATGCATCGACCCTGTTTTATGCACCATCTTCGCCGTTAATACCGAATACCGATGTTAAAGCCCTTATCGAATGAAAATGCAGGTTAACGTACGCCACTTCTGCCGGCCTTGTAATTTTGTCAGCCGAAGCCTATTTGGAAGTGAAACTGGAATCCTGGCTATTGTTTCATGCAACTAGAAGTTTTGTTTTTCCTATGCGACTTTCCCACCCTCACAGGGCGCAACCCAGACAAATATAATGGGACGGATTTAAACCTTTTCTCCCAAAATCCTTCCATGAAATATTTTACAAACACAGAAAAAGACACGGAGAGTGACGTTCTCACCAAGGCTAACAGCAATTATGAGCAGAAAAGCTACGGAGTTAGACGCACAGAAGCTCTGAATAAGCAGTACGACGTGTGGTACGGTAAAGTCGCGGTTTTCTTCTCCATCTTCCTGGTTGCATACGCTTACGGTCTTGATGGACAAATTAGAAGCACTTACCAATCGTATGCTACATCTTCGTACGCCCAACACTCGTTGCTTTCCACCGTGACCGTGGTGCGTTCGGTGGCAGCCTGTGTTGCCCAGCTATTCTACGCCAGGCTTTCAGACATATTCGGTAGAATCGAGCTGCTATTTGTTGGAATTCTGCTGTACGTAGTTGGTACGATTATCGAGTCTCAGGCATACGATGTCACCAGATTTGCTGCGGGAGCAATCCTGTACCAGTTCGGATACTCTGGAGTCATTGTGCTGTTGCAAATCATTTCCGCAGACTTTTCGAACATGAACTGGAGGGTGCTCGCTTCCTTTGTTGCAGCGCTGCCGTTCGTGATCAACACGTGGATTTCCGGTAATGTGACCGACTCGGTTTTGGCTTCGAGAACCTGGTCCTGGGGTATTGGTATGTGGGCCTTTATTTTCCCGCTCGCCTGCATTCCGCTGATTCTCTGCTTCATGCACATGCACTACCTTGCTTACCGCAATGGAGACATTCACAGGCTTGAGGGAGTCACAGACTTCAAGAGGCTGGGCTTGAAGCGTTTCATGATTGAGACGTTTTTCTGGAAAGTTGACTTGGTTGGTCTGCTTTGTCTCATGCTCAGTCTTGGTCTGATTTTGACCCCGTTTACCCTGGCCGGAGGATACAAGTCTGAGTGGCAGAAGGCCAAGGTGATTGCTCCTCTGGTCATTGGTTTCTGCCTGTTTCCATTTTTCTTCCTTTGGGAAGCCAAGTACGCAAAACATCCATTCCTCGAGGCAAGGTATATGAAGGACGCATCTGTGTGGGGAGCCCTGATGATTGCCATTTACATCGATCTGGTTTGGTACATGCAAGGTGATTACTTGTACACTGTGTTAGTGGTTGCATTCAACCAGTCCGTCAAGTCCGCTACTAGAATTACAAGTCTCTACTCTTTCGTCTCGGTGATCACGGGAACTATCCTCGGATTTGCTATCGCGTTCATCAGAAGACTGAAGGCTTTCATTATCTTTGGTATTTCGATGTGGTTTATTGCCCTGGGATTGATGATCAAATACAGAGGCGGAGACGGCTCCAAGGACGGTTTGATTGGGGCCCAATGTCTGCTAGGCTTCGGTGCAGGTTTCTTCACCTATGTTACTCAGGCTTCCATTCAGACTGTCGCAGACCACGAGCATATGGCTACGCTGTTATCTTTGTACCTCTGTCTTTACTATGTCGGCTCAGCTCTGGGTGGCTCCATTTCTGGAGCTGTCTGGACCCAGATCTTACCAAAGGAAATCAACAAGCGAATCTCCAACGCCACCGAGGCAGCCCTTGCCTATGGATCTCCGTTGACTTGGATCTATGAGCATCCTTGGGGAAGTCCCGAGAGAATGGCTTTGGTCGCCTCTTACAAACATGTCCAGAGGATCCTGGTCGCTATTGGTCTCGCTTTCTGTGGTCCACTGCTATCCTTTGCGTTCCTCCTGAAAGATCCTAAGCTCGAGAGCGTTCAGAGTTTGAAGGATGCTCATCCTGAGGTCAGCGAAGAGGAGGAGGTTGAGAGCCAGAAGATCACAGCCTGAGATTAACTATGTAGAGCTAGTAACGATTCTTTCTATTTAGAACGTGGATTGATTTAGGGAGATAGTCCAGGGGAACATTGCTCAAACAAGCTCACTAAAATATTCAGTCCGTCTGCGGCCACTATTGTATGTGCAGTGCAATCTGGGAGCAAAATTCTGCTATTAATTTCGGCTAGATGTTGCCTGAGCCCACGATAGAAAAGAAAACCAGAATTCGACGACGAGAAGGCCATCTATATCTGGAAACCCACTTCTTAGTTGTTGAATGAACTGTGCAAGGGTCCATCAATCGAAGGAGACGTACCCTCCATCGAAAGACGCCGTAATCTCTACATAGCGTGGTAAGCCCAGTTTCCCAAGCCAAGGAGGGAAAATAGTACGCGTTTTAGCACTAGTGTGCTTGTCTGCGAATAGAGTCCTCAATCCAAGCTAAGGGTGTCTTGAATATTACGCTCAGCCAAACCGCGTTGACCTCTCGGACTTATATGGATGCCATGCATCAGAAGAACAAATTTATTAAAGGACCACATACGAGGAACGTGAAGGCTCAAAAGAACAGAACCTTGACCATGCTCAGAAAATGAGATATGAAAGAGACATGTAGATTATGCAGGGAAGGAGAATTAAATAGGCGAATGTAGCTGTACTATTAAGCGGCCGTTTGCCTCCCCCTGCAGCCATACACTACCACGCAAAATTATACTGGAACAACGCAGTCAACAGCTAGCTGTTCACACATGCTAAGTGCTCGCAATGCTGATAATCGGATACCTCGTATACGATCAGTTTCCGCATCCCATAAAGATTCTCTGCCATTTTTCATGACGGTGAATCAATCCATTACCACTACAAACCACGTAACGAAAATTGAAATTATTTTGTTTAAACATGAAGGGTCTGTTCCTTGTATTGGCTCTTTGTCTTGAGTATGCCAATGCCTTCTACCTACCGGGTGTGGCACCAACTCCGTATAAGGCCGGTGACAAGGTCCCGCTTTTGGTGAACCATATCACTCCTTCTATCAACCAGGAGGACAGTTCGTCGAAAACTTATCTTTATTCCTACGATTACTATTTTCCAAGATTCCATTTTTGCAAACCGGCAGATGGGCCCGAAAAACAGAGCGAGTCGCTGGGATCTGTCATCTTCGGCGACAGAATCTTCAGTTCGCCGTTCGAGCTGAACATGCTGGAAAACAAAACGTGCCAAACTCTCTGCTCAGAGACTTACTCAAAGTCGGACGCGGTGTTTGTCAACAGAAACATACGCGCAGGCTTCAAGCACAACTGGCTTATTGATGGGCTGCCGGCAGCCAGACAGATGCTTGATGAGCAGACAGGCACTACTTTTTACAATTCGGGATTCCATATTGGATATGTTGACGACGAGAACGTTGCTCATCTGTACAACCACTACGATATCTATATCGAGTACCACAAAAGAAAGGAGAATGAGTTCAGAGTTGTGGGTGTCATAGTTGATCCAAAGTCGCTCACTCAAAACGCCGACGTGACATGTGACCCTGAAACGCCTGTTCCTGTCATGTTGAGCCAGGAGTCCGACACAGGTGTTACGTTCACCTATTCCGTCTACTTCATCGAATCACCAACTGTCTGGGCGACAAGATGGGACAAGTACCTGCACGTGTACGATCCTAAGATCCAATGGTTTTCCTTGGTCAATTTCTCTCTGATCGTCATTTTCCTCTCTATCATAATGTCTCATATTTTGATCAGAACATTGAGAAATGACATCCAAAAATACAACGAAATCAACCTTGATGACGACATGATTGACGAGATGGGCTGGAAGCTGGTTTACGGAGATGTATTCAGACCACCGAAGAACCCTATGTTGCTGTCGGTTCTCGTCGGTTCTGGTGTCCAATTCCTTTTGATGGCTATCAGTACCTGCGGGTTCGCTCTTCTGGGACTTCTTTCCCCGTCCAATAGAGGGTCTTTGGCCACTTTGATGTTTGTTTTGTATGCGGTTTTCGGCTTCGTTGGATCCTTCACGTCGGCATACATCTACAAATTTTTCCAAGGTGAAGACTGGAAAACTAACATGATTCTGTCTCCACTGCTGGTCCCTGGAGCTTTGTTTGGACTGTTCATCTTCTTCAATTTCTTCTTAATTTTTGCTCATTCATCGGGAGCTGTGCCGATTGGTACCATGTTTGTTATTGTTCTGATCTGGTTCGCTATCAGCGTCCCACTCTCGTGTTTTGGCTCTCTCCTCGGATTCAGCCGCCCACCTATCAAGGTGCCGGTCAAAGTTAACCAGATCCCAAGGCAGATTCCAAAACAAGCGTGGTACTTGAAGACCTCCAACATGGCCTTGATTGCAGGCATCTTCCCCTTTGGAGCCATTGCCATTGAGATGTACTTCATTTACAACTCTCTATGGTTCAACAGAATCTACTACATGTTTGGGTTCCTCTTCTTTTGTTTCATTCTGATGCTGATCACAACACTCTTGGTCACGTTGTTGCTAATCTATTACACTTTGTGCAACGAGAACTACAAATGGCAATGGAGATCATTCTTCGTTGGTGGCGGTATTTCCGTTTATGTGTTCCTGCATGCCCTGATACTCTCAAAGTTCAGACTTGGCGGTTTCACATCTGTGGTTCTCTACGTGGGTTACTCTCTTGTGATTTCTTTAGGAATTGGACTTTTGTGCGGAGCTGTTGGATTCATTGGTGTTATGGTGTTCGTGTTGAGCATCTACAGCCAAATCAAGGTCGATTAAAATGATCGCTTGCATGTATACTCTAATTAGATTCACCAATGAACTTTAGTCCTCTGGTATTGTTTTCCTCGGGCTTACATAATCCGCCCCCGGCCCCACGTCGGGAACCGAAAAAAAGTTGAAAAATCGAAAAATTAGACATATTTGAAATGTCAGAAGAGGGACAGGAGGTGGAGGTTGTGCAGCTGACCGTCAAGTTGCCAGACCCAATCGGGCAAATTGTATTTCAGGTCAATCCCGCTGACACTGTACAAGACGTCAGCCAGACTTTGAGGCTGATTACCCCTACCCAGCACCACACTTCTTTCGTCTTAACGACCCTTGGAGGTGAAAAACTGGCTGAGGACACTCTTATTGGGGATATCACGGAGGATTCGAAGGCTACAGTGATTTTGAAAGAAATGCCTTACACCGAGAAGTCGGCAAGAGAACATCTCCAGAAAGTGAGAGAAATCGCCTCTTTGCAGCTCCCGCTATTTTATGGAACGTTGAACGATATCAGCGGTCTTTCGGCTGGAGCTTCTACCTACAAGACTTTGGAGCTTGATCCGGTTTCTGTAAAGTCGGGGGCATCCGAGACTGAAGAAAAGGAGCAGCCTGAGCTTTCTGAGTCAGCCAAAAACGGTATCTTCGATGCTGTTGAGTCCGTGCTCTCCGTCAAGCCGTCCACCACTCCTGCCGAGACTCCTTTGAAATTAGCCCCTGCTTTGCGCTCGTTGCACGTCTCGGCATGGACGCCGCCTTCGCCGCAACGCGTGCTGAAAGGCGACTTGCTCTATCTCCAATGTCAGACTCTCGAGGGTGAGAGTTTCCAGATCACTGCTCACGTGACCGGCTTTTTTGTGAACAGCTCGTCTGCTGCCAAGTTCGACAGCTCCCCCAGAAAGGTGACCTCTGCGAACGGGAAACACCAAAGACCATCACGCGCTCACTCTCTGCTTACTTTGTTGAAAGGTCTGTCTCCTAAATTTGTGGAGCAGCTCGATGTCAACGCCAAGATCCTCTCTGAGCAAATACAGGATGTCTACTCGCTGCCTACCAATGCCCTACTGAGCAATCCGTGGCTTGTGAAGAACTATTCTCTGCAACACCCAGACTTAGGAAGAATTGAGGAGAATTACATTGCTGGTGGCTCTGATGCTGCTGATCTGTTCAAGGACTGGAATGAAGAATACCAAGGAAGCAAGGAGCTTCCGCGCTCGAGTCTCCCGGAGATATTTGCTAGAGAGCGACTGTTGAACAAGACCGGCTTTGATTTTACCGTTCAGGCCATCAAGGGTGCTATTTCCGTGGTTCATGGTGACGTCGCTCCGATGAACCCTAACGACGAGCCATCTCAGCATGTGTATCTGCGCAACGGAATCTTCTATTCTCTTGGCGTGGACGCTGCAGGAGATTTTGAGCGCTCGGGCGGAGACGAAGCCGCCAGGGTGGCTGCCGTGAAGGACTTGGACGGTGTCAGATGCCTGAACCGACTGGACAGCAGCGAAATCTCTCACCTGTGCACCACGATTGTTGACTACTGCGGCCATAGAGTGATCTGTCAGACCCCTGTTCCTGGCATTTTTGATGAGCCGCTGTCGGAGGAGGAGCCCGTTTCGAAAGTCATTTATGGCAGTTCCGAGGCACACACCCAGCTGAATGCCGACGAGAAGCTCAGCGAGAAATTCAAGAAAATAGCTGAAGTGTTCCATCTCAAGCCACACAAAGCATGGAATCTCGATGGCTCGCAGATCAAGGAAGTTGTGACGTCCATGGACACCAAGGGCATGAAGGGAACTGACGGTCGTGATTATATCATTGATTTGTACAGAACCACCCCTGTCGACATCGAGTTCATTGACAAGCATTACACTGGTAAGGAAGATTCCTATCCTCACAGGGAGACGGTTCTCCGACACGAGGCTGTGGAGGAGTGGTGGAGAAGACAAGTCTCCCTGGCTGTGAAGCAGGAGACTGAGAGACTGGGCGAAGAGGCCAAGGAAGGCGAGGAAAAAGCCACCATTGCCGTGGACACTTCTGCGTTTGTTCTGAATCCGGACGCTTTCTGCCTGACGGAAGCACCTACTCCAGAACTTGCTGCAGAACTGAAGAAAGACGAGGAGAGAGTCAGAGAGGTGTCCAAGTTTGTCTCTGAGATCCTGCTCCCAGAACTGGTTAAGGACTTGGAGACGTCGGAGGCGTACGTCCCAATCGATGGCGGCCATCTGAGCTCCATATTGCATCGCCAGGGAATCAACCTGAGATATTTGGGAGCGCTGGCGCAGTACATTGAGGAAAGAAAGGCCTTTCACAAGAAGGCGGAGGAAGAGAGACTAGAAAAAGCTAAACAGGAAGAGCCGAAGGAGACCAGCGACGAGGACGATTTGAAGAACAACGAGCAGTCCAAGCTCGATGCCACGCCGGTCCTGAACGTCCTGGATGCCCTTCTATCGGTGACCCTGCAGGAGATGATTGCCAGAGGAGTGAAGCACTTGCTGAGAAGGTCCTGTATTTCTGTGCCCGTTGCTCTGGTTCCGTACGTTATTGCCCATATTTTCAATAGCGTTCTTGGCGTGGTCGGCTACTTAGAAGTTGAGCCGCTTTTGGCCGAGATGTACGGCTCTCCAGACATCTTGAAGCTGTCGAGAGACCAAATTCGCGAGCAGATTGCGAAGGAAGTCTATGCCAGATACCGCTACGCTCTTCCAGAAAAGTGGCCTGTGCACTCTCTGTACCTGTTCAAGGAGATCTCGCGCAAGTTTGGCATCCAGTGGAGGGACAGAACCTACGGTTTCACCGGGGCAGCTCCAACGTTCACCGCTGACGACGTTCTGGCCGTTGTGCCGGTCGTCAAAGACTCTATCTACTACTCCAGGTCTGTGGATGACATTTGGGAAGCTGGCCGTGTGAAAGTCTCTAAGGGCGAGCCTGAGGGTATTCAGCTGCTGAACCAGGCCATTGAAGTTTACGAGCAAGTTTATGGGGCAATCCACCCTGAAACAGCCAAGGGATACGGACAGCTAGGGCAAATCTGCGTGGACCTCAAGATGGGCGAACAGGCGTCTGAGCTTGCTCGCAAGTCGTTCCGCATCCTGGAAAGAACCAGGGGAATAGACTCTTACGACTCGGTCCTAGCGCTGAGCAGATTGGCTTTAGTCGAGTCGGCCAACGGCGAGCATCTAAATGCGATCAAGCTGCATTCTAGAGTCCTGCAGCACTGGCTGACGTACCACGGAGAATCCCACATCAACGTGGTGTCGGAGTTGTCGACCATTGCTATTATCCTGCAGAAGGTGCAACTGCATGTTCAGGCTGCCAAAGTGTTCCAAAAGGCGGTTGAATTGAGCGATAGGTATGTTGGAGACCAAAGCCAAATGTCCGGTCTTCTGCGGTTCCAGTGGGGCCAATCCTTGGTCACTTTGAAACAGTTTGTTCCTGCAAGCGAGCAGCTTGAGCTCGCAGCAAACATCTTCAAGATCAACCTTGGTCCCAACGACCGGAGCAGCGTCGAGGCGTCTAAGTGGACCTCTCAACTGAAGGAGTACATATCTGTGATGCAGAAACAAGGAAAGCAGCTGAAGGCAATGGAGGCCCAGATGGCCAAGAAAGCCAAAAAGGCATCGCCGCTGCCTTCGAAGAAGAACAAGTCAGTCTCGCCAAACCCAGAGCTTGCTGACAAGTCGGTGGACGAAATCATGAAGTTCATCGAGGGCGAGCCTAAGAAGCCAAAGAAAAAATCCAAGAAATAGATGCCTGTATATAAGACGGCCTTTGCGTCGTGAAGTTTATTTTACATCTCGTTACTCCTCAATGTCGCCGTGTTCCCAGCAGCCCTTGTGGGCACGTTTGGCCTCCTGCTCGAGCTCCAGCAGCGTCTGTTGCTCGGCAGAGAGCAGCTTCTCGAAATCTTTTAGGCTCTTTTTGACTATGCCGAGACCATTGGACACCAGCTCTTTGTTGACTGTCCACTTTGGATCCTTGGAGATGGTTTCTGGGTCGTAAAGCTCCACGTCCATCTCGACACCTGGTTCTGGGTCGTGGAAAGTCTCGCATGCAACGAGCTGTCTGTCCAGAATAAGGTCTTCAAGGAAATAAATTGCGTCCTGCAAGTAGTCGATAGGCTGAGCCGGCGGAAGTTTGACCAGCGAGAACTGAGCCACGTGAGCCTGCGGCTTTAGCACGGAGGTCCCAAAGTTGGCAGGCAGCTCGCGCAAGTCAGACAGCGGAACGCTCTCGCTGTTTCCGTAGTCCACGTGACGCACTTTGTACTTGTTCAGCTGGCGATCAACAGCGACCACCAGCGCACGATAGAACTTTCCGTTCTCCGAAAACTTCGCAGCGACAAGGGCCCCGACTTTTGGCGGCTTGCCCAGCGGCTTGAAGCTCGACGAGGACGCGTGCATCTGTTTCATGAATGGAGACAGCTTTTTCTGCTCGTCGTCGAGAATTTGGAGCGCTATGGTCTCTGAAACGTCGGTGACCACCACGTCGTAGTATTTTCTGCCAATACTGAGCGTAGTCATTTGCTGGACAGGTGCCTCCTCAGGCTGGTACGTAGCCCATACACCAAGCTTTTTCTCTCGTGCTTCCTCTTCTGCTTGCAAGAATTGCGTCTCATATTTGGTCTGTGCGAGCGATCTCTCGTGGCACTCGGCAAATCCCTGTTGCAACAGGGATATCTGGAACGGCACACCGGATCCCGGGAGATAGAGGTTGCCAATGAACCCGCCAAACTTGTCGACGTTGTAGATGTCCAGATGGACTTCTCTCTGGTACGCTTTTCTAGTTGTGAACGCCAAAGCCTTTTCAGCTATCGCATCGTCTCCTCTTGGATTTGCGAGTCCTCCTAGGACAAACGTCAATTTTAAGCCCTCACGAGGCATGGCGATCTTGAACCTGTTCGAAGCTGTGATGTGCTCCACGATGCCAGGGATCTTGGTTCTGTTCTGGAACGAGAAAAGATACGGTTTTGCTCTTGCCGCAGACTCCGAGGCGTCCACAACTCTCTCAGGCTCTGGCACTCTGCCGTGCATTCCTTTCTTCAGCTTGGTAGCTTGCAACTCACTTTCAATCAGAGAATCCCAGTAGTCCGGCTTGCTTTCCGACTTGAACTTCAAAACGGAAGCATAGCCATTGGAAACAATGATATCCGATAGGTTGGTTCCGTCATTGAAGAAGACGCTAACCAGGGAGCGCTCGTCAAGCTGTTCTGTCTTCGGTCTAATTGACTCGACCACCACCCTGACTTGCTTGCCAATAGCCTTGGAGCGAACAAATTCTTTTGCAGCTGCAACAAAAGGTGCAGTCTCTGGGTCAGATTGTCTTGGTCCTCTGAGCGATGCGAGCTGAACAGTAATCTCAGAGTCATTTTTCAGACGAACCACCAGCGTGTCAGCAGAAATCACTTTTGCAATTGTCCCGTTGAAGTTCTTCTCAGGGGACTCGGTCGATCCTTCCTCGCTATGCCACAAATTCTTCTTCTGGGATTTGCCAATGCGCTCACTCTTGCGCAAATCTGCCATCTCGCTGGCTCCCAGAAGAACGGACTGCCAGTCAGCCACCACGGCCAGACCTTCCTCCAGCAGTTTGGCATTTATTTTACCCGCCGGATGGATCACCTGTGCAACCGCGATCCCGCTGGATGACTCGCCGACAACACTGATTTTGACGTTTCTGGCCAGCAGTCGGGCCTCCACATAGCTCTTGGCCTGTTCGCCAAAAGGCTCTGCCTCTTGCTCCGCAGAGGCGGTTCTTGGAGCCTTGATTCCAGCAACCAGCACAGGAAACACAGCGTGCTTGTTTTTGGAGACCAGCGCTCTCACCATCAGGCGATCTCCACTGATCACTCTCTCCACTATGGCGTCGAGCGGTGAGGTCTTTGACTTTTCTTTCTGGCTTGGTGTCAGCTCATTGGCCGTCTCAATGGCACCCAAGTTCTTAGCCCACATGCCAACTCCCTTGTCACGGGCCTTGGCCTCGATTTTCTGCAAATCAAGCAGAGCTTCGTCGTCGAATATTCCCGATCTCAGCTTCACGGCACCTCTCTCCAAAAGATACGAAATCAACGAAGGGAACAGCGGCGTCGACACGTCTCCAAACTCTTTCTCGGACTGGTTCTTGTAGAGAATCCAGAACTTGATCTCCTTGCCGACCAGGAGCGTTCTCAGAAGCTCTCTGGCCTCAAAAGCATACTTCTCGCCAGAATTGAGCCGTGGAGCCTGCACGTAGCCCAGGGTCAAAATTCGCTCTGTGCTCGGCCCTTTCAAGGGAACCAACACAAGCGTATCAGCAGAAAGAACGTTCTTGACACGTGCCCCAAATATAGTCGACATGTTAAATCGGCAGTAATTTTTCACCACCACACTTGGCCTACATATTTCCAACGACTAAGCTTGAGCTGGGCTGTGCTAGACTATATACCTAGACTTTTTTTCAGACTGTATAAAAGCCCGTCTTCCCTGTGCATCCACTCCGCGACGTGTTGTCCTGGGACTCGTGCTATCTCGTCCTCGATGCATTCCACGAGGAGCTTTGTTTGGGTGGACTTGGAGACCGGGCCCAGCTCTTTGGCAGCCAGAAGCAGCCACAGTATCGACTTGCGATGTCTGGTCTGCCCAAAGGAGAGCAGACTTGGGAGCTGCAGTTTCTGAGGATTATTCTGTTCGTAGTACGATTCTTTGAGTTCGGTTCTCGGAGACTTCTCCGGCTGGCCAAAGGAGGAATAAATGTAAGCAACCCGCTCCATTAATACAGCGTTGGCCGTGCTTTCTAAAAGGTGCGAGTCGATCAGCTTGGTGAACAAGTTGATTGCCTCGTTGTAATACAATGCAGATGCAGAAGCTTGGGAGTGCCCAAAGTATGCTGTCGACTGTCCGAGAATGAAAAAAAGCTCGGCGATTATCAGGAGTAATCGGATGCTATAGGTCTTCAGATTGCACCGCGACAGATACGAGTAGAACGAGGAGTCCACCAGCGGATTGATCACCTCTGAGATGATTTTTGCGGTGATTCCATTCATCACCATGCTGATAGGCGGCTTGTCTAGTGGATTCACCTTATTGCTTGCGCCGATAATTAATGAGATGACCATGAATTCTTGGAGCGAAGCGAGATAATTGTACGCCTTGTCATTTAGAAAATCCTTCTTGAGCAGCTCGTACGTCGTGTACGAGCTTCGGTAGTCGCGAAGCATGAAATTCCAGTCCGCTAAACGCCTTATTGCCATTTCCGGCGACTTGATATTGTAGTAACCATCTTTTTTGTTGTAGCTCGAGCCGCTCGGCTCTGGAGTGCTTTCGACCTTTTCGCTGCTACTGAACGAAAAAAACGACTTTTTGGTGCCATTTCCGCCCCATTTCTTTCCTGCATTGAAGAATCTTCCTGTAAAGCTCTTGCGAGGAGCCACGTATTCTTCTGTCCACAATCTGACCTTCCTTTCCATGTGAGGAATGAGCTGTTTGTGAATGATGTCCTGTATCTGATCGCTGAACGTTTCGTAGATTTGACGCGGGAGTCCGCGCTCAGGGGACTCCTTTCTGGACACTTCCTCACCAAGTTGGGAAAATACAGGCTTCCCAACGTTCACGGTGTCCCCGGAGTTGTCTAGCGGTACAATGAGACTCTTCACCCCAACACCTAGTTTGAGCTGTTCCTGGAGACGTAGCCCCTCTTGCAGATCCTTCTCTGGGTCGACAATAATGAGAACCAGCTCTAATATCGACTCAATGTCCAACCAGCTTGGATAAGCAGTTCTTTTCCAGCCAGAAAGCGCTTCCTTGACTGTCTCCAAGGAATCCGCAGACGTGACGACAAACAGTTGCATTATTGGATGGTTGAAGAACTCGAAAGACGAAATAGTTGCGGAAGAGATGCTCTTTGTGAGCAGCTTCAGGTATATGGAATTTCGAGCAAGTTTTGTATGCACAGAGTCATCGCTCGCGGTAATTAGGCTGTCGACATCTTTTATATGATCGTTTATGAAAGGGTCCAATGCGTTCAGGTTGTACAATTCTGACACGGAAAACGTTTGGCTAAAGGAGTCTGAGCCACCCAAGCTGGCACTGCCTCCCAAACTGGACCGCCTTGTTTGCAGAAGCTCTTCCTGTTCTCGTAACTGGTCCATGATGGGACTGACAAATCGCACTGTCAGCCTCAAGTTGGAGCCATTGGAAGCAATTATTCCGGGATCCTGATCCAGAAGACCTTGCTCAAAGCACCTGAGAAGTTCCAGAAAGTTGCCAAATCCCAAAGTGGAGGCTAGAGCGTCCGAGCTCGTTGTAGAGATAACACTGATTTTGGGACAGTAATTCTGCACAATCAGTTGCTTGCAGATTAACGAAGGAGCGCCCTTCATGTCCAGCCCAATGATATTGTACACGTTCTCGTTGAATTTGGATCGGATCCCCAAGGCCACATTATCCAGACTTTTAGACATGCTTTGAAAACGCTTCAGAAGAAATTGTTTTCGTACTCTAGTTTCGTCGCGACGATCGAAATCGTCTTTTATGCAATTAATATACAGACTATGAAGCCTTAGCTTTACTCATGTTGTTCATCACCTGGTCCGGTGGAACCGCCTGCACCATCTTTTCCTCACCCACTCTGGAATACAGCGGTGCAATTCTGGTGGCCCTGTTACTTGCGTAGTACAGTCCGGCAGCCGCAGCTGTAAATAGAAACATGGTTCCAACAGACAACGCCAGCCCAACGCCGACAACCTGTCCTTTGGTGAGATGGCTTGTGCCCTTGTTCTTAGAGGCTGGAGTGCCGGACTGGATGCTTGAGGAGGAGCTGGTGGAGCTGGTGGACGATTTAGTGGCACTGGTGGCATAACTAACTGTTCTGAAGCTTTTCACCACTCCTTTCACTGTGGCCAAAGTCGAGTTGAAGGATTGCCCCGCGGTGACAAGCGGGACCCAAGACTTTCCATTGTATGCGGCGAGATCTGCAACACCGTACGCGGGAAGCACGATTTTTCCTGCAGCTACCAAAATCTGGTTGTTGACGAACGAAACGGAAGAGTTGACCAGCTCAAAGTCAGTAAACGTGCTGTTAGACCCAAATTCCCCAATTTGGCTATAGCTGCTTCCTTTGATTGAGCCGATGTAGGTATCGCCCATGACAATCACCGTGTCATTAAGATGCGACCCGGCAACCATAAATTTCTTGACGTTGCCCGGTAAGGAGATGTTATCAAGGTAATCCGCAGGTTCGACAGAGGACGTGCTGAGGTTGAGAAGCCTGAAAGACGGTTCAGGCGAGTTGGTACTCACCAGAATGCTCAGAGTGTCCAAGTATTGTAGATATGTCACTTCTCCAGAAACCTGGCTAGAAGGCGCAGATAGCGTCCTGTTCCGCGGGTCGAAGAGACACAGATAACTGCACCGACTGGATGTGAAGTTTCCTCCAAGCACCACGCTACTATCTTTTGGATTGACGCCAAGAGCAGTGACGCTTCCCGTCAATCTGTCGGACATGAAAACATGAGCCTGTGAGGTGGTGTTATACACCCACAAGCTGGAGCCGGAGGTGCCATCAATGGACGCCATTCCATCGAAGGCCACGTAAATGGCATCTTTGTAGCTGTACAGCGCTCTCACAGCCGAGTTGTCGCTAAATGTAATGTTGGGGGTGGTACCGTTGACAATCACAAAGTTTCTCTTTTCGTCTGTGGTGGTGAAATTTCCACCCAAAATCAGTGTCCCGTTCAAATTGATTGCCGCGTTGACTTCTCCAGATCTGATTGAGTCCAGAGAAAAGGTAGACCCGTTTCTGATTTGCGCGACATTGATTGATCTGGCATCGTATTTGACAACCTGTCCCACGGCGAAGTCGACATCGTCAATTTTGATAGCGTTTGAGATATCGGGCCTGAGGAGGTCAGACGTAGTCCAAACCTGTTTGGCGTAGTCGTATACTGAGGCGTTATTCTCTGAAATGAGCGAGATGTACTCAGACGAGTTGTAGTCGAACGTCGCCGCAGAAAAAGGGTGGTCAGGTGCTGCCAGTTCGTGGTAGCTACCGTTGAACAGCCCCACTTTTTGATCTTCCGAAACCAGAACTAGATCCGTATCAACAGCTAGGATCTGGCTCACAGGGTCGCTTACATTGGAAATGTCATTAAAGCCCGCCGTCCTGGTGTCGAAGGCAATCAAATTTTCGCCGTAGTCTGACTCAAAATCCCCAGCAACGTAGAGCACAGTATCGTTGAGATACAAGCCGGTGACATTTGCGTTTGCTGTCAAATTCTGTCCCAGCAAATCAATGGAAGAGTTACCGAACGGTCCTTCGGATCCTGGTCGATATTCAAAGAGACCATTCAACTTATTCCTTATCTCCTTCTTGATATCCAGACCAACAAACTCAGCATACACCGAGCCTGCGACAAAGGTGACATGATCGCTGTATAGTGCAGAGTCAAATGTGACGTCGAGATGTGCTTGGGAGCCGGCTTCCATATCAACGTAGCCGGAGTATATTATGTCGTATTTTTCCTCATTGTTGGTTTGATAGACCAGTTTACTGCTCAGGAGCTCGGCACTGTTGTAGAAAGACGCATTGACAATTCCTCTTTCGCCGCAGGAATCGTCTCCCAAGCAGCCTGGTGTGTATAGGTAGACGGAGTAGTTTCCGGAGTAGGTAATATTGAGGTGGTATCTGATGCCTTGGGCGTTGATATCTGAGTTGCCGATGGTGGTGGTCAAATAGCCTGGCGCGGAAGTCCAGTCCACGTCACCCAAATTGGACGCTCGTGAGTAGCTCTCGATGTTGGAGCATGTTGGCTCGTTTAGTGTGTTATTAGCGTAAATCGTAGTTCCATACTGGAACATCTCAAAACCAGATAATCCTGCGTAGCTGCCATAATTGTCAAGAACTTGGATTGATATTTCACTGACCTGCAGAGGATTGACGAATTCAAATTCCTGGTAGTTTTCTCCAAATCCGATCCAGCCAGCTGTCACATTGCTTGCAGCAGTGTAAATTCCACTGTTGACCATTTCCTTGTGCTGCGCTATTGAAGCTGATAAATTAGTATTCGGGAGCAGCGGGCACCAGGCATCGCAGTACCGCGTCCCAAGCGTGTCAGGATCAACATATGACATATTCATAATTCCGTTGGCCGGCTCCGTTATCACCCTGAAAAGACTCACGCCGTTTCCGTCGGGTAGATTGTAAAGCCGTATTTTGGACGGCTGCACAGCATTCGGCAGTGCTGCCGACCACGACCCCTGTTCGTCCTCCCCCAGCTTCCACTGGGCTGAGTCCGACGGACAGACAATTGTTTGTGCTCCTGAGCCGGAGGAGCTTGATATCTGGGCGTACTTTAAACTGATCAACTGATCTGGGTCTACCAGCGTCGAGTTGCTCCCGTTGGTAGCCAAAATGTCTGGGAAGCCGATGGAGTCAAATTGTCCTCCAAAAATGATGCTTTTGTTGCTGCCATGTATCATACTGTTCACTGTGCCATTAAAACCGCCGAACAGAGTACCTGTCAGCGTATCATTCGAAAGGTTGTATACAACCACACCGAACTCGTTGTTATAAGAGAGATCTCCACCAAAATAGACCTCGTCATTATCAAGAAGAACGCTGGAGACATTGCCTTCAACTTGGTCCCAATTTCGCACAGGTGTACTGTTTTTTGCTTCGATGTCGTATATAAACGGCTGGCCGTCGACAAGGTAGATAAAAGACGTATCATTAAAATTAAACACTTTGGTAGCCGTAGTGGTCTCCAGTTGGATAATCGAGTCATTAATGGCACTCAGTGCCCACAGCCCATGATTTCCTGTTGTGAGGTTGTATTTGGAAACATCAGAATAATTAGAAATAGAGTCAAATTGGCCATAAATGAAAATGGGCTCCAATATGGATGGTTGGTCTATCTGGGCTGCATCAAATAAGGCCCCTCGTGTCATTTGAGCTAAAGCCAAACTGGTCAGAGCAGTTGTCTTGGAAAACTTCATGGCAAAGTCAGTCCATGGACTTAAATCTTCTTGGTAAAACGGTTTGCAGATAGTCTGGAAAATTGTAGTCCACAGTTTGGATATTTCCCAAACGGGAAATACATAAACAAAACCTACTCACTGAAGTTGGCTGGCAAGGAACAACAGGTCGTCTTTTGCGGACTGCGAACGGCTCAACACTACAAGGGAGATTGGCTTAGGGTGCACATGGACCAGCTCAGATACGCTTGGATTTCATGTTTCTCTTTCACTTAGGTATCCCGCCTGAAAAAAACGCTGAAACTAAGCACCGTGGCGCAGTGGAAGCGCGCAGGGCTCATAACCCTGATGTCGTTGGATCGAAACCAACCGGTGCTACTATTTTTGTTTTTTGCTTTTCTTTTTCGAGAATTAAGCAACCATGTTCCGATACCTGCGTCTGCTAGGGCGATGTTAGAATTTTAGCCTAATCTGCAGATTGCGAAATTGCAAGATATCAATATAGTCACCCCACCCCCAGAATTGAGTAAGGTACAGTTAAAGAAATTGTGGGGCGATATAATAATTGACTGAAAGTTTTTACCTGATCTTGAATAACTTGATGTTCAACCATGAGAAAGTGTTCGTTGGTGATATCCGAGCCTGAAAGATCTGCTGAAGAAGAGTCCAAAACGCAGCTGGCCGACCCAATCGTTCACAATTGTGGAAGTCTTCCTTTAGTCGGCTCTTTAGTATACTTTCGCAAGCGAGGTCACTTTGAGTCCTCAGGGCTGAATGGTGACCAGACTCGTTCCAAACTCCTGGACCACAAGTCCAGCTCGTACCCGAATCTATCACAGTGTCTGGAGCAGGGCACAAAGTACGATAACGACGATGTCGACCCTTTGCAACCAACCTCGCCGGCCAGTTCCATTTCTAGCATTGATTCCCAGAAAACGCTACATGAGCATGTTTTTGATGAGAGCGAGAAATCCGATCCCTCGTTTGATGAGCTGGATAGTCACATCAACCACCAGAGAAGCAACTCGTCGGGATGGAACGATACCGGTGACTGCTCCAGATCCCTCAAAAAAGATAGCAAGGTTAACACAAGGCACAGAAGACGCCTCACATGTGCTGTCATGTTCACAAAGCCAAGGCTTGTCCAGCTTTAGTATGTAAGACCCTCCCTACCTAGTACGATAATTCCATTTACGCTTTATGATTGAATAATTGGCAGTGCATGAACTTATTTTTATGCGTAAAAGTTATGTGAGTGATCTGCCGCTCGAAACCGTGTTTATTATTGTTCCCCTGCATTCCAAACTGGAAGGCACCCAGCATCAAATGCAGTTGGCAACTATGTAGGAAATAAGAAATAAGGTTTGTACAGATGGGAGCTCTTGCTTAGCGGATATGAAGAATCGTAGCAACTGTACCGTAAGACTGTATGAACGGACGCAGATTTCGCCAATTTAGCAACATTACGTGTAGCAAGCAACGCTCGCAAATGTCGTGGCTGATGAGTAGTCGCAAAAGCTGAGCAGTAGCTCATTTGCTCTAGATCGCGAACCCTGGTCGCGGTTTTAACTGTAAACTCGGAACAGATATAAGTCCCGTGGTCAATGTCACGCGCTTCAAGTTTTACTGCCAGATATCGCGCATTGGCGGTGCTACTGAAAAATAAACTACCGCGTAACTTACCATGGAGTCAAGACCTCCATTGGCTCGAAAGCGTACAGCTGCGTATGCCAGTGATGATGAAATGGCTATGGACGAGGAAAATCCGCGCATTCACCAATTTTCAGGGTTTTCAAGGAGCCATGTGAGCTCAGGCACGTCTGATTCGATATCTTTTTCCAGCTCGTCCTACACTCCATACTTTGACAGACAGCCGACAACAAGCTCTCCCGATTTGCAGTACGTTCCTGATGCCGAACTCGACCACTCATACATGACGAACAACACTACGCTGGATACCATCCCGTCATCTCCGCCCATAATTTCCCAGTCACAGGCTACTTTAGTTGATACTCCGCCAAAAATATCTGCTGAGCGCACGTCCTCTTCTCTAGCACCGGAGCCGACAAGAAAACGGCAGCGTGTGCTCAACAACGAGGAACAATTGGCTTTGGACCGCGACGGCAGGGTCTACGGCGTGCAGCTGCGAGATTCGACGTTCCCTGAGGGCTATCGGCCTAGTCTGTACGACGACCCCATGTTCTTCGTTGTCAAGAACACTGAAGCGGCAAGCAAAGCTGCCTCTGAAATCATTACAGACTTATTTGATCAAGATGTCGATCATGCTAGCAAGATATATAACTTGGAGCTAGAAGAGCTCGGATTGGACTCGCTACCTGAGCAAATAGCAGACTTCAAAGACCTTGTTCTATACGGGCCAGATGGGATAATCAAGCCAGTCTTGCACATTCACGCGTCGAAGAACCAGCTGAGGTCGCTCACCCCCAAGATCTTTGATATAGACGGTCTGGAAGTGCTCTCTCTGCGCACCAACAAAATAGCGAGAGTTCCCGGTCTCATAGAGAAGTCATCTAATCTGAAAAGCTTAAACTTATCCAACAACAAGATCAAGTTTCTACCCCATAATATTCTCAAACTAAAGAATCTACACACATTGAGAATCAGGCCCAACCCGCTTATCGAACACGCTTCTAGCGAGAACACGCGTGAGGTAGGAGGCTACAAGTCTCCGTACTCAGACTCGACCCTCAAACATATAGGCCAACTTCATTGGACTTCGAAGAACAAACAGGTGTCCAAAGCTGCCTTGCATGCCATTTCTCTTGCAAGAAATTTATCCGTTCTTCAAGAAACCGATTTTTCGTCGTTCAACTCTGAGCAATCTCATCTCATGGAAAAGCATCAGTGGACTCCAACGTTGGTCGAGCTTTCGCTGCGAAAGATCTCGAACTACCTGATATCTCAGTCAGAGCTTATGAAGTGGAAAGACACCGTGCACGAGCGAGTGTACAAGTTGGCCATCAAGGCGCTGATTCACGGCAACAACGGGGTCACTTGTGGTTATTGCGAGAACACCTGTGTGGAAAGTGTCGCGGAACTGATGGAATGGTGGGATTTCAAAGATGCGATAGAGATCCCAGTGAAGCGAATTTTTTGCTCCAAACGATGTGCGATTTGTTATTGGAACGATGTTAAAGTGTATATTTCTTAGTTGCGCAATCATATCCATACTCTGGCTGTGTTGTCTGCCGACCCACTCACAAGATAGCAGCGGATGCCACCTTCGAGTAGCTTTCTGTTCTTGGCTTTGTCGTTTGTTGTTGAAGTTTCGGATACCACTGGAGCAGCAAATGCGATGACGTTCACGAAATTCTCGTGGCCGCGCAGTTGCGCGACATGGCCCAGTTGCCCTGTTGACGCCAATGTACGGAGATCCCATACTTTGATGAGCTTGTCGTCCCCGCACGATGCAAGATAGTAACCGTTAGGATGCATGGAAAAACATCGTATCCAGGAGCTATGTGCTTTGAATTCATGAAGAAGCACAGCTTTGGGGTTAGAGGACGGACAAGGTCGTTCTGGATTGGTCAAATCCGGAACGCTGAGCTTCCAGATGCGCAACATGCAGTCTCGTCCTCCACTGACACAATATTTATATCCCAGGATGTCGTATGTCTCGTCATTAATGTCCACCAAAGGATCAATATACTCGTTGGCTTCCGCTGGCAAAAATACCGAATCCTCAATAACCTGCTCACTGCCCAGACATAGGGAAATACCTGCTCCAGTAGCAAAATGGGTAAGCCTCACAGATTGGTCGTTCGAACAGCTCAAAATATACTCTCCATTTGAGCTCACATCAACCTTCCTGACCCAGTCGGAATGCCCCCTTATAGTTCGCAGACACCAGCCGGAAACGAGATCCCAGATTTTCACCGACTTGTCTCTCGAGCAGCTGACCAGCTGTGTTTCATCTGCCGGATTAAACTTCAGCCCAGAAACCAAGTGGTCATGGCCTGTGAGCACCCGTACCAATTGACCTGTCTTGCTGTCCCATAACTTGATGAGAAGATCTGACGAACAGGATGCAAGAAGGACCATTTTGGTCGAGTCCACCGTATTTTCGCTGCTTTGAAACTCCAGTGCATTGATTGTCCGGGTATGAGCATTCCTGATCACACGTTCAGGCTCGGTCAGATCGAGCATGTTCCAGAACGCAATTGTTCCGTCTTGAGAGCCTGTAGCCATCACCGGCTCAAAAGGGTGTATCGAGACACAAGTGACGGAACCCTTGTGCAATTTTAAGACCGCTTTCACCCTGCTAGGTATCCATTCCAGCTTATCTCTTCTAATGTCCATGCCGCCAGCTGCTTCCAGTAATTCTGAGTAATTATCCACAAGCTCCTTGTACTCGCCGATCTCCTTTTCCAGATCGTATATTCGCTTCTGAAGTCGAACAACGGTGGCCCATTTCTTCTCCAGGTAATTATTAGGTATAGTATCTGGATCATTATGTGCCGGAACACCTAGTCTTGAGCGGAGCTCGCTGACAACCGCTGAATCGCTAACAATTCCGTCCAGGTACTGAATCACAGCTTTGTTGAGCTCCGACCGCTGCCGGTCGCTCAATACAGCATAATCCATAGAGGTCGAACTATGTTTACAAAATCTCGATTTGTCTTCTCGACGCGTCTATCGACGTATTGATTTCGCGATATGCATATATAATGTGTATTAACAGTCCAGATTGTGCTTGTGCGAAGGATCGTTGATGGTGTTGCCCTTCGCGTCAATCGTACAGTACTTGATTTCTGAAAACCATTCATCCTCGAAAATATCTTTCATGGTTGCACGCCGCTCTGGGTCCACCGTCAAAATTCTGGAGAGGAGAGGCCGTGCAGCATGTGGAAGCAGTCTCATCAGCCTATACGGTCCATGTATTTGACGGTGAGACCGCGAGATTCCAGGGTGGCGCCGTTCAGGCTTCTCCTGCTTGTCAGACTTTTCGTTCTCCGACTCGTGTTGCTGTGGTTCACCGATCTTTGGAGGGGCCACTGCCACCAGCGACGGATCGGGCAGTTTGCTGAAGTCAAAGTTCTCCGGCATCTTTGCGGGCTGTTCTTCAGCAGCCTCCTGAATCTCCTTCTTCTGCTCGTCCGGCTTCTCTGTTGTGTTCTCAGGTGGCTCTTTTTTTTTGGCTCCTGGATCCTTGTTTTCCACACCGAGACGTTCGGTCTCCTCGCAGAGCTGCTTGACTTCCGGCTCTTCCTGTTGCTTGCTTTCCGCTGACTGCTCGAGGTTCTTCTCGTTCTCCTTCTGCTCCAGAAGCTTCCTCTTTCTCTCCAATAGAAGCTGCTTGTGGTGTTTCGCACTCTCTACGTAGTCATGTGGAACGTCATCTTCCTGGCAGTAGAGATTGAAGCTTGGGTCCTCTGGCTTAGGGGCCTTCCATGGGAATCTTCTCAGGGTCATGCAGCAGTAGATTATGCCGATGGACCAGATGTCCACCAATTGGGGATCGTAGCTTTGGGTATGAGTGAGCACCTCGGGGGCGAGGTATGGGTCAGAACCGACGATTCCATGGGCGTGAACTATCTCATCTTCAAAAGGGTACTTGAAGACAACGGCCGAGCCAAAGTCAATGAGCTTCAATATACCCTCTTTCGTCACCACGCAGTTATCCAGCTTGAGGTCTCGATGGGCCAGACCCACAGAGTGCAAATATTGGACGCCCATGGTGATCTGTTTCAGAAAACAGTTGATCTCCGAGCGCGTCATTTTGCCAGCCATAACTACTCCAAAGAAGTCTATTGGAGCATATTCCATCACCTCAAAGTACTGGTTATGTTCACTGATAATGTCAATCGTTTGAATGATATTGGGATGATGGAGTGTGCTGCCAATGCAGAACTCAGCCGTGCACTTCCTGGCGTACTCCTTTACGCTCTCATTGGGTCTTCGAGGCACAAACTCTTTCACGGCAAACGTTACTCCGTCACTCTCACGAACAAGTAGTCTTACGGACCCACCCGCCCCGGAGCCTAGGACCTTTCCCAGCTTTCCGTACTTCTTCGTAAGCGAGCCCTCCAAGTCTGCCCAAAATCGAGGGTCTGGCTTAACAATCATGTTATTATGGGCATCATGTGTAAACGTAGGGGAAGCGAGGTCCGAGTGGGATATATTTGGAGACACATTAGTTGATGACGTCTCCTGAGTCCGGTGACCGGATAAAGACGAGCCTGATCCGCCAAAGTCGTGTCTCTTGGATGGACGGAAGAACCGCTTCAGTTGCACCATGGAGGTGTTCCTTTGCGGCACTCTGCGCTCGATATCGTGAGGCGTCTGGTGGTACTGCGGATAATTATGATGATTATTGTGCTCATCAGAGTGGAACGAATCATGAGATTCATTTGATGAAGCCTTGCCCATACTGATACCGAGGAACGACCGTCGCGAGCTATTCGAATGAGTCATCATCGAGCTGCCGATTGCCGGAGAATGAGTGCTGGAGTCTTTCGGGTGATGCTCGTCATGGTGTTTGTGTCCCAAGTTGCTCAAGGCTCCAAATCGACTAGGCATTTTTTATATACTGGGGGTCATACGAGCCTCAAGCCTCCACTCTCCTTCTTAAAAATATGATCGTATAAAGCGCTGTTTACCTGTTGTCACACAAATTGGATAGTCACAATTGCTAGCTTTCAGTGCACCTTCCCTCTATCACGAATATTGCAAGAATGTGCCGTAGTCAAATGATTTCAGACACCTAACGATAAGAAATACCAAGAATTCGTTGCTGATATTGATATTATTCCATTTTTTCCCGTAAATTGCATCCTTACACCAACGCCAAGTTGCAAGGCTTTTTTTTGGGCTTTTTTTTGTTTGTAAACGTCTATCTATTTATGTACAAGATTAGATCAGAAAAGCCCAACAAGGCCTACGTTGTAGCCGTGCTTACCAAATCGCTCCAGATGAGCACGTAGTCTTTCGCGCATTAGTGTCTCGTCTAACGATTCATATAATGTTTTTTCGCGGTCTTTCAATTGGTACAAAACTTGCTCCCAATCCACCAGACCGCGGTCTAGACAGGTAAAAAAAACTTCCAGCCTATCGAGCTTGTCAACACCCCCATCGCGCAGGAGTAAATGTGTGTCCACTATGAGCTCCTTGTATTTTTGTAGCAATTGTGCCCTTAGACCGTCGGCGCTAGAAAAAGGAGCCCCAACCTTGATCAAATCACAAACGGAGCGTAGCTCTTCTTCGGTCATTGTGAATGGGTTTTGCACAGCAATTTCATCAAAAGTGCGCTCTTTGCGCAATTCAGCGAGCCTTCTTTGTGCCTTAATGCTTCTTCCGTAATACGTTTTCATAAATGCTGGAAACACGCATGTGAATGGCATTAAGCCGGGAAAGATATAGTACAGTGGAAGCGAAAACTCTTCGAAAATACCAAACAAAAGCGCAAAAAGCGGTAGCTTGAAGACATCACCTCTTGTTCGCAACATCGTCTGGAATTGGGCACGGGATATTTTTATCTGTTCTCGGCTCAAATCCAGCGATCCTGAGTTTTCCAGACATGAAACAGCAGTGGCCAGTTCGTCCACCACTTGTGGAAGAGAAGAGTTCTTCAAATACAGTTTTTGATCTCTCGCGTCCCCGGTTCCCATATCGTTGGCAGCCAACCCATTGACGACCAAAAACAGGTTTCGGCTGTACACCTCGGACCTCAGATCTTTGTAGTTCGTCCATATACTTCCCATTCCCTCTTTGAAGAACTTGAGGTATACCTTGGCCAGACGGAACAAGACAACGGCTTTCAAACGGACTCCACTGTACGATTTCTCAAGCAAAACCTGGTTGGTGATGCTTTTTCTCGTTTGAATCAGATGTAAGGGAGGTACACTGGATACGATACTCCGCCTTTGAACAAAAACAGGCACACTGTGACTGACTCTCTTCATGGCTCTTTTGGAATATTTAGTAAATTTTTTATTTTTGTTGCACCTAAAGAAAATGTACTAGTGACTCGTTTACACTTAGACAAACAAAGCAGCTTTATCCGCTGGATCCCGTCCGTACCAGATATACCAGTCTTTGTACTTGACACTCATCTGATTGTCTGAAACGTTCCTCTTGGCCTGAATGGCGTGTTTGGCAGCAATAGCTGCTTGCACGTCAAAGTACTGGACAGCGAAACATAGTTTCCGAGAAACTACAGGTAAAATCTCCACTATCGGGCCAAACTGTGAGAAGTCTGTGCGTATAGCGTTGAGATCAAAATCTGGAGAGTAGTTGAGGATAGGGTCGGGATAGCTGGCTCTCTTCTTTTCAGAGCCGATATGGCTGTTGAGTTTGCTTTTGGCAAGAACAGGTTTTTTCAACACCAGCACTCGCCGTGCGCTTTCAGGCCCGCCCATCATCTCAAGAGACTGCAGACTGTCTTTCTCGTGGTAGCACAAATAATCTTCGGTGTTCACGATACCGCTACGCGGGATCCAGGATGGATGCAGATGGTAGCCGTTGACAACGAACATTCCAGTGGAGGCAAAATTCATGAACTTTAGCGCGTCTTCTTCTCTCTGGAAATACAAATGCAGTAGAGTCTCATCCCAGTTGACTTGCTTTCCCAGGTCGTATTGTTTTTCCTTCAAAGTCGATTTATCAAGAAGCAGCACTTTCTCCAGAGGCCCTCCGTAGATTTGGCTCATTATACTGGTCAAACTAGTGTTCCGATGTATGTTGGAGAGCATCACTACCCGCGATTCTCTCATTATGGCGTCCAAGATGCCGTCCTTCGCGACCTGTCTGTCCAAATGGAAGGTCGTGTTGACTATATTCTCGTTCATCTTGAGTGCATTGTCAGCTCCAACGCTCCCCGTCTTCCTCCCCAAAGCGTGCTGTCTGGACCCAGAGCCCCTACTGTCCCCGGCTTCTTCTGGCTCAGAGTCCCTGGTGATAGAGGAGTTCTTCGACGCCTTCCGTGTCTCCTGTCGAATCTTGAGGTTTGTCTCCATGAGACGTGCAAGCAAGGTGTCCTCCTTCTCGCAAGAGTTGCTCTGTTGGCGCGAAGCTTGACTTTGTCTTGAGCCGTTACCGCGAGCTTCTTCTGCCACCTTCCTATTGGCTTTCGACGACAAAAGTGAATAATTCTTGGCGGTCTCATAGTATCTGAGCGATTCCCGGTCCTCGTCGATGGCGCATTGCACCAGCTCGTCCAGATCGGTGCCTTTGATGGCCGGGACATTCTTGCTCTCGTTGTGCAGTAGACTCTTGGCCAGGCGTCTGAAGCCCATTTTTTCCTCCTTGTTGTTCTCGGCTGATCCAAGAAGTGAAGACAGAGAAGGGAGCCTGGACCTCGACACTCTCAGACTGCTGGCGGTGTTTTCGTTGGTCAAGGGGTTGACGGTCTCGGCGTCTTCGCCGATGGGGATCTGGCGTAACATGATGGTTGACTAGAAGTAGCAATGTAAGAGCAATATCAAGGTCTCCGCAGGTGGAAGCAATGGGGTTTGTGTGTTATAGCGCAAGGGATAAAAAAACTACTTTTTTAGGGATCTCTAGGCCCTCATTTTTTTACGGCGACAATTGGGCGCAATACAAATTACTTCATTGCTGTCCATCGAGAATCTCTCTGAGCGCCATAGTGGCGTACGCAGACACCCCCAGCTGCATTTGCACAACGAGGGCCACTTTGGAACCCTCCGGCCTCGAAATCAAGCGTGGCTCCTCTTTCCCCTGCTGACGTAAGCGAAGGAGCTCGAGATCTGTGCGGACCAAGGAGTCGGTGTTGGCATTGTACTTGCAAAAGTTGTATTCGAGGCCGTCGACGCGGCCAAAGACATGGCGGTACGAGCCTGCAAGTGAGAACTCGCGCACGCGGCGCGACATCTTGAATGGATCGAGTCCGTCTTTGGCCATTACGTCCACATAGGTCTGGCGCAGCGTCTCATTTTCCGGGTAGAGAACGTCGAAGCCGGGCGTTGGCAGCACTATGTCATGGATTGTGTATGTTTTGTTGTCGACATCCTCCTGGGAGACAACCTTGGCGCGAACAAACGTTTCTTTCTTGACGTCTTCCTCGAAGTCATCGTCCTGCTCCACTGTTTGTGAATTGTCAATGACGAGATCACCAGCAACAACTTCCATACCGAACAGTCTCATTCTTGCAGAGGCGACCGTGTTCCAGACATATGATTGGTACGCATGACCGTACATGATTCTCAGATTCCGCGGAATGCCCATAATAGCTTTGAAATAGGAGTTCTCAGAGTACTCTCCATCCTCACCCTTTTGGTCGTGCTCAAGACGACTCAAGATGGAAAACTCGGCACTGCAGCGGCGAGGCATCTTTTTGAGTGCCTGTGATGCGTCCCTGGTCTCTTTCCAGATTCTGCGAGCCTCCACTGAATCTGGTAGCACGACCTCCTGCTCGCTCAAAATTAGTTCGCCTGCTTTTTTCCATTCACTTTGAAGAAGACACTTTCCTACCTCGTGTGTCGAGACCGAGAATGTGCCAAATCTCTGCATCCCAAAGTAGTTGATGAAGCCGTGTTTGCCAATGGATTCAAATATGGGTGCGAGTTTTTGTTCTAGTGTTGGAATGTCCAGTGTTTCTCCATTTAGTGTGACGTCCTTGATGGTAATGATGAATTCGTTTCCTCGAAGATCACCCAATCTTAGCGGCTCGTCGGCATAGCTAAAACCACCTATTTGAAATCCGCGTAAAGCTCTATTCAGATTGTTAATTCTTTCCACTGATATGCGTTCCAGAGATATTTTTTGCACCGTCACTCCACGTCTGTCTTTAGTTCCCGCATATTTCACGTTTTTCACAGGAATGTTGAGGAATTTCGCGAGAAGTCCAGCAACCTCCATGGTCTCCTTATTCTCCTTGTATAGAACAGCATGCAAATAGCGCTTGCGATCGCCCAAGTTGTGATTTATCATCGTTCGTCGCTTGCTGTTTTTCGAGCTCAGCGAAATTTCAAATTGATTGGTAGCCATGGTCAGACTCTCGAGACGGTTTTTAAACACTTCGCGCACAAGTTTATGCAATCTGGTTCTGTCATCCTTGTTCTCAAATACTTTTCCAGTGACTAGTTTTTCACCAGAGACTGGGATCTGCAAAAGCTTCTCTACGTCTGATTCTCCTAGAATGGTAGTCAACTCAGTTTTCTTGTCTTCGGGGATCTCAAAAGCGACTCCCGTTGATTTTTGTGGCTCTGAATCTTTCTCGATCTCCTCCTCAGGGAACCCTAAATCCTCCAGATGAATAACTTTTCCATCCAAACCTATTTCATTGACAAGGAAATCGGTGTATCTTTGCTTCAAAAGCCCAGTAACTCTGTTATTCCCCTTGTATATGTATTCAGTAATTCCCACGTGCTGTTCGGTGATGCCTGAGTCAGCCTTTTGGCGCTCTATGTCGTCGAGCTTCCGCTTCATGTGAAAATTATTTTTCTTTTTCTTTTTTTTGATTTATTTTTTGACCATTTTCAATAAACGAGACGCGTCTGCTAAAGTCTCCACTTGTTTTTCATGAACGGGGAGGCTTCTCAAAAAGATCAAGGCCAGGCAAGCCAACCCACTCAGCCTACACAGCCGAGTGCCTGGGATGCGCCTGGCAATGATGTGCTTGCACAGGAGCTGATCAGCTCCGGAGTGGTTTGCAGGCTGATTTGTACCACGAGCACAGATATATGTCGCGGAAAAGGCTACATTGACGTGATTCTGAAAACAGATACCTTGGAGGATAAGCAGGAGTGGATATTTGGACGCAGAGCAGAAAGCTGCGACTACCCCTTGAAAACCAAGAGCAACAGAATCAGTAACAAGCATTTTAAGCTCTGGATGACTACGAAAAATTCCCATGGGGGAGCAAATGGTACTTTAATGATCCAGGACACAGCTACTAATGGTACATGGGTTAACGGGACTAAGTTAATAAAGGGTACGAACTACATCTTGACGCAGGGCGACGAGATCAGTATAGGTATAGGGGTTGCCGCGGACGTGATACGGTTTGTGGTGCACTTTCCGAAAAATGGTACACGCGACGATACGCCAGAGCGAAACAGCAATAGCTCCAATGCAGGGATACATATGGACTTTATTGTTCGAGACGAGATCGTTGGTTCTGGTGCTTTTGCCACAGTTAAGAAGGCCATCGAGCGAGCCACGGGTGAAACGTACGCTGTGAAAATCATAAGCAAGAAGAAAGCATTAACAGGCGGTATGGATGGAGTGACTCGCGAATTGGAGATACTCAAAAAGTTGGACCACCCTGGAATCGTTAGATTGAAAGCTTCGTACGAGGACGTGGAAAACTACTATCTGGTGATGGAGTTTGTTCCTGGTGGAGATCTGATGGATTTTGTGGCGTCTTACGGGTCTGTTGGAGAAGCTGCGGGCCGCGAAATAGCGAAGCAAATCTTACAGGCTATCGACTATGTGCATTCCAGAGGCATATCGCATCGAGATCTGAAGCCTGATAACATTCTTATAGCGCAGGACGACCCTGTGACCGTCAAAATAACTGACTTTGGCCTAGCAAAACGCCAGGGGATTGCCAGCATCATGAAGACTTTCTGCGGGACATTGGCCTATCTTGCACCTGAGGTCATTTCTGGTAAATACGGGGCCAAGATGGCTACATCCAAAAAACGATACATGGGAAAAGGGCGCGTCTTCGAAGATTCGTACTCCAACAAAGTGGACATCTGGTCAATCGGGTGTCTTGTGTTTGTTATTCTCACTGCGCATCTGCCTTTCAGCGGGTCTACGCAAGAGACGTTATTTAAAAACATCACAAACGGGAATTATCACGAGTCTTTGCTAAAGGAGAACGGAATATCGCTTGAAGGACGTGATTTTGTGAACAGACTCCTTGAGACTGACGTGTCATTGCGTCTGGATGCTCGTCAGGCACTCCATCATCCATGGATCAACGAAATGAGCACCGTTGACTCGCAAGTCAGTCTTTCTCAGAGTCAGTCTCACCAACAGCGTCTTTCGCAATCTCTAAGTGTAAAAGCAGAACCGCCCGTTTTCAAGGTTCCACAGGTTCCACAGGTGCCAAAACCAAGTCAGCGAGCGCACACTGCTGGCGTGGGAGAGATAGATGAGTCAGTACAGGAGATAGAGTTTATTGATTCTCAGCCTCTATCTCCACGAGAACAAAATAGAGAAGACGAAAATGTCCCCCCAGGAACTTTCCTAACTCTGAAACTTATAGCATCGGAACTTGCCAACAAGTACGAGCCCACGGTCCATATCAAGCAAGGGCAGCCGTTTTTCTCCATAGGGAGACTTGATTCGTTGGACTATACAATCTCTGATGAGAGAATATCTAAAACCCATGCGGTGATCCTTAAGAAACGACATCCAATCACAACAGCTTCATCTATCTACGAATCGCCAGCTATGGGATTGGAGGATATCTGGATATTGGATTTGAGCACTAACGGATGCTATGTTAATGATCAAAAGCTGAAAAGAGGTAATAAAACTAAACTTTTCAACGGTGACGTGCTGAGCCTGTTCATTGATAAACAGCGTGGAGAGAAGCTGGCCTACAAGGTGATAATCAATGATACAACTGGGCTCTTCAAGGGAGCCACCAGGGAGGAGAAAAATGTGAGCGTAGAGCCACAAGATGAGGCAGACCAAAAGCTTCCGCTGCTAAAGAAAAGACAGTCTAATAATATCGATAAAAAGAGGAAGCACGCAGAGCAGCATGGAATCAATAAAAGGAAAAGAGCAGATTTAAGTAATTACTAGAAAATGTCAAAAAAATCCAATCTTTTCATGTTTTATAGCAATAATAGAGACACAAAGAAAATCATTGTCAAGCAACCGTACCCGTGAAGAATTTATGCTAGCAAGTTGAAACTAAAAGGCAACTGCCTTGCAGTTACACAGCCTTAGCCAATCCGACAGCGTCTTTGCCAAGGTCATACACAGAATAGTATCTTCTGAGGAACGCGTCACCAATGATAGCCATTGGACCAATTGGGGCTGGGAGGTCCATCGGAGTGAATGCAGAAATACAAGAACCAGAAACTTCCAGAGTGTAGTCGTAGGGCGAGATGGTGAAATTGTAACCATCGAAATTGAAAGTGAGGTCAGGCAGTGAGTCTCTCTTATCACAGTCGATCTGGTACTGTCCAGACCATGACTTCTCGGCACCAATTTGAGAGTTCAGAATCTCAGCTAATTGAGATGGAAGAGCAATCAAAGAGGTTCCGGTATCAATGGCTGCCCCAGTGTTCTCCAGTGGAGCGTATTCGTCTCCAAGAGCAATACCACTAAACTTCACCTCCCAGTAAGCCTTTCTTCTAACTGGCAACCAGGTGATATCACCTGTGAACTTGGACGCATCATATCCACCAAAGGTGGCCTCTCCTCCATCCTGCTCAGACTTCGAAGTGTCACCAAGGTAAAAGCCGAATTGTGGGGTGTCCAGCAATCCCAAGTCGATAGCATTGTAGACAGGAGGAACGATTCTGTTGACCGAGATAGTGTCGTAAGCCAGACCCAAAATACCATCAAACTTCCCAAAGGCGAAAGCCAACCCAGGCTCGCTAGTAGCCTCGGCGAAATCCTGTTTAGGGATGACAAGGTCACCAATGGTCAGTGTGTCTTGGGAAACATAACCTTCAAGGGAACCAGAGCCGTATCGGATAGAAAACGAAGAGCCGTTCTTCTGGTAGGTGGATGACTCATCGTGGTCGTATTTGGTATGCAAGTAGCAGGCCAAGGAAGTGCAGTCGCTACTAGGAACCCACAAGTTAGAGGAACCGGTATCGAGGACAACCTTGAACGATTGGCCAGGAGTTCCCAATTGAATCTCGGTGAAATATTGAGCGTTGAGATAGTTGGTCAATGGTGTGTTGTGGCCCGAACTTGCACTTTCTTCAGAACGCTTGCTGATCGAGATAGCTTCCTGGTTGTTCTGTTGGGCGGCGATAAACTTGTTGTAGGTCGTAATATATTTTTGCTTCAACGAGTCAACATAATCGCCGACAGCGACATCCTGGTAAGTAGCCTGTCCAGAAGCTTTTTTTATGGGAGCTTTGTGGACCTTGGCATCGGCCATGGAGACCAATCCAAGCACAAGAGCAAGCGAGTAAAGGGCTGGGAAAGAGAGTTTCATCTTTGAGATTCGCTTTGTTTATAATATATGCTCAGCGATGCTAACGGTCTTGACAAGATTTTGGGACAATTGGATTGATGACTCTCTATTCAGAATAGGTTTGTAAAATATGGAACCTATTTAATGAACCCCAAATTTTACTCTCTTTGCCACCCTCATATTTTTGGTAGTGCGTCACACATAAATACATCAGTTTTGGGCATACACTCTATCCCAACTCGTACTGGTGCGGCTTCCAGAATAGGCAAGTGATCTGATTAAGATATCGATCCGTAGTTTGACAGCTTCAAAACCTCATCGAACTGTTTTTTGCCCTTGTAAAGTTGTGCGTTCGCCATGTAGTCGTCCAGGAGAAAGTCGATAGGCGACAGTGGCGTGTTCTCACTCAGCTTGCGAACATGATGCGGGGACATCGGAATCTTTATGTATGCTGACCTTGTGGCAGGCGAGTTTGACCTTTTCAATTTGATGTAGTTCTCCCCTGAGGTACTTTCTCTACTTGTCGTGGATGCTTCTATTTCGGGGGATTTCACAGTACCTCTATTGTAATCCCATTTGTACCATTGTAGGAGCAACGTGCAGTCAAGGGCAACCGTGCCTAAGGCTCCCAAAAGGTAGCTGAGCTCTGCACGCCAGAATTTCCGCGACGTGTCACCGCCGCTTAGTGAGTTCTTGCACGTTAATAGCGACATCGAGTAGCACAAGTTACCTAGAAGTGCGCATATGACAAATTTAGGAGAAATACCACGCGTCGATTTGAGCCTGTTATTGGTGAGAATTTGCGGAAATCTGGAACTAATGTATAGCAAAGTGCAACACCAAGCCAGTACGGCTCCCACCTGATGCACCGAGAGCGTCATTAATGAGTGGAAAATTTTTAGTAGTGCAGAGTTGTTGGTCTTATTCTGTGAGGATATAGTCGAGTTGATGGGGGCAGCTTCGGCCCTGCCAAACCCCATCACGAAGCTCGAGCTTATCAGCTTTGTTACACTATTTGTAATCTTGAGTTCGTTAGGTTGTTGCTGCCTCCCCATCGAGATAGGGGAAGATATATGTTCTGCAGGAATGTAGGCGCGATCGCTGGAGTCAGCGTCGATCTCGCGTATGCGATGGGCGTCCAGTGCTGTTCGGAGCGCTGTACGAGGAGTCTTGATCTCGCCGAGTCGCTTGGCACGTCTTTGATGGTAAAACCGGGACTGAGGATTGTGATACAGTCGACTGTAGTAGTAAAACTGTCCGGCCAGAACTATATCGATGATGAGATAATATGAGCTGAGCAGGATCTGGAATAGTAATGCATCCGTCATCAAACAGCTCACAAAATTGAGCAGGTCCCCGGCAAACCAGCAGCAAAGAAACCCGAGTGAAAGACCGTCAACTGACTTCTCTGAGTAGTTCTTAATGACCTGGGGGATTTGAGCGAACAGCCAGGCAGTAATAGACAGATACCCTGCGTAGGCAGAGATGGGCTTGAAAAAATGGATGATTTGTTTCCGCGACACGTCCAGAGGACATTCTCCCGTCATGATATACACCAGTCGGACAATCAGATCGAGATGCTGGCAGAATCCGTCCGGTGGAACACCAGACGGTGACTCGGATAAGACTAGAGGCCTTGTTGGAGTATAATCTATTCGGGACATAGACTTCCCTCTTTATTAAAAATAGATAAAGCAGTGATGCATTCCAGTGTTGCCCTCTGTTTTCACTGATTTTTGAGATTTTTTTGACGCACTGGATTAGTTTCGCAGATAATCATAAAAATTAGATCCCCAAAAACAAAGCAATCCTTTGATCCTGCCGTTTATCTTGGCCTTTGTGACTCGAATTTTCACTGCAGGGCCAAACACTTGCATCGACATTCGGTGTAGCTGGTCCAGGTCAGAATTTCGCGGCAGGAAGAGCACTACTTTGTCCGAGACTTGTAGACAGCTTCTCAGAAGGTCGTCTAGCGGTAATGGTTCGAGCGCGCGCAAATCAAAAGTCTCTTGATTGAGGTACTTCGGGCCGCCCCACGGCGGAGATGCAAATATAATGTCCACTTTGAGATTCTTTATTATGTTCTGTGTTCGAGCGTATGCAACAGGATCCTCGGGATTGTCATTGCGGAGGGCATATCTCCAATCACAATTGAGCAGCTGCAAGGTTTTTCCAGCTTGATCAAGTTGGTTTTGGTCGAAATAGACATGCACATTATTGGCTGTACATGCGAGATTTATCTCGTTGTAGTCGACACAAACACACTTTTGAAATATCCTGATGAATTGTATGGAGTTACCCCCGCCGCCGCAAAACAGATCAAGCACTGTCTCGGTGTCTGGATAGCAGTGTCTGATAAATTTTGCAGTGTACACGGCAAGATCCTGCGGTGTCACGCTGAACCACAGTTCTCTGGTCAGTTTGATGCCGTCGTCAAATTTGCTGAATAGTGTGTAGCGCCATTTCCAATACTTTACGAGGTCTTTGGGGATCTTTTCCCGTCTATCGAGAATCTCCGTCTCCATAATGATATCTGAAAAAAAAATTCCTAAAAAATAATACAATCCGGGATCGTCTCCAATGAGCTCGGGGTACGTCCGAGGGCCGCAATGCGGGGTCGACAATTGCACCTCGAACCTGTGGAAACGGATCGACGGGCGAAACGTCTGCTTTTACGGGCACGTGAACGAGAACGACATCGAGATAGATGATGAGGAAGACCAGCTCGACAGACAAACAATGGGCACCTATTCGCGGCGTTTGCGAAACATCGCTGGCCTCACAAACACAGCAGCCAAAGACCTTCGAAGCCAGCAGTTTTTGCAAGAGCAACAGCGAGACTATGCACATGGGATGGAGCTACGCAAGCTTCTTGTGCAATGTTTACAGATCATCTTGATGAGACAAACTGAGACCCTCGAGGACAAGCTGAAGCTTCCTCAAGGATACCAGTCGGTGGTAAAGCGGTACTGGGCAATGTACCTTCTTCACAAGCACACTAAGAAAGACTCGAGTGCCGTTTTGAGCCAGATGGCCGATTTTTCGAGTGTGCCCACGGTCTCTGACCTCCTGGTGTTTTGCTACCTTGGGCTTGTTCGCATGAGACTCCCTGTCTACTTCAGCGACCTTTGGGGTCTCGCATGCAGGGGAGACCTGCCTTATCTACGAGCGGAAAACGTGGTCCCTTTGGATCTGCGGCTGCGAGTTCCGGTACATGCCCTAAGAGTCTTCCACGGCGCCGCGGGAGATAAAGTCGATCATTTTGCGAAGATGAAACACACGATGCATAATCTAGGAATAGGGGGTGAGTTTGCGCCTCCTATCATTTGGTATCCGTTGCTAACTAAGACCGTTTTGCAGCTACGGCTGCCTTTGGAGACAGTTGAGCATGTGTCAGATTTCATCGGGCTGGCCAAAATAGACATGAGTATAGACATGCGCAATGCGCACCATCCGGAGCTGAAACTCTGGGCGCTTCTGATAGTGACAGCATGTGGTTATTTCAAAACGAGTGCAACAAAGTACAAAGTCTGGAAATTGTTGTACGAATCAAGGGCTGCAACCAAACACAATAAGACTGTGATGCAGAATCGGATAGTCAACAAGTCTGCGTTTCTAGATTTAGTCAGCTGGACTGACAAGCAAACAGCAGAATACCTGGACTTCTTCGAGACCAGCATACTACCTATAATCTCGAAGGAAAACGTGGTGGACGATACCAACAGTAAATATCACACGCAGAAGATGATGACTAGCAGACTTTTCAACATCTTCGACCTGCCGTCCCGGGCTGAGACGGAAGAGGACCCTTTGACTCAATTGGCGACCGACTACCGAACGTACGCCGAATCCTCAGGCGACGACGACTATAGCGAGACGGAGCTAATAGACATATTGAAAGCAGAAATGCGCGCGCATTATGGACTGCGGTCGTCCGTTATTGATAGAGTAGTCGATTGGGCCCTGAGGATGTTAGACACCTTAGCAGTTTATCAATGAGGCAAGTTCTGTAACGGAAACAGGTTACCGTTTGTTGTCTGAGCAGACCTTGCCAACCGATCACAGCCGTACATAACGCAAGGCGCTACGTACTCAAATTGCACGGTGGCTTCATATGGAGCAGCAGTTGTTAGGCTGCTACAGCCGTCATGCCAAGACGCTATTATTTCACATCTTGCATTTGCTGGGATCGCCTAAAAAGATTTTGATCCCCTCTAAAAAAAGTAATCACCTAAACATCACTATTAGGACTAAAGAATATACCATGGGATTTGGAGCGCAGTCGCTTAACTCGGTCCACATTCAGGCTGTAGCTCTTGAGAGCCAAAAGTAGCCTTTCTGTGCCGACATAGAACCGTTAGCTCTCGACGATGGCCACTAACTGAGAATAGATCTCAAACCTCGTCTCATTACGATGTTGCCATTGGAAATGCCTTGGATACAGGTTTGGTCATATGGGTCTCCTACTCGTTGCTGGGTTGGCTGTTTATGCCGCCATGTGCTCAAAAGAACATGACCAGATTCATTCCTCTTCCGGAAGGGTATGTCAAGAAGTATTGTGAAGAGTCCCTTGGCTTTGCCGTTGATGCCTCATACTTGGTGTTTCCCAACCAGATAGCGGCGGGCTCACTGTTATTGCGGCACCAGGTGATTGCCGTACGCGTCAATGCTTGTGTCTAGGTCCCGTTCTATTTATAGTGGGCTCCATCAACAATCTGGTGTGAGGTTTGTTGGCGAGCTCGAGTTGTGCGTCTCGTCTCTTAAGTACCCCACTGCGCTTGGTCTACTTCTGCTACTGTTTGTATCGTGAAGGGAGATCGCGAGCTGACGACTGGCACAACGAGGGCTCGTTCGCATCATACAGTGGCATCGAATCGAAAGACTAGCAGATTCATTGCTTTTTGGCTGTTCTGGTCGCTTCTGTCTCGTATTACCTTTGAGCTGGGGTGTCGCATTCGGTGAGGCCAGAAGCCTGAGATCCATACCATCAAGACTATCACACTCAGGAATCCTACCATTTTTTACATGCTCACTGTGTCCTTATCTGTTGCTTCGCCTACTACGATCCCCAGCTGATGGTAGCGGATTTGTTCATCTGTTCAGTGCCTCTGTTCTCATCATTTTCTCGGCCACGGTGGCCTCTATATTGCGACCAGAAGCGGGTTACGCACTCTCCTCCAGGGGAATGTTCTCAGAGATCGAGCAGCTGCGGTATCCTTGTCTGCGCTTTGATCTTTTCCAGCTTGGGCTGTCTGCTGGGCTTTACGCTGCGTTCGCCGTCTTCCTCAAAGATCATGAACTATTTCGTCAGTCGGGTGTCTGCGTTCGCTCAAACCCCCTGATCTCGAATCTGATCACATCCATCTACTTTTTTTGCTGCTTGGTTTCGATCACCAATATTTTACTGCTATCTTTGACAGTTTTGACCAAAGGACATTGATTGCCTCATACGCTAGCATTCCACTTTTCGTGGTTGCTGCTTGTGGCTTCAAGATCATTGTAAAGATACCGAGACGGTCAAGACGGAAGAGGCAGACCTCGTCGCACACAACGATATAATCGACCTGGGGACATTAAAGTCAGAAAGTTTTGAGGAAGGGCACAAGGCTGCCAGAGGCAGCAAAAGGGACCTACGCTCGTTCTACGATCACACTGTTGGTTTTGTCTTGTGACTTCTCAGGTATTCGCTTATGTAATTATTACCCCGGGGTCGCAAATTCGGAATCCGTAGGTTGAAAAAAAAATAGTCATCCAGTGTATCATCAATTATGCAATCAATCAGACACTCGGCCGCCTCTATGCGGTGTTTCTCAAGCACGGCCAGGACCTTCGGCAAAATTAAGGTCAAGGCTCCTATTGTGGAGCTGGACGGTGATGAAATGACCAGAATCATCTGGGATATCATTAAGAAAAAACTAATTTTACCTTACCTGGATGTCGACCTCAAGTACTACGACTTGGGAATTCTGTCCAGAGATAAAACCAACGACCAAATTACTATCGACGCTGCCAATGCTATCAAACAGTACGGAGTTGGCGTGAAGTGTGCAACAATTACTCCTGACGAAGCCCGTGTCAAGGAATTTGGATTGAAGAAGATGTGGGTCTCGCCTAACGGAACCATCAGAAACATTCTTGGAGGAACCGTTTTCAGAGAGCCAATTGTGATTGGTGGGGAAGATGGAGGCATTGAAATCCCACGGCTCGTCCCAGGCTGGCAACAGCCAATAATCATTGGTAGACATGCTCACGGCGACCAGTACAAAGCAACAGACCTGGTGATCCCTGGAGCCGGATCCCTGGAACTTGTTTACACGCCTAAGGACGGTGGAGATGTCCAGAAGTTTAAGGTGTTTGACTACAAGAGCTCAGGTGTTGGTCTTGCAATGTACAATACGGATGAGAGCATCCAAGGATTTGCTCACTCCTCTTTCAAGATGGCATTGAACAGAGGTCTTCCTCTGTATATGTCTACAAAAAACACAATTCTGAAGAAATATGACGGCAGATTCAAAGATATCTTCCAGGAGATATATGAGACCACGTATAAGAAAGACTTTGAATCAAAAGGTATTTGGTATGAGCACAGACTTATCGATGACATGGTTGCCCAGATGATCAAATCGAAGGGCGGATTCGTTTTGGCTTTGAAGAACTATGATGGTGATGTCCAGTCCGATATCGTCGCTCAAGGATTCGGCTCCCTCGGTCTGATGACATCCGTCTTGATGACCCCGGATGGAAAAGCTTTCGAGTCCGAAGCTGCTCACGGTACTGTTACTAGACACTTCAGACAGCATCAACAAGGTAAGGAGACCTCCACCAACTCCATTGCTTCCATTTTCGCATGGACAAGAGGTATTGCCCAGAGAGGTAGATTAGACGGTACTCCAGAGGTTGTGAGCTTTGCAGAGACCTTGGAAAAGGCTGTGATTGATACCGTTTCTCAAGATCAAATCATGACCAAGGATTTGGCCCTGCTCATCAACAAGAAAGACTATGTGTCCACCACTGGTTTCTTGGACGCTGTTGAGTCGAGACTCAAAAAGGCGCTCCCTTAAATATTCCGTACATTTCCACACGTTTCCTCAAGCAGTTGAATTGCTAATAAATGTGACCTACTTCTCAGACTTCACGTCGTTTTCGTCATCTTCGAGATAGAGCCAGAGAAACTTAAGCCCGTAAAATGTTCCGAGACTGACGGTACCGACTTTCAAAAGAGGCACCGCAAGAACCTTGTAGAAGTAGCTGTGTGGATTGAGATTGGGCTGGTTCCCTTGGTTATGCCTAAGCAAAGTGCTGCTAAACCATCTCCGCATCGTGAGAAAAACAACAATCGAAAAAATAACTTTTTTTTCATCCTTTATTTTCGCCATTTTCTGAACTGCTCCCTGAATCCAGAGCCATCATGCTTTCATCCAAATCATGCTCAGTAGTAGGGGATGTTTCGGTCATTTTCTTGAATTCAGGTGAGTTGAGGAGCGGAATTGTTGTCAAGCCAAACTGAAATTTTCCATCAGAACCAAGACCAGGTCCCATGCTGGACTGCACAGGCGAGAGGCCCCCTGATCTGTGGTTATCTGAGGGATGGAGTGGTTTAGATGTTAACTTAATATCTGTGGGGGCTATGTCTTGTAGCTTGTTGGAATTAGCTGGCTCATTGAGTTTCTGTGATTCTCTAAGAGGAGACGACGCATACTTTCTGGGAGCTGTTCCTTCGCTCATGCTCACATCCGAGTCTTCAGTATATGGAACTTCCCAGCGCACTTTTTTCGCTTGTTTTACTGTGGTATCAGAGAACGATCTGTTTTGTAGCGACTTTGCGTTGGTGTCGAGTCTATTCAGCTTTGCAAAACCTTTGGTCAATGGTGAAGATGATAGCCGTTTTGCTTGTTTCACAGGGGTTGTGGCAAGTTCCAAAGTCTCTGGCTTTCTTTGCTTCTCAAGAATTGTAGAGGCAGCTGTAGTATCTAAGTGAACGTAGCCCCCATCTTCTAGGAGACGAGAAAGACATACTTTGGTTTCCATCACCATTTCTCTCAATGAAATTGAAACATTTACCAATGCATCTTCGTTATCCGATGAGATGTCCAACAAGATTGCTGTTGCTCTCTGTAGTGTCTCGAAGACAAAATTGAAAGAGCTGAAATTTTTGATGGATCGATCAAACACAATCGAAGAGTCGAAAAGAATAGCTTTTTCGACGGAATCCTTGAGATGTAGCAAATGAGCCTCATATAGTTTTGTGTCTTCGTCTGACCATGTATCTAGTTCTGTCAAAGAGCGAAGAAGAGAGGCTGAAGAGTCCTTGATGATGAAATCAAGCTCATTTGGCTTGCTATATTGGGCCTCGAGCTCCTTCACTCTTTGTTCCAACTTTTCTGAGATGTCCTCGCATAGATAAATCAGCTCACTAAAGCCCGGAACGAACATGTCGATATCAGTCAGATCTTCCTTTGGGCCGAATCGATTTTCGAAAGAAACCAGCAATTGTTGGATCTGGTGTCTTTGAAGAAGTAAGAACTTTCGCTCTGCAAGTATGTATGCTTTCTGAAGCCTTGACTGCTGGTTTCGTTGCAAAGATCGCTGAAGTTCCATCATTGCTTCTCGCAATTTTTGCAGACACCTTTGTCTACTTTTGGTATACTTATCAATACCCACTTTTATCATCTTGTCCTCCCTGCTGCGCAGCTCTTCTATTTCACGTTTTTGTTCAGTGATCATTTTGAGGTAGGACCCCACATGACGACTGAGATTATGTTGATTACGTGTGAGTTTTGTCCGGATCTCTTTAGCGCGATCTGCGTACTTCAATGTGTTAAGTGTTTCGTCGTAGTGACGTGATGATGGAGATACGCATACAATCATGAACGTTTTGCAATTCCCGCCCAATGAAAACTTGAGTAGCCTGGTCAACTTGGAATCTCTGTAGGGAACATGGTTGTGCTTACGAGGATCGCATAGTGCATTAATACAATTTCCCAAAGCAAGAAGCGACTTGTTGATGTTCGCTCCCTCGTGAAGCCTTGCCCCTTTATTTCTGGTGGCGGATGCGCGCTCACTTCCTGCCAGGTCGATAAATGATAGGGTTGCGTATGTGTGTTCCTCGTTGAGATCCGCTGTTCGGGGTTTGCGTAGTACATTGATCTGAAGTATAGCGTGCGATCGTGAGGAGGTAGAGTTCGCTTCTGTCGGAGAAACTGTGCGGTTTTTGTTTCCTATGATGATTAGATCCATGACTTCATCCACAGAGTTTGGGGTATGTGTAGACAGATTAGCAACCGTAATGCGCTTGCTTTCGTCCTCTCGCAATATCAGTGACCTGGGATCTGTACTGGGATCAAGCAGGTCCCTGATTGTTTCATTGTATATTTCGAAGTAACTGAGAGTAATCTCTGCTCTTTGTGTGTCCTCCATCTCCTTTATTCTGTTGAATAGATCCTGCATGGCTAGAAATATGATACCTGGGTTCTCCGGGGTTCCCGATATCGTAAATGTTTTACCACATCCCGTGGCTCCATATGCAAAGATTGTCGCATTGAACCCGTCAAGGACGGAGTCAAGCAAAGGTTTTGTCGAGAACTCGTACACTTCTGTTTGTGTTGTATCCTCGTCGAAAAGCTTGTCGAACACAAACCGATGCTCTCTAATTCTTGAACTGTGCTTTCCAATGCTGCTTGTATGTCTTTTGTCCCCACTGTTGAATGTGTTCGAAAATACATTCTGCTCCATTTGCACCAGAGGATTTGTATCGCTTGGGTCGAATATTAGCATTCGATCGTCGACAGCGTTCAAAATTTTGCGGATTCCATTATTCAGTAGTAGCCTGTTGCTCGTATTCTGCGGCACGGCATGCCCATCAAGCGTGTTTTCAGGGTTGTCGGGCTCTGATCTTAGTAGTTTAGACGATTCCACAGAGGTAAACGGCCGGATCCTCACAGCTACGGTGATCGACGACTCCCTGGACATGTAGAAAGAGACAGGACGGCCGATTGACTGCGAAGACTATGTTGCTGGTTCCAGAGATGGGTGCGCTGGTGCTGCTGTCGCGGTAATATTATCTATCAACAAGCCCTTTTGATCCAGTATTTATGTAAACAAAAAATTACAACAGTCGACGCGTCGCTGCGACGACTAACTTTTATTGAAGTGGAGCATATAAAATCTGGGTGACATACTTTCTCTTGTACCTCACTATACTTGCCACTGCTAGTGTGTTGTGTTTGATGGATGTTGTGGCCAGATGATTCAGCACCACGTGGTTTGGAATGCTCAAAGCACCGGAGGTATTGTCTTTATCCGTATGATTGTAGCTGTTGAGAATGACACTTTCTAGATGTGGTGGCAGTTGAGGAGGAATAAGCCATTGCTGGTTCTGGTTACCTTGTCGTTGGTTATTATCCAGCGTGACGTAATACTCCTCCATCACCTTTGGGTCCGTGAAGATCGGAGGAATTGAGTCAATATACTCCAGAGAAGCGCTATCAGGAAGCTCTTCGTCGTCGTGGTATCTGCTGTAACCGTCTCCCATGTCATCATTATCTTTTGTGAGTCCCAGCTTCGAATCCAGTGTCCTCAAGTATGATCTTGACCGGCTTCCCTGTGCGATGGCATTCAAGCTGGTATAGTCGTCTTGCTCCGACGGAATCACCTCTAAATAATTCACAAAGTGTCCGGAGGTATCCGTCGCTGTAGGAATGAAGTTAGAGAATCGCACTTCGTTATCCACCACGAACTTGAATCTGTGTGTTCCCGGAGGCAGTGCAATTTGTACACTGAAACTACCATCCTTCTTAGAGGGACCGTTCAAAGCAATCATTTTTCGCCACCCGGTGAACGTTCCCATAACGAACACCTTAGATCCCCCTTCCGTCCATTTAAACACCGTAGGCACCAATATCGGTTGGGGCGTCTGCTGTTGAGATTGAGGTTGTCCCCCCTGCGGGTGCTCGCCTATCGAAGAATGCCCTATGTCGTTTTCGCTGTCAATGACCATATCATCATCCTTATGTGTCGTGCTTCCTGTCTTGTGTTTCTCGTAGTCCATGTCATCCGTAAGTATGAGGGTGGACTTGCGTCTTGTGGGCGTACTTACAGAGCTGTTGGTTGAATTCGTGGTTGACTCCGACTGTCCGCCTTCTTCTGTTGATCCCCCTTGTCTCTGAAGGTCAAGCATGGAGACGTCTTTGAGATTCGAGGCCAGCTCATCGTAAACAGATGAGGAGTTTATCGACGAGTTATTTGAGTTGTTGGACAGATTAGACATTGCAGAGGAGTGGTCCACTGGCGGGGTGCTCGTCGCTTGGTGTGTGTTCGAGTCAATATGGCTGCTGGTGGACAGAAGTATCTCCAACAGCGAAACTCAACTTAAACGAAAAGTAAACTCTCGTTTGTTTTTTTGCTGTCACGACGTCAGGTGCCAGTAATAGGTACGGGTAAATTTCAAAGGGAAATAAATAATATTATTTATATTCTAGCTGCTAAAAGGACCATGGCCGCTCTACCCCTTGGTTCTGAAACCATAGATGACAAGATCGAGTCCGCAAAGGAGTCAATTCTGGCTGACCTGGCCACCAGAACTACCAACAAGAGCCTTTTGTCTCCGAAAGTGCTTATTATTTGCGGATCAGGCTTAGGAGGCATATCTGAGATTTTGAAAGGAGAAACGGTCTCCATTCCGTTCCACACAATTCCAAATTTCAAGACGTCCACCGTCGAAGGGCATGTGGGAAAACTGCTTTTTGGTGAGATTGGCGCCAACAATGTTCCTGTGATGTGTATGGTGGGGAGATTGCATTTTTACGAAGGCTACTCGTTTGAAGAGGCAACGTTCCCTGTGAGAGTGGCAGCAAGTATGGGTGTAACTACGTTAGTGGTCACGAATGCTGCGGGAGGCATCAATCCCAACTATAAACCTGGCGATTTGATGGTCATCAGTGATCACCTCAACATCCCCGGTATGGCTGGCTTCCATCCTCTCAGGGGTCCCAATTTAGATAAGTATGGACCTCGGTTCTTGCCCCTCTCTGATGCTTATGATTTTGATCTAAGGTTAGAGTTTATAAAGCAAGCGAAACAGGTTCTCAAACTCAAAAGAACCATACATGAAGGAACTTACTGTTACGTTGCTGGACCAACATACGAAACTAGGGCTGAGGTGAGACTGATTAGAAATTGGGGTGGCGACGCGGTCGGGATGAGCACTGTTCCCGAAGTAATCATCGCAAGGCATTGTGGAGTCAAGGTTTTTGGTCTGAGCCTGATTACCAATGCAGGTCTGGGAGAGCCGCCAGTCAGTGCAATGCGATTTTTGCAGAATGGTTTGAAGAAAGAGGACGTTTTAGATCAAACGGAGGGAATGGCTAGTCATGAAGAGGTTTTGGAAAATGCCAACAATGCCTCCAAGGATGTTAACATACTGGTTGAAGCATTTATAAGCACTACTAATTGAATGTCGTCAATGCATTATAGTATACAAGAAAATCAATGCTCAATTTGCATTTTTGCCAATGGCCATGGCGGCAGCCGCTGCTGCACTGGACTTATCTGATAAGTCCATTTGTCTAACACCGCTGCTAACAGAGCCGACCGTTCCATTTTGAGAGGAGCTTCTTCTCACCAATTTAGATGCAGAGCCGGGCCTGCTGGGTCTCTTTGGAACAGTGTTTGGCGGGACTCTCGTTGCAGGGTCAGAGCCTGCTTCCTTACTTTGCCGCAAAAGTTCACGGGCTTTCAAAAGCGAATCAATCCACGAAACCGATTCATTCACTTTGAAGCCCACTCTCACACTTGAATTGATTCCCCCTCTTACTAATGTTTTCGAATCATAGGCACTCAGAAATATTAGCTTGTTCATATTCATCAATTCCAAGATAAGGTACCCTTCTTTCATTTCTTCATCAAATTCGTAGTCATACAGCGAAACGTTGCGGTTCGTTAGCTTGACCTCAACTATCTTCGAGTAGAAATCCATTGCCTGCAATTGGGTGGACGACTGAGGATTCTGCAGTTTGAAGTCCGAATTGATTTCATAGATTAGTAACCGAGCCATCGAGGTGATGATGAGAATGCAACTTTTGAGGTCTCGGTTCAAGCTTTGGTAGTTTTCTGTGATCACCTTACTCAAGATGTTGTCATCCAAAGTATGACCATGTGGAACAAACTGATTTGGCTTATGCGTCAGCTCTGATTTGAGGATGTTGTCAAGCTTGAGGATGTATTCATTTGCCATCAGCTTATTCGTGATGCTCTTGGGGATCCGTTTATCCAGTAAAATAGGATTAATCATTTGTTGTTGTTGCTGTTGTTGGTATTGAGAGCTCAAGACGTTTTGAGAGCCTTGCAGCGCCCTCTTATGTGACATCATATTTCCTATTGCACCCGCTGCACTCACGGCCTGTGAGCTTGGTGGCGGGATCCCTAAAAGCTCGTTAATGGAAGGAGCACGCATAAGCGGCTTTCTTTCCGATTCGTCACCTCTATTAACTAGGATTGAACTTGAAGATATTCTCGAGAGAGAGTCCGACGAAATGCGCTTCACGGATGTTTGCAAAGGGGAGAAATTTGACGCATGCGACTCCGTGTCGGTTGACAGGGGAGGTGTTTTGACGGATAATTTCTTTTCTTGACTGTGGGTAGGACTAACCATACGCAAAGTGGTTCTCAAAGATGTTTCGGCGGGCGAGGGAGATTCAGAAGCTGGAGGGGTGATAGAAGAACAATCCCCATTGACGATTTGCAAGCTATTCCTTCTTTCAACAATGTTGTTCTTGTTTCGAAGCTCACTGGACATTGGTGAGTTTGAGACATTGGTGTTGGTTGCGACGGGGGCCACTTGATTGGCTAACAACCGATTTTTGACTTCTGAGTCCTTTTCGGCAAGTTGATGAGATAAAACTTTGTTCATCAATTGTGGATTATTTTGTGCGTTCATTATCTGTCGTTTGAGAGCATTTTGTGACACAGAATGTGTCTTGCTAGCAAGTTTGCCATCAGGAGGAGTATAGAAGTTAAAACTAGAATTCGATGAGGATGTCTGTCTTGATTGAAGTGAATGCAGACGCGGATTATATGCTTCCAGTTTTGGCACCTTAGTTCTCCAGATGAGATCTTTGTTATTCCAATCTATGTTTTTCAACCAGGGCTGCTTTTTGAGATCTTCAATGCCACACCTCTTTTCTGGCTCCACTACTAGTAAGCTTCTGACTACTTGCTCGATTTCTGGTGGAACAAAGTAGTTTTGAGGGAAGCTATAATCTAGAGATATGATTTTCTCAAACGTCAAATACTCTGTTGGGCCTTTGAATGGAGGTTTTCCGACAATAAATTGATAGAGAATGCAGCCCAAGGCCCACAAGTCACATTCGAACCCGCAAATGTTGTACTTCAGTAGCTCAGGAGAAACGTATTCAGCCGTTCCTACAAACGAGCCGCTGTTCGATTGGTTGCTCATTTCCCGCCCTATTTCATCTATGGGCTGCGTCGAGTGGCCATTGGCCATCTCCTCCTGCGATAAGATCTTGGCCGCCCCAAAATCTGTAATCATTAGTTTCCACTCGTGGTTAAGCAAAACATTTTCTGGTTTCAGGTCTCTATGGATGATTCCTTTTGAGTGTATGAACTCAACAGCATCAATCAATTGCACAAAATAGTACTTGCTTAATGTTTCACTCAGAGATCCCATTTTGCGAATCAGTGACAGCAGCTCGCCGTTCTTGGCAAAATCAATAACAAAATAAAGCGATTTTTCGTCCTGGAAAGTGTAATATAAGGTCACTATCCCTGGATGCTTGCCCACAATGTTGAGCGTGTCCTTCTCTATGTTCACGTACTTGCGTTTGTTCTCTCTCTGTATATGGGACTTCGAAAGGATCTTGATTGCATACGTTCGGTGGTTGTGTATAGAAACACCTCTATACACCTTAGAGTAGGAACCTTCCCCAATACATTCACCGAACTGGAAATCTATAGCAGATCTCTTTCTAGCCATGGTGACTTTCTGGAGAGGCTGAGAAGTTCAAGGTCAGGGAAAAGATTGGATCTTAGAATTGTTGACGCTTCTAATCCAACTTCTAATCTTATACTGCTTTGTCTAAACAATAAGGTGTGCTTTTACTCTGATTTTTTGTCAAGCTATTGACACATGTATTAATTATGGCAGCGTCGATCGACTTCTATAATCCAGCCAGGAGACGGGTCACATCGTCCATACCGTCATGTTTCTGGTCCTCCAGCCTCTTTTTCACCACCTCTACCAGATCGTCAGTACTCACCAGCTCTCCGTCATCTTTCTCGTTACCGGTACCTAGCACCTTGACTCTGACCTGGCCCTGAGGATACTCTTCTTTTCCCAGGATCACCGCTAGAGGACATCCCGCCTTCTCAGCAGCCTCGAATTGCTTGCGCGGATTGGCCTTGGCTTTGTACAAGTATTCGCATTCAATTCCTGCCTTCCAGAGCTTCGCAGCGATAGCCATCCTTTCCTTCAAAAATCCGCTCCATCCCTCACCACCACCAAAGGCCATCACATAAACCTGGGTAGAGGATGCCCTGATTTTGTCTGCTAGTTCTGCCCTCTGCTTGATAAGAGAAAACAGCCTCTCCACGCCAAACGAAACACCAACGCAAGGAATGGATGGAGCTTTCTTTCCCTTGGAGTTTGTTCCTAGGAACATTCCAACTAGACCGTCGTAACGGCCACCAGCAGCAATAGACCCGACGCCAACATACTCAGAAGCATCCTCGTCGTCTTTCTTGGATTTCTTAGCCTGGGCCTTCTTCTCGGCGGCGTCCTTAGGAGGCGCACTCTGGGACGTCACGGCCTCGTATATCACACCTGTGTAGTAGTCCAAACCACGGGCCAGAGACATGTCGAAAGAGATGTAATGGTCGACCTCAAACGCTTCGACATAGTCTGCCATGGTGGTTATTTCGTCAATACCCTGTTTTGCGGACTCGTTGGCCATCAAAACTGGATCGCTGGATAACTTGGCCAGAACGGCTCTCAGGGTTCCATTGATTTTCACATACTCACCGATTCTGTCAGCAACTTCCTCTGGCTGGTTCTTTTCTTCGCACATCTCCTTCTTGACAGCGTCCCAAGGAGACTTGTCCAGTTTGTCCACGGCAGAAGATACTTTACGCACGTCTTCTTCTTTGACTCCACAGACCTGGAAAATACCGTCCAAGATCTTCCTGTGGTTCAATTTAATCTTGAACTCCTTGATACCAAGCCCAGTAAGACCGCAGACAAGTATGTTCATAACCTCTGCGTCTGGGACCATGGAGTCGTAGCTTCCTGCAATGTCGAAGTCACATTGGTAGAACTCCCTCATTCTTCCCTTCGTCATGGCAGGCTGGTCTCTTCTGTACACTTTGGCAATATGGTACCTCTTGATATTGGATATTCCATTCATGGCAACGTATCTGGCGAAAGGAACCGTCAAGTCGTATCTCAAGGACGTCAGTTCACCTCCTTGGTCCTCCAGATTGTAGATCAACTTTGAGTCCTCTCCGTACTTACCAGCCAGAATTTCTCTCAGCTCAAAGACCGGGGTATCAATTGTGACACCGCCATGGGATTTGAAAAGGGATGTGAGTTTGTTGAAAATGGCTTCTCTGATAATCATATCCTTATCTGCCCAGTCTTTGGTGCCTTTGGGGGTCTTCAAGTTAAACTGTTGCGACTCCTTGGCCTTTTTGCCAGCCGCTCCAGCGGCTGCGGCTGCTGCTTGAGACGATGGTGCACTGGTAGAAATGCTCTGCGACATGGCTCGACAAAATATATTATATCTTTTGAGCGAGCAACAATTGAACATAGAGACGAGCTACGGTCAATATTTTTCATCATTGGTTTGTGTGGTGCACGACTTTTGTATGACGGGGAACTTGTCGTGAGTGTTTGCTGAATATTCTTCCTGAGTACAGTAGAGGGTCAATGGCTGCGGTGTGACGGTGTTTATTGGACTCGTACTGATATGCCAGCTTTGAGTTTGAGAAGTAGGTTTTTGCAGTCAGTCGCTGGTGCATTAAATATTTGACGTTCTTAATTGTAGATTATTGTACACTATTTAAATTTCTCTACTATATAGTCCTCACCGTTCTCCTGGTATTCTTCTTTGCTGATGAATAAGTTGTCGAAATCACCCACTGATGAGCTTGTCAGTACATTGGCTCCAACCCAGGAGTCGAACTGTCTTTCAACTGTGTCAGGCGAAAGGTAGGTAATGATAGTGTAGTCTGAAATCAGTCTAGCGAGGTCTTGAGCAATTCTGTGCTCAAGGTTTGGAATTCCAGAAAGCGAGCCGGTGAAAACAATGTTCTTCAGCAGCTCCATGTACAGAGTAGCTGGAGCTTCCAGGCTTTTCATGGACTTTAGGATCAAGTTAGAGATGCCTTCTGCATCTTGAGGAACCTTGAGATGAGGCAGTTTCTTCGAGTACTCGGCAGGGTTGAACAATGGCTCTGCCAACTTGTACTGTTCGATGCCTATGTCTTGGATCAGACGTCTATTTGGGAGCTCGTAATTTCTAAACTCTATTTGGGAGTGAGACTCGTATTGTGGATAATTTGTCTGTGGAGGGAGATTCTGTTGGTCAGGCGACATGGGGTACAAGGAAGCGTGCAGGAGCACATTTTTAAACTCGGCTAGAGAGGTCGATATCTGGTATGTTCTGAAGGATTCACTCATTGGGACCGATTGGAATGGTTTGGGAATGAGGAATGCGTCGACCGGTTCGTTGGGGAACTTGGACTGGATGAAGTCCAAAGCAAACGGACTCAGGAAGTCGCCGCCAAATTTGGTGAATTGGATGCCTTTTGTGAGCACAGATCCATTACTAATGGGAGTGACGCTGACGATATCGTCATCGATGTCCACGACAATCGAAGAGGAAGGCTTGGAGACAGCAAACGCGGTGCACAACTGCCTTTTGAGCAGCGAAAAAATGGGCACTTCAAGCTCTTCGAAAGCGACCTGACATGCCTTGACTTTATTTTTTTTGGTGTTCCAAGCGTTTTCGGTCACCACCAGGGGACTTTCGTTCGACTTCAGTTTCAAATCAGAGTACAATTGTGCCCAGTGTTGCGCCATGGCGTCCCAGTTGTAGACTATGCCCTCACTGTACATTGTGTAGATATTATTCTGCGGATACAGGTCTATGTCGTCTCCAAAGACGTAATCGCCCTTGTCGACAGATTCCCGCGAGTACACTGTGGGCAACACCACCGACGGAATATCAAAGGTTGACAGGCCTGCTTTAGTGTACGACGAGTTTGAGTCGACAATCAAGGAGGGAAAGTCGAATTCCATAGCGTTGTTAGAAAGTAAATAAAATTTCGCGAGAAAACAAAGTTGGATTAATCCAGCCTTACCATGTCACAGCAGGACTACGAACGGCTAAAAAAGAAACTGAAAGACGCACTCAACCGCAAGAAGGAGATCGACCAAGAGATTGCAAAGCTGGAAGAGGATATCTTCAACAAAGAGACCGCATATTTATCGGAAGGAGCGCAACACGGGAACATCATCAAAGGATTCGAAAACTTCACGAAAACCACCACCTCGATGTCGTCATCGCGAGGGAAGAAAATACAGTTCACAGACGAGGACCGCATATTCTCTTTGAGTTCCGCCACCTACGTCCGCCACCTGAAAAAGATCAACAGCGGCCAGATGCAAGGAAGTCTGAACCCGTTGCTGGCCCAGTACGACGACGACGACGAAGAAAGCGAGGAGTCCACGCCTCGCAAGAGACGAGTCTAAAAACAGGCTGTGTGATACATCGCTGTCCAGATACAGTGCTTGTGGACGACCGTCGCTTTTGCCCTGTAGAATATATAAAAAACAGCGTCGATAAAATTTTATCTGCTAATGCATTTGACACCAGACGAGATCGCCAGGTTGCAGGCCCAAACAGGCAACATTCGCAACATTTGCATTCTTGCGCATGTTGATCACGGCAAGACTACCTTGTCGGATTCCTTGCTTGCCTCCAACGGAATCATTTCTCAAAGAATGGCAGGCAAAGTGCGGTATCTTGATTCCCGTCCAGACGAGCAACTCCGGGGAATCACGATGGAATCTTCGGCCATCTCTTTGTATTTCAAGACCATTTCGCGGGCGCAGGAAACATCCATTGTCAATGAATACCTAATCAACCTGATCGACTCTCCGGGCCACATCGACTTCTCTTCGGAAGTCAGTACCGCCTCCAGGCTGTGTGATGGTGCTGTTGTTCTGGTAGACGTGGTCGAAGGCGTCTGCTCGCAGACGGTCACGGTGCTGCGCCAGGCGTGGGTCGACAGACTCAAGCCAATCCTCGTTCTGAACAAAATAGACAGACTGATCACAGAGTTGCAGATGACGTCGGTTGAGGCCTATTTGCATCTATCCAAAATAATTGAGCAGGTCAATTCGGTAATCGGGTCGTTCTTTGCGGGAGAAAGAATGCAAGACGATATGCTGTGGAGAGAGAAGGTTGAGAGAGGCGAGGTGGAGGAGTATGTGGAGAAAGACGACGAGGACATCTATTTTTCTCCTGAGAAGAACAACGTTATTTTTGGTTCTGCCATCGACGGCTGGGGTTTCAATATTGCTCAGTTTGCGGTGATTTACGAAAAGAAGCTGGGCATCAAGAGAGATTTGCTCCAGAAATGTCTTTGGGGAGAGTTCTACTTCGACCCGAAGACGAAAAAAGTGATACCGGCAAAGGCATTGAAGGGCAGAAACCTGAAGCCGCTTTTTGTCAGTTTTGTGCTGGATAGCATTTGGCACATCTACGACACCATTCTGGCGAACAAGGACACAGAGAAACTGGAGAAGATTGTGAAATCCCTCGGAATAAAGGTTCTGCCAAGAGACCTCAGGTCAAAAGACACAAAGCAGCTGATCAACACCGTTATGAGCCAGTGGCTTCCTGTCTCGAACGCCGTCCTGCTCACCGTTGTGGACAAGCTGCCATCTCCGTTGCAGTCGCAGAAAGAGCGCATTCCTCATATTCTAGACCCTACTCCAAGCTCGGACATGATCGACTCGAGGCTGAAAAAAGACATGGTAGAGTGCAACAGCAAGGGTCTTGTCAGCTGCTACGTCTCAAAAATGATATCTGTTCCCGAAGACGAGCTCCCACAGAATCAGAAGCAGGCCATTGGCGAAGAAGAGCTGCTTGAGCGTCGCCGCCAAGCCCGTCTGGCCGCTCTTAAAGCGGCAGAGGAAGCCAAAAAGCTCGAAAAATCATCTGGGGAAGACGACTTTGGCGTGGTCAGGGATTCGGGAGAAGTGGAATGGGAGTTCGAGCAGGAGGAAGAGGAGGAGGAGGCGGAGGTGAAAAAAGAAGTTGTTATTGGGTTTGCCAGGATCTACAGCGGCACTCTTTCTGTTGGACAAGAGCTGACTGTGTTGGAGCCTAAATTTGATCCGCTACACCCAGAGGAGCACACCAGCCATGTGACCGTTACTCATCTGTACCTCCTGATGGGTCGCGAGCTCATCTCGTTAGAAGAAGCTCCAGCAGGAAGTATCGTTGGTATTGGTGGTTTGGAGGGCAAGGTGCTCAAAAGCGGCACTCTCATTTCTCCGGGCGTGGTGGGCGTGAATTTGGCAGGTATCAATCTGAACAACCCGCCAATTGTGAAGGTTGCAGTGGAGCCTGTCAATCCGATCCACATGGACCGTTTGGCGCGTGGGTTAGAGCTCTTGAACCAGGCGGATCCTTGCGTACAGACGTATTTGGAGGATACCGGGGAGCATATCCTGGCAACGGCAGGCGAGTTGCATCTTGAGAGATGCTTGAAGGATCTCCGTGAGCGGTTTGCTGGCATAGAAATTACGTCTTCGAAGCCTGTGATTCCGTTCAGAGAGACAATATTAGGTCACGTGGAGATGAATCCACCAAAAAGTGAATTGGGCAGGGGTGTTGCTGAGATTAAGCTGGACAAGTACCGTATCCTGCTCGAGACGAGGCCGCTTCCGGAGAAAGCTACTAGCTTCCTTCTGGAGAATAAGGCTTCCATCGCAAAGCTTGTCCGTCGGCATATCAGAGGAGAAGATGAGGACGAGGCTATTGTTGGTAGCGTGCTCAGCAAAACAGAATTTTCTGATAGATTGAAAGAGGCACTGGAGTCCGGTAACAAGTCCAAGATGAAGGACAACATCGACTGGACAGATAGCCATTTGCGCGTCATTTCGTTTGCCCCAAAGCAAGTGGGCCCCAACATCTTGTTTGATACGCCAGACAATCGTCTTCGTCGATTGCTCGGTACCGACTCCAGATCTGACAAGTTCGAGTATGAGGACAGTTTGTTGAACGGATTCCAGATCGCATGCTTTGAGGGCCCATTGACAGCAGAGCCTACTCAGGGCGTCGCTCTTTTTGTCAAGAGCATTCAGGAGCTAGAAGAGGCTATTCCTGTGAATAACATGGCTGGCCGCCTGCTTGGCGCCACTAAGGACGCTGTGCACAAGGGTTTCTTGGACTGGTCGCCGAGATTGATGCTGGCAATGTATTCTTGCGATATCCAGGCTTCTGCAGAGGTGCTCGGTAAGGTGTATGCGGTGATCCAGCGTCGTCGCGGAGCTATCATCAGCGAGGAAATGAAAGAAGGTACTCCGTTCTTCACAGTGAGCGCTCGTATTCCGGTGATTGAGGCATTTGGGTTCAGTGAGGAGATTCGCAAGAAAACCTCTGGAGCGGCCTCTCCGCAGCTGGTCTTCACCGGCTTCCAAATCATCGATGAGGATCCGTTCTGGATTCCAAGCACGGAAGAAGAGCTGGAGGAGCTCGGCGAGTTTGCGGAGCGTGAGAATATTGCAAGGCGGTACATGAACGAGGTTCGTCGCAAGAAGGGCCTGTTTGTTGACGAGAAAGTGATTCAGAACGCTGAAAAGCAGCGTACACTGAAGAAAGACTAATTACGTGCGCAGCACAAAATTGTGTATAAAACGGATTATAGTAGCGATTTTTATACTCCCACGGTATGGGATTGTTTAGCAGAGAAAAGACACCTCAGGCTCCAAATCGCTCGAAGCGAGAAAAGTGCTGGGAAAGCAGGGACATATTTTTCAAGTGTTTGGACAGGATTGACGTTGTGAATCCGCTAGACAAAAATGTGCAAGGGAAAATCAAGAAAAACTGCTCTAAGGAAGATGCCCAGTTCCAGAAGGACTGCGTGGCCTCGTGGGTCAAGCACTTCAAAGAGAAGCGTCCATTTGATATTAAGAAAGAGCAAATACTGAGGGAAGCGGCAGAACAACAAGCGAATGCTCAAATAGACAAGTGATTCGGATCGTGTAAATAAGGGCTTATCATTTTGAATGTATATAGATGACTGGCAAACGAGCCTCAGATTACAGAAGCTGGATCGCGCGAGCTCTCTGGGCATGCGATGCTCAGTGTAGGGATTGCGAAGGAGATGTGTGGTGTGCAAGTTTAGCATGACGAGCGGCAAATCAGCTCGTCCCTTTCACTATTTGCATGAGCTGGCCAAATTTCTCTTTGTTCTCTTCAATCTCTCCTCGCAATTCAGACACGCGAGCGTTGTATAGTCGCTCGCAGATTTCTATCACCAGCGATTCGTTCATTCTGTAAAACTCCAAATCTTTGTCAGAAGAGTCTATGAGCCCGTTTTCTAGCATCAGGTTGTTGTAAAGAGCCAGCAGCTGGCTTTCAGACGGTGTCCACTGCGGACTATCTTTCATTAGCGGATTTTCTTTCGTCCTCTGTAGAATGGTGCCCATGTCGAAGTTCTTACCTGAGGAGGAATGCAAACAATCAAAAAGCGTTTGACATATCAGCAAAAGCGTCTGCGTAGCGTAGTTCTCGGGAACAGTCAAATCTATCCGCTCCATAGAGTAAATTTATTTTTATGTACACTATTTGTTTATTTACCGATCCGAAAAAAATATAGTACTCATTCTTGGATCTGTCTCTATGCCTCTTCGAGGTGATTCGCAACTGACTTCGCTGGCCAACGATTTGGACGGATTTCAAATACACAGTTCCGGATCAAAGGCTGGCATGAGGCCGGAGCTGAGGGCCTTGCCTGATCACTCGAAGCTGTCCATGTCATCTAAACGATTATCGTTAAACGTGCCTTTAGATCCGCAATTCAGCTCCAAAATTCCCACGCGCTCGCCCTCAACAAAGTCTCTCAAACTGATAGATCCTCCGCACGCAGATAACTCAAGGCTCCCTGTTGCCAAAAGATACTATAGCGACTCCAGACACACCGATAGCAAACCGTTCGTGAATCCTCCCTCTGGAATACCGGCTTCAAGGTCCATGCACCATATCAGCTCGCACGCGGTGTCTGCTCCATCCTATTTAAGTCCTACAACGTCCTCGTTGAACAAATCGAGATACGAGAAGGAGAACGTTCCGCTGCAAAGAAGACAGAGCCTGAAACAGCCTCCAGCAAGAGGAATGGTCTCGTCGTCCAGTGTTGCTGATCTCAAAATCCTGAAAAAGGGAGATAGAAAGCCAGGGACAGATCGTCTTAATATTCCTCCTGCCCATCGAATTTCGTCCATTTCCTCAAATAGGCCGCGACGCAGACCTGTCTATTCGGAAGAGGAGCTGTATAAGCTTATGGAGACCAGCTCGAAAACGGCCAATCAATTCCGCCAATTTTTGCATTACTCCGTTCAAGGTTGCCATGAGAAGCCACCACTTAGTCCACATGATTTGGCGAGTTCAGATCCTAGCATGTACCAGCAGCTGACCGTGTATGAACGAGGTGAAATACTGAGGAAGAGAGAAATATATTTTACGGGAGAGAGAAGCGTGAAGGCACGAGTTGACAGCCAAAACTACAGCTGCAATTTTGGATTCGACGACAAGAACAAGAACTACAGATGTGTTGCTGGAGACCATATCAATTACCGATACGAAATTCTGGCTAAACTTGGCAAAGGATCCTTTGGCTCTGTAATATGTGCCAAGGACCACAAGACACAGCAGCTCGTGGCTATCAAAATAGTGAAAAACGAAATGGACTGGTCTGTCCAGGCTATGAGTGAGATCAAGTGCATGAAAAGCCTCAGCGAATGCTCGCCCAACATAGTTCAGTATTTTGAGCATTTTCATTTTAGATCGCATATTTGCATTGTCACAGAACTGCTTCTTATCAATCTCTATGAGCTCATTGAAATCTCAGGGTTCAGAGGATTGAGCATGGGATTGCTGAAGAAGTTCGGAAGAAACACCTTACGCGGGTTGCAATTCATCCACCAGCAAAACCTCATTCATTGCGACATGAAGCCAGAAAACTTAATGCTGGCTTACAATCATCAACTTGGATTCCACGTGAAAGTGATAGACTTTGGGTCTTCTTGCGAGCAGGACCGCCCCACTTTCTCCTACTTGCAGTCGAGATTCTACAGAGCACCCGAAGTGTGCCTCGGAGCCAGGTATAACCACAAGATCGATATATGGTCTTTTGGAGCAATCATGGCTGAGCTATATACGGGAACTCCGCTCTTTTATGCCAAAGATGAGTATGAGCTTCTTGACTTCTTTGTCTCCTACTTTGGTACTCCTCCCAGAAGTTACATTCTTGAGCTCCGCACACAACTACTGAGGGAAGGGCCGATCATCAACCTAAACAGACCATCGACAAATTCTGTCAATTTCCGCGCACTGTTATGGAGAGCGTTCAACGATGACGGATCGCTCAATTCATCATATCTGCATTCAAAGAGAAATGGTTGCAAGTTCAAGCCATCTTCTTCCAGCCTGTCTCGGCATCTCGCTCGCTATTGCAGCGAGCCTGGCACGAGTTTCGAGCACTTTGTGGAGATGCTCAATGGCTGCTTCACGTGGTCGCACCACCGGAGACTTGACTGCGATAAGCTTCTTTCCATGCATTTTTATCAATAAAATAAATAGACTTCCGTGCACCACGGGTCCCCAGAAATCAGGTAGAAATAAATTATCAGACAAGATGAGCAACTCTCCTCCTTCGACCTCAAGTTCAGGGAAGGGACTGTCTATTCCGCAAAAGCTAGCCCTCAATGCGATTAATGAAATACAAAATCGTTCCAATAACTATCTGCACAGCAAAAAAGGCGGAAAGGGCCTTGAAGAAGGGCGCAAAAGAGCAGCTTTAGCTGCTGTGATCTCGACTGTTTCCTCAGTGGGTGCTGAACGACTATCAAAAGCAGAATTTGATGAGCTGCGAGATCTAACCGAACAGGAGTCTCCGGACAAAGTGCATTTCATGGACAAACTAACCAACAAGTTGATAGATGCACTCCCTCGACGTTCCGATGAAACAATGGACGAATTGAGAAACCGATTGGAGGACCGGCATAGAGCAGAACAGCCAGGACTGTCTATAAAGAGGATCAGCAGAAACTTCAAGACACTGAGCTCGAAAATGGATCTCGTGTTCAGTCTTCAGTATTCCATTATTCATGTCATATCCTGGGACCAGCCCTCATTGACACTGACATTTCTGATCCTCTACACGTGGGGCTGTCTAATGCCCTATCTGTTTCTTGTTTACCCCGTTCTCTACGTTCTAACAGGGGTTCTGATCCCGAACTATCTCTACCGCCATCCATTAGCAAAACCAGATATCATTCCTACCCGTGCGCGCGGTGATAGCTCAATATTTGGGTTTTTGCGAACTGAAAATGTCTGGGAATTGGACAGACAGCGCATTTTGCTCGAGAGAGGCAGAGCACTCGAACGAATGCTAAGCCAGGAGCTAGAATTGTCCTCAATTAGCTCCAGAACATCAACAGACTCAGAAGACGAGGGGAGCTCTAGTCTATTATACGAGGTGCTGACAGCAGACTCGAAGAGCAACCTGATGTTAAAGGCTGTTCTCGAGGAAGACGAAGAGACCACCGAGAAAGGGCGAAAGGGTGTGGTGGATAAAGTGAAATTGCTAATCAACATGAGGGACTTGCAAAATCTGACCTCAGACCTGATCAAGATGATGACTCGCATGCAAGATAGCATCTACGAAAATTACAGTTTTAAGGACGAGAAACGAAGTACCAAGCATTTTTTCAACCTGGTGGCATTGATTCTCATAACAGTAGTCCTTGGGCCTTACATTCCATGGCGAGCAATCTTTATTATCACCGTGTGGATACTGATTCTTCTGAAGCATCCCAAACGCCAGCATATTCTCAAACAGCTCAAGCCAGCGACGAAGCACAAGCTCCCTCCAAAGCAGAAAACTGAAGTCAAACGCAGAGCTTCTAAGCTTGGTGAGTTGATAGTGGACGATGCTCCACAATACAGGACCGTCCAAATATTCCAAATCGAAAAACAGGACCTCATCAAGCCTTCCGTTTACGAACTTTACATGTATTCACCATCGATTTTCAATGAATCTGATACCCTTAGAATACAGAAAAAAAGGCCCAAGGGGACTACCAATCTTTCGCTGGTACAAGCTCCTAGCTCGAGCTGGAAATTCACGGAAAAAAAATGGACAGCAGACACCGATCCGGGATCCTGGTGCCTGGAGAACGGCGTCTTGGATGACATGGAGATCGATGGAGAGTGGGCGTACGACAAGTCCGGCGAGTATCGTCGTCGCCGTCTTGTACGTGAGGTTGTCAGATACAGCAGGCCGCCAAAAAAGCGATAGGGGCTCAGCTATGATTCCTGCACTAGTCCATCGAAAAGTCGTCTGAAGCACTCGTTCATAGGGTTATTGAAATGAGAATAAGGATCTGTCCTCGATAATGTCTCACCACACAGGTTGCAGAAGTAGGTTCGGCACCGGGAGCATGTCATTTTATTGCAGCCATCCGAACGCTGGATAAGTAGGGAGCAGGATGGACAGCGGACAATCCCTGCATCTCCTGATTCAATCAGCTCTTCGAACATCATGTCTGAAAGATGCTCCTCAACAGCAGAAACGATTGCTTTCCTGCCATATTTGAAAGCCAGATTGTTGCGCGCCTGGGAATCTGGTTCATGCTCGAGCCAGAGTTGGATATCTTCCAATGGGATCTTTTCTCCAAGATAGTTTCTGCAACTATTGAGGTCGCCGTGCCACGAATGTAGGCACCCAAAGCAAAATGCCATTTTGCAGTCGGGACAGATACAGAGTAAGTTGTTCTCGTCTTTGCGAAGAAAGTATTTTGCACAATGTCTACGAGGACACTGTGCTACTCTGAAAGGGAACAGTCGTCTATATCTTTCGAACTTGTATGTTGTATTGAGCTTCCAATACCTCTCTGTCAGTTCTGGGTCAACTATTCTGTTGAGGAAGTCTTTTGTCAGCATAACTTCGAAGAATTCTCTCTCGAATTGCTTCAAATCCTGGTTCATTACGCCTCGCGACAATCGATCGTTCGCTTCCACATAGGCTTTGGTGCAATCAAAAGAGGGACAATGGATGTTATCGACTTCTCCACGAAGTATATTGGAGGTAAAATATTCTCTCAAGCACTCGCTGCAATAAATATGGCCACACGAATTAAATCTTTGTACCGCAAGACCCTTCTTGGCGATCTGACATATCTCGCACATAAAGGTAGACAGGTTGAATTGAGCTTGTTTTGCCTGCAAATCTGCCTCCAAGTACTGCTCGTACTTCTGCTTGTCAAGCACCAAGGGCTGCGATAAATCAATCACGCCAAAGGCATCACGGCTTCGCTCTTTTAGGTAATCGATAATGGAAAAAAGCACAACTTCGCGATAATCCTGCCACAGGCCTATCAAAGAAGCCACTATTGCATCCTTGTTACTAGGAACTATCCATTGAGCGCCACGGAGCTCCAAATGTGGAGGCTCTTCCTCAGGATACTTGTCTTGAAGCATGAAACAGAGCTCTATGGGGCTAAGATTAGCGATTAGCTGCGTCTGAACGCTATTTTCCAAACGGATCTCCAGCTCCTTATCTAATGCAACCGGAATCATGAGACGTCCGGATTTGGCCGAAATGTCCAGCTCGATCTCTGGATAGATTGCTTTAAGACTTTCAAACTCCTCCTCCACATCTAGCATAAGGAAACCAATTTTTTTTTTTTTCATAGTTGACACGATGGATAGATCGACGGGGTTTATCCGCACATTTGATGCTTTCCGTAAGTGACTCCAGTGGTTGTTACTGACTCAGCAGCAAAGATAGCACCATCGCAGCAGGTGCGGTCCACCAGGGGATCATACTCTACCATCATCACCTATCTGTTCATTTTGTTTCTCGTCTGGGTCGAGGTTGGTGGATATATCGATGGTGCCATAGATCACCAGTTTACAGTTGACGAATTGGTGCGCAAAGACCTGGTGATAAACCTAGACCTTGTTGTTGCCATGCCGTGCAATTACATACACACCAACGTTAGAGACTTAACCGATGACAGATTCTTAGCAGCAGAGCTATTGAACTACCAAGGGACGACATTCAACATTCCGCGATGGTACGAGCAATCTGCAAAAAAAATCGTCACACCTGAACTGGAAGCGGTTCTGGAAAGATCGCTTCAAGCTAGGTTCCAGTACCAGGGCGAACACCATGACGAGGGAGCTCCAGCTTGTCGTATATTCGGCGCGATTCCAGTGAATAGAGTCAAGGGAGAGCTTCACATCACTGCAAAGGGGTACGGGTATAGAGACAGAACGCGTATTCCCGCTGAGGCACTGAATTTTACTCATGCCATTTCAGAGTTTTCATTTGGAGAGTTCTTCCCTTATCTGGACAATCCGCTGGATATGACCCTCAAAACGACAGACTCCCATTTACACACTTTCAGATACCACTTGAACGTCGTGCCGACCCTTTATCGTAAACTAGGAGTTGAAATCGACACCAACCAGTACTCGCTCTCGCTCACAGAGTCTTCTGGCAAGTACGTTCCTGGCATATTTTTCCAGTACGACTTTGAGCCTATAAAGCTCGTTGTGGAGGAGACGAGATTGTCGTTCTGGCAATTTGTGGTGCGTTTGGTAACGATATTGGGCGGAATTCTCGTGGTTGCCGGATGGTTATACAAATTGCTTGACAAGTTGATTATGATCACACTTGGCAAGGAGTTTGCCAAAAGGGGCCAGGAGAAGAAGGAAGGCGGTTTGCTCGATAATGTCGAGGATTTCGAGAAAATATAGAAGCCCTGTTCAATTCAGCAGAGCCTGGGCGTCTTCCTTATATCCCACACCTGGTACAACTTCCGTGTATCGGATATATTCGTCGTCGTCAAAAGTGATAATATCCCAATACTTATAGACCATCATGACTGCAAACAAGTTACTGAGAGTGCTAAAAATGAGTCCGTCCGCGTAGTGGCTCAGAGATGTGCAGATGTCATAGCTGAAGACGTACAGGAGACACTCAGCAGCGACGAAAAAGAATACAGAGAGGCAAAGCGCTTGTATGGCCCACCAGTTGAGTACAAGAGTGACGAAGCATATGAAAAACTGGCACATCAGGTACATGAGAAGCAGCAGTCCGTTGAATATGAAGTAGAGCACGAATAGAGGGATCGTCTCGGCAATGTTGATGATGCTGGTCCATTTATTAAAGGTGAAAATTGCCACGCCGTAATTGAGCACGAAAACGCCAAGAGAAGAGCCAACCATGGCTGCCATTGTGTGCAGGGAGCCGTCGTCCCAGAAATTAAGACTCGAGAGTCCCGCGAAGAATAGTGTCCAGCAGCAAACGCCGGTCATGGCTACCTGGAAGCTCACGAAATATGCGTACATGGAAGATCCGCTTGGAGATACTCCTGTGTCCACTATGATGCAGGATACCGTGAACAATATATAGCTCCAGAAAAAAGCGAGCATTTCTTTTCTCCCCACTGCAGTGTACCTCAATCGCACGTTGTATACGATCATCAGAGCGACTATGAGCGAGGACATGTGTATAAATGACGTTCCGATCTGAAATATTATAGTGTTGGAAATATCCACTGTGCGCGCGTAGCAATCCGGAATGATCCCCACAAAAGTGGCGTTGTGCGCGTGCAGTGGATTGATCAGTGTGCACAGAGGGAGCGAAGTTCGTGTGCAAATTCTGGAGAAGTCGCCAATCATAGAAGATATCTAAAATCGAAGCTATTCTGGCGCGTTAGATATGATGATAACAGAATTTTGTCAACGTAAGCTTTTAAGGAGTAGACGCTTCCGACGCACATTGGCCGTCTGCGGGATTTCACAGCAGCTGGAATCTGTCTACTTTTGCGTCTACCGCAACCACTGAAACATGCTGGCGCGGTCCTGGTCAAAAATTACCCGATTAGTAAGTGGCAGAAATTTAAAAGATCTCTAATTTTCTTCCAAATTTTTCAGTTTCAAGACCTCTCCCCGTGAATCCGCCATGTCTCCTTCAGCTGCTGACAAAAAACAATCTGCGTCTGCCAGAGTGCTTGGGTCTGCCTCCGCAGGTATTTGCGAAATAGCTGTCTTCCATCCGGTTGATACGATTTCCAAGAGACTCATGAGTAATCAAACCAGAGTCAACAGCTTGGAAATCTTCAACAAGGTGATTTTCAGAGAAAATGCGACCAAGCCAATTGGTCAGCGACTGCTGAGTTTATTCCCGGGTCTTGGTTATGCCGCTTGCTACAAAATCTTGCAAAGAGTGTACAAGTACGGCGGTCAGCCTTTTGCAAACGAGTTCCTGACGACCAACTTCAAAAAGACGTACGAGGACGTGTTTGGAGCCAAGACCGGTAAGGCACTGCTCTCTGCCACTGCCGGCTCTCTTATTGGTATTGGAGAGATTATTTTGCTGCCTCTCGATGTGCTGAAGATCAAGAGACAGACGAACCCTGAAGCTTTCAAGGGTAGAGGTTTCTTTAAAATCTTGAAAGACGAGGGACTTGGTTTGTACAAAGGATGGGGATGGACTGCTGCGAGAAATGCCCCCGGCTCCTTCGCTCTGTTCGGTGGATCGGCGTTTGCCAAGGAATACGTTTTCCACCTGAAGGACTATTCCTCTGCCACGTGGGGCCAGAACTTCGTTGCTTCGATTTTCGGTGCCTCTGCTTCTCTGATCGTTTCCGCTCCTCTGGACGTTATTAAGACTAGAATCCAGAACAAAAACTTCGAGTCCAACGAGTCTGGTTTCACCATTTTGAAGAACATGGCCAGGAACGAAGGTGTCACCGCTTTCTTCAAGGGATTGACTCCAAAATTGCTGACCACCGGTCCTAAGCTTGTTTTCTCGTTTGCTTTGGCGCAGACTCTGATCCCAGCCTTTGATAGATTACTTAATTAGCCTGCCTGTATATATACAATTAATTAGAGAGAATTCGCCAATTGCAAAATCAATGGGTGGCAGTTGAGAGGCAGACGTGGCAAATCAACTTGTATCCCAGCTTTGAGTAACACTTGTATATCTAGGAGAGTGCAGTAAACGAAGTTGAACTTATTTGGTTCCGACAAAGGACCAAAACATCCGTCCACGTCGGCTAAAGCAGAAATCGACTTGACATTAGCTTCCACCTTACTCCGCCATAATTGCAGATTGGGTTTCACACCCAAAGCGAGCTGTTGGAACTGAAGACTACGCCGAATAGGATTCTTGTAGAAATTGTCTTTTTCCGGAGCAAAGAGCAACGAGTCCGTGTTGAATAACTGACTGAAATCGCATTGGGTAGCCAGATGGAAAACATCATCAAATGCAACATATTCTTGCTTCGTACTGATGAAATAGTCTACCAAGCTCCTTTCCACTTCAACGGGAACCATCGCATTTTTCAGCGCAAGATAGTCTGATAAATGGCGTGCGCAAAGAGAACGCAGCTCGTCGTCGTCGTCAGAAAGGAAATCAAATAATTTCAGTCTTACCTGAACACCATAGCGATCGTCTGCGGTATGAACAGAATTAAACCCAATGAGCGCATTCAAAGATGCCATTCTAGCTGGAAACTCGCTGCCATCATCGCTCAGGCGTCTGACTGTCTTGAACCATCTGTCGAACTCCAATGTATCCAGTTGCTTTCCAACCAAAGGTCCTAAGGCCTCAATCACACTCATTTCAATATCGTCGTTTGTGTGCGATTTGAGTAGAGAGAACAGACTGTGTACCATCTCGGGGTCGTCAAATTCCGCCGTTGCCAAAAGCTTTTTCAGTCGTCTCAAGGCGAATGATTTAACGTAGTCCCAATCCTCGCGCTGGCAAAGATCCCATAAAATCCGGATTACTTCAGATACCACATTATCCGGAACATCTGCATCACAAGACTCGATAGCAGCCACACGCACTTCGTAGACTGAGTTCATTGCAAGCTCCAGAAAGTCAATAAACACGTCCCATTTGCCAGACATTTTGTAGTAGTCCAAGAGTATTTTTGCACAATTCCTAAGAGCGAGCTGGTGCGATCCGTCAAGCCCAGAACTCTGCTCTTTCTCAATAAACCAGTTGCCCAGAAAAGCAACCGATCTTGGATCCAGTTGGCACTTGGTGAATTCTATTAGCTTGAAATATGACAGTTGAATAGCATAGTTCTTTTTCTTCAGCATACTAGGCAGACAGCACAGAATCAGGTCCATGTATTCCCTGGGAACCTGAGACCATTCATTTTTTAACTCTTGTCGAGTAATCAATTCTTGAACAGCCAAAATTGAGCCGTGGACGGCATTGAGGTTTCCTGGCTTTTGCAGCAGCGCAGAGCATTCCTCAAACACGGTCTCAGAGGACACCAGAGCAGGAAGCGCTCTTGCGGCCATTTCGCGTAATTTCCAGCTTTCGTTACTCAAACAGGCGAGAACAAGTGGCTTGAATTCTTGCAAACCCTCATAGCCAGGCGTGGCTTCGAGTCGCGTCAACGTTGTGAGTACTGGATACATTTTCTCCACATTGTCTCTTGTGAAACCTTTACTGATGGCATCCGAAAGGGCTTCGAGAAGGACGCCGCGGATAGTTTTGAACCTGGAAAAAAACAATCGTGCAGAGATAGTAGAGAGATGACTGTTATCAATTTTCTTGCTCCCAAATAGCTTAGTCTGCAAGGCAGCAAAAAGCATCACTCCGCAATTGCGGACGGCCCAGATTTTGGAACCGAAAGAATCCAAAGCGAGTTGCAGTGCCTGTCCAACGTAATTTGCAGACGTCTGAGACAGAGAAGAATCCACAATGATGGCCTTGATCGAGTTGATGGCGTTCACTTGGGGAATGTTGGTGGATACTGCTGCAGTTTTGTCAATTGGTAGCCTTGCTGTTTGAACGAGACTATCCATAGTGGAGGCTATCAGCTTGTTATCAGAGCGCAGCATAGCGGTGAGAAGAAACGGTATACCGGCAGATCTTCTTGTAATAGAAATTTTCTCGTTCTTGACCAGATGAAGGGTCTGTGCAAGCCATTCCTGGGTGTAGCTGGATTTCCTACAACATGCCACATATGTAGGGAAAACGGAGGTGAACGCACCCTTGTGCCTGACCGTTGCTAGTTGCTCCATAAGAACTTCACCTATGAATCGGAGTTGCTCTTCGTCTATGGTGTACTTCGAAATCAATACCTCGAGCAAGTTAGTTGACTCTTTCAGAGCTCTCCAACAGTAATTGTACACCACTTGTGATGCCTTTCCGTACTTTGCCTCCAAATCCGCACTGTATGCTTCCACCTCCTCCGGTAGGTTCCCCTCAGGAGAATCGTTTTGCAGCACATCTTTTGTGATATGCCAGATATCCACGCAACAATCAATCAACGCAGGAACGTGTTCTTCCAAATCATCACTCTTGACAGTGAAAATATGCTTGAGTGCAGAAAAGTGTCCTTGCACACTGGCTTTGAAGCAAGCTTCACCCAGATTGTGCGTGGAGTTGATTTCCTGTCTCAAGCTCTGCAGCAGCAGCTGCAGGACAGGATCAACATCAACGCCTTTATTCCTCTTATGTCCGACCAGGAACTGAAAGAACTTGCCCGCAAAGTCCACACTCTTACCCTTCATGTCGCACAGTAGCAAGATACTTCTCTTTTGAGCAAGCTCGAGATCCACAAACAATTCTACGTCAACAGGACACATTTCGAGAAATTCGCAAGATAGTGAACGAATATCATCGTAGTCATCAGACAAATGGTCGATAAGGATGCGAATCAGGGGTGGCGAGTAGACCTCCATTGAGAATGGAAAATCAATGTGTCTGAACTTGTCGAAGTAGCGTTCGTCAACTCTTTTATCGAGACCGGATTTCACCAAAGATTTCAGGACTGCGTAGCTAAAAGAAACGCAGTGATACGATGAACCTGGACGCAGATTGAATAGCACTTTCTCCAGCAAGGCTGCAAGAAACTGCTGAGCGTTAGAGACAAGCGTCTCCTTGTAGACTATCTCCTGCTCAAACCGGCCATAGTCCTTTTTGGCCAGACTCTTTGCGTCTCTGTCCAGAGCGTACGACGAGTCTCTGATCCTGATAATAAAAGTGTTGAGCAGCGAGAGAGAGGCAGTTCTTGTCTCTAGATTGGTTTGGCAAAACAGATGGTCAGTGGTGTCCTTCAGAAGCTGGTACACTGAATTTTGTATAGGCATGGCTCCTTTAGGAGAGGAAAGGAGCAAAGATAGTACAACCAAGCGCAGCTGATCATCCTGTTGCAACAACAAAGCTCTGAACTCATCGTAGGACAGAAATCTGGTTGGATCGGAGACAATTGCAAGATCTTGCGCAATTCTCAAGCAGCCAAGAAATATCGGTGTGTTTGGTCTCACCGCGTCAAGAAATTTTTCGGTAGCAGGGATGCACGTTTTGAAAAGATTCGGTAGCAGGTAGGTTTCTGTATGTTTTTTCAGCTTTGGGATCTCCAAGTTATGAATCACAGGCTCTTTCCACAAGGAAAGCCAAGAAGAGGAGTCGTGTTCTGTGTATAGCGTCTTGAGAAGTGAGGAGAGAGTCTTTCCAATACAGCTAGCTAGAGCATTGCTCCATATGTATTCTAAAGCTTCTCTGATAAAAAACGGACGCTGTTGGATCACATAGGCACTCCACTTTTGCTCGTTGATAAGATGGTCCAACAGGAAATATAATGCTCGAGAAGAATATGAAAGCTGAAGACATCGATCAATATATGCTTTGAAAATATGGTCTCTAGACGGGGCATGCTCTATAAATAAAACCAGCCTTGCGAACATGTCTCGAAGACATTTCCCCAGTGGAGCCCCAGACTCGTTCCAGAAATCAATAATGTATTGTAAAAAATAGTCTGATCTATCAGTGACCAAAGACAGGATCTTGTCCTTGTTGCCGACACCGTTTTCGAGGAGTCTCTGCGACCGAGTGAGCCAGATACACAATGTACTGCACGCAGAAACACGATCCGTCTCGAGCTGGCTACATATAAACGTGAAATACTCTTCCAGCTGAGGCTCCACCGACTCGTCCGCATTTTTCAGCCTGAGCAATGTCGCCCTGACACGTTCAAGCTGCATCTGGAGGTACGTGCCAGGAAATAAAATTTTAACCAGCTTCGCGAAACGAAAATAATTTACGTGTTTTGTCAACTCATAATGGAAGATAAGTACATTGGACTGGCGCTGGCAATCAGTTCGTCGTTGGCGATTGGAGCGTCATTTGTGCTCACGAAGAAAGGGCTACTGAAAGATGGAAGCGGCGGAGAGTCGTACTCGTACTTGACGAATCCGACCTGGATCCTTGGTACCTCGCTCATGGCTATTGGAGAAATTGCCAATTTCGCGGCTTACACGTTTGCCCCTCCTATACTGGTGACTCCTCTTGGAGCTCTTTCTGTTATTATTGGTGCTGTACTGGCCTCTATATTCTTGCGGGAGGAACTCGGTACCCTGGGTAAAATGGGATGTGCCATCTGTTTGCTTGGCTCGGTGATCATCGTGCTGCACGCTCCAGCAGACAAAGAGGTGCAGACCGTGGATGAGATCCTCAACTACGCAAAACAGCCGGCCTTCCTGCTATACGCTCTCGTGGTCGGAGTTTACGCGGTGTTCATGATCTACAAAATCGCACCTAGGTTCGGAAACCAAAACCCAATGATCTACATCAGCATTTGCTCCCTGGTGGGATCAATCTCCGTGTGCGCGATAAAGGCATTTGGGATTGCCTTGAAACTGACGCTTCAGGGCAGCAACCAGTTCACACACCCTTCTACCTACTTCTTCATCATTGTGGTGGTCGTGTGCATTCTGACACAAATGAACTACTTCAACAAGGCGCTGGCGCAATTCGATACTTCTATTGTCAACCCACTGTACTACGTGACATTTACCACGGCTACATTGTGTGCTTCCTTCATTTTGTTCCGAGGATTCAACACCACCTCGTCTGTCAACATCATTTCCTTGATTTGCGGATTCCTCATCATTTTCAGTGGTGTCTTCTTGCTGGATATTTCCCGTCACGGTTCTGACACAGAAGAACTCTTTGCTACGAAGAAAGATGGATTATCCGACATTCCATTAAACTCTGACCTGTCTGCATACCAGTTCAGAAGATCAATGCAAATGAGCAGACCGAACCAGGACTCTGCGTACCACCATCTAAATAGCGACCCATCCGACCGCCTTCGAAGACGCTCCGACAGTTTCGAATTAAATTAGCCCCCGAAATTCAGCAAGAATACATAGAGACCATATACACCTCCTTTAGATATCGTCAATATCCAGCTCCTCCTCCTCACCGTCTTCACTTTCGTTTCCAAATTCGAAGTTAGCGTCGTCGTCCACATCTTCACCAAATGTATCCGTTTGGTTGATCTTTGCTGTTTCGGGAAGCTCTCCTTGGGAAATCAGCGTACGAGCTTCGTCCGCGGTATATTTATGCACCACATCGGCCTGGTTGTCCTGGAACTCTCTCAAGGCAACAAGAATGATGTCTCCTTGCGCCATCCAAACCTTCTTTCTCAGTTTTCCTCTGATATGCGCAATTCTGGTCACGCCGTCAAAACAGGCTGCTTGCACGCGGCCATTACCAAGCATTTTTGTGATCTGTGCGTACTCCTGTTGCTCATCCTTGTAAATAAGCTCTCTCTTCTGAGACCAGTTCTCGTTCTTCCCTCTTCTTCTATTCTTTCCTCCTTTGCCCTTTCCTTTATTAGCCATTTTGTCCAGAACAAATCTAGTAAAATTTTTTTTCACCTCAGAAAAATGGCTGTGCCAGAACATCTAATATTTATTCATTACCCGGAACCTTTTAGGCCATGGACTCCTTCGAGGCGAGAGTCTATCTAACCAAACAGCTGAGCTCGCTCACGCCCTCGAAACAGGCTGCTCAGCAGTGCGCAAAGTTTTTGCTGAAACACAAGGAGCTTCAAGAAGACCTTTACTCTGTTATTTTGGAGAGTCTCGACGCCGCAGACCTGAACATTCGCATCAATATCTTCCAATTCCTAGAGGAACTTATTGTATACTGCCAGAATGACTCACAGAAACCATACGTATCCTCAATTATAAAGGATATGAAATTAATACTTACCAAGATTCTCCCGCCAAAGCCTGATAATGTATCCTGCGAGACCAGATTGTTAACAAATCTCCATGCTGCTTACACGATATTGGTAAACATCTCCAAATCGTGCATGTTCACTAACCTCAAAGAATACAAAGCCAAGTACAGTTCCAACTTGCTAACTGATATGGATAGAAACAGGATCGAGCTTCAGCTCCAGTTTGACGAAAAACCTTTATATACAGAAAAAGAGCTTCCAGACTCCATCGATACCCAGCTAGAATGTGCGTGGGAGTTCCTGCTGGAGAAAAGACGCCAGTCGCAGTACGAACGTCTTTTTATAGATAAGCACCATGTACAGTCTCCGACAGAGCCCTTGCAGGACACATTCACGAAAACGCGGAAGCAACTTTTGGCTCGGATCGAGGCCGACAGAGAACGGCAGAAGCGTGGCAAAGAGAACCTTTGGCAAATAAACAGGGAAAATGGATCAATAACGGAATTTGATCTCGTTTACGATACGTTCCACCAGTTTGACATTATTGAAGATAAACCCCTTATAGACGAAATCAACGAACTATATGATAACAGCAAATACGGAATGCCACACAGACAGCAACCAAGCAAACGCTTCAGACGATGATCAATTGTCGTTGGCGATGACCGTGGACAAAATCCTGAATAATTCATTGACACCTGATAATTTTTCCTCTGCCTTTGAGTTTGAATGATCTTGCCCGACCCTTATGGTGAACTTATTTTCAATATCGAATTCCAAGCTGTTGAAATAGTTGAACACCTCTTCGTCCACAGGCGTGTTTCCACCAGCGGCCATGACAAAACCCAGGTTGTGTTTGGTCTGAGGCTGATCCTTGAACGACATCGTGAGGTCAGATGGCTGCGAGACAGGACTTGTAAGTGACGACGATGGAATTTTTCTCAGATGCCCCTCGAAAGAGTTCTGGTTCAGCACAAACGAGAGCGCACGAACAATCAAATTAGCCTCTTGCACAATGACAATGCCGTTGATAAGGTTGGCATGTAAATTAAAGTCTTTGGAGTACAACTCATTCACGTGTGTAATAAGCTCTCCAACTAATTTGAGCTTGTGGTCCCTGTCCACATCACTGCAGTTCTCGGTGTGGAAGCGCACAGTGCACTCCTCGACCTCAACAAAAGATCCAGGTAATCTTTCGCACAAAGCGTTCATCACCTCTATGACAGTCGGCATCCACGTAAGCTCATTCTCGTCAATCACGGTGAACCATTCGTTGCTGTTTGGGAGCTTGATATAGCCTCCGTTCTCGGCAATGAGGCCAAGCTCGCCGATTCTGCGATACTTACGCAACAAGTCGGACCGTTTCAGGAAACTGAAAACATACACAATATTATTCGGGTCATTGGCAAGATTGAAGAGTGTCGAGATGATGTATTCATGCTGAACAGGATTGATCAAGGAGCCTGGAATGTTCACCTTGGAAAGAAGGTTGCCGAGGTTGATGATGAATAACCGTTTGCTTTCTGGATTAGGCAAGTTGTAGTACTTTTCCTTGAACAATGCCTGGGATAGTTGGGTCAATTCAGAAGAACAATCCTTGCGGTTGCTTGCAAAAGCTGTTTCAATGTCGCGAATGCAACTCCTCACCCACGACTGGGAGTCGTGTTCGAGGATGGTAGCATACAATTTTTTCCATCTCTGGAGTTTCTCCTCTGGAGACATCTCCAGGCCGAGCTTGATGTTTTCTGCCACCCGTTTGACATCATACGGGTTCGTCAGAAGAGGGCCTTCGGTCATCACCTGTGCTGACCCAACAAACTCGCTCATGATCAAAGGAGAGTGACTCTCTTGTGCCGCAACAACAAACTCATGAGACGTGAGGTTCATGCCTTCTCTGAGGGCGGAGACAATGTACAAATCTGCCTCTGCCAGGAGCGCCAAGTACTGCTCAAACTCGATATCCTGGTGGAGGAATGTGACAGGCTGATCGGTAGAGATGTTGTTCGATTTTGCGTTGATTCTTTCGGCAATATTGAAGATCGATGTTTCGAAATCATCATCTCTATCCATCTTAGCCTTTGTATAGATGAGCAGGAGTATTGTGTCAGAAACACGTTCTGGATTATCATTCAAAAAGCGCTCGTATGCCAGTAATTTCTCTTTGATTCCTCTGATTCTATCAATTTTGTCTCGGCTGACAATCAGTTTCTTATCTGCCCATCTCTCCCTGACTAGTTTTCTCCAGTTGAGACACAGATTGTTTTGTAATCTTTTGTTGAGTAATTCTGCGTCGATTCCAATAGGATTACCGTTGACGCTGATGACTCTGTCTTTGTACCTAACTCCGTACTCGTCAAAGTCCGCTAGGAGTAGTCGGTTGCATGTCTGATAGAAATGTCTCACATATTCTTCTGTCTGGAAAGTGATGCAGTCAGCTCCCAGAAGACCTTCCAGGATATTGTTTCTTTGCGCCAGACAGCGGAAAACCTCACTCGAAGGGAACGACACGTGCAAGAAGAAGCCGATTTTGGCGTTTGGTATCTTTTCACGTATCATTTTAGGAACAAGCATAAGGTGGTAGTCATGCACCCAGACAATATCTCCTTCCTTATACTGCGAGACAATTTGGTCTGCAACGGACCGATTCAGCTTCTCGTAATGCTTCCACGAATGGTTCTCGAAAGCATTCGACTTTGGGTTGTCAGGGATCTGGTAGTGAAAGATTGGCCACAAAATTTCTTTGGAAAAACTGCTATAGTGACCATGGAAAGTGACATCATCCACGAAGACCACAGAGGAATCGTATTTTTCGCTCAGTTCTTTTGCTATGTCGTTTTTAGTTGTTTGCGGAACCACATCTGATGGAATGGGCAAAATACCTATCCATCGGAATTTGGTTTTCGGATCAGAGGCTGCCGCAACGCGAATAGCATTCTTCAGGCTACCATTTCCCTTATCGAACTCAACCACTCTCCAAGGTGCAGTTGCAAAAACGTTGTCTTTGATGAAAAGATCGTGGTAGTCAGGTTTCGAAAAGCCTCCAAAAGGCGTCACCTTATCCTCGTCAGGCAAAAATGCATTCTCGTGCTCCGGGGGATACTCGTCTTTTTCACGTTCCAAAGGCTTCTCTAAAGCATGTTTTGCCACCTGCGAACTCGAGCGGCGCGAGGAAAGTCCGGGGCGGTTGACTTTCAAAGATGAATGCAGCAATTCTGGGCCTTTTGATGCTTGCTTCTCGGACACCGATGACGAAACAGTGATTTTTGTAGTGCTGACCCTCGACTTTGGCTGAATGAACGTCGATGTTGACACATTGACTGACGGCGAGCTTTTGGAGGCTTCCTTCAAGCGGCTAATTTCATCCAGCGTGTGTTGTTTGGGATTGTTGAAGAAGAATTCTTGAACAGAAACGTTCTGGTTTGTCCCATCTGTATTCGAGGTAGACACCGAAGTCTCGCCATCGTCATCCTCGGAGATAACCTGTATTCTGTTGTCGATTAAATCGGTTTGGCTCAAGTTCGAAGCTGACGAGTTTTTAGCAAGAGCTTTTATCAGAGACATTGTCGTATTGGTAGCCTCCTTCAATTGCTGTTCTTTAGCAGAAGCATTTGTTTTCGGCTGCCTAATAGGCTCGGCTATATCATCAAATTCAGTGTCACTGTTGACATATTTGTCCTTGTCTTGGACTTCGAAATGCACAGTATATGGCAGAAATCTAGGAACGTGTTAGAGCAACGCGGCGCTAGGCATACTTACAAAGAAGCAACAAGGACGGTCATCTTCTGATAAACAAACCCAGGAACTCAGTTTAGACTAAATGGTCAAAATCAATAAATTGTCAACGCTCTACCAGCAGATTTATTTCTACCGCAATTGGGTTGCTCCTCAGTGCTAAGGATATCCAAATATATTCAAAAAAAATTGTCTTACTCTCCATAAATTTCTAGAACACTTTACAGGGTTATACATACCTCGGGGCAGTCGGTACTACACAACTAAAAAAAATGAAATGTATTATCCTTCTCAAAAGGACGAATACCAAGTAGTTAACGGCACGCTCACTTCGATCATTGAGCGCTAGATCAAGGCTGCAGCCATGCCAAGAGCAGCCCCAAGCATCCCAGTATAGCCAGCAGTCGACATGTAAGCATCACCACAGTAAGTAGACTCCAAAGCCGTCAAGGTACCGTTTGTGGAATTAGCGGTCCAGAGAGGCAGGCTGGAGTTAGCTGTGGAGTTCGAGTATTCCTCAGTGTATGGCGTGCTTCCATCCAGGGCGAACGAGTCTTCTTCGTATCTCCTGAACCTCCCCTTGGTCTTGACAATAGTGCCGCAAGTGATCTTGGTCATGTTGGCAAAATGAAGGTTGACAGAGAGTCCAATGATGTAAGCTTTGTTCTTAGGATTCAGCGAGAGGTAAGGATCGTAGTAAGTAGCCTCAAAACAGGTGGTGTTGATCCATCCGTGCTTTCCAGAGAGATCTCCCACCTGGCAGAGGGCGTCATCATCAAAGCTATCGCATTCATCAAGTGGTGCATTGTAAGGATTCAAATGCGTTCCCGTGGCCTCGCAGTTACCGTTTGCTGGAACGGGAGCTTTGTGGATGTGATAATAGAAAGGTCCTCCCTCTTCGGGAAGTCCAGTCACGTCGATGTGGACCTTAACTGTGCCGTTTTTTGCTGAGAAATCAATGACACCTTTGGTGTCTTTCTTATCAAGATGAGCTTTGGCAACAATGTTTCTAGGAGAGTCTGTGTTCACGGGGGCAGGGCCAGCCAGTGCGACAGCGGCAAGAGCGCCGACGAATAAGAATGAAGAAGAGACCATTTTGTGGAAAGAGTAATGCGGATTCTATGGATGTAAACTTTAGATGGAGAAAGTAGTTCTAGAGAAATAGAGGGTACAAATATACTGGCGTCAAGGACAGACGCCCAAATTTAGGGATAGCTTTCCAAATTTACCCGGCCCATCACTTGTCTAGCTGAAGGAATTTTTTCTCGTGTCATTTCTGGTCGATAAGCGACCGTTCACTGATAAGATATGGGTGATAAAACTTTACACCAATACTTGCCTGAGAGCGGTCGGAATTGACGGAACAGCAAAATCACTGTCTATAGAGTTGCTTGTGTTTTTCCGGCCGAGAGCCGAAGTAGTTTGTTCCTAGCACTGTACCATGGCCGGACAATGCCATCAATCACCCCTTTGCTTCTCAGGTAGTGCACCAGATCAATAAAATTTTTTTCACGTCCAACGTTCCACGCAAAAATATTTATCAGCTGGAAAAAAGATAACAGAGATAGACAACAAGTACTTTGCGTATTTGTCCAAATTGACGTTTTGTACTATATATCAGCTGGTTTGAAGCTCCTGCGTGGCTATTAACCCAATACTCAACTACATTGCAGCTTTTACAAAACTTTTTATTGGACTGTTTTGATTCCCAAGTTGGTGGGCTTTCGTTAACTTCAATTACGATTTTACCGCCATGTCACACAATATATCCTTGCTGAAGCCAAAATTCACTCCATCGTCACCAACCGCTGCCAAACACAACTCACTGGACTCCACTCACTACTCCTCCACATCCCCGGGAACAGAGGGCTCGCCACCATCCGGCTCCGACCCGCTGCATCCTAACGCTAAAACAACCACCACCACCCAGAGCAACGGTGCCACTACTACCAAGCAAAACATGTCTACGCCCACATGCAAAAACTGCAAGACCCAGACCACTCCATTATGGAGAAGAGACGAGACAGGTCAGGTGCTGTGCAATGCTTGTGGTCTGTTCCTCAAGCTCCACGGCCGTCCACGGCCCATTTCTTTGAAAAGCGACGTGATCAAGTCAAGAAACAGAGTCAAACAGAACAATTCGAAATCAAATCCGAACACTCCTGAACTGAAGGCTAAAGATTCGTCTTCCAATGGCAAAGTCACTAAATTTTCTCCAAAACAGTACAAGCCAAATACAAAAACACAGGGTGGCCAATCTAAAGAGTCGTCTCCAACGTTGAACTCCACAACCAACGGATCGAACGCACAAGCTGATAGCAAGTCTCCTGTGATCCTGCCACTTTTGCCTCGCAACCAACAAGATTCAAATGGACAGCAATCTCCAGGTAACCAGTACTCATACTCATCTACAAACCCATGGCTAAATAAAAACCAGAACAACGTACAGCCTCTACATCATCCTGCCTCTGCTCCAACGCAGTATGCCGGGAATCTGGCCAAGGTCACCTCGCCGCTACTGTTGTCGACTGGTTCCGGTAACGCGTCAACTCCGCAATACAACCACCCACAATCCTCAGAAAGGTCGAGCAATCAGAATCTAGGCAGAGAGGCAATGCTACATGCAGCTGGAGCCCTGGAAACACTGAGCCAGCAAAGCTCCAGCGACAAGATTCCAGGCATCAAACTCGACAGCGAATTGTCCAATAGGCCTACATCTCCTCCACAGAAATTGCCATCTATTTCCAACATCAGCAAACCTTATTCTCCTGCTACGGAACTCAATAATCATGCCACTCCTCCATTCGGACCCACAAAGTTGACCTCGCTAGACCATGGACACCAGCCAACCCCGCTGCAGTCAATCCTGTCACCAAGTTTTGGTCCTCAATACTCACTCAACAATTCATCTTCTCAGTTTGTTCCGAACGGGTCCGAGAAGTTGCCTCCACTGAAAAACTTCACAGTGAATGGCGGAATGCAGGGTTCCAACCAGAAGATGTCTCCACTGGTCATGCCCGCAGATCCTAAACCTGCCAGCAGGGGTTATTCGCAGCAGATGGAGCAGAGAAGTCATTCGAACATGTCTTCGTCAGAGGATCTCCGGACAAGAATATCAGAACTTGAACTGGTGAACGATTTATACAAAACACGGATATCAGAGCTGGAAGCTATGGATGCTGCTTCGAAACAGAGAGAAGCCTTGCTGAAGAGACGTATCGAAGAGCTTACTGACCTGGTCAAACAGAGAGATGCTTCCAAAAAACACGCGGAGCAACGTTACCACGCCCACCAGCAGGGAAACGAAGCCAAGCGTTTGAAAGTGGAACCTAATTAACGAAATTAGGATCTCATGATGTAATTTGTATAATGGGTTTAATGAATGAATCAATCAAGGTAATTAGAAAAAAAAAATATAACTAAGGTGATTATGTCCAAGCCTCTATCAGTGAAATATACAGATGCTCTGCAGCTTGTGGAGAAACTCGACAGCTTGCATTTGCGAAGAGATTCTCCCGAATACAAGGCACAGCTGGAAAACGTTCTTGATGCGCTGAATTCGATCAAGAAGTCCATCCAGCAAATGGCACTATTCAGTGTCAATGAGGACATCGATGAGGTAAGCACTGGCGACTTGCGCTACTTGGCGCTTGATTTCTACATTGCACAGGTGCTTGGCAACACCGTCGCCAATAGGGCCTCCAGTCTCAAGACCTGCAATGGTTTGTATTTGCAATTCCTTTATACCTTGGAAAATTATGGAATATTAGATAAAGAGCAGCGAGCCAAACTGGACGCGATAAAAGCATCATACGACCCGCAAATCGACGAACTGCGCTCCAAGGATCCTGTGACCAGAAGACAAAGCAAGATCAATGAGTTCAAGATGGAGAAAGAGTTCAAAGAGAAGCTCAAGATCCTGGAGTCGTCGGACTTCCATAATCTTGACGATGAAGTAGTGAGACAAATTTACCTTGATCAGCTCAAATTTTTTGCTTTGAAGTCGTTCCAGAGCATTGAATCGAATCTGATGGAGATTGAGCTCCTTCACAACATGCCTGCTCGTCCAATTCAGCCGGCTCAGGAGCCGGACGAAAGAGAGAGACAGAAGAAATTCGACGAAACCTACACTGACAAAGTGGAGTCCCTAACCAATCCAATACTCTCAAAGGATGGCAAGGTTCTGCGGCCTTTCACCATCGTGCCATCCCGTGACCAGCTGCAGAAGAAAGTGTTTGGAACGGGCCAGGTTCTGCCCACAATGACCGTGGAAGAGCTTGTGGAGCAAGAACTGGCAAATGGTGGCATGGTCAAAGAATCTTTACCGGAAAAAGAGTTTGACGAGGACAATGAAGAGGATGTCGACAGACTAACATACAAGAACCGCGAATGGGATGAGTTTACTGACAACAACCCTAGAGGAAGTGGAAACACGCAGAATTTGGGCTGAGATGAGTCGTGCGCACGGTCAGATTTGGAAAAATCACAATAGAAAAATAAATCAAGCAGAGAAGGAAAAAAAGCAAAAAACTGACACGACTAGGGGCGTCATGAGTTCGTTTGTTCCTGCGCAATTTAGCTCTTTCACCACGAATTTCGACTTTGACAAGCTGAAGGTGAGAATTTGCCATAGCGATGGCCTTCAAAATGTACTGACTATTAGACTGATACAACGTCGTCTTTCCAAAGTCGACTTCGGTCGCTCAGGAGTCCACAAGACTTTTTCGACTACAGAAGAATGAGCAAGCCAAGCGGCATATTCGAAGTTCAGCAAAGGGTGAATTTCAACCTGACATACTTTAGCTCAAACTACATGCTCATCACAGCAATCATCTGTTGCTATTGCATTCTGACCAATCTATTATTGTTTTTCATTTTGGCAGCCGACGCGCTTGTCGTTTACTTGACACAGCTGCTGTTCAAAAACTCAGACGAGCTCCAATTCAGAGGTTTCAAGTTGACCAAATCAGCAATCTACTCCACTCTGTTGTTGATCAATCTACCTCTGCTCTTCGTGGCCAACCCCTTCACCACGTTGATCTGGCTTGCCGCTGTGAGTGCGGCAGTTGTTCTGCCCCATGCAGTCTTTATGGAGAAGCCAATAGACGCCTCCTTTGCCGAAGTCGTTTAGGTGCACTAACGAACGCTATTATCTATTAATCACACCTAACACCTACCATGTAGCTTTATCTAGACTAAATTCCTAGCTGATTATTTCTAACGGCAAATTGCTGCATTGATTCCACCATGGGAAAGTGCACCCTTATGAGACGGCCAGTAACGGCGATGCTGGTTTTAGGTGTCGTGGTTACCGCTCTTTACAAAGCAATGGCGGTATATGTTTCTCGCCCCGTTCCAGTCCAGGTTTCTTCTTTTTCTTCTACCCCATCAGCCTTCAAGATCAAACATATATTCCACAACGCTGCTGATGGCAAAACTCACAGAAGACTGGATATAAATGACAAGTTTATTAGCATTTACAATTCTGCACGGCCTCAGATGGCCCACGTCGAGGATATGGACTTATTTGATGTCTCTCCTTTTGAGCAAGAGCTCGTGGTCAGACATACAGAGGGACAAACTATCCGGTTGGCGGACCGGTCGCCGGACTTTGTGGAGTCGTATCTTGACTTTGCGCTTGAGAATGGCCCTGCATCACGGATGATTGAGTTTGATTGGCAGCAAGAATCTCTCTTGATTCCAAATATGAGCGATAAGGAAACGATTGTCAGTTTGGCCCTGATGTCCTCAGACGCCTACGTCGGACTTCCTACCGATGCCGACTGGAATGATGTGGGCGACAAATTCAACGAGTCAGAGCGGTTTGGATGGGAAAATGGAGGTGTGAGAGGTCATGTTTTCACCGATCCAGAAGAAATGATCGTGATAATTTCTATTAAAGGCACATCAGCTGCGGGTTTGAACACGGGAGGCGACGGCCAGACAGTTGAGCAGGATAAGACAAATGACAACCTCCTATTTTCCTGCTGTTGCGCTAGAGTGTCGTCTTTGTGGAAAACTGTATGCGACTGCTACGAAGAGTCGTACACTTGTAATCAGAACTGTTTGGAACAGGAACTGAGGCGACCGGACAGGTATTACAAAGCAGTTTTAGACATTTACCGCAACGTGACGGAGATGTATCCAGAGTCGGAGATATGGGTCACAGGCCATTCATTGGGAGGATCGCTGAGCTCGCTTCTTGGCCGCACCTTCGGCCTTCCTGCTGTCTCATTTGAAGCTGTGGGAGAATTACTGGCCACCCGCAGACTGCACCTGCCAATGCCACCAGGGTTACCAGAGGAGATGGAAAATATCTGGCACGTCGGAAATACTGCCGATCCTATTTTCATGGGCGTTTGCAATGGCGCCTCCTCAACATGCTCTTTGGCCGGTTACGCATTGGAAACACAGTGCCATTCGGGGAAGAAGTGCGTATACGATGTGGTGAACGACCTGGGATGGCATGTGAACCTGCTGAACCACAGGATAAGGACCATCATCAGCGACGTTCTGATGGTCTACAACGACACTGCGGAATGCGTTAAGTCTCCGCCGTGCTACGACTGCTACAATTGGAGATTCGTGGACCATTCTGGGGACCGCTACAGAACCACAACTTCCTCGCCGATGCCAACGCCCTCCGAGCATCCTGGACGAAGGTGTTTGAAGCGCACGTGGTATGGCCGCTGCTACGAATGGGCGGACGATCCCAGCTCGGTAAAGACAACCTTCTCGACCAGCACGATATACAGCAAGACGAGCGATATCAGCACAAGCACGCACACAGGACGAAATACTACTTGTATCAGAAGATCCTGGCTTGGGTATTGTCTTGAGTATGGTCCGGGATTACATTAGGCATATTTTTTCTAGGCTACCATTTCATAAATATTATGCTTACGGCTGTGCAGAGAAGGTAAAAAGCGCGTCTTGTAATTTTAAAACACGCTCCTCAATGTTTAGAAAAGTCAAGCGCAGAACCGACGGACGCCGTAATTTTGACGAGATCCAGGCTGGAGAACCAGGTTACCGTCGTTTGGGCAGTAAAGGGTTCAAAGACGACCTTTCGATCTATCCCCACCGACTGTCCTTCTACAAAGTGCCTCCCTTTGAGGAGATCACGTTGGAGGAGTTTGAGACCTGGGCAATTGACAGGCTAAAGGTTGTTCTGGAGCTGGAATCGTGCGTTAGCAGAGGCAAGTCGTTCAAAGACATTGAGATCATAATGAAACCGCTGTTGTCCAAGCTGCTGCCTATGAATTTACCCAACAGAGAGTCGACGTCTCTGTATTTAGAACGCAAAAAGGACCACTATTCGCATTTTATCCTCCGGCTGGCATTCTGTCGTTCTGAGGAGCTCAGAACGCGTTTTATACGCGCCGAAACTCTGCTGTTCAGACTCAGATTCAATATGATGTCGATCCAGGAACAGAAAGATTTTGTCGCGTCTCTCGATCTGCCGTGGGAGACCGTCTCTGAGGAGGAGAAACAGGAGTTTCAGAGCGAGCTTATGGCCTGTTGCTACAACACGGCGCGGTCGATTTTGACCCAGACCGTCGAATACCAGCGCACGAAGAAAGTGACAGACGAGCAGCTGAGGGCGTTTTTGGCAGCGGAGAAATTCTACAAGATACCTTTCGAGTTTGTCCCGGAGCTAGTCTCCACGAGACAGTCGTTTCTGCGCCGCGGTAAGGCGTTTGTCGCACAGTTCCAGCAACTCTCGCTGATTTTGACCGAGTTCAGCAAACACCTCGCGGAGCAGCTCAATGTCACGATGCGCGCTCTTCCCACGCTGGACGAGGACGACCGTCTGATTCCAGTGCTCAATAACCTCTCGCGCGGGTACGCCTCGATGGACTACCAGTCGGAACTAGGTGGCTCTGAGACGAACGACGGGTCGGTGACAGCTGAGAGCGTTCCTAGTCTGATGAAGCACATGCCGCTGTGCATGAACCGTCTTATGCATGGTGTTATGAGCGACCATCACCTGAAATACCAAGGCAGACAGCAACTCTCGCTGTTCTTGAAGGGCATTGGTCTGAGCGCAGAAGAAGCGCTGCGGTTCTGGCAGATGCAGTTCACGTCTGGGCCGGGGTCGATGTCGATCGAGAGGTTCAACAAGGAGTACAAATACACTTTTAGACATAACTACGGTCTGGAAGGTGGTCGCATCAACTACAAGCCGTGGGACTGTCGCACTATCCTGAGCAAGCCGCGCCCAAGTAAGAACGAGTACCACGGGTGTCCCTACAGAGACCTGCACCGCGACCAATTGGCCGACCAGCTGCAGAAGATGGGACTGGACCAAGGGGCCCGGCTGGATGACGTCTTGGAGCTCAGCGACCGGGGCGAGTACCAGGTTGCGTGCACCAAGGTGTTCGAGCTGGTGCACAGAGAAAAAATCAGCGCATTGCTGAAGAACGGCGACACGGTGGACGAAACGTCGATCACACATCCTAATTTGTATTACAGCCGATCTCTGTATTTAGAATCTAAGTAAACAAACGTACAGTTGCAGTATCATGTAAACACCACAACATTCTCACTTTAGCGATCTATAACGTTTAGCACTGCACGTCAACAATAGGGGCGGATAAATATCATGCCTATTGTAATTGCTAAATTGTGCTGCACAAATTATTATCTGGGCGATGCATTGCCTTTTTAGTTTATTTCCATCTCGTGCCAGTCTTCTCCATCACCCTTGTTTATATATTCGCTGAGAGGCTGTATCAAAGTCCGCTTGATTATTGCAAATGAGTCCAGAGAACAAAAAGTCGACGCTGAGTCTGTTTTCGAGGTCGAAAACGCGACTAGTCCGCAGGTCCAAAATCTTGCTCTCCCCAAGAACTCCTTGCGCGGACGCGTTTCCGGAGGATGCTCAAGAAAAGAGAAAAGAAGAGCTGGAGGCAGAGAACAAAATGCTCAAGGAACAAGTGTCAAAGCAGAAGTTCATGATTCTCAAACTCATCGATGAGCTCGAGTACATGGAAAGTCTCTGCAAACAGAAGGCAGCTATAGTGGTGGACCCTACATCGCCTACAAATTCCTTTTCGTCCAACGCCTCGTCTATGGAAACACTGGCCGCCAAAAACAGTGAGAAGGAAAAGCTGATAAAGCAGCTCAGCCTCAAAACCAAGCTACTCGAGTCCAACGTAGCTGACCTGCGCAGCCAACTGAAGTCTAATCTCTGCGAGTACCAGCGCAGTCTCTCCAACTTATCCGACTCTGTGACAATGATCAAGGAAAACCAGAGGTTCCTTACGCCAACGCCGAGATCCCATATTGTTCCGAGCTCGCGTTTTCTTGATCTCAAACAATACACCGACACAGACGCGGGCGAGACCTTCGTGCTACGCAAATTTAGCGTCTGCTAAGATCTACGACGCGTCGATCGGCCAGCTCATTTTAATTTTTGTGTACTCCTAGATTTCAATTGTATAGTAACATAATTTTTCTTGTTCTGATGCGGTTTATTTTAGCATTGGCCTGCTTCCTGGCCGCGTGTCGCGCCGCATTCAGTGCCGAGGAGCTCACAGAGCGGCGTCTGCAGTCTCCACCAGGAATAATTCCCGTCAAGTCCAGCGAGTTTGACAGCTTCTTCGAGGGAGAAAAGGATTACTTTCTTGTCTTGTTTTTGACCGCACAAACAAACCAGAATTGCAAGCTGTGCCAGTATTTCCAACCCGTGTATGAAACAGTTGTGCGCTCATTTTATGAATCGAACCCGTCGTTCCAAAAAGTGTTTTTCCTCTCTGTCGATGCTAGCGATAACATTGCACACTTCCAGAAATACAATATTAGTACTGTGCCACACCTCTGGATCTATCCTATATCTTCCTTTATCTACAAGCCTGTTGATAGCGACGATGCTTTCGACAAAAGAATCCCCATGCCAGAGAACCTGTCTATTGTGAGCGAGCATTACACCTATCCAATAACGGACACCATCACGCAGGCGGATCAGGAGCTCCGGTTCGCCACGTTTTTGGGTGAGCTCACCCAAACCAAGATTGTGATCAACAAGCCAATGGACTTGGTGCTGGCATTGAAGTACTGCGCTGGCTTTTTCGTTCTGTTCAGGATTCTGAGGTCTAGAAAAGAGAGAGTGCTCGACAAAATTAGAAACGGAACAGCGGTGCTGGTTCTGAGTATTATCGCAATATACATATGCTTTTCTGGTGTGAACTTTGCTGTGCAAAGAAACGTGCCGTTCTTGGTCAAAGACAAAGACGGGAGCCTCAAGTATCTCACCCCTGGAGTCCAGAACATGATAGGAGCGGAGGTCACACTATCAATAGCGTTCCAGATGGTATTTTCGCTTCTTCTATGGCTTTTAATCCAAGGTGTTCCTAGGATCCCAAAGGAAAATCAGGCTGTCGGCATGCTGCTCTTTGCTGCCATGCTTTTCCTCACCTACAACTTGTTCACCAGCATGTTCAAAGCCAAAGACCCCGGTTATCCATTCACCTACCTTTATATACCTATTTTCTAGACAACTACCGCTCGCTTTCACTTTTGTTCACAAAGTAGAAAGACAAGCAGATAAATAACGCTCCCAAAATATACACCCCTGAGTTGACCTTGTGTTTGAAGACGAAATCACACACCATTGCAAACGGAATTGTCAGCGATAATCCTAGCGTGACTGTCAACGGCGACGTGAGAAGCATTGCACGGGCCCAGAGAAAATCCGCGAGAAACGAAATGGCACAATTGAAGATGACCACGAAATACACGTACGAGGTTGGCGGAAGCTCGAATTTCTCGTACCCGGTTTTGTCCAGCAAAACTAGCGGTGGCCATAGAAAGAGTAGGTTGAAGATGCCAACGAAGCCAAAGAAAAGTCTCATGTCGATTCTGCTGTCATTTTTGATTTTCAGCTTGAGTAAGATTGAGTAGACTCCGTACAGGAAAGCGCCTGACAGGGCAAGAATATTACCCAAAACGACGTATTGTTTGGTTTCGGTTGGCGATGGGTCATCGTTGCGGGTGACAAGGACAACGCCGACAAACGACATCACGATAGAGGCCAGCTTCGTCTTATTAATGTGCTCGACCAGGAACAGAGCACCCACTATCATGGTGAAAAAGGACGACGTCGATGAGAGGATGGTCTGGGACGACACAGAGGTGTATAGTAACGATGCGTTTGTGACTAGATTAGATAGGAACCACAGGGTGCAGAACCAGAATGCCAATTGGATAGTCTCTTTGGCAGTTAGCGGTGGATATTCTGCGTCGAGATCGAATTCCATATGGTTTGACAAGTGGTAGGGAATGAGATATAGCGCGAACGATGCAGTGTTTACCCATGTGATGAAGAACGGTTTTGAATAGATGCCTTTCTCAAACAGGTCGTTGAGAAGCACTGACGACAAAACCCAGAGTCCAACCACGCAGAAAAGAAAGAAGAGTCCCAGAGACCAGTCGCGCGATCGCTTGGCCCTTTCAATAGCGCTTCTGGTGATGGTCAGTGAAGACATGGCTGGTAACAGAAACTGTGGCTATAGTTTATTTTGAGGGCGATCGACGCGTCGGCATTTAGACTGGTCTGCTACGCTTTTTCAGCTCAGTATTCAGCAGGTAGGAGAAATACTTGAACTGGAACGTCGCCAGCGAGGTAGTGCTCAACTCCGTGGGCAGAAGAGGAGGAGACACATTAGCATCCTTCCCCTTGGACGGTGCCACCCACATTTTCTCGTAGGGAGGAGACACCTGAAGCGGTACTTGTTCTGCGACCAGGAAATCGAACTGTTGGGGAGACATGTGAGGGAGTTTTGCTTTCAGGTACTTGAGCGTCTTTTTGCGCAGCAGATGAGGGTCGTAATAGCGTTCCAAAGCAGGGTGACCGCTATGGACGGAATTTGATGTTTGCTGGCGGGCCGAGATCCTGGAGCCGTGAGGGCTTTCGGATCCCGAACTAATTTCTGACTGCGGACCAAGAGAGAGCTGTGACATGGAGGTGGCTGGGGTGGAGAGTTGTTTCCGCCGGTCGGGAAAGGACTGTCTGGACGAGTTGAGGGACATGTATTCAGAAAGATTCAGCTGCACGGAGCTACCCGATGACTGGTCGGTAGTATCCTTGTTTTCTACCATGGGATGAGACAGAGAGATAAGAGAAAATAAAAGTATTTAAAGAAAGCTTCCAGAGCAAAATCGCCGATTTGTAGTCAACACAGCACAGAATAGTTGAAACTGGGCGGGCAGACTCGGCCAGGAAGCAGCATATCCATCTGCAAACGCATAATGGATCCCCATATTTTTATGTATTTTCGTAAATGGGCAATTACCCGGTTAAAAGTGCAAAAAAAATTTTCAAATTCAAGGTACGACCGAGTGTTTGCCACAGCTAATTGAGTCACTATTTACGATACAAATACCATGTCGTGGCTGTTCGGAAGTAAACAGGAAAAGAAAGAGACGCCGGTGGCTCCAGCTGGCCAGGCCGGATTCGACGCCAACCAAATCTCCGACATTTCTAGCATTCTGAAAAGTAACACCCTGGATCCAACCAAGCTGCATCCTTTGGCTGGCCTCGACAAAGATATCGAATATCTAGACCTGGACGAGGAAAAGCTCACTTCTCTGGAAGGCGCCGGCAACGGGCTGTTGCCATCCAGAGGATGGACTGACGATCTTTGTTACGGAACGGGTACCGTGTACGTTCTGGGACTGGGTCTTGGAGGTATCCGTGGACTAAACGAGGGTCTGAAAAATCTGCCACAGGGAAGAGTGGACCCTGTGACGAACCAGCTCAGGCCTGTTCCATTCAAGCTTAAACTGAACACAGTTCTGAACCAGGTCACCAAGTTTGGCCCCCACATGGGTAACAACGCCGGTGTCTTGGCTATTATGTACAACCTGATTGACTCTTCTCTGGACAACATTAGAAACAAGCACGATGACCTCAACTCGCTGGCTGCTGGCTTTTTGAGTGGCGCTCTCTTCAGAAGCAGCAAAGGTCTCAAACCTATGGGATATTCGGCTGGTGCAATGACCTTGGTGGCTGCAGCATGGTGTGGACTCAAACGAGTGATCAATTGACGATTAACGATTATAGATGACGGGTCATAGATGTATATATGCGAACTGTGCGAGAATTCAGATTTGCGAAGGCAGAGGTAGACGCCAGGAACTGCCCCACGAGCTCACAATCAGGCAGTAGTGTCTGTTGATGAGGTTGAGCTCCTCTAGCTCGTCCAGCAGCTCCAGACGGTTGATGGCGGCCAGCTCGTCCTCTGGTATCCAATGGCTGTATATGTAGCTTAGGTCTGACACGTTAGTGGACTCGAAGCCGAGTTTTTGCAGCCGCTCGTGCTGCTTTTCGATAGTGGAATATTTCAGCAGCGACGGCATCTGGATCCCGCGCATCGAGAGGTTCTTCAGCATGATCTCGCCGTAGTTGCCTGGCGAGTCGCCGCCTATCGGGTCGTACACAACGAGAACGGCCTCAGCGAGATTCGCGCGCAGGAATCGCAAAACTCTGTCGCTTTCGACGTCCTCCATATAGCACACACAGCACTCACTCAGAATAAGAGTCGGCAATGACGGATCAACTGCTGGCAATTGCGACATGGAACGCAGCTGGCGTAAGTCGAGAGGAACCAGATGGTATCGCGGCGTGTCCAGCGCCGCCGAAGACGCGTTGAATTCCTCAGCGGTGGCGGGCTCGGGCTCTGGTTGAGCACCAACCGCAGACCTCAGCAATTCGTCGTCCAAGATACTGTATTTTTTTATTCTGCAGGTTTCCTCGAAATCAATCTCGACCACGGTCAAGTTACTATTGTTCTCAAGCAACCTCATGCCCCTCGTATCGCTTCCGCAGCCGAGAATGATGATTTGCACGGGTGTGGCGGCCTTTGCAGCTAACCATTTATCCACCACCAGATCGATGGCACGGGTCCGTATCCAAGTCCCGCGGTTGATAACGGGCGACTTGAGGACGACTGGCAGCTTTGAGGTCAGCTTAACTTTGCCGGTCCCATCGAAAAGGCCGAAAAATTGCTTACTCAACTGTCTTCTCACAGACAGCCGTTTGTATTCAGAGTCAATTGCCAGCAGTTGGTACTTGAGGGTCCCGCTTATAATGGCCTCGAGGTATTTATCCTGCAGATACTTCTTTAGGTGACAGGAAAATCTGCATGCGAGGGCATCGTAGTCGGTTGACCTGGTGATCTGATCTTGCTGGAGCATTATAGTTTGTGATTAAAATTGGGAAACGGGGTCTCAGGTGTATAGATGTGGAACTCTAGGTGCGGGGTGTTCAGTTTTTCCGACAAGTGTGGAGTTCGAAAAATGCTAGCATTTGGGCCAAAAATCATATGTCGCGGACAAATAGCGTACTGGCACATTTGTGGCCCGGACCTTCTTTATGCAGGAAAACGGACCGCCGTACAAGCGTGGAGGAGCCTCTGTCCTGGCTGGTATCAGACGGCCTACATTGCGCAGAAAACCCGCCTTGCACACTCGCCTTTGCTGTTGCTCCCACTTCTGTGGCAGCAGCCACATCAAGGCTGTGCTCTAAGCGTATGGACCGTTCAATCGAGATTTTGCAACCAGCGCCACGGTTTGAAGATATATAAGATGCAGTCTAATCTGGCACATACAGACATCTGTCAAGCATGGCAAAAGAAGACTCAGTCATTGTCTCGAATGAGAGCGCAAATTATTCGGATGAGAGCCTAGAGCTGGCGGACGCTCCAAACCCCTTTTTAGATCCTGCCGTCGAGCGCAAGTTCAGACAGATCTACGAGGAGAGCCAGTACGAGTGCCGTCACCGGCTGGATCCGGAGTTTACGTGGACGAAGAAAGAGGAGCGCAAAGTTTTATGGAAGCTCGAATACCGCGTCACCTTCCTCGCGTGCTTTATGTTTGCTGCCTTGCAGGTCGACAGAGGTAATCTGGCCCAGGCTGTGTCGGACAACATGCTGGACGACCTCAACCTCACAACGAACCAATACAACACCGGTAACACCATTTTCTACGTGTGTTTCCTGGCTATGGAGCTGCCATCGCAGCTGGTCTCCAAGAGACTGGGAGCAGACGTCTGGATTCCTCTCCAGATGTGCGCTTGGTCCATCGTTACTATCTGCCAGTTCTGGCTTAAGGACAAGCACAGTTTCTACGCCTGTCGTGCTCTTCTGGGAATTTTCGAGGGAGGATTCATTCCAGACCTGGTCCTGTGGATGTCGTATTTTTTCACGGCCAGTGAGCTTTCTATTAGACTGAGTTTGTTCTGGACCAGTTTGTCGCTGTCGCAGATTATATCCGCTTTCGAGGCCTACGGGCTGCTGCACTTGCGTGGCCACGCCGGAAAGGGAGGCTGGGCCTGGCTTTTCTTGGTGGAAGGCCTGTCGACGCTCGCCATCGGAATTGTTTCGTGGTTCCTGATGGTTCCCAGTGCCGTGCAGACGAAAAAGCCGTGGAACAAAAAAGGATGGTTCACCGAGAGAGAGGAGAAGATCGTCGTGAACAGGATCCTCAGAGACGACCCCACCAAGGGCGACATGCACAACCGTCAAGGACTCACGCTCAAGATGATCTGGACCGCTCTGATGGACTACAACCTGTGGCCGATCTACTTCATTGGTCTGATCGCGTACATTCCCTACAACACTGTCACCGCGTACCTGACTCTGGTTCTGAAGAGCTCTGGCTTCGGCACCTTCGACGTCAACCTGCTCACAATTCCGTCCAACGTGCTGCACATCATTTTTCTGCTGCTGATCACGTGGTTTTCCGAGAAAATCAACGAGAGACTGCTACTTTCGCTTTGCAACCCGATCTATTCGCTTCCGTTGCTCGGCGTTCTGCGGTGGTGGAACGGCTCGCTGGACAACAAATGGGGCACTTTTGCCGTCACAACGTTGCTCCTCGGTGTGCCTTACATTCATGCAATGATGGTGTCGTTATGCTCGCGGAACTCGCAGTCGATCAAGACCAGAACCGTCTCTGCGTCGCTGTACAATATGTTTGTGCAGGCGGGATCCATTGTGTCTTCCAACATCTACAGGACCGCAGATAAACCATACTACCACGCGGGCAACATGGCGCTGTTCTGGCTCTCGTTCCTGATGATCCCAACCCTGCTGCTGTCAAAGCTGTACTATGTGTACCAGAACAGGAGGAGGGACAGGATTTGGGAGGCGATGTCCGAAAAAGAAAGAGAGGACTACATTCTCAACTCGCAGGATGAGGGTTCGGCAAGATTAACGTTCCGGTTTGCCCATTGAATAGACGTAGAATATTAATTCGTCAAAAAATTCGTGACGTCAAGTAGAGTACATATATATTGCTGTTGAATTTTGTCTGTTGAACGGTGCCGGGTGTGTCCAACAAAATAAAAAATTTGTCGGGCAGCGCAGCTCAATAAGACTACGCGTAGCGAGCGAGCGCAGTGCGCAGAAAATATTTTGATTTAAATTAGACATCTATGTCTTGTTGAGAGAGCTCAAGAAGAAAGGTGTTTGGATTACGGTAAGTGAAGAGAGGTGGAGGAAGCACCGGGCACAGACAGGGTGGCGAACAGCGATGTAGCTGTCTTCTCGGGGTAAATTGACATCCGGGGGTGAATCTGCTCAGCGCAAGATACTGGGCCGATTCTCCCGCTGTCTTGCAAGATCCTGTCCCGAGTGCTCTCGTGGGTAGACACGGAGACGGCAGACCATCTTAGAGTGGCCTGTTTTCCCGGCAAATTTCTGCTCAAGCGGCAAACTTGTCCCCCAGCCGTGCTCTGTTTTTCTTCCACCCATAGAATATATTTTCCATGACTAATGCTAAGATTATTTAGGCTCTCTAAATTCGCTACTCGACCCTTAGCAACGATGACAGCCTCATACAAACCAAAGCACGCCACCCTTCCCAAGCATTTCTTGGGACTTAATTCCGTCGAAGTCGCCGAGCCCTCTGAGGTGAAGGACTTTGTCGTCAAACACGAAGGACACACAGTTATTCAGAAAGTGCTCATTGCCAACAATGGTATTGCAGCCGTGAAAGAGATCCGGTCGGTGAGAAAATGGGCCTACGAGACGTTTGGCAACGAAAGAGCCATTCAGTTTGTCGCCATGGCCACCCCCGAGGATCTCGACTCTAATGCCGATTATGTCAGAATGGCCGACCAGTACGTCGAAGTTCCCGGAGGAACCAACAACAACAACCATGCCAATGTGGACCTCATTGTCGAGATTGCAGAGAGAACCAAGGTGGACGCCGTTTGGGCAGGCTGGGGACATGCCTCCGAGAACCCAGAGCTGCCTGAAAAGCTGGCCGCGTCTCCGCGTAAGATCGTCTTTATTGGACCGCCAGGGTCTGCCATGAGATCTCTTGGTGACAAGATTTCCTCGACGATCGTGGCCCAACACGCCAAGGTGCCGTGTATTCCATGGTCTGGAACCGGCGTCGACAAGGTCACCGTCGACGAGCAGGGAATCGTGTCTGTCGACCCGGAAACCTACGCCAAGGGCTGCTGTGAGGGTCCTGAGGACGGTCTTCGAAAGGCCAAGGAAATCGGGTTCCCAGTGATGATCAAGGCCTCCGAAGGAGGAGGAGGTAAGGGTATCAGAAAGGTCGAGAAGGAGGAGGACTTCATCACCTTGTACCACCAGGCCGCCAGCGAGATTCCAGGATCGCCTATTTTCATCATGCAGCTGGCCGGCTCCGCCAGACACTTGGAAGTGCAACTGCTGGCCGACCAGTACGGAAACAACATCTCGCTCTTTGGCAGAGACTGTTCTGTACAGAGAAGACACCAAAAGGTCATCGAGGAGGCGCCAGTCACGATCGCCAAAGAAGACACATTCAGACAGATGGAGGCTGCCGCCGTCAGACTTGGTAAGCTGGTGGGCTACGTTTCTGCAGGTACTGTCGAGTACCTTTACTCGTATGCCGACGACAAGTTCTACTTTTTGGAGCTGAATCCGAGACTGCAAGTTGAACACCCGACCACAGAGATGGTTTCCGGCGTGAACTTGCCTGCTACGCAGCTGCAGATCGCCATGGGTATACCTCTACACAGAATCAGAGACATTCGTTTATTCTACGGAGCCGACCCTCACACCGCCACAGAGATCGACTTTGAGTTCAAGAACGAGAACAGCGTGACGTCGCAGCGCCGGCCTATTCCCAAGGGCCACTGTACCGCGTGCCGTATCACCTCGGAGGACCCCAGCGAGGGATTCAAGCCATCGAGCGGTACCTTGCACGAGCTGAACTTCCGGTCCTCGTCCAACGTGTGGGGATACTTCTCGGTCAGCAACCAGTCGTCGATCCACTCTTTCTCCGACACGCAGTTCGGTCACATTTTTGCGTTTGGAGAAAACAGACAGGCGTCGAGAAAACACATGGTGGTTGCACTGAAAGAGCTCAGCATCAGGGGAGATTTCAAGACTACTGTCGAGTACCTGATCAAGCTGCTCGAGTCGCCAGATTTCGAGGACAACACCATCACCACCGGATGGCTGGACGAGCTGATCAGCAAGAGGCTCACGTCGGAGAGACCAGACACGCATGTTGCCGTGATCTGCGGTGCGGTCACCAAGGCCCACCAGGCGTGCGAGGAAAAGAAAAAGGAGTACATCGCCTGTCTTGAGAAGGGACAGGTGCCGTCCAAAGAGCTGCTCAAGACCATCTTCAACGTCGACTTCATCTACGAGGGCCAGAAATACACTTTCACGTGTGCGAAGGCCGCAGACGACATGTTCAGCTTGTTCATCAACGGTTCCCGATGCGTGACGAAGGTTAAGGCTCTTGCCGATGGCGGCCTGCTGGTTGCTCTAAGCGGCAAGTCGCACTCTGTCTACTGGAAAGAGGAGGTCGGGGCCACCAGAATCTCTGTGGACGGCAAAACCTGCTTGCTGGAGGACGAGAACGACCCTACGCAGCTGAGAACTCCGTCTCCAGGTAAGCTGGTCAGATACCTGGTCGAGAACGGCGGACACGTGACGGCAGGCAAGCCGTTTGCGGAGGTGGAGGTGATGAAGATGTTCATGCCGTTGGTTGCTCAGGAGAATGGTGTCGTGCAGCTGTTGAAGCAGCCGGGCTCCACGCTTGCTGCCGGTGACATTCTGGCCATTTTGTCCCTGGACGATCCGTCCAGAGTGAAGCACGCTCTACCGTTTGACGGCACTCTTCCAGACCTGGGCGACCCTATCGTCATTGGCACCCGGCCTGTGCACAGGTATCAGAAGCTGCTGAACGTGCTGACCAACATACTGGCTGGTTTCGACAACCAGGTAGTGATGAACGCGACGCTGACGGACCTGATCCAAATACTGAAGGACCCAGAGCTGCCATACTCTGAGTGGCAGAACGTGATTTCTGCTCTGCACTCGCGTCTGCCTGCTAAGCTGGACCAGCAGCTGGCGGAGCTCATTGAGAGAAGCCACAGACGAAAGGCCGAGTTCCCTGCCCGACAGGTGCTGAAGCTGTTTGAAAAGGCCAGAGCAGAGGGCCAGATCGGAACGCTTCTCGAGCAGGCCATCGAGCCACTTCTTGAGGTGGCCCAGGGCTACCGAGAGGGCCTGGAGAGCCACGAGTTCTCCGTCTTTGCCAAGCTTCTGATGGAGTACTACAACATCGAAAGCTTGTTCAGCGGCGAGAACACGAGACTCGAGGACGTGATCCTGAGACTGAGAGACGAGAACAAGAACGACCTCGGCAAGGTGGTTGCGTACGCGCTGTCGCACTCGCGAATCGGCGCCAAGAACAACCTGATTGTCGCCATTCTCGACAAGTACAGACCGGTTCTGCAGGAGAATCCAGAGGCACTCAGAATCTTCAAGGAGCCGTTGAAGAAAATTGTCGAGCTTGACAGCCGGGCGACCGCCAAGGCCACGCTCAAGGCCAAGGAGGTTCTCATTTTCTGCTCTTTGCCATCCATCAAGGAGCGGTCCGACCAGCTGGAGCACATTCTCAGAACCTCTGTTGTCGAGACGAAGTACGGCGAGACCACTGTTGCCAAGCACAGGCTCCCAGACATGGAGGTTATCCGCGACGTGATCGACTCCAACTACGTTGTGTTCGACGTGCTGACGCAGTTCCTGTGCTCTGCCGACCCGTGGATCGCTGCCGCCGCCGCAGAGGTGTACATCAGAAGGGCATACAGGGCGTACTCGGTGACCGAGGTGAAGCACCATCTGTCGTCGTCGAACAGCTCGCCTGTGGTGTCGTGGCGGTTCCAGCTGCCTGCGCTGTCGACGGCAGCGTACAATTCTGTGCCGGACTCAATCAGAAACTCCAAGTCCACGTCGATGAACAGAGCCCTTTCCGTGTCGGACCTGACGTTCATGATCAACAAGGACGATTCGCAGCCTCTTCGGACGGGTATTCTTGTTCCTGCGGACCATCTGGACGACGTCGAGGACATGCTCAGCAGGGGCTTGGAGCTGGCAGACGTTGGCGGGGGCCAGAGCCCGATCAACGTGTGCAACGTGTTTGTGCAGTCGACGGAGGGCTACGACACCGAGGAGGACCTTCTCAAGCAGATGGCCGAGATCGTCGACTCGATGAGACACGAGCTGCACGACGCGCTGATCAGAAGACTCACGTTTGTGCTGACCGACCACGTTGGCTCGTATCCAAAGTACTACACGTTCAAGTACACCGACGGCGCGTACGTCGAGGACCAGGTGATCAGACACATCGAGCCGGCCATGGCGTTCCAGCTGGAGCTCGGTCGGCTGTCGAACTTCCACATCAAGCCGGTGCAGACCGCGAACAGAAACATCCATGTCTACGAGGCGGTGGCCAAGAACTCCTCGGGCATCGACAAGCGGTACTTCACCCGGGGAATCATCCGGACGGGCTCGATAAAAGACGACATCACGGCGCCGGAGTACCTGACTTCCGAAGCCCACAGACTCATGAGCGACATTTTGGACGCTCTCGAGATCATTGACACCTCCAATACCGACCTCAACCACATCTTCATCAATTTCTCGGCCGTCTTCAACATCACGCCCGAGGACGTGAGAAACGCGTTCGGCGGCTTCCTCGAACGGTTCGGCAGAAGACTCTGGAGACTCAGAGTCACCAGCGCAGAGATCAGAATCATGTGCACGGACCCAGAGACAGGCGTGCCGTTCCCGCTCAGGGCCATCATCAACAACGTCAGCGGCTACGTCGTCAAGTCGGAAATGTACATCGAGGAGCGCAACGCCAACGGCGAGTGGATCTTCAAGTCGCTGGGCACTCCGGGAGCCATGCATCTCAGAGCCATCTCCACGCCGTACCCTACCAAGGAGTGGCTGCAACCAAAGAGACAGAAGGCCCACAGTCTGGGAACCACGTACGTGTACGACTTCCCAGAGCTTTTCAGACAGGCGGTGCACTGGCTGTGGAAGAAGTACGACCCTAGTGCCAAGGTGGGCGACGACGTCTTCAGCTACCTCGAGATTATCACCGACGAGGCCGGAAACTTGACCGAGGTCGAGAGAGAACCGGGAGCAAACACCATCGGCATGGTCGGCTTCAAGATGACAGCCAAGACACCAGAGTACCCAAGAGGAAGACAGTTTGTGGTCATTGCCAACGACATCACGTTCAAGATCGGCTCGTTTGGTCCGAAGGAGGACGTTTTCTTCCACAAGTGCACGGAGCTCGCCAGAAGCCTCGGCATCCCGAGAATCTACCTCTCGGCCAACTCTGGTGCCAGAATGGGCATGGCCGAGGAGCTCATTCCGTACTACAAGGTCAACTGGATCGACCCGGCCGACCCAGCCAAGGGCTTCACGTATCTGTACCTGACGCCGGAGGATCTTGCTGAGCTCGAAAAGACCGGCAAGGGCGGCTCCGTCATCACAGAAAGAGTCGTCGAGCACGGCGAGGAGCGGCACGTGATCACGGCCATCGTCGGCGTGGAGGACGGGCTCGGAGTCGAGTGTCTGAAGGGGTCTGGGCTGATTGCCGGCGGCACTGCGAGAGCATACCGAGACATCTTCACGCTGACGCTGGTCACGTGCAGATCTGTTGGTATCGGTGCCTATCTGGTGAGACTTGGCCAGAGAGCCATCCAGGTGGAAGGCCAGCCTATTATTCTGACCGGTGCTCCGGCCATCAACAAGGTTCTGGGCAGAGAGGTTTACTCGTCCAACTTGCAACTTGGAGGTACGCAGATCATGTACAGAAACGGTGTGTCTCACATGACGGCGAGAGACGACCTGCAGGGTGTGGAGAAAATCATGGAGTGGCTGTCGTATGTGCCAGCCAAGCGCGGGCTGCCTGTTCCAGTTTTGGAGTCACGTGAGGACCCATGGGACCGAGATGTTGTTTACAGACCGGTGAAGAACGAGCCGTACGACGTGAGATGGCTGATTGCTGGAAGAGAGACCGAGGACGGCTTTGAGCCGGGTCTTTTCGACCGCGACTCGTTCCAGGAGGCGCTCGCCGGCTGGGCCAAAGGTGTGGTCATCGGCAGAGCGCGTCTGGGCGGTATTCCGATGGGTGTGATTGGCGTGGAGACCAGAACCGTCGACAATCTTGTTCCTGCGGACCCTGCCAACCCTAACTCGACCGAGCTGCTGATTCAGGAGCCGGGCCAGGTTTGGCATCCGAACTCGGCCTACAAGACAGCACAGGCGATCAGAGACTTCAACAACGGCGAACAGCTGCCGCTGATGATCATCGGAAACTGGAGAGGTTTCTCGGGAGGCCAGAGAGACATGTACAACGAAATCCTCAAATACGGCTCCTACATTGTGGACGCGCTTGTGGACTTCAAGCAGCCGATCTTCATTTACGTTCCTCCTACGGGTGAACTGAGAGGTGGATCTTGGGTTGTTGTGGATGCCACCATCAACAAGGACATGATGGAGATGTATGCAGACGTGGACGCTCGTGGAGGCATCCTGGAACCCGCCGGTGCGGTCAACATCAAATACAGAGAAAACAAGCTGGTAGTTACGATGGACCGTCTCGACGACAAGTGCAAGAGACTCCGCCAGCAGCTGTCTGCCGAGGGCATTGCCGATGAAGAAAAGACCAAGCTCACCAAGGAGCTGAGCGAGAGACACAGGGAACTGATGCCTATCTATTCGCAGATTGCCGTGCAGTTTGCGGACCTGCACGACAGATGCGGACGTATGCTTGCGAAGGGCGTGATCCGCAAGGCGCTGGAGTGGACCAACTCTCGTCGCTTCTTCTTCTGGCGTGTGAGAAGAAGACTGAACGACGAGTATCTGATCGCCAGAATTGCCGAGCAGCTGCCACAGTCCACCAGACTGGAGAGGGTTGCCAGACTGAACTCGTGGTATCCGTCGTCGCTGGATCTTGAGGACGACCGGGCCGTGGCCACCTGGACCGAGGACAACCACAAACTCCTGGAGAACAACCTCAAAAAGCTGAAGGGAGACGCTGTCAAGCAGACTCTGGCCAGATTGTTCCGCACCGACATGAAACACACGGCCGAGGGGCTCTCGGAAATCCTTTCTCTGTTGCCTGCCGAGGACCGTGAGGCGATTTTGAAAGAGCTGAAGCACTAATTGAATTTACATTCTGTTGATATGCTAGATAAATTAAAGATGCCAATCTTTTTACCTGTTCTATTAAGTCCCTAAATCTTTTTTAAAGGCGCTACCGACCGATCCCCTTTTTATTGCTTTGCTTTGCTAATGAGGTTTGCAGAATTCTTGGTGGTGTTTGCCACGCTAGGCGGGGGGATGGCTGCACCGGTGGAGTCTCTGGCCGGGACCCAACGGTATCTGGTGCAAATGAAAGAGCGGTTCACCACAGAGAAGCTGTGTGCTTTGGACGACAAGGTCAAGAGTCTGAGCCATTTCCGAGACGGCATCGACAGAAGCTTCTCGTTTGGCAACTTCGAGGCCTTCTCGGGCAAGTTCAGCAAGGAAGCGCTGCTCAGAATGGCTTCCAACCCAATGGTTGCAAAAATCGTGCCCGACAGCCTGGTCGAGGCCGTCGACATCGAGATCGAGACAGACGCTCCGACGCATCTTGTCAGGCTGTCGCAGGAGGAGCCCGTCAGTCCGGACGACACAGACTATTTCTATGACTCCGACTACTTGGGACAGAACGTGAATGCATACATCATCGACAGCGGAGTGTTTGTGGACCATCCGCAGTTCGAAGGACGCGCCGTCAACGGACCCAACTTCAGCGACGATGTGTCGAACACAGACTTTGTGGGCCATGGCACACACGTGGCTGGTATCATTGGGTCCAAGCATTTTGGCGTTGCGAAAAAAATCAACCTCATCAGTGTAAAAGTTCTCGACAGATACGGCCAGGGCTCGCTGTCGTCGGTGATTGCGGGACTCGAGTACGCCGTGAAGCACCACAGGGAGCACGGGAACACGCCGGGACTGGCCAACTTGTCGCTCGGGGCCGCCAAAAGCTCTGTTCTGGACGACGCCGTCAGGGCAGCCTACCAGAGCGGGCTGGTGATTGTCGTCGCAGCAGGAAACAGCAACATCGACGCCTGCAACACGTCGCCCGCCGGCTCGCCCTATGCGTACACTGTGGGCGCGATCGACGACTCGCAGGACAAGATCGCCAGTTTTTCCAACTGGGGCAAATGCGTCAATATTTTTTCCAGTGGAGTGGATATCAAGAGCCTATCCAATAGCAAAACCAATCTGAAGAAAATCCAGACACTGAGCGGCACGTCGATGGCCAGTCCTGTGGCCGCGGGGCTGATCGGCGTGCTGCTGAGCAAGGGCGTGTCGCATGACGAGATTGTCTCCGAAATGGAGGATATGTCGATCAACGGGGCTGTTCCAAGAATCAGTCTGCTTTTGCGGCCAGGAAGCCCCAACAGAATAGCATCGAACGGCGTTAGAGAGTACGACTTCGACATGATGCGGGTGTCCAACAGCAGCGCCACAAACGGCACTGCAATTAGAGCGTGAGTAGAATGCAAGTGAATATACGATCCGGATGTTCAGCGGTGCGGCTGATGCGTGAAGCTGATCACGAGTCTTCCGGAACGCGCGTTGTACGACACGAAAATCAGCGAGTGGCAGGGCGTCTTGGCCGGGGTCTGGTCCACGGGCGACGATTGCAAAGCCATGAGCTCGGAGTCGATGTCGTCGTTCTGGAAAAGCATGTCTATCTCGTTGACGCATTTCAGACACTCGCGCACTTTCATCTGAACAGGATCACAGCACTTGCGCGAAAATTCAGACTCTGTTTGATACTTGAAGTCGTAGCCTGTGGCCTTGCTGATGGCGAGAATGTATTTCTCGTACAGTCGCAGGAGCAGCGTGGCGGGCGTTAATTCTTTGGCGGGCGTCCTTGCGAGAAGCTGTGTGTGCGGCTCGTTCGTCGTGAACACTATGTTGCTCAGCTCCTGTTCGTGGTTGAGCTGGAGCAGCTCGAGATAGTAGTCGAGCGATTTGATGACCGAGTCTCTGTTTTCGCACGGAGAACACAGGTCGTCGAGGCCGTTGGTGTTCTGGCCGCAGCAAACGCACACAGACGCAGGTCGCCGCGGATCCTGCTCGCCGGTGGGGTGGCCCAGGTCGCCCTGGGGCAGACTCACCAGTCGCTGCTGCAGCTCAGCCTTCGCGTCTGCCCGAGACTGTGTTGTGGTGTCGTGCTCGACCAGCGAGTCTTTCTCAAGCCCCAACCCGTCGGGCTGCTCGGAGGGCGACGCCGTAGACGACTGCGGCACGTCAGGGGTCGTCTCGAGCGGTTTCTCGGATTTTGTGCGCGGAGCATCGGCCACAGCCGCCGTCTCCAAATCGGTATCCAGACCTCGAATCTGCTGGATCATGTCGTACTCCTCTCTGTTCTTGATGACGCTGTTTTTCGCCCCGCGTCGCTTCTGCGCTCGCTCAATCACGCGACACGGGTTGCACGTCTTGAACTGCAACTGTTCGGGCGTCTCAGACACCAGTCTCTTGCGCTTGCATCGCCGGCACGTTATGGGTTTGCCGTTGACGTAGACGTACTCCGACTCGGATCCCTCGCCGGCGCTGTTGTACGCTTTGAGCCGCGCAAATACACGCTCATCGGTCAGTTCGGAAGCCACCTTCATGTCGAATTAATAGGGGGCCTCTGGTGTTGCATCAGCTACAACAAGAAGTTTTTTTTTGAATATTATCCAGGTCGATCGACCCGTCGTCTATTCGAAACAGCTGGAATATGTAGATCTAGAACACGAAAAACCCTTCCTCCTCTAAGTACAAGACGATCTTCTGGATCGCAGTGTTGATCGGCAGAGAGTCGAGGTCCACGCGGATCTCCGCCTCGGCGGGCACCTCGTAACCCTCGATGTCCTGCCGGGAAGCCTGGAAGTATCCTTTTCTGTCGTTAGCTTCGCACACGGCCCTAGGCGTCTCAACAGACACCACGACAAACGTGCCGGACTTGGCAACGGTGTTCCTGATGGCAGCCAGCGCGGCGTTCGAAACGACCTCCTCGCTGTTCACCACAATCACGCCGGCGCCAGATCTCACCAGCTCGCCAACAACAAAGCTGACTGCTCCGCTGCCGATCTTGGCCGCATCCAGCAGCGTGATGTGCCTGCCACCGGCAAACTGGTTGAACGTGGCCTGCAGAGCATAGCTCAGCGCCTCAACGCCCGAGTTAGGCAGCCCCTGCAGGTACAGGGCGAAACCCTGGGTCTGTCTTGGAGGATAAGCGGTTCTGAGAATCTTGACCACCTCAGGGTACGAGAACCACTCTGGGATGTGGGTGCCCTCTCTCAAACGCTTTCCGAGCTCGGTTCCGGAGATGTTGAGCGTCTTGGTGCCGTCTGGGATGCTGTCGATAGGAGCGTATCTGGCCTCGTCGGGCAGATAGGTGACCATCCGGAAGGGGACCACCTCGATCTCGAGCTCGGTGGAAAATCTCTCCACAAGCTCCTGGGCGTCGTACGGACCATAGAAAGGAACTCCCTTCGAGTTGGATCCCGGTCCCGCGTGGTCTCTGCCCACAATGAAGTGCGTGGCACCGTAGTTCTTTCTGATGATGGAGTGCCACAGGGCCTCTCTGTCTCCGGCCATTCTCATGGCCAATGGCAGCAGAGCAAGCTGCGCCATGCCGTTTGGATACTTTTTGATGATCTCCTGGTACACCTTCACCCTGGTGTGGTGGTCGATGTCGCCCGGCTTCGTCAGCCCGACAACGGGGTGGATCAGCAGGTTGGCCAGCTTGTCTCTGGCAGCACGCACCGTCAGCTCTCTGTGGGCCCTGTGCATTGGGTTTCTGGTCTGGAACGCAACCACCTTGGACCAGTGCTTGTTGGCAAACTCGGAGCGCAGCTGGGCCGGGGTCTTTCTGAGCTCGGTGTAGTCGTAGTGCTTTGGCGCACTGATGGCCTGTAATGCGCCACCAATGTACACCTCACCAGCCACATCGAACAGGTAGCGGACAGCGGGGTGCTCAGGGTCGCCTCTGAACACCTGCTTCGCCTCCAGCTGCTTGTCCGGGGTGTAGATGTCGCCGACGGTGAGAATAGCCAGCGCAAGGTCGTCTCTGGGATCTCTCAGCACAACTCTGTCGCCCGACGTGAACTGCGAGCTCACCTCCTTGGAAACGTCCAGGGTAATGGGGATGGGCCACACCTCGCCCGTAGAGAGCCGCATCTTGTGCACGACAGACGTGTAGTCGGCCTCGTTGAGGAAACCGGTCAAGGGAGAAAATCCTCCGACGAGGATCAGCTCGAGATCGCACAGCTGTCTGTCGGTGAGAGAAAGAGACTTGAGGGTGGCAGCCTCGGCGATCAGCTCGCTCTTGATTGGCGCATCGCGCAGCAGCAGGTCTTGGAGGACGCCTCCGTGGGGAACGAGCATTTTGGGAGAAGAGTCGATAACTTTTGGCCAACCTTTCACTCGCGGCTTCGACTTTGTCGTCGGTACTGATAAAATTGCACGTGACTGAGAGAAAGAAGCCACTGTAAAATTTTCCACCATTGTTAGAGCGGCACCGCCCTGAAATCGGTCAGCTCGAGGTGGTACAGGTTTCGGCACTCGACGATGCGCAGCTCGCACTCCTTCATGGACGTGGCGTCGCCGAGCTTGCCCTGCACCGTCGCGCCGAGCTTTTCGACGCACATCCGCTGCGTCTCGGCCAGCACGCGCGACATCACGCTCTGCACCTGGTTCGTCGCCAGCACCACGTCCTGCAGTCTGAACAGCCTGTCCAGCAGCAGCGCAGAGAACAGGTCGCCGACGCCGGTGAAATACGAGTCCAGCTTCGGGATCTCGAACAGAATCGGCCCGTCTGCGTCCTTGGAGGAGACGCAGCAGCAGAAACAGCCTTTGGCCTCCAAGCCGAGCTGCTGCGGGCTCAGAAACAGCGACGAGACCACCACGTGCTTGATCTGGTGCTCTGTGTGCAACGTGGCCAGGGCGCGTCGCAGGTCGGCGCGGCAGGCGATCTTGAAGTCCAGCAGCAGCTCGAGCTCGAGCTGGTTCGGCGTGATCACGTCGACAAGGCCGCTGTGCACCAGCTGTCTATACACAGGGATGACGTCCTCGCTGACGTAGATCTGGCCGTCGTCGCCCATGACGGGGTCCAGCAGCCAGAGACACTCGGGCCGGCTTCTTTTCACGGCCTTGCACATCTGGCCGACGGCGGCCAACGAGCTGGCGCCGTGGATGTATCCCGTGAGCAGGGCGTCGTACTGGACGTTTATGTCGCACAGCCCGGCGTAGAGGTCGGCGAGTTTGTCGCCAGCGACCACTTCGCCGTGGACACTGCCGTACCCCGTGTGGTTGGAGAAGTTGACCGTGTTGAGCACGTCGACGTTCCAGCCGAGCATCTGGAGCGGGAACGCGGCGGCCTTGTTCCCCACGTAGCCGTGGGCCACGTGCGACTGGATCGAGAGGAGCTGCATGGAAAAACTAAGGGCGATAAGATAACGTTGTCGTCGGGGAGACTTTATTCTCCTGCAGGGCGTTGGCGCAAAAATGGATGCTCAGTGGAACACAAACGACTTCTCGCAGCCTCAAATGCCCTGTCCGCGGTGTCTGTTTTCTGCCACTGCTGCGACACTTTACTGCACCTCTTCTGGTAAATAAATATTCTCGAGAAAAAATTAGTCAACAGCATGTAAAAACGGGCGGCCGCGAGGTCACCGGCTGCAGCCGCTCCACAATCACCGTTTTCGTCCCAACGCTCACGAGCTGGATGCCCTGGTCCAGGATGCTGGTGTTGCCCTCCTCCCACTTGGACTCGTCGATCTTGCCGGAGAGATACGAGTTCCAGTTGTTCTGCAGGTCCTTGCCGACGGGAACAGAGCTGTCGGCGATCGAGGACTCCATCGCGTTCACTATCATCGGGATCGGGTTGGTGAAGGGCACCTCGATCTCGGAGTCCTCGACCAGCATGCGCGGCTTGCGCGCCAGGTCCAGCGGGCTCTGGCCAGGCACCAGCAGCGTCTGCACCACGTTCCAGGCCTGTCCCTTCAGCACGGCCAGCTGTTTGCGGAACATGCGCTCCTTGAAGCCCGGGTCGCGGCTCAGCATCTCGCGCAGCAGGACGCTTGTGTCCTCCCACCACGCTTTCGAGGTGAGCAGCGGCAGAAAGTGGTTTCTGGTCTGCACGGAGAACGGCTGGCCTATGATGGACATCGGCAGAAACAGCCACCCAAAGGGGAACGACCGCCACTCGTTCGGGTGTTTCCACGGCAGCGAGAGCCCGTTGTCGATGGCCCCGAGCCGGAGCCGCGCGCGGCCGCCCTCGCGCTCCACCTTGAGCATCCAGTTGTCGAGGCCGCGGTCGGTGTTTCTGACGATGAAGTCGAGAATGACAAGCTTCTCGATCTCCCGCTGCAGCTGCGAGAGCGTGTCTGCGGTCCACGCGAACTCGCCGTTGGCCTCGGTGGCTGCTTGCGCCGGGCCCTGGTGCGGCAGCGGGTGTCTTCTGAAAAACTCGTCTGCCCCGACGTAGCCGTCCAGATACAGCTGGAACGAGCCGACCTTGTGTCTGGGCCTCTTCTTGCGCAGCACGTAGCCGATCTTCTCGTAGAAGGGGTAGTAGAAGCTGTCTGACGAGAGCGTCACGATGTCTGTGTAGGGCACGATGTGGGTCAGGAGCTGGCGGTCGAGCAGACTGGTGGCGCTCTCGGCGATGTAGCCCGTGTTGGGGATCAGGCACGAGCGGCCAAAGAAGCACGGGAAGAAGTTTCTGTGGATCCACTTGGTCATTTTCGGCGACAAGGGCCCGTACGGCTCCTCGTCCTGGGGCTTGAACACGCCGATCGGCTCGTAGTTGGCGTTGTACACAAAGTACGACCCGGACGAGCCCGACGAGATCAGCCGCGGCTTGATGCCCAGCTCGATGGCGGCCGCCCCGCTCGCGACGATCCGCTCGAAGTCCTGCTTCGTGGTGGGCCCTGAGTCCAGAAACCCGGCGGGGGGCAGCTTGGCCAGCGGTTGGATGTCTGGCGGCGCGCGGAAGACGGAGTAGTATATTTCTGTTGTGTGGGGCTGGACGTTCTTGGAGCGGAAGAAACGGGGGAACTTGAGGTCGCGGATATTGTTGGTCCAGTGGGCAAGGGACCGTCTCGAGAACGGCGAGTGGTCTGTGCCGCGGGCGGGCGCCAACAGCGGCGTCGTCTCGGACAGCCTGCCGGACGACGATCCCAGCGCAGGCGGCTGGGGCGGGCTTGAGGGTCCGGGCTGGGAGGTGATCGTCATGAGCTAGTGCATGCGTAAATTATTTGAATAATTGCAGGAAAATAAAATGACGTCCTCGTCGCTCTTGCGCAGCGTTTTGCCGCTTGTGGCGCCGTTTCTGGCGCAGCAGGACAAGCTGAACGTCGCGTACGCGAACTATGAGCTGTATTCCGCGGTGGTGCCGATGCTGTACCGGAAACTGCTGTTTACTGGCAGGCCGCTCGTAGACAGCGAGGGCAGCTGGACAAATGTTGGGTCGCTGAAAAACCCGCTCGTCAGCGACAAGAAACACAGCGAGGTGTACACGCTGCGACAGGAGCTACTGTTGCAGACGCTGACGCTCAACAAGGAGCTCGCCGGGTGCGTCGAGCAGGTTGTTGTGGTGGATCAGGAGATACTGCGGGATCTGGCAGAGGTGCTCAGCAGATGCCCGAATCTGAGGAGGTTCGAGGTCCCGCAAGTGGACCGCTGGCTCGGGGAGGTCTACAGCAAGCCATTGGAGTCGTTTGTGGTCACCGAACTGGACCAGCTGTGCCGTCTGCCCGACACTGTCACCCGGCTGAAACTCGGAGTGCTCACGTCGGAGTCGCTCTCTGTTGTTGACCGCCAGCGGGCCCTAAAAAAAATCTACTCGCTGGACGCGCTGGAGCTCGTGTCCGACGAGCCGTCCATCACGACGTTCCTCAAGTTTCTGCAGCCGTTTGCGCGTCTCCGGCTCAAATCGCTCAGCATAGTGTACTACCACGGATATAACGACTACAACCACGTGTCGCGCACTTTGGTGCGGCAGCTGCTGGACAAAACAGACCTGGCGACGCTGCGCGAGCTTGAGATGGTGCTCGGGTGCGACGAGATGGCGTGCGGGTGTCTCGGAGAGTTCTGCCACCACCTAGTGTCCAAACCGTTCGACTTGCGCAGACTGGCTATTTTGCAACGCACGGTCCACAGAGACCACAACTACACGGAAAAATTCGACGTCGCCGTGACGACGCTGCTGGCGTCGATGCCCAACAACGAGCGGCTCGCAGAGCTGTATATCAGGCACACGCCGCCGCTCGACGCCATGATCGTCCACGGGTTCGAGGGTAACTACATTAAACGGCGCGATCTCTACCACTCGATGCTGCCGCACTTGCGCGGGCTCGAGCGGCTCGTGTGCCCCACGTTCGTGTGGTCGCTCGCTTGCTACGAGCAGCTCATGTCGGACCTGCTGTGGAACGGCTGCACTTGCGACCACTGCGAGTCGTTCCTGTCGCTGTTTGACGAATTTATCATGAAACACCACTACTACGACGCCGCGTCGGGGCTCGAGAAAGACGTCATCTCGCCGTGCTTTTTCAGCTGCGCAGCAGCCACGCTCGCCGCCCGGTTCGTCGGAAGACCGCTCGAACACCTCCCGCTGCTCGACGTGTACTGGAACTTCCACTCTCTGCTCAACATGGACCACGACGCCGGCTACGACTGCCGGTTCAACCAGAGCTTCTTCCGCCACCTAGCGGCGTGCATTTCGCATTTCCTCCGGGAGTACGTCCTCGAGGTCTCGCGAACAAACCCAAACTTGTGGCACGTCAACTTCAGCGGCATAGTGTTTGAAAAGTCAGACTCCTGGGTCTGCAAAAACGAAAAAGTGTATCGAGTCCAATAATCCTGTCTATTTGCCAAACCGCTCGTAGAACCGCTCGCGCTCGTGCTTGAGGTCCAGCGAGTACTGGTAATTTTTCTCGTGGCTCTCTGTGTCCTCCGGGGTCCTAAAATGCTTGGTGAATAGCCGGTCGCACGTCTGTCGGATAGCGTCCATCTCCTCTATTCTGGTCATGTACTCGTAGTCAAACGTCACAAATGCCTCTTTCTGTATCCGCTGGCACTCCCGCACCATCTTCCACAGAGGAGCGCACTCGGAGCTCCACACGTTGCGTGCTCTGTCGCATTGGAGGAACTTGTCAAAAAGCTCGGCACAGTTGATCGAAATCGCCTCCGAAACGGGAAACTCGCGCTTGTACATCTCCACGCGGTACGCGTCCTTGATCGACTGCTGGAGACGATCAGACCTGGGGTCGGTTTGGTCTTTTGACTGATGGCCGATTTCTCGACCGTCCGTCTGTTTCGCCAGAAGCTGCTTGAGCTGCCGGTCGCTTATGCGCGACTCCTTCGAATCAACATACTTCTGCAGCTCTTCGGGCAATTTCTCGTCCGTGGACTCGGACTTTCTAAACCACATTTACCCCACAACAGTAATTAAGTTAATTAAATTATTTCAGTTTTAGTATCTCGGCACTAATTCTGGACGCTTGCTTTTCTTCCACAATCCTCTCAACCTCTGTGTTAAGTCCCAGCCAGCTGATAGGCTCAATCTCTGGAAGGGAATTGATCCACGAGATGCAGTCGTCAATGCTGTCCGTCTCCGGGAGGAAGACAGAGGACCCGTCGACGGCAATGCTCTGCGCATCGAGGACGTTCGAATTGAACAGAAGAGCTGAAATGTCGGTAATGGCTTTGAGGTCCTCCTTGTCGGTCACTTTTCCTCCAAAGACAACACGACCGAGCAAGTTCGAAAGCATGTCCCACGAAATACCCTTAGATATTATCTGGTCCAGCACGTTTCTGGCCGATGACAGATCGCTCTGCGTAAACTCGTAATTCTCCTTGAACCCAACGGGCACAAACCGCAGTCTCTCCCTGAGGATGCCATAAAACCACGCCAGCAAAACGTACATTCTCGCGTGGTCTGGATGTTGAGCTTTTCCAAGATTCAGGATGCCGTTGGTTCTGACGAGAGTTTCCTGGAGAACCGTTCGTATTCCAGGATTGCTCTCCAGAATTACCTGCTTGCACATCTTGACTACCGTCGCAGCGATGTGCGAGTCTGTCTGGCTGGTCATGAACAGGCGGAACTCTTTGTGTATTTCTCCTTCAAGAAGCTTGGGAATGATCTCGATAAAGTCAGGAGCCATGTGCACGTTTTCGATCAGCAACCAGTTGCCTTTTTTCAACGCGGCAGCAAAGAGCCTGCGCGCAACCTCCACTCCCTCGCTGGAGCCCATGGAGTAGGACTCGACGTGCTGCTGAGCGGTCCGTGCTAGCGAGTAGACGGTGGAGCTCGCATCGAACCCGCCAGAGGTGCGCAAAATGAAATACTTATTTGACGCGAGCAGCTGCGAAATGTCGTACTCGCCAGAGTGCTCAAAGTCGCCAACATATTGCTTGAGCAGGCTCTCGAAGATAGCACGGTCTTCTTGCAGCAGCGAGCTGGAAAGCGTTGAATACACCTCTTTACCAAAAGCTTTCACCATTTCGGAGACAGGCCGACCTTTGTTCTGCATGAGCATCTTCCTGAATATCACAACAAGATCAAGGGATGCAAATTGATATATTCTGTTGAGTTTCCAGAGACGGTCAAGAAGAAGCTGTATGTTGCAGAAAGCTTCACCAAGGCTCAGGTACTTGTCTCTCACCTGTTTCACCTGGTCCAGGACTTCCGAGGACCGCGAGAGCTTGGTCTTGATGGTTGCGGCCTGGTGTTTGATCGACTCGAGCTTGTTTACCAGCTCATCGTTCTCCAGGATGCTCATTCGAGTGTCGCTCAAGCTCAACAGGAGATCGTTTTCCAAATTGTACAGCGACTCTTTATATTCACCGTTAAGCTTAGAGAGCTCGTCCAGCTGCTGTTGGAGCGATGGCTGTTCACTGTTAAGAGTCATGTTCAGCGCCTGGTTCACGAGGGAGCTGCTGGTGAAGGTATAATTCAGAACGTTCATCCGTGCTTCCAAACATAGCGGAATTCGAGCAGACGCATCCTTGGTGTGCACAAACAGCTGGAAGTTAGGAGAAAGGTCAATTTCCCGTGATCCAAGCTTGACGAGGCTGCGACCGCCTGAGGTTTCAACGTCTCTGGCAATCACGCGGCTGATAATCGGATCGTAATGTTCACCATCCCGAATGAGAATGGACCCTCCAAATCTAATGCAGTTTTCCAGTAGCTTCACGTACCCATCGTCCAAAAAGCTGGTGATCACAAGGTCCTGGTATTGTTTTCCCATAAAGTCAATCATCAAGCCCGAAGGATCAATGAGGAACGCAAACCTCTTGTCTGCAGACATCATCATGGTGTTCTCTATGAACAGCTCGTCGTTCGGAAGACCGTTTGTTTGCCAAGTAAACTCCTGGTCGGGCTTCAGGCTGGATGCACGGTAGGTGAACGTGCTGTCGAATGGAATGGCGTATTTTGCAAGCTCTCTCTTCCAGAGCTCCAAATACTCACGCCTTTCAAGCTCGTTATAGCGTCCTAGATATGACATATAGGCTGCTTCCAGAAGAGTGTTGCCAACAAGACACTCTCTCTGGCCCTGGAACGCCACAACACTTGCCTCCCATCTGACTTTCTCCTCTCGCAAGCTCTCCAGAAGCAGGGTGCTACGGCCGACTTTGGCCTCCACGTCCTGCATCTCAGCCTTGATTTTTTCACTTTCACGAATGGTCTCGCTGTACTTTTCCTTGTAGACTTCAATGCTCTCCTGCAAGTCGTTGATCATGCCATCGATCGCAATCAATTTAGCCTTGGTATCAACAAGCTCGTTTTCCAGCAGCTGCACTTCGTTTCTCAAGGGCTGAACTTTCTCAACAACTGAAGCATATCTCAGCTGAGCTTCCACCCAGAGTAAGAGCGGTCCGCAAGCTTTACTGGCCCGGTTGACTGCCTCAAAATTGTACCCTGGTCTTGAAATGAATTCGCGTTCCATGAAGTCCGCCAACTCCTTCGTAAGATGCACTTCGCTGTCGAACCCGACAATGCTTGCAATGAAGTCGTCTCTTCTAATTATGAGCTGGACATCGCGCCACGTACTCACGTCGTATCCCAAAAGAATACACACAGATTCAAGCGTCATCTTCACTGCCTCAGGAGGATTGTTCATCGAACGGAGCTCTGTAAGGTGCTGTTTTTTGATGTTCTTGACTCCCTTCTGTGCCTCTAGAATCAGAGGCTCCACATTTCTCAGGTCTTCAAGAACAAGGTTCCGGCGCTCGCTGATAATGCGTTCCTGCTCTGCGAACCGCTTGTGGATCTCGATCGACGCTTCCTGTTTGCGTTCTGCCTCGTTCTGATCTGTGATCATCTTGTCAAGCATCTGTCTTGCCTCCTTGTTCTTGTTGTCCAGCTGAATCTTCTTAACAGACAGACTTTCGTTCAGCTTCTTGACCTCCAGGAATGTCTCTCTAAGCCTGTCTAGACCAACATTGATGTGCGACTGGTGCTCTTGGAGTTCTGTTTCCTTCTGTTTAAACGAGCGGATGAAATTATTCACCAGACTGAAAAACTCATTAGGAGTCGGGCTCCTGTTTCTGAATCCACCATGTATAGACACCAGAACATCCACGACGGCGTCACGTAATCCATCCACGTCCACTCCAGAAGGCGCGTGGTACTGGGAGTTATTAATCGGCAGAACAGCCAACAATCCTTTGGCCACTGTCTCCAGAGACTCTGCTCTCCAGTCACCCATCCAGCTAATCACGCATCTATTGAACAAGGCAGGAGACGAAATAAGAGGCGGCGCGTTTGACGAGTAGGGATCCGTAATTGTAAACACCACATGGAGGTTCTTGGCTACCTGTTCTGTGAACCAGGTGTACAGCTCCGCGTCGGAGTCTAAGAATAGGCCCTGTTCTTGCGACTTCTGTGAGCACACAGTCATCAGCGTGTTGTAATCTTCTCCCTCGAATAGTCCGGGAACCTCTGCATTGGCAAGAAGAGTGTTCATCCTTTCCAGGAATGCCGTCTCCAAAATAGCGGACTCGTCTATAATGAAACACAACTTTTCGCCGTCCGCTGCCCGTCGAAGAAGTTCCCGCAGAGTCGCATCGAATTCCGCCAGAGTGTAATTCCTGGAAACACTCAGCTGATGAATCGAAAGTCCGTTAATCCATGCGACAAACTTGGTAAGCGTGGTCTTTCCGCTGCCGCTCGGCCCCACAAGAATCATGTGGCCTTGTGGGTTTTTCAGTACCCGATCTATGCGCAACACATGGTCCAGCAAGTCCGGGTAGAGCACGAGCGAAACATTTGTCTCTTCCTCGCTGAACACTTTTAGTCGCTGTTCAACGAATGCACCGAGCTCCTTTTCGGAAACAGGGCTGTAGTCGTACGACAGCCAGCCAGAATACAGAATCGGCGTCTGTAGTGCACTTTCTGCGTCAATGCAAGGGAAATTATTGGTGAGTGTCGATTTGATCATCTCGTAGGTCCAGTTTCTTTCCTCCTGGGAGATTAAACGGTCAGAGAACAGCCTCAAAGCTTCATGGGCCCATATGCGGAGAAAACCTTCCAAAGAAAGTTGCGGAGAAGATCGGACCGCCTCGTAAATGCCACGGACCCAACGGGTCAGCTCTCTCGGGGAGTATATGTAGTGTGCTCTGTCCGTGAAATGCGCTTTTGACGAGGTGTAAACCTGGATCATCGAGTCGGTGAGGGACTGCACGTAGCCTCTTAGGTCGGGAACACACTTGAGCAGCGCTTTGTTGAATGTAGAATAGATCTGGTTCAATGATTGTGTGCCAGGATAGTCCACCATGATCACAGAGCAATGCCTCAGGAATCTGCGATTCAAAACGTTTCTCCCAGGGTCTGTGGGCGGATTGCAGGCTCCAACAAGCTGGATGTTCCCCAAACTGACCCACGCCCCGTCCTGCTTCCTCCAAAATCCGTTTCTTTCCACCAGTTGTCGCAAAAACGATATTGTCGTCTGCGAGCCATACTCGTCGAACGCAGGAAGGTTGATTTCGTCGCAGAATAAGACCACCCATTTCTCAGCCACCGCAGGAACAAGCTTGAGCCCTGCCGGGCTCGTTTGGTAGACACAGTGTTGCTCCAGTGCCTTAACAACCAGTTCCGGCGTCGTGTCTTTGGAGAAGTTCACGCCCACAAATATGTACTGGTGCGACTTTCTGAGCGCAGCCATCAATGTCATGGTCTTTCCGGAACCGGGAGGACCGCAGAGAATCACAGTTTCGTGTTTTCTCACGAGCGAGAAAATAAGATTCTCGAGGACACGGGTGCCAAGCGTTGGAATGACGATATCTGGTCTTGTGATCATATGAGGCTCTAGGTCGATCGCTTCAACGTCACAGGGTGACCAATCGTAGTCAACCATTGAGATGTCGGAGTAAAGCATGTCTGGTGAACTGAACCGCGCGAGCCCAGGTAAGGTCTGCACGTAGCTGCAGAATCTCTCCCTGTTCTCCAACGTCAGGTCCCCAGCAAAGGACCACATTAACGAATGGAGAGTCGAACGAGCCACATAAGGAACGGTGTCGTCGTGGACGATGGCAGCTTGCGCGGCCAGCTGCTCGAGTCTCTGTGACATCAAGCCGAAAAAAGTGTCAATCATGCTCAAATCGCGGTCCATCACGTGCGCATACTTCTTCGTCTCCAACAATACTTGCTGGAGCACAGATGCTGGAAGCAGCTCCTGTACGTGATCCACAAATTTCTGCTTAATGTCGTCCACTGAGCCACCCCGAAAGCTTCCTGCCATATCTTCGTTTTCAAGTGATTGATTGCGGAACGAGCACATGAGGTTGGCATAATAGTCTTCGAGGTCGAAAAGCCTGTTTCCAAACGAGACAATACCACATCGACTGACTGTGGCTGGAGTTGCAAAGTTCAGATTCTCGACCTCAAACACAATCCTGACGTTTTCTGGCAGAGGAATCCGCTCTCCGCTGGGCAGAGTCAGCATCTTGTTGTCGTCGAGAACACTGTTGAGGTTTTCGACCCATTGCGGGTCGACGTCCCCATCGAAAACGATCCATATGTTCTTGGATTTCTCCCGACGCAGGTTCAGCTCCACGCGCCGCAAAATCGAGGTAAAGACGCCGTCAGTCCACTCTCTCGTTGCGTAGTCCAAAGAGCCATACAAAGGCTCTTTTCCCAGAACCTTCGGGTCAATCGTGTACACGGAGTTCTCCACCCCCGTCAATCGCTTCATGGCCTCTAAAAGACACTCGAAGAGCAGGGTCTTGCCGCTTGCAGCATCTCCAACCATCATAAATCCGTGATGCGACCGCTGTATCTCGAAAACTTGTAGGGCCTTCTTCAGCCACGCCGAGGATGCTGCAAGTCCTTTCTCGGCAGCTATCTCCTTTAGGTGTGGAACAAGCTCGTCGGCTGCAGTCTTCAGGCCTTCAGCACACCCAAATATACTGATATGCTCAGCAAAAAATGGCTCATCGTGAACAAGTAGCTTGGGCAGAGTGACTGTGTTCAGGCTGTGGACAACAATTCTGCTCTCCATCTCGGAATCAACGGACTGGTCTCTGAGAGCTCTGCGAAACCCGCCGCACCTTGCCAATGTACTTTTCAAGGCACGCAGTCCAAAATCGTAGTGAGGCTGATCTGAACAGCTCGATGCCAATCTTCTGAAGAAGTCCACCACTTGCTCGCCTAATCTCTTAGCAGAGCTAAATCCCTGGGAGATCAAGATAACCTCGCAAATCATGCTCTCGTCTGGCTGCACAACGGCAAATGTACGGTACTTGGTCTTCAGGTTGTCCGGAAGGGCAGATCTGCCGGCATAGTTTGGATTGCTGGTGATGAAAACGCCTGATCCTGCCGCCACAGGAAACTTCTTGCCCAGGATCTCAATGTCCATACCGTTGTCAGCTTCCAAAGCAGTCTCGATCTTCTCGATCTGCGTGGAAATCGCAGACAGCATTTTCCGGTCCAGTCTATTGAACTCATCGAAACAGCACCACGAGCCTACACGACAGACACCGATCAGGATCCTGCTGACACTGTGAAAATCAAAGGTCTCGTCACAACAGAACACGAGCACCATGACCCCTAGATTTTGTCCCAGTGCCTTGATAGACTCCGTTTTTCCCGTACCTGCAGGTCCAACAAGAGAGCCTCCTAATTTTTCGTTCAATGCCTCAGTCATAGCAAGGTGGCACCTGTCCATCAGCGGAGTGTAGACAAGACGGGCGGGAGCACCAAGATACTCAAATCCATAGTGTGCTGCCCAGTTGCCTTGCTTCACCACCACAGACTCAAGGATGTTATCTGTCTCTATCAAGTAATAACGCTGCTGTGACAGCCACTCATAAGACTTCAAGTTCTGCTTCTCTTGCAGAGCTAAAACCTCACGCTGGTGCACAAGCTCAATAATCAGATTTTCGTACTTCCTTCGTTGCAAGGACGACAAATCGTGCAGAATAAGTTCTGCAAAGATCGAAAGCACTTCGCTGTATTTTTCCTCACATATGCTAAGTTCGGCGCTGGATTCCACCAGCTGCGTCCAAAACACTTGCAGCGAAAGAATCAGAACCTGGTTTGGGTATTTGTCGATCCACTGAACGAGACTTCCTTTTTGATCTTGGGAGTCCCAAACGGTAAGTAGCTGTTTCAGCGAACGTTGCAACAAATGAGCTAGAGTTCGTTTGGTTTCCGTTTCCAGTTCACGTAGCCAATCTGTGAGAGACGGATGAGCTACCAAGGAGACCGGTGAGTTCAAATTGACCTTTTCTCCTTCCGGGGAAACAATTCCTTCAATCCTGGATAGCTCTGGATTGTACAGCGTTCCCGCAATTCCTATGAACATTTTCTGCAGATATGAGGAAACTAGGGGAATGTTGGCCGAATTTCCAACAATCTCAAGCAGCTCCTCGTTTCCGATAAAATAGAATCGAGGAAAAATGTCCCTCTGCTTTTCCAAATACCCTATCAGAGATTTCTTGATCTTCTCCAGGGTTTCAGAAATCTTGGTCAAAACCTGCTTGATGTTCGGAATGTTGCTCACCTCAGCCACCAGCACCGATTTGTGTACCTTCTTCATTAGCGAGTGGAATTCTGCAGATGTGTTGTAAAATCTGGTTGACTCCAATGGTAGCAGCTTCTTTATTTCATCGTTCTTCTCAAACACACCGGACAAATATATCCATTGACGCTGTACGTCAATCCACATATCTAAAACAGTTTGCACATCGGACAGTTTCATCTCTAGCTGGTTAACCGTTTTCTCGAATGCGGAGTAGTACGGCGACATATTCATTGACCACAAGCTGTTGAGGTCTTCCGTGATGGTCTGAAACAAGGCATCCCAACCCTTAATCAGAATGAAGTCGTCATTAAACCGGAATAGCTCGAAAGAAAGCTGTTCCCAGTTCTTCTGTATAGCAGTAATGGATTTCTCCAGGTTCTTTTCTCCTTGTGCTTTGTGTATCGCCGATTTGAAGTATTTCTCATTCGTAACCAAATCTAGGTCCAGAACGTGGCCCAGAGTCATTTTTGCCGGCGGGTCTTTGAGTGTGTGATCTCTGAATATCTCAATCCAGTGACGGTCACTGATCGCATCAGAGCGCAGTCCTCCTATAATCGGCAGGACCTTGATGTAAGTCTTGACTTTTGCTTGAAACTCTTCAAAAGCAGAGTACTGTCTTATGGCGGCAGGTTGGGCCCTGGAACGGGCTAGGACGTCTTCCAAAGTCTTTCGAAGAGATGTTATGGTAACAGACGACCATTCTTGAGAGCGTAAATCCGTTAAAGAAACTTGTAATTCATTGATAATTGACCAGAATCGCCTCAGATCCTCGACTTCTCCTAAAATCGACGATAAAGTATCCTTTATGAGCAGCTGAAGATCAAGAACCTTGGAAGCGTTCAAAAGCTTTGACCGTTCTTTGATCAGCCTCTGACAGGCTTTTTCAAACCCGCTTAATGACGAAAGAGCCACCTCTGGCTCAAGTCTCTTCCCCAGTGGTTTGTCATTACCCCATTGTTTATTCAAGGAGTCAATGGACTCCCTGAGCAGACTGGCTTCTCTTTCTACTGTGCTGACCACGAGATCCATATTAGCTAGAACTAGATTGATTTTGGCATCCACCAGACTGCTCAATGAAAGAAAAGCTTTTTGAAGCTGCTCAAAATGAACCCAATCGTGCCCAAACTTGACGCGGAAAAGGATCAAAAGATGGTTGCAAGAGTCAATGGTCTCAATTTTGGTGGAGCTCTCTTGAACATAATTCTTTGTCTGATAGAGCAGGTCCACCAAAGCTATGACAGCCTTCGCAGAGCCGAAATCGACTGGAGCTGATTCCAGTGCTCTTCGTTGTGCTTTGATTTCCTCAAGGCTACATCTGATCTCTTTTGAGACTAGTTGTGTAAGGATATCTGAGATATTCCGCTGCCACGTATTGTAATAATTGCTCACCTTCCACTGGGCTTGTTCATACTCCAGTTTGATAGGCCCAAATCTCGTGAACGTCTCCACTGTGTCAAACGCTTCCTTGAGGTTTTTCACGTCGAGAAGCGCATCACGCCATTGTGAGAGATTGGTGCCAAACGCTCTTTTCAAATCCTGAAAGTCAATGCTCCATAGCGATTGCAACTGAAGCCATTTATCTACAAGGCCTTTGGCCGAGACCACAACGTGTTCAAGCTCCTCGATGCATTCAAAGTATGGCCGTTGAAGTAATATCTGAGGGCCAGAAAAAAAGTGAGCGTTTTGATCAGTGGAGACGTCAAACTGGCCAGAGGTTAATCGCTGTTGGTTGGTGACGGTACTCAGGCATTTATTGAGATCTCCAACAATTGACATCTTAGAGATTTCCAAGGGAGGACGAACAACTATCTTAAAGTCCTGCATAACTATTGTGTGGACTTTATCTGGGATGTCTCCCTCCATGCCGCATAATCTTGCTTTCCAGACGGTCAGCTCAGACTTGCACCTATGAAAAAGAATATCCTCCACCGCAACGTTCATCGCATTGGTAAACTCCTCAATATTTGTAAATCCTTGTAGGGCAAACTGGTTGACTTCTCGTTGCAACGCGTCGATGTTGCAACGAAACGCCTCCTCAGTGTACTTGCAGGTCGTTAAGTCATCAAGAATTGCTTTGATCTGTTCTCTTGAAAACTCCAAGAACTCAAACTTTTGCAAAAGAGTCTGGATCTGGGACTGGAAATTCTCGGCTTCTTCGCATACTTTCACTTCATCGAGATTCGTTAAACCCGAGTCAATTAAAACTTGAGCATTCTCCAGTGCAATCCACTCAGACTGCGAAAGAAACTTAATGCCTTTGAAAATGATGTTTAGGTATGGCTGTAGCAAAACTTTGAGCTCGCCCAACTGATCGACCTGCTGCAAGACAGACTCAAGATTGATCACTGAGTTATTGAGACTGGTCGCAACGGGGTATACTGTCTCCAAAATATTGGCAAGCGAGGCGACATTCCGGGGAATTTCAAAACCCATGATCTGGAGCAAGTTGACTTCCTTGAACAGTTCCGCGTCAGCGGGTGACAAGTTGACCTTGACCCTAAAATCCTTTGACTCTGTGCGCTCTATCTTGAAAATATATCGTTTCACAGTCATCTCTTTAAAATTGTGGTTGAAATTGGACAGCCAATCGCGGTAGCACTTATCCAGGTCCAGCTTTTCCATAAGCAACTTCATCTCATTCTCGATTTTCGCACCTTCAGGATACTTTGCCCAGTCTTTTGTCAAAACCAGTTCCATACGCGCGGCCAGAAACTCGATTTTGTATCTCGCTTGGCTGATCCAGGCGATCATGCTGCTGAAGCGCGGAACATCTCGAAGCTGGAGCATTTTCTGTGTGCTTCTCTGTCGTTTGAACTCCTGCTGAAGGGAAGCTAGATCATCCTGAATCACCTGCAATAGCTCACTCTGGTGGTCAAATATCGAAGCTCTGATGTTGGACCGTTTTAGCAAAAACGAGTACTGTTCAAATACCGTGAAGGTCTCGTTTGGAGCCGAGATTGCCTGGAGCGTTTGGCGGAGAAATTCAATCAGCTTGTCTTCCAGCGCATTCACTCTCTTCTGATACGTCCTCTCTGCCTGTGTCCATGCTCTCTGGCCCTCTGGTCCCAGGTCAAGGGGGTTCGCAGTCTCCACGGCACTATAAGCATAGTCAAGCTCATCCAGGTACTCAGTGACCTTAGTGGCTTTAACCAGGTTTGACACTATTTCTCTTAATTCTTCGTGCTGGGACCTGAACTCCGCAGCTTTCGAGACGGCTTCTTTCAGCTCATTTGGGACCGCAATCCTCACAGCAATGAATTTGTCTGATCTCTTCCGAAGCAGCTCGCGAGCCATCGTGGTGAAGTCCTTTATACACTCCTCGAGGGTTCCCAATAAACCGTCAACTTGATCGCTTATGAGCTTGAAGGCAGCATACGTTAGTTCCATCACCTTTGCATCGTGTAATACACTGCTTATTTTGTGCACGATATCCTCAACAATGGACTGACAGAGCTTAATTGCTCGCTGGATCGGATACATGGTCACCCGGAGTTTGCGCAAGTGCTCAAAGACGGCAGAAACAGCCTCGCCGATTTTGTCCAACGATTGGGCGGATAAAAGATCGTTGATGGGAAGGTCTTTGAGCAGCTGATTGTGCTTAGCAGCCACATTTAGTGCGTCCTTGATGCCGGTGTCAGAGAATGTCACCGTGGCGTGGTATCTCTTCGCAGAGCGTAAAACGTCGAGAGTGAGCTGGATTTCGGGGCTTCTGAGCTGCTCCTGGATAGACAACAGCGCTGCCTCCTTGGAGGCCCAGAAATTCACCTCGGCAAGCGTGGGTCCGTCGGAAGGCTCGTGGCTCAGCTGGGCCACGTTCTGGACCTGTTTCATCCAGTCGTTCGCGATCGACTGCATCTCATTGAGAATCTTGGAGTCTGTCTTGGTGTGCTCGTCGAGAATGTCGATAGAAAAAGCGGCGAGGTGCCGGTTTTCACGCACAGCACGTAAAATGGCCGGGTGCGCGGTGGCGGCCAGATTCGGGATCTGGATCGTCTGCTGCAGATGCTGGAAGGAAAGCGTAAGTTCGGAGATCTTTTTCTGTGTAGAAGCCACGGACTGCGAGGTGGCCGACGAGGTAAGCACCGAAAAGTAAGGAGCAATGCCAAACTGCAGCAGCGACTCCAGATACTCAAAGTTCTGTCGCGGCGGAGACCTCAGCGGGAGCTTGGCCACGAAGATCTGGTCGGAGCACGGCAGGCTGTCGAGCAGCGGGCCCCTTTGTTTGAGAAAAACCACGATGGAGGCAGACTGGGCAAGATCCGCCAGCTTCTCCGTCTCCAATCGCTCGTACAAGTGCAAAGCTGGAAGTTAGAGCACGCCAAACTGTACTTACCGTGTGTTCCTGTCTGGACAAGGAAAAGGGCACTTTCGCTGGGGTTTTCGATGAATCGGGTCAGCAGGACATCGTATTCTCCGTCGAGGCTGGCCGTGCTAAGCAACGAGGCCGCCGACCGCCGAACGTAGTCGAAAACGGTGGCGGGAAGAAGCAAAGACATGTGCGGGAGAGTTTTGTTTATTTGTTGATCTGAGACGCGACTTCACCGCCACAGGGGTCGAGTTGCTACGCCACAGAGGAATATATTGTATTTCTCTACAGAATTCAAAAACGGTATATTGTATTGTATCCATCATGCTAATGACACTTAGATCACAAAACTGAACATCCTAAATAGAGCAAATATTAGTTATTAGGCTGTCGTGGGCACTAAGGAAGCAAGATATCAATAACGGGGGAGCAGTCCTCTATTAACCCATTCAAGTGCTAGCTCAGTTGGACTTCTCGTGCTGAGTAGAGACTCTGTTCATGGCCACCATGAAGTCCTCCAGGGTTCTCTGAGGAGGTCTCTCCTTGAGAGGCTTGCCGTTCATGAATCTGTCGAACTTCTCGGACTCAGACATGATGACGTAGGCGCCACCAAGGACACAGAAGACACCGAAGGACCAGATCCACACTCTGACAACGGTGACGATGTCGTTCCAGTTCTGGGACCACCATCCGAACAGGGTGAACATGGTGGCGATGATATCGACAATCAGGACGGCACCCGACAGTTGCCACGATGGCACGGAAGACCAGAATGGACCGGTGGCTCTGGTGACGAAAATCAGCCAGTTCTCGGTCAGGGAGATCTGCAGGAACAGGACACCGTCGATGGAACCGAAGTTCTGGATGATACCTCCCTTTGGCAGGAACATGGTGGTCAAGGTGATCCAGGTACCGATGGCAAGGATGATACCCATGATGATGGACATACCCCATAATCTTGGCAGGTTCCACTTGACTGGCTTCTGGTCGAATGGAGCGTTATCGTAAGCAATGGCAAGAGTAGCAACGTCGGCAAAGATGGCAATGAAGACGACCAGGTCGATGTTCAACGACTCGTTCAGAATGGCAATCCACAGACCAAGGAAGATCTCCAAGTGCAAAGACAGAGCAATACGGTAGACAACGTAGGCGTACATTCTGTGGAAAATCTGTCTGGAGGTCTTGAGGGCGTCAATGATGGCAGAAAGACCTGGAGCAAGGAAAACGATATCGGCAGCAGATCTGGCAGAGTCCGAGGCACCCTCGACGGCAATACCGGTGTCGGCCTTCTTGAGAGATGGGGCGTCGTTGACACCGTCACCGGTCATGGCAACCAAGTAACCTCTCTTCTGCAGAATCTCGACGACATTGTACTTGTGCTGAGGGAAGACCTCAGCGAAACCGTCAGCGTTCTCAACGAAGTCAAACAGCTCGGATCCAGACAGGTCTCCTCCTCCGGAGAGTCCCAATCTGTCGGCATCGAAAATGTTGGTACCAAGACCCAGCTGTCTGCAGGTCTCCTTGGCAATACCAACGGCGTCACCAGTCAGCATCTTAACTCTCAAACCAAGCTCTTTAGCCTCGTTGACGGTCTTAGCAGTGTCGTCTCTAGGAGGGTCCATACATGGCATGATACCGAGGATCTCCCAGTGGCCCTCGCCTCTCTTTCTGGCAACACCTAGAGATCTGAAACCTCTGGAAGCAAACTCGGCAACCTTGTTCTCGTACTTCTCGAGGATGTCCTCTGGAATAGGGTGGTCCTCCTGGACGGTCTTCAGAACGAACAATGGAGCACCCTTGACACAGATGATTCTCTCACCTTCTGGGGACTCGACGTATGCAGTGACTTTCTTGGAAACAGGGTCGAATGGCTGGAACTCAAGCATCTTGTACTTGGTCAAAGCGGCTCTGGCTCTAGGGTAGTTGATCAGGGACTTCAGGAAAGCCTTGTCGATAGCGTCAAGACCCTTCTTCTTTCTAGAGGCAGCGAGACAGGCGGTCAACATCAAGTCATCTGGCTCCACACCCTCGACGGTGTAAGGCTCGTGCAAGGAAAGCTTGTTCTTGGTCAGGGTACCGGTCTTGTCGGAACACAGGATCTCGACACCGGCAAGAGACTCGATAGCAGACAGCTTCTGGACAATGGCCTGCTTCTTGGCCAAGTAAGCAGCACCGACGGCCATGGTGGTGGTGACGACGGCTGGAAGACCGACCGGCACACCAACAATGGTGATAGCAAGAGTGTATCTGAGGATTCTGACGATCTTTGCGGTTCTGTAGAAGGCAGAAGTCCAGACAACCAGCAGAGTGACAATGACCAGGACGAGCAAGGTGGTACCGATACCGTTCAGGACCTCGGTGAAGTGACCTTGTCCGCCGGAGGCCTTGTTGACCAGGGCAGCGGCTCTACCAACGAAGGTGGAGTCACCGGTAGCAGTAACAATCATCAAAGCCTCACCTCTCTTGACAGTGGAAGAGGAGAAGGTAGGGTCGCCAGATCTCTTGTCGACGGCCAGAGACTCACCGGTAAGGGCGGACTGGTCGACCTGCAAGAAACACTCGTCGGAAACAAGCTTACCGTCGGCAGGGATGACAACACCGTCTTCCAACTGCAGAATGTCACCAGGAACGACCTCAGAGGCAGGAACTTCGACCGGGTGGCCGTCTCTGATGACGGTGGCGGTGTTGGCCAGCGTCTTCTTCAACTCGTCAACAATGGAACCAGCCTGGTACTCTTGGATGAAACCGACACAGGCGTTCAGCATCAGCAAACCACAGATAACACCGAAATCGACCCAGTCCTCGAGACCGGCAGCCAGAATGGCAGCAGCCTCCATGACGAACTGGATAGGACCAATAAAGAACATACAGAACTTGAGCACGAGGTTCTCCTTCTCCTCGGCCATCTGGTTGAGACCATACTTCTTTCTTCTTTTAGCAACCTCGTCGGAGGTCAAACCAACCTTCGGGTCGGTTCTCAACAGCTCGTCGGGAACGACCTTGAAGGAAGAGTGGTCCTGCTCCTCGTCCTCCTCCTCGCCGTCTTCACCACCGTGATTGGATTGCAATTCCATCACCAATTGGTCGATGTCGTCTTCCTCCTCATCATCTTCATGAAGAGGAACTTTCTCCTTGGTTGGTTCAGTTGCAGACATGATGAGTCTCTATTCTAGCAATTGAACTGAAAGAAAAAAAGATATAAAGTTGGATGGAGAAAAACGAAGGAAAGATACTGCATTTTTAAGAGGTGGATGCAAATTATGCACCGTGAAACGAAGGACTTTGTTCGTCCAAATCGAGTAAACAACAATCGGTACCAAAGAGGCAAAAAAGAAACACAAACCACAGCAACGTTTCCGACCAACGAGTTATTTAGCTGTTTTTTCACTGGTCGATATTGTCGTGAAAACCGATTTCTATTGTTTTTCAGCAACGGGATATCCGGGACGGCATAATTTGCGTGAAAATTGGACACCGGGACGTAGCCGATGATGGCTCGAGCTTGCCGTGCGAACCGCAACGCACTCAATCTAGCCGCGAGCTGCTCCATCTCACTCGGTTATCTAAGGGATACCGTTGCGCGGAGACGTTGTGTAGGTATATCTTACCCGCCTTTCTACGCTATCGTTTCTTTCTGTGTGCTATTGTTAACGATTTGCGATCCAGGGGAGAGTTGCAGGATTGAGCCAGGGACGGCTATAACCCGGAGCTGAGCGGAGCCAGAACATATAACTACAACCTGTCCATCCTTGGCCCCAGGTGGCTCACCTTCACCCACCAACCTCAGCGGACGTCCGTGATAGACAACCCCAGCTTCTACAGCTAAACTACGTAATTGCCAAGAGCAAAATATCTGCACCGGTTTCGGACCAGGATCGGTTATATGCACTATCATAAATTTTGAGGTTTTTTTCGCCAGCTCTTTTTTCACTCAACTTGCCAAAGCCGAGCCGATTTTTTCTAGCCATTCATTCATTCCGCATCCCACCGTCAAAAAATGCTGTGTTCTGTTTTTAGATCACAGTGTTCCCTATTGGGAAATACGCTTACCCAAACAAGATGCCCCGGACCATGACATCCTTCTTGTCATGATAGCCGGCCCTGTATTGTTTCCCTGCCCCATGTGACATAGACTCTGTCAAACGCTAGTCCTCGTGTGTTGCAACAGCGGGCCTGCTTACTGGGACAAATTATGTAAATTAGGTGATTATTCCACCTGGCTGCAGCGAAGCTAGCTAATATTTCTGCTTTTTTAATTTCACAGATAACGATCGTTACTATTCATACAATTCCGTTTATCCACCTATAACCGAAAACCTATAACCCAAGCTCGCCACCTGGTTTACTCCGTCCACTCCTCGTCGCTGTCGCTCGACAGGATTCTCGACCGGTGCCGCGTGCTCGCAGGTCGATAGTACTCATCACCGTCGTCTATGTCGCTGGGCTCGCTGTCTGCGTCCCTGAGGTCGCGCTCAAAGTCGTAGTCAACGTAATCGTCGTCGAAATCGTCATCCTCTTCGCCAGGAGACGGCGCATTCATAAACAGTCGAAGGGTTTCCCGCTGCCGCCAGGCGTCTGCAAGTTCTGGGCTCTCGCGCTCTAGCAGAGATATGAAGCTCTCCTCGCCGTACGAGGCGGACTCGTCATGGTACTCGGGGTCAGCCTCGCTGTCCGAGGACGAAAATCTCTCGTTGGAAGCCGCAAGAAGGCGTCGCCCGCAATTCAGGCACCGCGAACCATGTGCTTCCCAGTGGCAGACGCTGCACCGCGGGATCCCGTCACTGGTGTCCAGAATGGCCTCCGAGTAGTTGTCAAACAGATTCTTGAAACACGTATCGTTGTGGTTGTCTTTCTCGTATAACCTGTTGCGCTCGCGTATCATTTTGGTTATGGGCTCTTTTTGGTCCGGGTGGTCCTTCGCCACTGCCTCCAGATAACTTTCCAGCAGCTGCTTCATCGGGACGTTGAACACAGGAACACGCCGCACGCGCTGGCGGCACAACGGACACGAGTGCTTCACCTTGAGCCAGTCTGACAGGCACTCGTAACAGAAAGTGTGCCCACACGCGACCGTAAACGGAGTCACCATCAATTCTTGACAGATGGTGCAAGTAAAGACCTCGACACTGCGTCGCATCAGGTCCTGCTTGTTCTCATCCCCCAAGGATTGCAATAACCTGAGCACTTCCATCGATGTGGATCATAAAAAATATTTACGTTAAATAGAAATTTGTTCGATTTGTCTATCTTTGTACAAGTTCCCTCCAGCGGCCAATTTTCTCTAGATACTCGTCGAGTTTGCGCATGTGCTGCGTGCTGACGTGGTCGTACTGGTTCCGTAGCACGTTGATCGTGTGCTCGAGGTATATAACAAGGTTCTGTCTGATCTCGTCGCTGTCTTGCACGTCGAGGTTATGGGCGTATAACTCACAGATGGATTTGGTGTTGCGCATGAAAAGGTCCGTGGGGTAAAACGTCTTGTCCTTCTTGAGTTGCTCTAGGATATCGATCGCAAGGTCCAGACGCCCTTGCTCAAGATAGAACTTGATTATAGCGTACACAGCCCTCAGAAGCTCGGTGTTGCTGCGTGGCGAGACCCCGGTCATCCTGTCCATGACCACCATGCCAAACTCGCGGTTATGGAACTTGACGGCATCCAGCAGCATGTTCGTGTAGTCTGAAACGGTCAGCGAGTCGCGGTACCCCTCCACGATCGACGAGAGGAACTTGAAGGTGCCGAGGCGGAATTTCGGGCTGAGAGTCTTGCGTTTGAGAAAAACCAGCATCTTGAGCGACGGCTCGTCCAAGCTGGCGATTTTCGGGTTGCTGCGTATAAAATTCACCAGCTGCTCGACTTCCTCGATGGACCGCGACGTCTTTAGTGCCGTCGTCAAAATGCCCTTGTGCGGCCAGATCCCGTTGCGCATCCGGCTGTCGATCGCCTTCATCCGCGGCAGCACGGGCTCTGCCCGGTCCCCCACTATGCTCCTGCGCAAGAGACGGTGCTTGCCGGTTTTTTCGTCGAGCCTGATCACGTGCGCAAGCCGTTGGAGCGAGAAGTTGTCGCTGCTCTCCAGCTCCTGCACAAATCTCCGCGTGATAGGCGTGCGGATCATGGGGTATGCTGCCACGTAGGTTTTCCACAAGTTATAGAAATAATCCTCCTGGAACTCCAGGCCGGCTTCCCTGGCTACCTTGAGCAAAAGCTCCGCGTACACCTCGGGCTGTCCGTCGCGCTGAATCCACCATAAGACTCTGCGGAGCAGGTTTTTGAACTCCGCATCGCTCGCAGCGTCCTCGAGCACTCGCCTGGCCAGCGAGACCTCTCCAACTCTCATCAACATGTCTATGCACTCCTTGCGGAAGCACTCACATTCCTCGGGCTCTAAACGCTCAACCCATTCCACATAGACAGTCGAGATGTATTCGCGGGCCTGTCGCCCAGTTTCGATTTCGTCCAGCTCGTCCAGGAACCACACCTTGTGGCTTTTCGTGTCTTCCATATGCTGTATAACCCATTTTTCTTGTTCTCGTGTACCGTGGCGCATCATTATCTTGTATATTAGGACCCGCGTGCGAAAGTGGATGCTGTGGCCTCTGGAGTGCCACAACCGGTATGCCATATAGCAGAGCGACGGATTGGACGTGGTCTGCTGCAGGTCTTTTAGGTACGAGTCCAGAATGTCGGCGGACAATTCTCTGCATGACATAACTGTCTGATTAAATATCTGCGTGGCCACGCTCACGTTTTCTGTGCGCAGATACACACGTAGAGCTAGCCGGAAAGCGTCGGGATCGGGGTCGTCAACACGACTCAGGTAGATGCTGAATATGCGTTCAAACTCTGTGTAGTCGAAGTTCATGTACAGGACGAGAAGCAGGCGCTCGAGAAATGCAATGCTCAAGCCGGCGTAGTCGAAAACGTTGCGAAATCTCTGTACCATTTTGTAGATGAAGGTGTAGTTGCCAGACATGAGAAGCAGCTGTTCCAGCTCGAGTGGCGTCAGAGACACCGACTCGAGCCTGCGGTATAACTCGGCGTACTGCTTCGTTCTGAAAAGCTGGGCCATATCTGGTGGTAAAAAATCGGGGACAGGCCTTTCGGAGTGCTTCTGGCAGGACTGCTGCTTGTACTTACCCCTCAGAAACACCTCCATGGGTCGTCTGCTGATGCGGAGTAATCTCGACAAGTCTGGACGCTCGCTCTGCGGCATGCTTTCTGGCTCCTGCGGTGGATCGTTGGATAACTCCTGGTTTTGCGGCTGTGGCTCATTCGGCGCAAGCTCTTTATATACATCGTTGTTGGCGTGCTGTTCATGTCTATCATCATGGTCGTGCGAGATGGTCTTGAGCCTCAGCCCAGGGCGAAACCCTGCGACACCCCCTTGGTTCATATTGGTAACCGGTTTGTCTCGCTCTAGCTGGCCCCAGTCAAGCTCTACTCGCATGGAGAAGATCCGGAGGCATACTCGCCCCGGCGAGCTCAGCAGAATGCGCGCGTTCTGAAGCCTCTGCATCGCAGAGTTGTATATGCAGCGAGCAGGAGTAGTAGAATAAGTTGATTTGGAAAAAAAATCAAAGAAAAATCTTAGAGAAACCGTTACATAAAAATAATTTCGTTACAGTTTACTGGATAAATTTATGTGAACCGCTTTTGTCTGGCTGAAGGCTGCCAGACCGGCCTCGCCCAGCTCGCGGCCAATTCCTGACATCTTGTATCCTCCGAATGGCATGCGGTAATCTGTTGCGAACGTGTAGTTCACAAACACCTGGCCGCTCTGGACCTCGCGGATATACTTCTGCGACCGGTTGATGTTCTGGGTGAACAGATATGCGGCCAGGCCGTAGGAGGAGTCGTTCGACAACTCGATTGCCTCTGCGTCTGTGCCGAATTTTGACACTGTGACGACGGGGCCGAAGATCTCTTCTTGGACGACTCTCATATTCTGGGAGCAGTCGGCCAGAATTGTTGGCTGCAGGAAATAGCCCGCCAGGTCGGGCACTTTGCTGCCTCCGCACACAAGTCGGGCACCCTCAGCCAGTCCTATCTTGATGTAGTCCAGAATCTTGTCCTGCTGGACCTTGGACACCTGTGGGCCGACGTTGACGCCCTCTGCGAACTGCGGTCCCTGCACAAAATTCTGTTCGACGTGATTCTTGAGTCTCTCCAGAAACTCGTCGTAGATGCCCGCCTGCACGTAGATTCTCGACGAGGCAGTGCAGATCTCGCCCTTGTTGAAGAAGATGCCGAACGCAGCCCACTTGACGGCCTGTTCTAGGTCCGCGTCGTCGTACACCACCAGCGGCGACTTTCCGCCGCACTCCAGAGTGCATGCCTTGAGGTTCTCTGCGGCGAGCTTCTGGATGGTCTTACCAACACCGGTGCTTCCCGTAAAGGTGACCTTGTCGATGCCCGGGTGCGATGCAATGGCAGATCCGACCTTGGTTCCGAGACCACAGACAACGTTCACCAGTCCAGCCGGAGCTCCAGCCTTCACAAACAGCTCGCACATATACAGGGCAGAAAGAGGCGTATTTTCGGACGGCTTGACCACAATGGCGTTGCCTGCAGCCAGACAAGGAGCCACCTTCCACGCAAACGTGGAACACGGGAAATTCCACGCCATGATGGCAGCACACACCCCATATGGCTCCGTCACAGTGTAGGTGAATTTCGACCGCTCTGTTTCGACCGTCTTACCGTCCTCGGCGGTGATGGCCAGAGCACTGTAGTAGCGGAACACGTCTGCCGAGTGCAGCACGTCGAAAATGGCGTTCGTCGCCTTCGGCTTGCCGCTCTCGAGCGCCTCGAGATCGGCCAATTGATCGCTGTTCTCGACCATCAGCTGCGACATCCTGAGCAAAAGGTCCGACCTTTCGCGGCCGCTTTTGGTCCGCCACACCTCCGTGAAACACTTTCTCGCGCTCTTCACCGCCTGCTCCACATGTTTCTCGTCGCCAAGATGGACGGCACAGATCTCTGTGCCGGTGCCGGGGTCCTCGACGGCGAGTTGGCTGTCGGTGGCCAGAAACTCGTTGTTGATAAACACGCCGGTCTCCAGCTGGTACTTCTTTCCGTTCGGGACTGCAATGTGTGCGGTAGTCATTCAGGTAACAAAAACAGCACTGAAAGCTATCTATATACCGTGTATGCACCTTCCTGATAAGGCAGGAGCTGAATTAAATTAGATTTAGGCATTTGTGGTGCAAGGGTGTACCAGAAAAATATTAGCACACTATTCTTCGCCATGAACGCTCCGTCTACACCACGACACCCTGAACCGGACCAAGAGGTGGAATTGACCGATCGCGACATACCGAAGGATCTCGCCGAGGCTCTGGATTTGTCATCCGCCTCTGAGGAGGCCGTGAGCAGCGAGAGCGTCGAGATGGTCCCGACAGCAACCACGAACAGTTTTGATGATTTCACCGACCTGGATGCGCTAATCAATCGGCCGTCACCGGTCAATCCGTTCGGACAGAATCGCGGACTCACTGCGTCGGAGCCGCCGCGTCTCGTGCGGCGGCCGCCCCAACGCCCGCGCAAACTTAGTGGAGCGCAACAGAGCCGGCTGGTGGCGTACATGGACGCCAAGCTGCTGCAGATCCAGCGGATGTTTATCAAGTACCTTTCGCTGCGCAACGATGATGACGAGAACGATGCCGACGACGAGCAGACCGAAAAATCGCCGCTTGCCGAGATCGACGCGTCGCCCCCTCCGCAGCAGGAGCCGGACGACGTTTCCAAGTACACGCTGGATCGGCTGCTGGAGCAGATCACGAGCGCCGTGCTACTGCTGTGGGTCTCGCTTTACGGGACGGAAAAGATTCCGCCTATTTACCATTCAAACCTAGCTGGCACCGAGCCCGAGGATGAGCTGCAGATCGACCTCATCGACCCGTCGACCGTCGCGGGGCAGCCGGCGTACCTCATCCGAATCATGGGCGATCTGGCGGACTATTTGGAGAAGTATCGTCTCGACTCGTTCCAGGACTTCCAGCTCGTGTTGGAGCTGCTCGCCAAGATCGACAACTTCGCGAGTATTTTGATCGACCAGACAGAAAAGCCGATTTTCAGCACCACCGACAAGGTGCGCATGGACTCGATCGTGCAACGCACGAAGATGCTGATGGTGGCCAAATTCGAGGAGTTCCAGGCCGCCGTCGACGCGAGCGAGACCGACGAGCGCGGAAAGCGCAGCGCACACTCGGGCAGAGACCTGCTCCCGACGTACCAGCTGCTTGTGGGCGAGATCTACGAGGGGATCACGGACCGCACGTCGATATGAGCCACTGGTACGCGGACGCGGTGTGCTGTTCCTCCTCGCACCACAGGTCCTCCAGTTTCTCCGCCATTCTGCGCGCCAGCGGGTACTGTTGGTCCTGGGCGAGGATATGTAATTCTTTGGAGAAAAATTCACGGTGCGCCATTTTGCGGGCCACGCAGCCTCCGATCAGTAGCGGGAACAGCAGCAGCGTGAGCGAGTTGCCCGACAGCGCGCCGAGCTCGGCCACCAGCTGCTCGAGGTAGAACTGTACCACAGGGCTGCCCGCCTCTGTGGCGGCGTCCGCGAGCTTCAAGTAGAGAATCTCCTGCGCATAGAAGAGCGCCTTGCACACGGCAAGGTTCCGCTGCGTCTGGCACTGGCCCGGCGTGAGGTCCTGGAGCGGGATCTGGATCTCGAGCGTCTGGATGGCCGTCCACGTGAGCGTCATTTTGTGTTTCACCGGGGCGAGCAGCTTTGTGGTTTTCGCGTCCGCGAGCTTCGCGAGCGTCTCGAGCGACTCCAGCAGAAGCGCGCGCTGTTGCCCGACGTGCCAGTCGCACGCGAAGGGCACTTCCACGAGCGCGGTGAAGTTGAAGCTGTGTTGGTAGAATTCGTACGGCGAGGGCAGCTTGGCGGTGTTGCAGAAGAAGAGCGCAATGGGGAAGTTGCGCACAAACACGTTGAGGACCGTATGGCTGTCGGGCAACGCTGCGAGCGCTCCCAGCGTCTGCGCATCAAGCAGCTCGCGCAAGCTCGTCTCGAGCGCGTGCAAGGTGTGGATGGCGACGATGATCCACGAGAACGGCGGGGCGTTTTCCACCAGCACGTCGAGCGCGGGCTCGGACGTCAGAATGTCGAACCGCGGCGCCATTTTGCGGTCCTGGTGCTTGTAGGAGTCGAGCTCAAACACAAAGCACATGTGCGAGGGGATCAGGTACTCGCTGGGGTCCTCGGGGTCGGGCTGGGGCAGCTGTGATGGCGACGTTGCGGCTTTTATCTCGTAGTTCCTGGGCAGCGCAGCACCTCGTTTTTCGGGCCACGAGCAGTGCAGGAAGTTGCGCGAGCAGCCCGAGCACACGGGGAACCGCTCGTCGCACTTCTTCTTGCGCTTTCGGCAGGTAAAACAGCCGGACTTGGTTCGTGATTTGGACATGGGCGAAATAAAAAAAATGCAACAATTTTGTGGGTGCGAGGTGTACATAGCACCCGCGAGCGGACGGGCACAGGCTGCGTACCGACCGGCACAGCAGCTGTCGCTGCAAGCCGTTCTCTGCTGCCAGCTTGCCAGAGCTTGCCAGGGCTCGTCTTTGCAATGGCGCGCTCTTATATGGCCGTGCTCTCGCCGAGGAGAACTGCCTAAACGAGCGACAATTTATTCCGCATGGAAATTCCCGATCTGACTTATCAGTGCCAAATAAATAGCAGCGCATTGCCAGCAGCTGCCATTTTTTTAATCATGGTGTCTCTGCCTTTGTCTGTGTCTGCCCCTGCCAATATCGAATCCCTGTACAAGTTCACGGACGACGTGTCGGACCCGCAACTGTTCGAGTCGTGGAAGCCCAAGATCGCCGCGTACCGCCAGGCCTTGGCGGACTCGCTGCCGGCGGAGTACAGGCTGCCCGAGTCCGAGATCCCTGCTGATCTCGACGAGGCCAGCTTCAACACCGTGCAATTCCTCAAGGAAACCCAACACCTGACTCCAGCGGAGCGCGAAATCACCGAGTCGTCCGCGACGGAGCTGCTGCGCAAGATGGAAGCCAGAGAGCTGACTGCTGTGGCGGTGCTCAAGGCGTTCGCGCATCGGGCCGTCATCGCGCACCAGCTGACCAACTTTGCGTGCGAGTTCTTCGTGCACGAGGCGCTGCAGCGCGCCCAGCAGCTGGACGAGTATCTTGCTGTCCACGGCAAGCTGGCCGGCCCGCTGCACGGCATTCCTATCTCGCTCAAGGAGCAGATCGGGCACGCGGGCAAGATAACTCACGGTGGCTGGGTCGCGTGGCTGGACAACGTGCCTGAAGAGGACGCCGTGACGGTGCAGGTGCTGCGGAACCTGGGCGCCGTGTTCTACGTGCGCACGAACGAGCCGCAGACGCTGATGCACCTGGACTCCAACAACAACATTGTCGGGCGCACGCGCAACCCGCACAACTCGCTCTTGACGGCGGGCGGCTCGTCGGGCGGCGAGGGTGCCAGCGTGGGCTCGCGGGCGTCGCCGCTGGGCGTGGGCACCGACATCGGCGGCTCGATCCGCGCGCCGGCCGCGTTCTCGGGCGTGTACGGCCTGCGCCCGACCTCGAGACGGATCTCGACGTTTGGCGGCGTGTCGTCGGGCAAAGGCCAGGAGTCGATCGTCGCCGTGGCCGGCCCGCTCGCCAGCAGCGTCGACGACATCGAGCTGTTCATGAGCGCGTACATCAACGCGGGCAAGCCGTGGGACCTGGACCCGTGGTCGCTCCCGATCCCGTGGCGCCAGGTCGCCGTTCCCGAGCCGCAGAAACTGTCCGTTGCGGTGATGTACGACGACGGGCTCGTGAGACCGCTGCCACCGGTCGTTCGCGGTCTCAAGCACACGGCGGGCAAGCTCAAGCAGGCGGGCGTCAACGTGATCGAGTTCAAGCCGCTCGAGACAGACAAGCTGTACGAGGTGGCCAATTTGCTGTACAGTTGCGACGGCAACCATGCGCAGAAGGAGATGCTGCGGCCGTCGGGCGAGCCGCTGTTGCCACTCACGAAATGGGCGCTCTCGTTCGGGCAAGGCGACCGCGCGCTGTCCGTCACCGAGAACAGAGAGCTCAACTACCAGCGCGACAGGCTGCGCAAACTGTACAACGACTACTTCGTCCAGAACAAGGTCGACTTCATCCTGTGCCCGAACTACTGCGGCACGGCCCCCGTGTGCGTCCAGGACGGCGTCGAGGGCCCTTACTACTGGGGCTACACTTCGCACTTCAACCTGCTGGACTTGCCCGGCTTGACGGCTCCAACGGGGCTGTACGCGGACCAAAACGTCGACACGAAGCCGGACTACACGCCGCGGTCGACGATCGAGGCGATCGAGCACGCCAAGTACAAGCCGGAGCTCGTGCACGGCGCGCCGATCTGCTACCAGCTGGTCGGGCGGCGGTACTTTGATGAGGAGGTGGTTGCTGCGGGCAAGCTTTTCGGGCAGATCCTGGAGATAAATTAGATAGTGATAGATCTATGAAACCCTGTCCAGCACCGGTAGAAACTGCCCGACAATGAGCATCGGGATGTCGAACACGTCGCGCTTGATGGTCCAGATGCAGCAGCAGCGCAGGTAGTTGCGGTCCTCGGCCTTGCGCAGGTTGCAGTCGGTGAGGTACGTGGCGTTGAGGTCGCCGAACGCGAGCTCGCTGAAGCTGCGGAAGTACTTGATCGTGCTCTCGTCGTCCATCAGCTCGACAATGAAGGTGCGCTTCGACAGCAGCGCCTTGCGCGAGTAGCCCGTCATGACGGCAAACGTGTCTGTGAGCGCGACGATCTCGCCCGTGCGACGCCAGATCGCGATCGGCGACGGCGACAGCGCGATCAGATGTTCGTATTCCAGGAGCGACCGCTGGAACGAGTGCTCTGTGAACAGCAAGTCGTTCTCGTGCAGCGACTTGGTGGCCGAGATGAACGACGGCCGGTACTTGGCCATGCACTTGGCGATCTCGATCAGCTGGCTCTTGCTGAACCGCTGCTTCAGATACGAGATCAGCGCGTGGTACGCGCGCGGGTACCGGTACGGCTTGATCAGCTGGGTCAGATAGATATCGTCCGGGTGCTTCACGCGCTGGCGCACCAGGATCGGCGCGACGTAGTGTTCGTCCTGCTCGGGCGCCGCGGGCACCTCGCGGGCAACGTTCGGCATCGCCGAGTGCCACTCGTTGTACACGTACGAGTTCGGCGTCTCGTTGTTCGGGTACGACGACCGCATCGTCAGGCTCTCGACGTCGATCTCGATGAACGGCCGGAACTCCTTGTCCTCCTCGAAATCGACGAAATCGTCCGTGGGCGACGGCGGATTCGTGTTGAGCAGGTCCGTCAGCTGCGCGTACTCGTCGTTGGCCATCGTCGACTCGAAGTTGCGCGGGTCCGGCGCAAACGCGAAGCGCAGCGAGTCGAAGCCGGCGAGCGGGGCCTCCTGCGACGCCACAGACGACTGCCTGCTCGACTGCGTGCGCGACTCGTCTCTGTAGACGCTTTTTTTCTTGCGCACCGAGTCCCGGCACGAGTCTGCGAGCCCGCGCTTGGTGCAGTTCGCGCACGGGCGCGCGTCGTTGCACTGGAGGTGTTTGCGGTGGCAGAACTCGCAGGCTACGCGCGTGGCCTTGCGCGAGAGCTTGACCTCGAGGGGCAGACGTTTGGTCATGGATGCGGTGGTAGGTGTGGTCTGGGGAACCGCCGGGGCTGCGGCAATATTACTTTTTTATTTTATTTTTTTGATTTAATTCGGTTAAATTGAAAAAACTAGATTCCTGGTGCCTACGCTAACCTAGTTGCTCTTCAGAACCTCGAGGAACTGGCCCTTGGATGGCTTGCCTGGCTTGTTCTCGGCCTTGGCAGACCCAAGCTTCTTCTCGGAGAACGCCTTGGCGTATGGGTTGAGTCTCAGCAGAACCTGCTTGTTCTTCAGTGGGTTCTTCTTCAGAACGTGGGTTCTCTTCTGGGTGGCCTGGCCAGCCGGTCTGACAACAGCCTGGATCTCAGCAGAGTTGATCAGTCTGGTGACGTCCGTGTTGGAGACAATGTTGGCTGGCAGAGCGTAGCCGGACTTGGACTGATAGACAGAGTCCAGAGCAGCAAAGGCAGACTCGGTCCAGATGACGAATCTTCCCAAGTGGGCGCCCGGAGCCAGCTGCAGCAGGCCCAGAGCAGTGACCGGAGCGGTCTCGACACCTGGCAGGTTTCTGAAAGCCTTGACAAGACCCTTGTCCTCACCGTAGACGATCAATGGGCCTCTTCTCTGGGTGAATCTTCTGCCTCTCATCTTACCCTTACCGGCTCTCATCTTCTTGGACTTGATGACCTTGACGACGTCCTTGTGGGCACCAACAGCCTTCAGAACGGCAACGGCCTCCTTGGTCTTGGTGACAGACTCAAGCTCGGAAGAGACAACCAGCGGAATCTGAGGAATCTCCTCAACTCTGTGGCCTCTGGCCAGCACAAGAGATTGCACAGCAGTGGCAGCAATGGCAGAGGCAGTGGCGTATCTCTTCTCGTTGAGGTTGACCTTGACGTGCCATCTTCTCCAGATCTTGGTTGGAGCGAACATACGACCGCCTCTGCACATGTTACCGAAAGCAGCTTGGCCGGATCTGTGGGTTCCGCCACCACCCACTCTTGGGATTCTGGCAACGGCTCTACCGGTACCCCAGGACTCAGCAGAGGTCTGGTGACCAGCGTTCTCGGCGACGGCGTAAGCCTGTCTCTTGTTCTTGTTGACTCTGGTGAAGACGGAGTGGACGATATCTGGTCTGATAGGAGCCTTGAACACGGCTGGGAGCGGCAGAGAGCTGGAAGTGGCCTTGCCGTCGAGGCTGACGACGGAAACTTGAGGAACGGACATGGTTAAAAAATGGTGAAAATTCAGCAGTGAAAAAATTGTCCCAAATATCTGCGGTCGTGCAGCGTCCCCAAATCGTATCTGCGCGGCCGGGTAACCCCGACCACGAGGCTCCCTTTTCCCCAGCGCCCCCTCGCACCTGGGGCACAGAATAAGTTGACGTCCTTTGTTTCCTGCCCCATCCAACATGTCCTCCACGATTGCTCCCCTTCTGCAGATCGATCCCTGGCTTGAGCCCTTTGCTGCCGAAATTGACCACCGGCGCAAGCTCGCCGACAATTGGCTCCAGGTCCTGCAGAAAAACGAGGGCGGGCTGCTCAAATTCGCAGACTCTTATCAGAAGTTGGGGTTCCATGTCAACCCGGACAACTCGATTTCTTACAAGGAGTACGCCCCCAACGCTGTTGCAGCATGCGTGATCGGCGATTACAACGACTGGCAACACGACAAGGACACCATGACAAAGGACAATTTCGGCTTCTTCAGCACGGTGCTGCCTCCTGTCGATGGGAAACCTGCTATACCGCACAATTCGAGAGTCAAGATTTTGCTCACCCTGCCTGATGGCTCCAAGGTGGCACGGC